GGGGGGGGGAAGTGAATGGATACTAACGGCGACATGTAGGCTGGTTCAATCTACCTATTCGCACGGTCTGGATGGCTGGACTGTTTCAACTCTTAGGAGGTGGCGAAGCAATGGCGACATCGATGCTTCTGACTCTAGTTGCGGATGTGATTTCACCAGAACAGAGGTATGGACGGATATAACTGCCCCTCTATCCGCGAATACACTATGATTTACACGAGAAATAGGAGTACTACACTGATCCAGATGGCGTCAGTAGTATACTTTGCCGAAATGGTAGGGACTCCACTTAGTGCGTGGATGATGAAGTTCGATGCATGGATTCCATTCTGGCTTGGTATTATTATCATGGCTGTCGGTGCGTTTGTGGGGTTTTTCATGCCGGAGACGCTTGACGTGAGACATGATATCCAGGAGGATGTATTTGAAGATAATGCGCGGGACGTGGACGAGACTTCACATTTGTCAGGCATAAAGAATTGCACGACCATGGACACGGTCTTCAGCAAAGCGCAGGAATTGATCTCTTCTTCGAGGTTCATATGGACGCAGCCCCGTTTGCTAGTTTGCATTGTCGCTGTCTTTGCCGGCAACCTTGATAAAGCGTCGGCGTATTTGCTCATCCAATATATATCGACGAAATTTAACTGGACTATTTCTCGGGTATGATGGCCCCGTTGCCGCGCTCACTTTGTTGCCTGCAAAGTTATTTGTTCAATACTAACAGACCTCACAATGCAGGCAAGCTATCTAATGTCACTAAAAGGCTTCATGTCACTTGGAACCATGCTTCTTGGCGTACCCTTGTTTTCATCCTTCCTGACCCGGACCCTCCGCTATGACGCGGTTGCAAAAGATCTATGCATCTCTCGAGTATCTGCAGCGCTGGGCGTGGCGGGATACTTTATTATCTTTGCGGCAGCATCGGCGCCCTTGTTAACCGTGGGATTGATGTTCATGACACTCTCTCTACCGTTTGTCTGGTCGATGATAGGCGTGGGGACGTCGTTTCTGGCGTCCAAAAACCAGATTGCAACCTTTTACTCGGCAATATCGGTGTCGAGGTCGATTGGGAATGTGGTTTCCGGACCCCTGTTTGGGAGTCTGTATGGATGGGGCGTGCGCTCAGGGCTCGAATGGTCGGGGCTGCCATTTGCTGTGGCATCACTGACTCTACTCATGACGCTGGGCCTGATTACCTGCATCAGAGCGTAGAAACCGATTTCCTCTCCATTCAATCAAATAGCGCTAGACGAGCACATGGCCGGCATATGTAATTATCTACCTGGGGGGCATGCCGAAACGGGAAATCCGTGATAAAATAGAGATAGAATCATGGATATGCAGCGATGCACGCCAAATAATGTTAATGAGCACAAAATGATAAATCCAAACAACAGCAAACAGCCTTTTTTCACATGTTTTTGTTTTTGTTCCGCAGCAAGCTCCAAGCACCAAATTGGGCAATGCAACATTGGCAGCCTGCCAGCTGCCCTTTCTGGCCTAGATATCGGCGGTTATCGACGGACTGAGCTTGCAGTCCCCAATTCTTGGTGCTGAATGAGGGGAGATGCAACGCTGTCCTACGGCTGATTGGACACCGCTGAAGATTCGCAACTTGGCTTCGACGCCAGATCGACGCCTCTAGAGACGGCGGGGCCAATCGGGCGGCGTCGGGAGTATATCTTAGCCCTGATGTTATATTATCATCGCAGCCTCGGAGCTCTCCGACATATTGTATGCCAGTATATACATAGGTACGTACGAAGTATACGTATCGGTGCCTGCATGACCGGGCGATCTAGACAGCGAATAAGCTTTGCCAATGCAACATTGTGATTGTGTGGTTGCTAGCAGCTGGTGTATACGCGTACGAGCACATTCACTAGGGAGAGAGAGAGAGAGATCCCCGCTGTGTCATGCATAAACTAAGATACGACATCGATATCAGTTTGTTGATGTCGTTCTAGGCCGCTAGTCATTGCCGACTCGTAAGCCAGCATCGATCAGACGGGGTACATAAGGCTCGAGCCGGCCCAGCCCTCACTCATCTTTGCCCAGATTCAGATCCAGATTCAGATCCAGATCCAGATCCAGATCCAGATCCAGATCAGAAAAACATGGCTCGCGCTTTCACTCTCCTCGCCCTTGGGGCTGCTGTCAAGGTCGCGCTGGCCGACATCGAAACTTGCCCTGCCAGTTCCCTCTTGAGCTGCAGCAGCGACAGCAGCTCCGCCTCCTGCTGCTATGAGTCCCCCGGTGGCCTCCTGCTGCAGACTCAGTTCTGGGACTACGACCCTTCAATTGGTCCCTCTGACTCGTGGGGCATTCACGGTCTCTGGTGCGTTGTGCCTCTTGCTAACCCTAAATCTGGGTCATATTCTAACGTATGAATAGGCCCGACAACTGCGACGGCAGCTACCAAGAAAGTTGCGACAAGTCCCGAGAGTACGATGACATTACCACTCTGCTCAAAAACGCAGGCAAGACCGAGCTCCTCGAATACATGCAGACCTACTGGCAGAGCGACGACGAGTCCGACGAGGACTTCTGGGAGCACGAGTGGGCCGAGCACGGCACCTGCATCAACACCATCGACCCCTCCTGCTACACGGACTACGAAACCGGTGACGAGGCAGTGGACTTTTTCCAGAAGGTCGTTGACTTGTTCAAGACCCTGGATACCTATTCTGTACGTTGGTTGGAAGACTCGCCGTATATGTATGGCCCCCTAACTAGGCACTAACACAACTCGCCAGGCCCTCGAAGCTGCTGGCATCACTCCTGACAATGATGCTACATACAAACTCTCTGAGATCCAGAGCGCTGCTGCTGCTATCCACAGCGGCATCACTCCTTACTTTGAGTGCGAGGATGACGCGCTTTCTGCTGTCTACTACTACTTCTACATCTCAGGCAATGCCATCAACGGCAACTATACCGCCACTGAGTCGCGTATGTCTCTTACAGTCACCATGTGTGATAGATGGATTGATTGCTGATTCTAATCCCACAACAGCTGACAATTCCAACTGCCCTTCGTCTGGCGTCAAATACCCTCCTAAGTCTAGCAACAGCAAGAGTAAGCCTTATATACCCCGACATTTCCTGTAAATGCCTATTTGTATAATGAAACGCGTATACTAACGAGATTCTATCTTCGGTTAGGCCGCAAGTAGGTTATCACGCATTGTCTGATGACGAAAATAGCAAGCCCTCTCATGCTTATCAGGCGACTCATCGGGGGGGATTCAAAGTAGTTCAAGTTTTAGATATTCAGCTACGATAGTATGATCCATTGCATCAACTTTATGCTGTGAATGAGTGCATCATGTGTTAAAATCTCGCATGTTTATATGTACATATCATGTTATACAGAAGGTCACGTTATACACCTCGGGTGTATATCATGGCCCGAAAAAAAGAGTATTTCTATTATAAGCCTTTGAGTCGGATGTTCCTCCTCTCTTCTTCTCTCTTCGCGTCTACTCTGTTCAAGAAATCCATTCGGCCCATATAACCCTCCTTAGCTTTGCTGTGCACGTTAAGTTCGTCTTTGATGCCCGTCTCATCCACATATTGCGCCCAATCAAGTCGTGATTTCTCAACTGTGTTAAGTTTCGGTCCCTTGAGTTCATCTGCGTCGCCTGAAACGGCTCGTACTTGTTGTTTCTCCCAGCTTTTCTTAATGACCCCCGTAGGGTTGGGGTCGAATCGCGACACTTTTCGAAGTGGTCGACGTAGTTTAACAATGTTTGCTTCAGAGTGTAATCCTTCTGCTAGGTCCTCTGGCTTCTCGGCCGCTGTTTCAGCGAGATAAAGCTTGGCCTCGGCCGAATCCCGAGGCACCATTTTCTCTTCCGTGTGTATCTCGCCTGCGAACTTGTATGTCCGTTTGATCTTGATCATGTCTTCTGAAGGTAGTCTGCCTTGTGTCGTAGCCTCTCCCTGTATAATATTCTCTTTGTCATGCTCTACGGACTGCTGCTCATGGTCTGGCTCTTCTGTCACCGAACGCTTCTGACTTTGTAATAGACCCGAATCTGTACCTGGGGCATTCATTTTAGCCCATAATTCGTCGACATCAATCGTCGCACCGTCTGTTCTGGCAAGGGGCTTTCGCTCTTCTTCCCTGTAAAAAGATATCATCAATAAGGCTTGCTACGCAGTAATTTGTCCTCGCAAAACTCACATCTTCATTCTCATCGACCGCGTTTTGACGAATCCTCCTCCCTCCTCGGTATCAGACAGTAAGACATCGATATCTTCATCTTGATCTCCATCTCCGGCCGTCGCCTTCCTCTTCTTCTTGTTTTTAGCTTTCAGAATTGTAGCTTCATCGCCCGAATCTAATTCCATATCGCCCTCATCATGCGCTTTCCTCTTTCTAGGTCTTTGTCTGTGAGACGGATCGAGTTTCCGCTTTTTCGCCGGTCTACCACCCTCCGCTCCATCCCCCTCCTCCTCTGAAGAAAAGCTCGAGTCATCGCCTGCAATTTCGGCCTCCTCCTCGTCGAGTTGAAAGTCAGAGTCCTCCGCGGAGACGTAGTTGTCATTATCAAGGTCAAGGCCGGCGGTAGAGGGGTCGTCTTCGAGTTTATTAGCCATGGTAAATCGTTTATGGTGTATTTCTGCAGGAAAAAAGCGCGATTAAATGAGCGAAAACAAACAGTTGTAGCTGCCAGCGCTAGAGAGGCGAATGTTAAAAAGAAGCGCTTGAGCTTCACCGCGCCGCAGGCGGCGAACATATTGCCAAAGGCGGTCAGTTCCGGGGAGGGCGTTTGAGAGTCTTACATCGACCTTTTTTTTTTTTTCCATGGGAACCATGATTGTTGATCGGTCGCCGTTCTCTCGTGGATTGCTAGATTTTATTGAGTTGGGCTTGGGCTATCTTTGAAGGAGAGCCCGCAATTCAATCTATCGACATTTCAAATCCGGTAATCCATAGCATTTCAGACTTCTCAAGCAACCAGATCACCAACGCGGGGCACTGCATATTTTATCTGCTGGCTACTAAAAACATTCAACATACGTCGTTTGCTAAAATATCTACGTCTGCCTGCGAGGTTTTGGAGCTGATTATATAACAGAGGCAGACATGCCTCACTCTGTTCCCATTCCCTACTCTGGCTTCCAGGCCCTCATCCTGTGCGGCCCCGGAGTCTCGCTCAATACATTCACGTCGAATCCAGAAGAATTTCCCAAATGCCTTATACCGATCGCAAACAGGCCTATGGTCTGGTATCCGCTAGATTGGTGCTATAGAATGGGAATAACCAGTATGTTTTGTGTGGCCTGTGAACATTTGTTGATTTGTACTAATCGATCTTTCTATCAGACATCACATTAATAACCCCTCCCACAAGCAAAGCTCCTCTCGAAGCAGCTCTTTCACAGAACCCGCACCTTACATCACTTCCCGCCCCTTCGCCCTCGGTTCTAGCGCCGAGTGACTTGACTCTCACAACGGGAACTGCGGAGTTGTTGCGGTTGCCCGAGGTACAATCAGCCATTAAATCCGACTTTATTCTTCTACCGTGCGATCTTATTTGTGACATACCTGGAGAGTCACTGCTCGAGGCTTGGATGGTATCCCAGGCTGCCCTTAGTGGATCAGCCGAAGAGCAAGGAGCGAAACGCGGCAGCAGCGCCAAGCTCTCTGACCTTCGCGGTGAAAGGGCGGGCCGCAGAGGCGGTCTTGGAGTGTGGTATCAAACGCGTGATAGAGAGGAAAGCGTCAAGGGCGAAGTAGCAGACTTTGTTGCGACGGCTCCGCTCGACCAGGATGAGGCTCCCGTTGTGTATCCGCCAGTTGATGGGCATGGCTCAATACGATATAATCTGTCCAAATTGGTTTATGCCATGCCAATGGACTCACTGAAGGAGAAAATGGAGGAGGACAAGGGGTTGTTGATCCGGCATTCGCTGGTTAACAAGCATGCGCGAGTCAAACTTTTGACAACATATAGAGATGCCCACATATACATATTTGGCTACATGGTCAAGGAGTTCGCAAGGAGGAATGAGAAATTCCAGAGCATAAGCGAGGACTTGGTGGGCTGGTGGGCAAAGACCGAATGGCAGGAAGGGCTAGGCGAGAAGCTTGGGCTCAGGGAAATTCTCGAGGGCTCCTCGGATGACCTGGCTAACGATAACGCAAGTCACGATGGCGATGCGGTTGAGGACGAAGTTGACCTGCAAGCCATGAGCACGACCAAAGCTGGAGGCTGTGGAGATGGAGAAGACAAGTTCTCCAAGCAACCACAGTTCGCCTCGCGAGTCAACATGACGGCTTCTGAAGCTGACTTGGAGAGCGCGGCAGTGGCTCAGAGCAAGAAGCAGTCGAAATTAAACATCCCGCCCATGCTATCCTACATCCATTCTTCATTGCCTTCGGCACCGATGGTGCGGCGTGTGGACAGCTCGGCCCTTCTACTTTCTGTGTCGCTGAAATTGGCCAAGCTCGAATCAATCGAGGAAGTCGGTCGCCCGAGCTCGTCTCCCTTTGCCCATGCTGCCAAAATCGCATACCCAGCTGGCATTGCGCAACGCTGCACGGTGACCAAACACGACTGCTTGATCGCGGAAAACGTGACTGTAGAAGAGAAATGCGTGATCAAGGAAACGGTCATTGGCGCAAACTGCCACATTGAATCGGGAGCACGGCTCACGCGCTGTCTTATCATGGATGGCGCGGTGGTGGGCGCTCGTTGTCAACTCACCGGGTGCATTGTGGGGAGACGAAGTAAGATTGGTCGCGAATGTGTTCTCAAGGACTGCGAAGTGCAAGATGGGAATGCGGTGCCGGACGAGACTGATGCGAAGAACGAGAAGTTCATGGTTTTCGAAGGTCTCGACACTGAGGATGGCGACGAAGACGGCATGAGCCTGGACGGTGATAATGCGAACAAGTTTGACGAAGGGGGTGTAGATCTAGGCTTTTGAAGCAGATACTATACTGTCATAGCAATGACGACGTACGATTACTACAGTACCTACTAGTTGTATGGAGTATGCTCCATTTGAAGACGAAACATCGGGCACATCCAATACCGGATGGCAATGGGGATAGCTTCTGATACCAGAAACAGGCAATCACACGGCAGGCAGTCAACCAACTAACTTATAACATTAGTTAGTTACATATACATATTTGTAAGCCCGTGGTCACCATGAGTGCTTGAATAAAGAATTTTGCGTCACCGAGATCTTCCAGCCGAGACAGGCAGATCTAACCCCTATTCTGGTAGCATCTTTGCTAGCGCCAGTGCGGGGTGCGAGGTTACCAAGAGTCTACACAGAATACAACCGTCATTGCTTTTTGCATGTTCTATTGTATTCTTCCCCCTTCTCCGTGCGCCGTCGAGACATGCCTACGGAACATGTATGTTTCGCTTTGGAATGCCGGCCACGTGTGCTCGATTCGGCCCTGAGGCGCGCGATCTTCTGGCTCCAGCCCCCCGACTACCTAGGTACTCCGTAGCACGTAGGAATACGAATGCGAGAAACAAAATATAGAGGCTTTTTTTGATTTGGCGTATGAAACGAATGTCGTGCAGGGCCGGAGAGTCGCAAAGGGTTCTGTTAATCTATTAGCCCTCGACTAAGTCTTTGGCGTGTGCACTGTGCAGCGTCTGTTTCGATGCCTCTGATTGGCGCTGGGCGGCTTTTCCGCCCAGCAGCACCAATCACGCCGATCACGTTTCTCCGGGGACTCCGTCGCACTCACTCCTCCAGTCTCTAGGCCACCCACCTGGAGCGAGTCTCGCAATGCACAGAAGACGAGAGGTGTAGCCTACCGAGTATCTCTGGCGACAATCACGGGATTCGGGGCAGACAATAAATAATAGGACTAAGAGCTGTTGTTTGGCACTAACCCCATTGGAAAGCCCGCACGTCCCGCTAGCACTAGGGACGCTCGCGCTAGGCTGCATCGGGCATCGCGCGTGTCTTTCACGGTGCTGTGGTCGACTGGCCGGATGGAATCACGCTCGTTGAAGCGCAGCGGTTCTTGCGAGTCTACGCAGTGAAAGACATGTGCGGAGTATGTTTATGTAGTAGTTACGGCGTGTATCTTCTCGCCGGCCGTGCCAGCACCTTACGACGTCGTATACGCGAGGCAAGCAAGCGTCAGTCAGTCTAACCAACCACGGGCTACCCCACTCCCGCGCCGGCCCTGGCCACTCCTGGCGCTCCCCTGGCTCTTTCCTTCGCTCGCTGTCTCTCCTCCCTCTCCTCCTCTGTCTATCTCTCGCTGTGTCCTCGCTCTTTTGTTTAACCTCACCTCGCTGTTTTTCTTTTTTTTTTTTTTCCCTCTTCTATTTTTTTGCCCTCTCTTCCCTTCTAATCCCTCCCCCCTCCCTCCCTCCTTCCTCCTCCCCATTCCCCTTCTTCTCGTTCTCGTTTCTCTCCTCTGCTGTTGACATTTTCCACGGAGAGAGAGACACAGAGACAGAGAGGAAACGGCCCACTTCGTCTGTGCATGCCATCATCATCACCATCACCATCACCATCACCATCAGAAGCAGCAGACATTGCCTCAATACTTCACTCGGATCTGGTTATCTTATATTCTCCTTCTTCTTTCGGTTCTTTTCTTTTCTTTTCTTTTACTTCGCTTCGTTGTCCGTTTTGTCTCGCCTTGGTGGACTCCTTGTTTCGCGTACATGGCTTGAATCTCCTTTGGACGCTTGCCTCCGGAAACCTTACGTGTTTCCATGGCCCTTGTCGACAACAAACTTCTTTCTTCCAACTTCCACCCCGAATACCTTACCAGTGAGTCAGCCAGTCGGTCCTCAACTGCTGTGATTTCCATTTCGTGCATTCCATCAAATACCGATTGCTTCGTCGATATTGGCTTTGTTGCAAAACTACGGACGTTTGTCTTTTTGCATTTCCTGTTCTTGCCGACCGTGCACCTTGTTCCTAGCAAGTTGGGTAGGTAGCCTACCTACCACCTGTCCTGTTCTGTCCTTCTTTTCTTCTTAAAACAGAAAACAAATTGCATACCATTCTATCCTTCTGTGTCCTCCTGGCATCGATTCCATCTTCGCAGATTCCCTTTCCTTCTGGTTTTGTCTTCAACTCGTCGTCATTGGCTGCTGACTTACTCCGACTGATCAGGCATCGTCTATAATTCCTTCTTTCTGCTGCCTCCCGTCAATTCATTCGTTTGATCACTCGCCTGGAAAACAATCACAATCAATTAGGGAGCGAGACGGGAAAAAGTTTGAGAACTAAGAGAGGGAAGATTTGTTATAAGCCTTATCCCCCTGAAGTATTGGCGACAACACTCTCACATTCGATTGTCGATAACCAAAAGAGTGGGAGCGACGTGCAAAGATCGTGTTTAGTTTGTGTGAGAAGAGCCACCATGGCAGCATTGGTTCAGACAATTCCTCAACAGAACGGTACTGTAACGCTACTTCAAAGTCGTCCAGCATCATCAACATCCGGTCAGAATTCTTTTGTTTCGGCGTCCCAGGTTTCCCAGACTCACGTGGGCCGTAGACACGCCATGTCGTTCAATTCCTACAATGGCGTGAACACTTCCGCCGCCGCCAGCAGGAACTCGGTTGCTCCTTACGCTTTTACTAGCACCCCAGGTCTGCTGGCTGGGACCGCGAATTCTCAACAGCAACGCCAGATGTCCTGGTCCCAGGGTCGACGAGACAGCCTCCCTTCATCCACATCTACCACGCAGAATAGTGTTCCCCAACACTCCCATCACTTTGCAGCTGGCTCTGTATCGTCTTCTGCGTCTTCTAATTCTTCTTCTCGACCTTCCTACATATCACAAGATGATAGCATTCTTTCCTCTCGACGGCGAACAACAGACATGACCCCTCGACCTTTGTCAACCACCTCTCCTCATCTCAACTTATCTACTTCCATCCCATCGTCTATTTCCTCACACTCTCCCTCAACTTCACCCTCGTCCTCGACGACAACAAAGCCATTGCCTGACCGCTATCGACGAGGAAAGCGCACCACCGAAGATAATACTCCATCCACTGCTCAACCCGCTGCGCCGATACCGGCTCGCTCTTCCTCTTACGACCTATCTGCGACGACAGTAACTCTTCCCCAACCCTCACGGCCTTCAGTGGTTGTACATGGCAGAACACCCAGTGCAGATGACAGCCGACTTGCGAAACAGCCGAGCCCCGAGATTGCCAAGCGATATAGACGTCGTAGCTGGGCAAATATGGATGCCTTCTCACAGGAATCACCGTTGGATACTTCTCCCCTATTCGCGCCGCTGCCAGATCTGAAATTTACAACCCCAGAGCTGTCTCGACCTGCATCTTCACAATCGGAGAGAAACATCCCGGTAGAAACTCGTCACGCCGAGCCTAAAAGTCTGGCTCCTACAAGCATTGACTCGAAATTCTCAACAAATCCGTCTCACCAGTCTTCTCCGCTATCTAACCAAGTGACAAGCAGTCCCTCACCATCGCCCCCATCTCCTGCTTCTCAAGCTACGACCCAGCCACCAAATAGTCCCGCCGCACAGCGTTTAGCCGAAATCAGCAAGGCGAGTGGTCGAAAGCCGGGCAAGTCACGTCTGCGGAGGGCTTTCTCGTTTGGGAGTGCCGCCGAGCTTCGCAAGGTTTCAGCCCAGAACGCCCTGGGTAGACTAGATGGAGATCAACCGGAAATTTCCAGCGAAGAACTGGATCCGGAGCAAGCTGCTATTGCTGCACAGCAAGAAGCCAATGGACTGGGTAATAGTATCTATTCCCATCAATTAGGCTCCACAGACAATCTTTCTATATCCTCGACAGCATCCTCTGCGTCTATTATGCTACGGAAGATGGGCAGGGGTATGAAGAAGTCCACACGGTCTCTTGTTGGTCTTTTCCGCCCAAAGTCGATCCATAGCATGAATTCCGAACCAATAGTTGTTGAACCCTCTGCTCCTCAGGTGTCGGTAGTTAATATCGAAGCTGAACGCAAGATAGTTACCGCAAATCCTGACCCTCGCGAACAAAGCGGAGGTGGCACTGTTTTCCCGAAGATCCAGACGACAAAAGACAAGTCCAAAGCTTCTGCAGTAGTAGTGGAGCACAATTTGCACGACACTAGCAGCTCACGCAAAAGCATTGTTGGCGGAGAGCGAGAGCGTGCTGAAGTGTTAGCCGCTGTGAAAAAGGGGATCTTAAAACGTGAGTGCAATGCTCTTTTTCATCTGTGACGAATATAATTTTTTTTTTATTTCTTTTATTTCCCCCCTATCAACGCTCTAACAATCAATTGTCTTGCAGACTCAGGAAGCGCCTCTCCTGTCGGAAAGCCGAACGATTTGGCCCCTCCAACTCTGCCCGAATCCCCCAACTCCAGCGCCCCTAGCACACCTGAAGAACAATCGCACCGTGGTGGTCACCGACGAACGGATACAGTAAAGATAGAAGGCGAGGACTATTTCTTAACGCAGGGAAAATACGCATCCGAATCAAAAAGCGTTCCAATTACGCCGCAACCAGTGGTTGCTAAGAGCATTGTCTTTAGCCCACGCATCCAATTCCATGAGACGTGGCCTAGTGGTGAGTACGACCGACGTGGAGATACCGCGACTTGCAACAAATTGACTCCATTGCTGGCGCAACAAATCAAGGAGGAACTGAACACATTGAAAATGGTAAGCAAATCGGTTGGTCTGATTGTGTGCGAAGATACTAACAAACTTATTTAGGAAATGGAAGTTCACGAGACATCGAAGATCTACACGCATTTTCTCTAGTGGCATTTCGATTCGCGTTTAGCATAACAGCGTCGCTTTCGGAACATTATCTTTTTATCGTCCCTTACATTTAACAGATGGGAAGGCTTGTTGAGAAGAACCCCGACTGATATATTGTTCGGATCCTTAGACCGATTTGTAAATTTCAATTCTTTACTCCATAAATTGCGATCGATTACTTGGACATGAGCGAATCGAATTGTTTCTCTACGCCAGCGACTTCCAGTTATAAATCATTACGTTCTTTCAGCACTTTCGCCGATCTGTTTTCTACTCGGCGATTCTCCTTGAGCTGTCCGTGGTGATTCTATGATCATCGGTGTTTTGGGCGGCCGCGGCATTAATGATTTTTTTTTTTTCCTTTTCCTCCCTTTGCTATTCAATCCGAATACAGTCACTTCTCAAATCGCAACATGAATTGTTTTGTCCCTGCAAGCCACTGAACTCTTCCGCACTCTTGTGGTCATATCTATGTAACTAGTTTCCTTACATTTTGGAGCGTTGTCATTTGTCATTGGTTCTTCGTCCGCTTTCGGAGAGACTCTACTGTTCATTTTCTTCCTTTCCCATGTATCATTTTCTCTGTGTCTCTCCTTTTATAATTATCGTCTCCGCGGCTTGGATCTTGTAAAGTCAGATAGCCGTTCCTCTCTAACCTCTTTTCTTTCAATATTTTGTGGTTGTTGATGAGTTTATTTTTTCTTGCAACAGAGCGTTAGGCATTGAATTTTGAATTTGACTGCTGAGTTCCCATAACACAGAAACATTCAATAGCTCGTAGTTATCTGCCCTACATTTGCATAAGCATGTCAAATTCAAATAGTTAGATGCGCCACTGATGTCAAATTAGACTAGAGTAAATTAGGTTAGGGTTGCTGGGATGGGCCGCGGGCCGCGGCGAGTCGAGGCCCTTGAGACAAAAGTGGAGATAAGGGTTGAGTTAAGCTGATTGGATAATGGATCGATATTATCTCGAGTATAAACTAGTCGATATGTGGTTAGTTGCTCGGCTTTCTTCGGCTATTTGTGGGCTATAAAGTTAACCGCGACCTACTTCATATACATTGGTAGCTATTCATGTTATGATAATTGTGTTCTATCAATCAATTGGTGCCTGTAAGAGTTCTTGTCCATGGCTAGACGCAGGAGACGCTTTATACTCTTCTTCTTTTTCTTTTTTTTGGGGCAAAGTCAATCAACGGTTATAACCTAAATCCACAGGCAAGGGGCTTAGAGATGTCTTACCTTTTCCTTGTTCATGTGGGGTAGGCATTTCAATGGGCAAAGGAAGAAAATAATTTTACTTCTTGCATACCAAGCTCTTGTATAAAGAGATCAGCCGTCCTTTCGCCTACAGCCAGAACGGTATTATTAGTATTTGCAGCAACATTTAGGAGCAGAATCTCAGGTCTGCGATTCCGAGTGCCTCTACGCTGTGCACTCTGTGATTGATGTCACGCATTGCCTAGATATCGGCCATCCAACCATCTCCACTGCTGCAACGAAATTGCTTTTTGATGTAGTACCACGATAAGTTCCACTCGGGTACGTGAGTTGGACCATCATGACCATGTGTATCTTTGGCTCCGAGCCCATGGTATGTCTCCATCTAGATGCTTAGTTAGCAGATTATTCTGCAACATATCGTCAGGCGACCAGCCAGGTGTGTTCCAGGAGTCAATATCAGATTGTTGTGCTCGGCTATACATCATAAAATTCGTGGATGAGCCGCCTCCAGATGGAACGACAAAGTTCTCTATCTCCGAGCTGCTCCTCCTTGTTCGTCTTGTAAAGCATGTTGTCTATGTTACTTGGCATCAGACTTGCGAAGAAGAGAACAAGCACAGCGATGGCAGGTATGCCAATGTTGCTTTTGCCCTCGACAACCAAAATTCTCAGCTCAGGATCAGCACCGGATCAGCTTCAGCGGGTCTTGCTGCTACGGTGCAGCCTGTAGTTCCTCCCGCTGTAGTACAAGTATTGTATTGCTCCCATACTCAGACCTCTCGCAATAATCACATCCACCTCACTGAGCCCAGCAGGCAATACGATGTATATTTCTTGATCAATGCCGGAATGAAATGGAGGGTAAAAATGTCTGCCGCGTGCACATGACCCCACCCAGCGAACGAGCTAGGGAGCGCTGCGGTGCCTGGACGTCGAGGTAGAAAATGGCCTAATCGGGACATCACGTGATGACAGTCCCGTGATTGCCTCGGATTTACTTTCGTTCCGGCAGTGCGTCCCCGGAGAGGGCGCCTCCAGTGATTCTGATCCAGATCAACGTCACGGCCCCGCTGCCAGTATAGATAGGGCAAGCCTACCCGCAGGAAATGCACCAATCAAAGTATCCATGGAGACCCACAACTTCACCACACATAATACAATACGAAGCACGAATTTAATGGATGGAGTTGCTATTATGATAAGAAAGTCCCATATATGTACAAGTTAGTAACAGAATTGACAGAACGCTGTCGAAATCGACCGGTCCATAACCCACCCCCCAACAAGCGCCAGTAACGTGAAAAGCAAACATGTGTCAACAAGTCTGCGTTCGGAAGTAGATTAAATGAACATAACACCGTTTTTTTTGAGAAGGAAAATAGAAAAGGCACATCGAGTATATGTGAGCGCATGGTAACACGTCAAATTTATTGAACTTGGCAAGGTGCAATAGCCTCGAAGTCGTTGGCTCAGTGTTTAGCTGCAGCCTTCTTTGTGATTGAGCTAAGCGGCTTCAATCTATCATTCGAAAATTCCTCGTCTGTTGCCGAAGTGTCACCACCATCACCATTTTGCTCTAGAGCAGCCTTACGAATCTCCCTACGGACTCCCTTTAGCGCATCGAGACCGGCTTGCTCCACTTGTTGGATTTGGGTCGAAGGCTTTTGTCTCTCAACAGGCTCCATGCGGCGAAGGTAGGACTTGACAAAGAAGCGGGCGAAAAGATAGGTTAGCGGGAGGAGATACAAGACGTTCAACCAGATGGCAAACGCTTGACCACTGTTGTCCACACAGTCAATGGATTTGTAGAAAACGGCATTTTCAGACAGTCGTTCTTGCTGTGTCTGGGAGAACCGTGCAGCATTCAGAGCATCTGCACCAAAATGCTGTCCCTGGGCATTGAGCACGTTCTCGGCAATGCCTTCAGCACCGGCAGCACGGAATGCGATTTTCTTTAACCATGGAACCAGACCTGCGGAAGCAGTAGCAGCGGCAATTCCAGATTCGGCAGCCGATGCAGCAGCCGGGATCGACTTGGTGACATGGTCCCAGAACACAGACTGAGAGGCGGTAACAGGGATCGTGTATCGCACAAACATGTATGAGCTGGCGGAGAATGTGCCAAAGACAAACTGCGTGATCTGCATTGTCGTGAGTGAACGCTTGATTGCGTTGGGGACACGGATGTGCAGCGCGGTGAGTGTGTAATAACTGTACATCATCGCATGGATAAACGAATTGACCAAAACGAAGATCCAGATCGGTTGTCCCATGTAGCGAATACCCGCCCACATGCACAGCATGGCACCGGTGTGGTGGTAGGTTTGCAGTGTGGAGCTCCTCTTGCCCTTGGCTAAGATGATTGCGGTGTCGATAACTTCGTAGAACTTGGACAAATAGAAGATCCACCCGTAATAGGCAAGACCTTGATTCCACAAACGTCCCACATCAGTGGGATCTGGGAGACCATTGTCGGCTAATTTATATTCAGGATTAGGCATGAACCACTGGTCACTTGTTGAATTGTACGAGGCACCATTTCCCAGACCACGAGGACCGGCAACCCTGCAGAAACCATCGATGACACCAGCGGCACCAAATTCGTTGTTAAAGCGAGGGATTGTGCTGCGCATTGTCCGCCACGTACCCACGCATGTCCATGCGGAGTAGACTGCGAGAAAGACATTGTGCAAGATAACCAGGAGTTTGAACCAACTGGTCTTGCTAATGGCCCAGGGCTTGTATCCGCGAGACTTGTTGACTCGGTTGAGGAGAATAACGGTGGTCGCGTAGACGCTTCCAATTGTGAGTGGTACTCGGTAATCGAGGAGTTTCGCGTAGAGGTCTGGTGAAATCTGGAATGGCTGCGAGAGGGAGCGCTCATTCACTGGAGGCGCAAGGCTCATTGGCAGCGAGCCGGGCAATTGGAAGAAAGAAGACGGCGGGAGTCTGAAGCCCACCGACGGGCCTGACTGGCCGTAGTACGATGAATCGATCATTTTTGCAGAGACTTAGAGCTGCTGTCAGCGGCGAAAAATGATTTCTGGAGAAGACGAAAGTGTGAGGAAGGGAGAATGAGAGACTCAACATTATATTTTTTTTGGCATGCGCGGTCACTCGTGTAATTATGGGCCGTATTGCAAATACACACTGTCGTCAGAGTGGATCCGCCGAGGGCATTTGTTGGGAAAAGGGAGGAACCTCGGCTTGTTCTGTGCACTGCGCACTGTGCAAGATTATCCATGTTTGCATGCATAATTCAGAGTCAAGTAGTTGTGCTTATCGTCGGCCCAGGGAAAGAAACGTCGCAAGCAGGATCGAGTCAGAGTCGAGACGTCATCCTCACGCGATCCAGCGCCCGCAACTGGCAGGTCACGTGAGCGCCCGCGTATTTTATTCCGGGGCGCGTAACGGCGTAACGGCGTAACGGCGGAAACGGGCGCCCCCCAACAAAACAGAAACGCTCTCGGACGTTATCGATAATCATCGATTCGACAAACGGCGGCAATATGAACAATTACATATGGCCTCAGCCCAACAGAATGTAGAACAAGATTTATGATATCCATCCAGTGTTCATATGAGATTGGTCTACTAGTCACAGCTCATCGGGGCTTGGTTCCCAGAGGCAGAGGAGGGGGCGTGCGGCCGTCGTTAATACTGCTCCTACTAGAACTATTGTTGCTCACTGGATTCGACTTCAAGGAGCTCTTCTTGGCAGGAGGCGGGGGAGGCGGCGCTTTTCGTCTACTCAGAACCTCCACATCGATGTTGGAATTTTGCCTGCTCAGGTTGGGATGCGGGGGCGGAGGCGGTGCCACGCTCTGCGCTTGTTGACTAGATGCTTCTGCCGGTTGTTCTTCAAAGTATGCATGGATGCGCTCCGTGATGCGGTGTTTCTGATTGAAGGCTGCAAGCTTCTGTTTCCCGGTTTCAATATGCTCATTGCTGCGCTGTCGTAGGTTGTTCGGAGGTTGTGGTGCCGTCCTCGATGCTGTTGTATTATGTGCATCGTATCCTGTCCGTGGAGCAGATGGTGCCGTGGTCGAAGGACGTTCATCGGGACTTGGAGCACTCTGGAGACTTTGAGATCCCGGCGTCGACATTTTTGCGAAGCGGGATTGAAGCTCATTCACTTGATTGCTCATTCCCCTTTGAGCTGTGGTGGACTGTTCGCTGTCTCCTCGGCCAATTCCGAGCTCAGGAACAGACACACCAGCATTTTGCAGGCGCGACACCGAGTCCTGGTTCATCTGGATTGAACTATCTGTTTCTGAGTATGGCGGTGGGGGCGGCGAAGGTGAATTTGAGGTCATATTTCGAGCAGGTAAGCGAGGAGGAAGATTAGGTCTAGATTGTGAAGACGCCGTAGAATCTATAGGAGAATCTGTACGCCGGACGGGAGGCGGAGGAAGACCTTCTGTGCTGATCCCAGTTCGATTTACACGGTATGGTAAAGGCGGGGGCGCAGGCGCTGCCGCAGCCTCGTCTTCCTGTTCCTCGGGTTCATCGGGTCGTTGGGGCATCTCTTCCGGTGCTAAAGGAGCTCCGAGACCACGTCGGGGAGGTCCAGGTGTTGCTCTAGGGGATACGCCTGCCGGTGCGCCGGCACCTACGCGCTTTGGTGGTGGTCCAAAAGACGATGGATCCTTCAGCGACGACAAGGGTCGTGAGACGTGTTCCGATCGTTCTTCTGCATTGGGATCTCTGCCCTTTCCTACCCAGCCGGCCTGATAGTAAATTGTCAGTATAGAAACATAGCTGTTTAGGGGACACAACTCACCACTTGATTGATGCCTTTGAAGTCACCTCGCCAGCTTTCTTTGCCGCCCTGTTTGCCTTTGGGATGCCATCCCTCCTTCATCACCCCGCGGAAGCCGCTCATGGTGTCTGATTAAACAGTGTTCTCTGGACTTTCGATACACCCGCAGTTGTGAGATGTCCAGACCCGACCGAGATGATCGTGAGGATAAGACGAGGTGTGTTTTGTTGCCATTGAGTGCGGGGGTACGATGAGTGTAGCAAGTGCCCAAGAGTAAGCACTAGCCAGATATGGTTAGTAGAATACATAATCCTAGTATACACCCGCAGCCAATAATAATTGAGTTTTGCATTCGATGTTTATTCCATATGTCTGTCTATTTGATATTTATCGACAACACACATAGATTATATCTCAGACTGATATCTTGATCAGAGCCTTACGCCGCAGGCTCAAGCACTCCAACGTGATACACTTTCTCCTTGCTGTTATCTATCTTATAAGTGACCATTTGCCTCGTCTGATCCAGATGGACGCTTCCCCATCTCAGATACTCTGCAAACGTCCTCGGCCATTTCGCCTCGTCGGAAGGTTCTCCAGTTCTACACGTTGCCAGGTAGGCAAACTGTAGTGGGCCAGACCATTTTGTCTTTGGCTATACACTAAATGATTCCTCCATGGCCTTCGCGAAGAGTATATGCTTACGATAATACTCGAGCCCGTCAAAGCCGTCACTCGGGTCAATGAGTTTTCGCAGCCGTTCAAAAGCTACAAAGTGGGCGAGGTAGTCAGTGAAGGGCTCCATAGTCACGTCAAGCTTCAGATTACTCTTGCTCAACGGGGGGTTTAGAAGCGGCAGATGTCGCAGAAGAGGGTGCTTGTGGAATCCGTTTGCGTTGGTGACGCCCCCTATCCACATGGCGGTGTAGATGTCGTGCCAGCGCTTGATGAAAGGATTATTCCTCTTGGCGGCAATGAAGCCGTTAATCATGGCATCCTCGTCCGGACGCAGGCTTAGCACGAACCCAGCCATTTCGTAGGGGGTGCTTGGGTCCTCTATTTGCCGCCAGCAAACGTCCTCGACATGGCGGAACAGGAGCGTTCCAGCATCGAGCCAGATACCTCCGTGAAGCCATAAAGTGGGAGACTTACTATGTCGCCTGAGTGCGGCCTACGCTTGGCCCGTCCATGGTGCCATGCAGGAACGCCCCCGGGAGATACTTGTCAGGAATAAAGTGACGGACGTTGGTTTCCGAGCCGGGCACACAGTCAACCACGTGCACTGTCCAATCTGGGCCGAGACGACGGACCCAATTGATAATGTTACGACGACACCAAGGTAGCATTGAGAGAAACCCGGAGTGCCAAAAGGCCCAAATGTTCTTGTCGGAGGTTACGGTGTGGCGATTGGTAAGCCATGTTGATATCTCAGCATCGGTGCGATAGTCGGATCGGATGGGAGAAATGGGGACCAGACTGACGGGGAGAGTGGATGAATCTGGCGGATCTATAATTGACGGGGGTGCAGCTGAGAAGAAAGATATGATGAGATGTACGCAGCTTATGGGATGGAGCTGCAGAAGGGAGCTGAGTTAGGTATATTCATTTATCAAGTGTTGTTGTCAAGGGTTTCGCCTTGCGTTCGATGACATGAGGATTGACTCCACTGTCAGCCCTTAAAAAGTTTCAATATATTCATCATATCTCTGATAAAGTCCATGTGAATCATTGAATAACCAACATGTCTTATCGCCGGGTAACAATACTACGTTACCTCCAACATCCAACAAGAAGATCCACCATAATCCTTCTGCACGCCTGGGGTATAGAGGTCTCACGTCAGCACCTGTATACTGAACTAACTTAGGATTTGTCTTCATCTATTATCTATCGAGATCCATAGGAGCTTCTCACTACAGGCTGATGCTTTAATAAGAACCTTAAAAATTCATAAAGAATTGGACTATTTTTTCTACAGGGACAACCACGACGCCGATATAGTGGGGGCTAGAAACTACGAGTACGCAAATACGGAGTGGCGTAACCATTAATTACAGAGTGGTTTTGCTGAACGGTCATAAGCTCCATCCTACTCCCAGGCACAATGTCAGTGTGCTATTCGTACTGAGCGGGAATGGAACATCAATTACCATTTTAGGACATTTAGGGCTTTTTGGTTCCACCACCTCGGGCGAACTGTGAGCATTCAGCAAACTTGGCAACATTACTCCGTACACCATGTTTAGTAGTTCTCTAAGTCAAAACATATTCAGATAATATATATAGCTACTTCTCTGACTCTCTTTAGGGTGTCACTGAATCAGATGACGGAATGCGATATTTTACCTACCTAGGTATGGAGATGTTGGATCAAATGCTTGCTATCCCCAATTTGACAATAGAGACCTCTCGTCACTAGAAGAGATGCAACAGTGAAGGATCGGTATAATCCTTATATTAAGGAAGTGGAACTGATACGAGAGGGGGCGCTTGAAGCTACCTTTCGTATACTTAACCCTTAATAGAAAATAGGAACTCTATTTCGGCATGTAGTACGTAGAACATCTTACTCATCTTCTAGCTAGCAAATGTTGCTACTCTTCCAATTCCATGAACCCCTAAAGATATGTAGCAATTTGTTCTTTGCTAGTCGGTGGCTCTGGTCTAGTATGATAAGCGCGATTGGTGAGACTTGTCAAATGTCCGATGAAGTGTGATCGCAACGTATCAGTTGTTTGACAAGCCAAATCCCTATAACCGATAAATCCTCTGGTGTATATACTGTTATTCATTCTAGCAAAAGCCCTTATTATCTAGCATTCAGACCCTATACTTTTGTTATACAGACCACTTTTGCAAGTTGATCCAAACTTAACTTACGTTACCAGGTCTCCCTACAAAGCAATTGTTCTCGACCTGAACGGGGTCCTCCTCTCGTATGGTAATGCAGCCTTTGTGAGCCCTCTCAAGCTCAGACATATTAAGAACATCTTTGACTCGCCAACATGGTATGAATACGAGTGCGGTCGGTCGTCCCGCAAAGAATGCTACAGCACTGTCGCCTCCGAGTTTGGCCTAGATGTCGACACGTGGACCCAGACGCTGGACCAACTTACAGAGGACGGTCAGGCCTCACTCTGATGTTATCAAGGAACTTAAGTCAACCTTCCCAGACGTTAAGATCTATGGCATGAGTAATATTTCTAAACCGGATTATGCTTGCGCAATTTTCCCGGTCCTCTGCTCAATAGAGCCACCGTCCTCCCCAAGCTATACCACCTATCCCATGGCCGCCTTGTCTACCACATCAAGGAAATCCACACGCATCATGGCCCGGTAGTTCGCATCGCGCCCAATGAGCTCCCATCCACCGATCCTCAAGCATGGCGTGATATCTTCTCTCACGGTAAGCATAAAGGCCTATCGCCCGACATAGCATTTTACAACCCTTACAACGATCAACCACCATCCATTATTAGCTCTTCAGACGACGCCCACCATGAGCTCAGGAAGCGACTCAGCGGGGGGTTCAGCGAAATGGCAATGAGAGCCCAGGAGGGACTCATCGGAGGCTACGTTGATCTCCTTATGCGGAGACTTCGAGAGAATAGCGTCGATTCCTCAGGGAGGCCTCAGAGTGTCAATATGCGTGACTGATTAGAGCGAGACTACGGCGACATTACTCACGGGAACGGTGTACCTGCTTGCAATGCACGAGGATATGCTACGAAAATTGGTGAATGAGGTGCGAAGGCCGATTCCAAAGTAGGGAGGAGATTACTCTCACCATCGTGAATGGCCTTTCCTACATGCTCGCTATTTTGGATGAGGCTCTTGGCTGCTATCCACCCGACGCCGTCTCTTCACCGCGTCTCGTGCCTCCAGGTGACCATGAGATTGCTGGATGGTTGGTTTCAGGAGGCACACGCGTGGGGATATGGCAGTGGCCCATGTATCATGACGAACGACTCTTTACTGATCCTTTCTACTTCGACCCCGACCGCTTCTACAATAAAGGAGACGAGAAATCAAGGTATGCAGGTGATCATGTCGATGCTGTAAATGCGTTCCTCATAGGACAGAGGAACTGCATTGGCAGGAGCCTGGCCTATGCAGAGATGAGGTTGATACTCACGAGGTTGGTATGGGAGTTCGATATGCGAATTGATGAACGCAGTAAGAACTGGATGGAGGGACAGGAGAACTTTGAGTTGTGGGTAAAACCGGACTTAAATATTCACTTGCAGCCTGTGAATTGAGTAGAATTTTACTTCTGAAGGGCTTAAATGAAAGCTAAATCAAATGAAACGTCTTTTTGGAAACTGATAACATCATTTACAATGCACTTATCCGTCAATGGAAATATCAAATAACGTCAACGACCGGATTCCTTCACATGCAAACTCCAGCATCAGAAAAACGACTTGTCCTTGCCACAAAACTTAAAGAGAGAGCAATAACCAAACGATTTTGCCTCAAAAGGCAAACGCAAAAGTGAGCTGATATATAGACACTAGCATATGACATGCAAAATCTATAGCCCACAACTTCAGTGCTTTGTCTCCATAACAAATTCTCCCGCCTCGGCATTGGACAGCTTGCGCTGCCTGCTTACAGTCAGGTCGAGCAAAAAACCAGCGGCACCAGCAGCGCCCATGAGGACCTCCAATCCAACAAGCAGTCCCATCAAGACGAAGCCGGCCTCAGAATCGGTGCAGATACGCGAGAAGTGACTCGGCGCAGTCAGCGGTTTGCCATTTGCGTTGGTGCCATTTACACCGTTCAAGGAGTCCCATTTGCAGGTCCAGCTGTGGATTGTCTCTCCGACTGTGTACCCGTCGGGATACTTGGCTGAAGGCAAGTAGATGGAGAAGGCTACGCCAACAATGGCGATAATCAGACTGCATAGGCCAACGGCGGAGGAAAGTAAGTTGAGAAGTCGGGTGCGAGGATACGGCTATTTTGATGATAGTAACGAAGTAAGCATCCAAACAATTTTGATACGAGGACCAATGGATGCACAAACAGAAGGGAAAAATGCCATAGTAATGTAGATAATGGCCTGAAAAAGAATGACAGCGCCGCAAGCTAGCAGAGCATATGTGCCACGAATGTCTAGATTCAGAGGCCACAGCGACAAACCAACGCGCGAATAAGACTTGGTCACGTTGTAGTAACTAAGAGACTCGCCCTCGGAACCCACAACTCCGGTTGCAGCACCAAGGATTGTTATGGCAAGACCCATGCGTATCCAGTGCAGGGTGCGAGCTCGAGAAAGATATGCCGCCTCTTGTACGTCGGAGGCGCTGGACGGGTGAGAGATAGTCACGGAGACAGAGGATACAGAAGCCATATTTCGCAAAAGGGATTATAGTGAAGAGAAAGACTGATAGAAAATAATGAATGTAATTAAAATCTTCTCAGAAGGTAAAAAAGAAGGAAAGTATCAATTAAAATAAAAAGAGAACTGAAGTTTGCTTCCCAGAGCAAAACTCGAGTAAAACAAACGAAATGGAGAATATGAAAACAAAATAAAATCAAGACAAAGAGAGCAAGAGAAAATAACAAATGCAATCAAAGAGGAAATGTCATCTAATTATAAGAACGCAGACTCAGTACATGGTTGTATCATACGCATCTAAGCAGTGTGACTCAAACTCACCTAGGTAGGCATTAGCATCTTCCAATAGCGTCACTACCGTAGACTCATCCATACTATTGTCAGCCTCCAAGCGAAGAACTGCAAAATGGTGGCATCGAATTAGATCGAAGTAGGGCTAAATTTGGCATCAAGATCGAGATACTCCGCACTTAGTACCTGCGTACAACGACCAAAAAAAGTAGACAATGGCCCGGGGGCTTGTAGAGAGACTGGCCCTGGAATAAGCAGCTGGCCTGTTTATTGGATGAGCTTTTTAAGCCTCAGATGCATGTAAGCGCCGGGGCTTCTCGTGAAGAAGTTCGAAGAGCGAGACACAATCGCCATTGGCTGGTTATTTATAGTTGGAGCTTTGAGCCTTATTCTTACTTTAGCTCACACTAGCCTAATACGACAAGGTCGGCGCGGTATTGATCCATGCATTTATGCAGGTCTGGACCAATCATCGTGCGCGATACACGATGGGTCTATCACACTCTTCATTCGTATACTCTGTCAGTATCACATTATTTGGATAGATATACTGGCTGACTTGGGCTTCGTGGTGTCACTGTAATCACTACACTCTAAATGTTACTAGGCAATTGACGTGCAGCAACATGAAACTCGTATGTCTTCCATCTGCGTTGCTCAAGGATTGACATATAAGTCAGACGGAAATACTTCCACAAATAATAGACAAACTCGACACCGCCGGACTTATTTCAAGTCAATTCATTCGATCATTCAATTTAAGATACTCCCCCTCCCAAAACGCCATCGCTTGATCCTCCGTACCGTACTCCTGACTAATGAAAATGGGAGGTATAACAATCTGTTCCAACCCCTTGTGCGAACATTCATAATTTCTCATCATTAAGAATACCCCCCACCGCTTCAAGCGCCTGGGCTTCGGCGCTGGAGATTTTCCTCCCAGCAATCACAGTGTTGCCATCACCCAGAACTGGTTCACCGGCGCGCTCAAGATGTATTTTGATTCTACTATCAATATATTCCTGTCTTTCGTTGCGCTTCTTGGTACCTGCGGGGATTGTGTTTGGTAGTGTCGATAACTTCGCTCGTAATTTCTCCGTCACAGCATGCAGGGCAGGGAGTTGCGATAAGACAAAGTCCGTGTTGGTTGTCAGCGAATTATTCTGGCCGACGCGGAGCATACTTGCAGTGGGGTGGGATGTTAAGAAGGATAGATTTGGAAGTCCCCCCGAGGTTGCTGGTGCATTCGAGTCCGGCTTGTCTTGCGCCATTGAGAGTATACCCCGTAACTGCGCGATTACAGCATCGTTTTGTGAGCATTCGTTCTGAAGCGCTTGCTGAAGTTTGCGCGTCTCTCTGAGTTTCTTTCGCTGCAAGTTTATTGACTCCGGCGTCGGGGCGTTGGCATCTTGATTAGAAAATGACAAATTCTAATTGCCATTTTTCTGAGTCATTAGCCGCTGATACACGACGATGAAGGCGATGGCTACAGAGTAGACGTACCTCATAATGCCCCAGTTTCATATAGTTCACAAGATCGTCAGGCACAGTGAAGATATTTCTCAGAACATAAATCTCGAGTTTATCAAATGACTTGTCTACCGATGATTCGAATAATGTCTCGAGCTGATGCAGTCCATTTTCAATTTCTAGCCTTGCTTCCGGATACTCAATATTGCCGTCGGCATCGGTGTCTGGTATTGATGATGACGCGTTGTCGGCATGGCCAAACCCGAGTCGTTCAGGAGGAGTATTGAGGAGGCCGTTCTCGAGACTCGATATTGCTTGATAGATGAGGTTATTGATTGAATTAATGATGTCGTCGATGAGTGACTAGAACAGAAAAGTGCTGTTAATCGATCTCCGTCCCTGTTCCCGCGCCGTGAGAACATCGATCTACTCACCAACGGCGTATAACTGAAGTGCTCAGTCAGCAAAGATGTGACTGCATCGTTCATCTTGACAAGCTATATCATCATAGAATGCGTCTCGTCTGGTAGATTGTGTGCTGTTTGTCGCAAGCTCTGACACGCGATCCGACGCGGTTCGGTACACCCCGCTGCGGTCACTCTTATTGACGACGGCAATGGAAGAAGGAAGTATTAACGACAACTGGGCGAGTAACACCTAAACCTATCATTCCAGAAGTTATTTTCGCTCCAAATGTTCAACTGACGCCATAAATTCAAACTGGAGTGGAACCAGTCGAACTGACGCTAATCCAAACAAGGCCTAAATGCTACTAGCCCCATCCAGCAAAACGCGGGTCACGCGTCTAACCAGAACTTGGTCGCAGCAACCCAGACGCAATTCCATTTTCTGTTTGCTTTAGCAGAAGACACCGAGTGAATCGTCCCTCTCAATATGCCCGTCAACAATGGCCTGGATGCGGCCCAGGCGAAGCGCAATCGCTTGCCCTTCAAGCCCCCGCGACGGCAGTCTACTGGTATAGAAGGCTCGTCCAAAACAACATCCAGCAAAAAGATATCTTCTTCTACAGCATCGACGTCCAAGACAAAGTCTGTCCGAAAACCTACTACTACTAGCACTATAGAAGCCAGAACGACAAAATCGAGGAAAAGAAAGGCTCAATCTCTCTCATCTGGCTCCGAACCCGCATCGGACGACGATGATGGCAACGAAAGCAACCTTGTCCGCAACAACGACGATGAGAGCCCTTCGACGAGTAGAAGCGGCTCCCCGCTTGAGGAACCCGATTACATACTTGCAGAGATTGTCACAAATGACAGGCCACGTGATATCGAGTCTGGCGAACCAGGGATACCACCAAAACTCTTGACGAGGCTTTTACATCATCACTTCCAGAATCCGAAGACGAAGATTGCGAAGGATGCAAATGATGTCGTTGCAAAGTATATCGATATATTTGTCAGGGAGGCACTGGCTCGAGCTGCTTATGAGAGAGCGGAGGGTAATGCCGCGAATGGAGATGGAGCCGGGAGGTCGGTGATGGATGGGTTTCTTGAGGTATGTTGCGCATATATTATTTAGTTATTTTTCTAGAGGATCTTTTTGGCTACAAGGTAGACTGCGAGAATGAGTGCTGACATGTGCATTCGTAGGTTGAAGATCTGGAGAAATTGGCACCGCAAATGATACTTGACTTTTAAGGGAATGACCGTGTAAATGACTGTTACGAGATGGGCGTTATGCAAGATACCAATGTCTTTTGAATGTTATTTGTTTGATGATTACTGCATGCTTGGAATGTTGATACACTTGATGTGTAGGCCTTTCCACGTCACCTTGTTGAATCACAAGATGGTTAACGATGAAGGATTCTATTGTTGTTCATCTCTGACAATTTGTAGAACCATGGAGAAGCCAGGTTTTACTTGTTAAGTATATTGAGAACTTGTTACGTATTTCGTATGGGTGTTAATGCTGAGACAAATTTCAAACCTTGCAACAGCCCCTGTTTGCTGCCCCAATGTGTCTCGAGTTGCCCAAAAGGGAAATTTCGCCAACCCAACTGTGCTTCGTATCGTGCGCGACAGTGGAACAGAATTTGGGACATTCTCTCAGTATGCAACATCTTTCTGGAGCGTGTTGCGTTCCAAAAATGTTGGGGGTCAATAAAATTCCTGCTATATCTAGGGACGTTATGGCTTTTAATGCCGTATATATGAGTATCTTTCATTTATCTAAAATAGGAACTCCCATTTCAAAATTCTGCTTAGCATCTATTCTTTCTCTTCTTCTACTACTCTCCCCACCAGTAGAAATCGCCGGTCGATTACCTACACAGCGGTTATATATATATATTGGAAAACTACGATCATTGTCCAAAATGCAGTTCTCTATTATTTTTCCTTCAGTCTTACTGCTCTGCTCAGCAGCTATGGCTCTATCCTCGAACAATGCTACAATCCATGTCGTTCAAGTGGGACTAAACTCGTCACTTACCTTTTCGCCAGATAATATTCAGGCGAAAGCAGGAGAAATAATTCAATTCCAATTCCGTACAAAAGTACGTCCTCTTTTCATGTGATCTGGGAACAAGATGCGCAGAGTAGCTCTAACAAAGGCTTCCAACTCTAGAATCACTCTGTCGTTCAATCTACTTTCGCCTCTCCTTGCGATGCTATTGACACTGACACGACAAATGTGACTGGCTTCTCATCGGGCTTTATGCCTGTTAATAATAACAGCATACCTGTCTTTTCAATCGTGGTAAATGATACGAAGCCTATCTATGCTCATTGCAGCCAGACCGGACATTGCGCAAAGGGCATGGTTTTTGCCGTAAATGCGTATGTCTCTCTGTCTCCTTCTTTGCCTCTGTTGTTTGGGTAATACTAATGCCACACGAAGACCAACAAATGAAACCCAGAATTTCAGTGCATTCAAATCCCTCGCCCTCGCCTCAGCCAATGCCACCGTGAGCTCAGCTAATTCTACTACTAAGTCAGTGAGCTCCGCTAGCAATGCAGCCAGTGCTAGTGCTGCTGTAGCAGCAGCGTCATCGGCCACAAGGACCCCTCTGATGACAGCTAAAGGCGCCAGGTCATTTATTGATATGGCATTGCTTATGCTCTTTGCTGTTTTTGGAGTCTGCTTCATTGGTCTTTAAATTTCAGTTGGCCTACCAAGGCCTTCTCTTGAGGATGGATTCGACGTGCACGGTTTATTGAAGGTTGCATGTTATTACTATTGTCGTTGGAGGCTGTAGTGTTTTCTTTATCTCGGCGTTGAAGGGCCGTGGTTGTCGATCTTGAACATTTTTGTATGATATCTAATGATGTGGTGAATTGGCTTGTCCTCGCCAATCATGCTAATATAAACTTTGAAGCTTGATTACCACATGTTGCTGCTCTAGGCCTAACCCTTTGACTACATTCACCGTTCCTTCATAACATAACATCTGAACTCTACTTGATCAACGCTACAGAGAGTGAAAAGTAATCGAATCCATGGCAATGATGGCAGAAAGGATCCTAGATCAACTTGTGTGGACAGTAGCATCCATGAAGGAAATGGTAATTGTCGCCATAAAAGGTGCGTTTAGCAGCTTCGGTTGTCAAGGAGAAATGTCGCTAATCGAGGGCAGCTATTTTCACACTGGCAAGTTCTTAGATCTTACCTACTATTCGCACCAAAAGCCAAGAATTCAGAGTCCACAGGCTTGTCGCCTGCAGTAAGACTGGGTATTTCTCTCGATTTCCCAAGAGAGATTCAGAAGGCTACGTCTATATTTGAATGCCTGTCGAAACTAACCATTCATTACGTTCACTATTTAATATAATCGTCAACAAACTTCCGAGAACCGGCTAAAAACCCCCGCGTTATACTCGACGATGATGACGACTTTAGTTGATGGACTGATTGATGGGCATGTTCACGCCCTCAGGTGGCCTCTCAGGTATCAAAAGCTGAACCATCCCGTTATATGCGGAATGAGATAACTTGGTTAGTTTATAGCCATATGAGCATTTATCCAGTGTCGAAAGAGACGGACGAATAGAACGCGCAGTGACAGCACTCAACGGTACCTATCAAGCTCAATCTGGGAAGACTATAAAGGATCTTTCAGCAGGTAGAACTGCATTCCGCAGACGAGCCATGACAGCTGGCTCCATGCCCCAGTCCCCCGTCCACTGCGACATTCGTGCGCCTTGCTTGAAGTGTCCTGCTAAATGATCCATTCGTGTAGACCACGTTGGAAAAGTTGTTTCGCAGAAACCGCATCGACTAGTTATGTTATTGCCTTGACAGCGCCAATCTTCAAGTTTTGCCACCGGGAGTTTTGTGCAAGCGTGGAATTTTTTCAGATGTTGCCAGAGGTAATCTTTCCGTGTAAATGATCGCTCGGCGATGGGTGTATCGGCGCAGACATTGAAGTCGTGCGTTTCCCAGTGAGTTCGAGATGGACCTTTGGTGTCGCAGAATTTGCATTCTGCTAGTGCAGGTGCCGAAGGCTGGAGATCCTGAAGGTCGGGGGAGCATATCCACGATTCAAGTGATATATGTACACTTTTCTCATGTCGGCACCAGTCATTCTTCTTATTGAACGACTGCGTGCAAAATGTACATTGGTATGCACCCTCAGATGTACTTTTGCGCCGTCCTCGCTTTGGCCTTGGTCGTGGACGCTTGGGCAGAGATGAAAACGACAGGCCATTGTCACCCGAAGAGTGATGACTCCAAGCTGATGAAAAGCTATCAGAGGATGCTTCTGAATATTTACCTCCGAGACTCGCTGCAGACGAATCTAAATGAGATGAATCGTCATCCAAATCTAGAAGATAATCAAAGTCGTTGAAGCTGTTTGAAAATGTGCTCATGCAAGGCCCAGACCCATTAGTTGGAATCGCTTTCTCGATGGTAGATTGGGGAACTGCTTCATCTTCTGGAGGGGTCGCCTGCCACCGCTCCATAGGAGTCATAGAAGGCATAGGTGAACCGAATCGGAAAATTTCGGTTGGTGGAGCTGCAGATTTCTGTTTCTGTTTCTGGCGTCGCCGAGCGTTTGCAAACCAAGTTGACACTCGTTTCACGGAGAGCCCAGTCTCCTTTGAAAGCTCTTCCTTTTCAGCCTCGTTGGGATAGGGATATTCCTGATGCTGATAGAACCACGCCTTCAACGTTCTCGCACCCTTCCTGAGGAGTTGTTTGGACTCTCTGCGGTCATTATCGGGCTCCATTGCTTTTGCATTCTCTTCCACTTGGATACCCTACACATAAAATCAGATGAATTCCGGACCGGACATCAATTACTTACCACCTCATCCACATCCTCTGCTAGTCCATGAAGGTTACTAAAGACGGGAGATACGGTCTCAAATCGCGACGCCTGGCGTTTCTCTCAGTGAGCCAAGCTGCACTCCCTGAAGAGAGCAACGCAGCTTGAGCATGACGTTACAGGATTGGGATTAGCGGGCGTGGTGCGAATGATGAGGCACTGCAAACGATGTCGATGGCAGTAGGCGCATGGCTCGGGTGGAGAGTAAGCACCATCGAGCCACTGAGAGACATTGTTGAAAGTTGATTCTGCCAGAGGCTGAAGATTTAGTTGATGAGTGGCATCTTGGTATCTATGATCTGTCGCGGTGAATGCCTGGGGGGACTTGTTGAAACTGCAATTGTCGATCACTGGCATAAATGCCCAGACTTCATCTTGGGAGTCAAAGTCAAACAATGGGTGATCATTATTTGGGAATTCCAATTTTGAACTGAGATCTGGGCCAATCTTCAGATGTTATCTTATCGTCGAACTTTGAAGGGCAGTCAGGCGCAGGCTGTTGGTTCAACACATTCTGGCCATGATCCATAGCTGACAAACAAATGACTTGGCACTGCGATCCAAAGGCCTGGATACAAGCGCATCAGAGATATTGAGCAGAGATATAGATATAGATATAGATATAGGTATAGATATAGAATAGGATGGAAATAAAGGAAAGGGAGAAAAGAGAAAGATCAAGAGCTGATGACTCATCATTGCGGTGACCAATCAGAACTCGTCTTGCTCTTGTATATCTAAGTATCGTATATCCCGACTAGATACCTTATCGTTTCGCATAAACAAGAGTATTTTCGAGTTTCTGGTGGTAGATAGTCTAGCTATAGATACAAATATACAATGGGCTATCCGTCCGTCCACCTCGTTATGCCACGTCCAGAGGCCCTCGTAGTATTATAGACAAAATTCTTGAATCAATTTGGCGTAGATAGCTTCCATCTGCTTCAGGCTTTCAACCTCGACCCATTCCTCTTTAGCGTGCAATCCCTCACCTGCAGGACCAAATACAATGGTGGGAATCCCAGCTTTATCGAGCAACGCTGCATCGCACCAGAAGGCTTTGCCCTGGATTGGAGGTCGGGCACCTAGGATTGTTTCGGCTATGTTTGCTGTCCTTTGAGCAAGTGGATGATCAAACGCCAGATTTTGTGTTGGGCGAGACAGTGTGACTTGAGGTTGGGTATATCGGAACTCGGGCTTTTCCCTCGCGATACCCTCTAGGATAACTCCCAAGTCATGGAGAATTGATTCTTCGGTTTGGGATGGTACTGTGCGAAATTCGACGGTAATGGTGCATTTCGTAGGATAAGAGGATGGTTCTTCACCACCTGATATCAATCCGCAGTGCAAAGATGCCTGGCCTAGGATTTGGTCGGTTGGTGGCTGCTTTTGATACACCTCGAGTGCATGAAGGAAACTGCCAGCATGGAGGATAGCATCTACTCCCTCGGAAGGTAGAGAACCGTGAGCAGCAACGCCAAGTATGTCGAGCTCTACCCAAAGAAAGCCTTTGTGGGCAGTGACAATTGCAGCATTGGTAGGCTCAGGGATGACTGCAGCATCAGCGCGCCACCCGGCAGCCAAAATGTCTTGAGTTCCTTGTGAAGTATCTTCTTCGTCGGCAACGGCCGCCACTATAATCTCTCCCCGTGGTATGCACCCATCAGCAATAGTTGTAGAAATAGAAGCGAGGGCAGCGGCAAGACCGCCTTTCATGTCTAAAGACCCTCTTCCGAAGATTACTGGTCGACCATTCTTCTCTCCAAGCTTGCCCGACAGCGGATCTTTCTCGTAGCTGCAAAGACTGACGGTGTCAATGTGACCATTAAACATCAGTGATCTGCCTGTGCCAGTACCACGCAGCCTTCCCACGATTGACGGGCGGCCTGGAACAGTCTCAACTCGATGATGTTCGATCCCACGATGCTGATTCCACGCTTCTAGATATTTCACTATCTCATTTTCGCCAGCACCACTGCCTTGTGACAAAGTAGGACTTGATGAGTCAATGCTGGTCAACATCTGCGTGAGAGTGACGGCGTCATCTGGAGACACATCCAGGGGAACGCCATATTTCCGGGGGCCCTCGGTACAGAGAAGAACAACAACCGATTTACTAGTAAGGAGAGATCTTTTCTCTTCTGCAGAAGCCAAGCGACGGAGTGCAGCCAGCGAAGCACCTCCACAAGGGCCAGCTGCCACAGAGCGCGATGCCAGATACTGCACTGCAGAATGACTCTCGAAGCAAGAGATGGTAACAGCGGCATCAACGAGTCGTTTCAAGTGAGGCCATGCGATGGAAGAAACAGTGCCGCAGTTCATGCCGTTCATGATAGTCGAGAATGTTGGAACAGAGACAAGATTACCGGCCTCCAAACTAGCGATGAGACAAGGCGCCGAGTCAGGCTCTACAGTGACCATTGATACCGGGCTTGATCGAGATTTGCAATGGAGCGCTGCAGCTTGTGCGAGGCTTCCCACTCCTACGGGAGATATCAAGACAGTGCTTTGCAGGTGCTGCTCGGCCAATTGGCTGTCAATCTCGTTCATCATCGTCGAGTACCCTTCCACAATCCAAGAGGGGACGTCCTCATACCCATCAAATGCCGTGTCTTGGATCAAAAGACCACCGTCTGTCTGATTGGCAGCCACTGTTGCTTCTGCCACAGCCTTGTCATAATCGCCATCAACGATATGTACCTTGGCTCCCTCGCCTTGAATAAACCCACGGGTGTTGTTGTCCATTGATTTGCGGACGAAGACATGAGCATCAAGCGATAACAGCCTCGCAACAAACGCAACCGCTCGGCCATGGTTTCCCTCAGTAGCGGTTAATAAACTAATATGCGCGGTCTTTGCCTTCGCCGACAACTCTCCCAGGCTGACCGTGGGCGGGAGACCCAAATATGACGCGACGGCGCGACAACATCCCCACGACGCACCGAGCACTTTGAAAGATGGAAGGCCGAAGCGATTGCTTTCATGTTTCACGAATACAGCGCGAACTCCAAGTTCCGCTGCGAGTTCAGGTAGCGGAACAAGAGGACTGGGACTGTAGTTTGGCAGAGATTTGTGAAATTGCTCGAGGCCGTCAACGGGCGAAAAGGAACAGCGCGCGCTGGCGGCTTCGGGGTTGAAGTAGATTGGGCGTCGAGATGACATGATACCGCTTTTCTGAAGGAATATTATAGGGATAAAAGCGGAACTACTAACTTGCTGGTTCCAACGTGACGGGAGATTTCGTGCGTTTAAAAAAGCATTGGATCGAGCGCCTTCCAACGACATGTACTACGCAAAGTATGAAGCAGCGAAAAAGCGCCTTCCAGTGACGATTCGCCTTTTTGACCAGTTTTTGATGATTCTGAGCCTAGAACCGAATCGAGGGTTTGAGAGAGAGAGGAAGAGAATTGTGTCGACGATGTTGGTCTCTAAAAAAACTAAATCATACTCGGACGAAAGTAAGATTATTTAGATTATTTGAAACTCAACTACTACTTGCTCTATTTCTCTCGAATCTGATCATAAAGAACTACGGATTCGAGTAGAGCTTGTGTTCCAAGGGCACTGTATTCGTTGGTCAACTGTCAAGGCTTGTAACTAGTTAGAGGGCATTGCTTACCAGTCTTCGGGCTTGCAGTATTCAGTTGGATGATGGCTGACTCCATCCTGGCATGGGACAAAGATCATGGCTGTGGGACAGTGTCGATTGGCGTACACACTGTCATGGCCTGCACCGCTAGTGATCTCCATCCATTTGTTTGTTCCTACACGAAGCTCTGCTGCGCATTTCACAGCACCAACGGCATCCTCGTGGAACTTGACGGCAGGCGAATCTGTATCCAGGGTCCATGTGAAGCCGACGCCTTTCCCGTCTTCTGATGCAATGCGATGGAACTCGTCGAGACATTCCTTCTGGACGGTGTGGACAACATCATCTTCGGGGTGTCGAATATCCAAAGTAAAGGCGACTTGCGATACAACGGTATTCGTAGAGGCGTCTGAGGGTATGCGAATCACACCAGTCGACGCCAGCGCCCCATGTCGTTGCGCAGCAGCATTTGAAGCAACAATCATCTTGGATGCCGCGAGGAGGGGATCTTGACGCGCACTGAATGGGGTGGTCCCGGTGTGTGCATCTCTCCCAGTGACCGTGGAAGTCAACCACCTATATCCCTGTGCACCGATGACAGCACCTAGTGATCTGCTTGTCTCTTGCAGGATCGGCCCCTGTTCGATGTGCAGCTCGAAATGGGCACCTAATGGGTATCCAGTATTTGGATCACTTGAGCAAGCAGTCTCCCCGAGAAAACCGTGTCGCTCCAATTCCGACCGCAAGGTCACGCTCGGGTCGTGGATGTCACTTAAATTCCAGGCATTTTCTACCGGAATGGCGCCGGCCCAGACACCAGAGGAACTCATTGACTTTGGGAATCGCGCACCTTCCTCGCTGTAAGAGAGATATTGTCAGTGGACGACGGGATAAACAGCTGGGGACGGACGGACTTGGTCCAGTTCACCACTCCCACATCGTAATTAGTCTTGAATCCGGTTTCGTGCAGCGTTCTCAGGACTTCCAGCGCCGCAACAACGCCGAGAATATCATCGTACCGACCGCCGCGAGGTTGGGTATCGAGATGACTTCCCATGGCAGTCATTGGCGCGGGAGACCCTAATTTGCCAGCCCGACGAGCAAACATGTTTCCCATCTGGTCGACTGTGAGGGTGCCTCCTAGTTTTTCGATTTCTGTAGCAAACCATCGTCGCACACGGGCATCATCGTCCGAGAGAGTCAGACGGGACATTCCCGTATCTGTGGGCTTCCTGGTCGAGGGTTTAGTACAAGAACGAATTCGAGGATACCTAATAGTTCAATGCGACATACTCGCCGTAACGATTAGCCGCACCCCACCGGCATGTTTCGTGGAGAGTCTCCCATAATCGGCCAGAATTGATTTGCAGACCGGAGGCTTGCGCTCTAGCGAAGCGAGGAGCAGAAAACGTGGCCGGGCGCATTTTTGCTGGTTTTAGTTGTTCTGGCTGCTTTACCCTCGTCGAAGAAAGCGCTTTTCATGCAGCAATCGACGCCTTCCGGCGACAACAGAACCCACTTTCGACCGGCTGCGCCTTCTGTTGACATGAGTCCCTAGGTCTGTGAATCGATTTATTTATTTTTTCTCATAAATTGTGGAAATAAAAACGCTTGTCCTAGTTTAGCCTGAAGTTTACAGCAAAACAAAGTGATCCGTGGTGTAGATCTCAAGGACAATGTGGATATTCTGTGATGAGGCACGATTAAGCTCTGTATACCGCTGAAACCGTGCATCAACGATAATCGGATAATAGCATGGTCGAATTCTCCTTTTGTCGGTACAGATCTTATGTCGAAAAAGAGGGGGAAAAAACCGACTCTACTGTATCACCTCAGAAATAACACCCAAGCTGACGAGACCTTCCATAGGATGCTTTTGTGCAGTGACATTGGTTAGCCAACGAAATGGATTTTACAAGAAAGACGTCGTTACTTCCTTGGCTGGCAAAGAACCCCGTAAGAATAGAATCAGCTGCAATAGGTAATGGGATCAGGCTTGATGGATCAACTGAGCTACCTCGAGGTTGAAAATGTATGGATCTCCCGCGATTTGTCGAAATCTACATTCCGTGGTGTAAATGAGAGAGTTATTGATGATTGTATATAAGCCAAGTATCAAGGAGTTGCAAAAGAAAACGTACTTACCTTCAACGAGATCAATTTTCCATGCCTATAAAATCTGTACGTATTTTCACTAACCAGACGTTTCAGACTGACTGCAACAGACTGTACGAATTCTCCACCCGGGCCATCTATAGCAAACTTCATAGTATCTGAAAAATCAGTTACTGTGCGACGGCCCAACACTTGTGTTTCTGGCGTTTCTGTATCTGTTCTATCATAATGAAACTCAATAGAGCACAAGTTTCCTAAACAAGTAACACAAATTTCAGTCAGGGAACGAAGGTGCACCCCATTAGGGCCTCCAAATTGGGTCCAGATTAACGGGTGGTATCCAGCTGTAAGCGGGTTCTCCCCTGTGAACGATTCATCGTTTAAACATAAATTCGGAAGAGGGATAGTAGGGAACCATATCGCAGTTTCTCTCAATGAAGAATTCCGTGAGATAGGCTTAGCGATGTTTGAGGCCCCTTGTCGGGCTATTGAAAGACGGACTATTTTGTATCCCTAGCCGCATTATCAGTGATTTGTTCTTAACGTGGGTGATGATGGATAGATAATACGTCTAGCCCTATTTCCAAGAAACTGACGGCCTCACAACCCAGCAGGCGCTCGGTCACTAGAGAGTTTTTGGGACAACCAACCCATTTTGAAACCTTCCCATCACCGTGGACGACTTGTAGAGCTTGGATTCCTCGTGATCCCATCGCCAAAACGAAGCCCTTGATTGTTGTAATATCGAGATGGAGTTCCTTGCCCTCGGTAATATAGCCCAGGCAAATATGCGAACAGTCCTGTGATATGAAACGCATTCCAGTGAGATAACCATTTTCTTCTCCTGTGACAGAAAAGGCAATTCCGACAAGATCACTAGGTAAAGTTGTTGTTTGCGTTTGCAAAAGTCGACAACCCTCGTAAAAGAAAGCGTTAGGAACTGCGTCTTCTTGGGTATCTGCGGCTACCGTCCAGGGGCTCGGGGTTCGTAATCGCTTGATAATGGCAATCCGTAGATTCGACTAGTTGGGAACGGACCAGATTAACAAGTGGCTTAATCAGCGTCCAGATCCTCATTCTATTCTTCAAACCCGGTGGGCTCTGAACATCGTTTGTCATTTGATACAGGCTGATCCAGTCTTTCGGCTGCTGCTGCCTAACTCTGGTCTCAAAGACAGACTCGCGTTCTCCTCCAATCTGGAACCTAGAACTCCAAAACGTCTGACTGGTCAAAAACGGGAGAAAAGCTTTTGAAGACATTAGAAGGTTGGCAACATCATTAGTCGACAAATAAATGGCAATAGCTTCACGAATCTCCCATGGAAGTACTGAAAAGCAATTATTGCTATTCGCGCCTAAATTTCCACGATAATCGTGATTCTTTCGAGGGAGCATCGATAGCAAGTCAGGTAATTCGGGAATGTCATATGGGTTAAAGGTCGCATGTTGATAGGTTTCCGACCTGCTAAACTGTTCTATAAGTCGGTCCTCCCATGGATAGAAGTTCTGGTTATCGATTATACTGACACCCCCGTAATTATGGCCCCAAGACACGCCGATTCCTTGTATAGGAAACGGCAAGGAGCTGCAAATCTTGTAAAGCCGAACCAGAGGAATATCATGGGGCTCTGAAGCTTTCTGGAGAAGACGCCAACAGGCATCATGGACAACATAGCCATGCCGATTGTCTTCTGGACGCTGTTTCATAACTGGAATCTCGTAGCTGGAGGGTTCCGTATAGCCGTGATCGTCCCATCGCATGTGTGGAAGAGGAGGCGCCACCCATGTGCCACTACCGGGATCATCATAGCAGCCGACACCGGAAATGTGAATTTCTTCATGAGTTGAATAGACTTTGGGCCAAGGTCAGCCCACATATCGATTGCACGCTGGGGATCGTACTTGCACGGAACTCCTTCAACCAAGACTTCCGAACGGACGTGACATAGCCATCAATTGCGTACCCGCATATAATACAAGCAAAAACGACGGGACTCATGACAATTCGAAGTGTAGATATCCTTGAAGCTAGGGATGCCACGAAAAGAGGATGATGTGAGTGCAAGTTCCAGGTAGTAGTGGGGGCTTAGTAGCCACTAGTTGTAGAAATAGGCAAGACGTGCACTAATTCTCTAGCACGGGGCAAGCGCAAGCCAGTCTCCTACTCGTTCGCATGCAGCAACGCCCGTCAAGCGTGACTCAGTGCTCACGGATAACTATTTTCATAAATTAACCACTCGATGACTGCAGATGGAGGAGACTGGGAAGCGCCACTGTTGGGAGTGTCGCCGGCGCCGATTGGTCTGCGACTTCACACGCCCCGAGTGTAACCGTTGTTCGCGCGCTGGCATCGTCTGTCCGCGATATGGCGACACGAAACCCCTCAGTTTGAAATGGCTCGTCCCTGGAGTTGTCCAGTCGCACGATCGCAGACCCAGGAAAAGGAATGTTGGAAACATACCTGATGCCACTGCAGAACGGTCCTTAGCCAATGCCCGCGGAATGGCCGTTTCTCCTCGTCACATGGAGATGATCGTGCCTGCGGAAAGTGACTTGGTCCAGGCTACGGAATACTGTATGTGAAGACGACAAAAGACGTTTCACAGCGGATTTTGACCTCTTATCATTGGCAGTTAATGCGTATGTTGGCCCATCTATACAGCCTGTGCTTGAAGTTGTCCCCGAATTCGGCATTCCCCTGATCTCGCCCGCGATATTTCAAAAGTGTCTAGGCTGTCCCAGCCATATAAGACATTTCATGATATGCACCGCCCTGGGCCACCGGATGAACCACAATGGAGCCCAGTGCAATGCCTTGGAACGGAAATATCTCCACTATCGAGGCCTGATGATCAAGTCTCTTCGTAGCGACATTAATGTCGAGTGCACCGCTGGGAGAAGGGGCGGCTATACTATTGCCGGAATTTTGGCCCTTTTACTGACCGACGTGAGTCTCCTTTTGGATAAACGAAAGAGAGCTAGCTGTGCTTAATGGTAGGAAACAAAAATAGGCCCGACAGGGTGCCTCTTACCAATCTTGGCGACATCACCTCGAAGGAATCCGAAAAATCATCAAACTGCGCGGCGGCATGCGTGTGTCAAGTGGAACGGTTGGCATAATGCCTTCGCTTAATTTATTCATGCTGTACGTGGGTTGGGATCTAGAAGCATGATTGGAATTGACAAATCATCTAGCACCGCTGTTCTAGGCGATACTACATCTCCTGCGTCAGACTTGGCTATACTTCCTGCACACCTCGAGGACGTGGAGTATATGGTAAACACACATGCCGATGAAAACCATGCTCTATATATAATGTTTCCCTCGCCTCTTTTCGCTGGAACGGCAAAGACCAATTACCTTCGCATGCGAGCCGCCAAAGATAAGTCAGTAGAAGCCGGAGAGCTCGCTCATGAGGCTTATGACATACTAGACGTTGTTCTTAGTTTCTCTCCAGAAAACTGGGCCAAGACTAAGACAAAAGCATTGCAGAAAGACTGCATGCTGCTGGGGAACCTATATAAAGCTGCCGTGGCATTATTCTGCATCTCCTCGCTACAAAGCGTGTCAGCTCTGCCCATGACACCATTCCTGACACGCACTTGTGCCGCACTAAGCCAGCAGCTGCAGTCTTTCCTCGGCGAAGCACTCTTGTCCCAAAAATTCGAAAGAATTATTATCTGGCCCCTGGTTGTGCTCGGCGCGGAAGCTGTGAGAGGCGACGCGGCAATGCGCGACTTTGTTCGAAAGGGTTTACTGGAGGTAAGTGGCTACACCGGCACAATTACGCCGCGGATGGCAAAAAGCGTGGTGGAGAGATTCTGGGCTTCGGGAAAGACGCGTTGGGACGATTGCTTCGACGAGTCGTATATGTTCTTGGGCGCGCATGGGATTGACTGCAGAGAGTTGTAGGCACAACATTTGGGGACTGGGAGGCGCATGCATGGCCATTTTCGCTGGAAATATATATATGCCTTGCCGCCATATGGAAACATGTGCTTGTCACAAAATTAACCTTGGAATGCTGATATTGCCCACGTGAACCGGAGCTTAACCCGACTTGGCTGAGGCTGTGCACTACAGACAAGAAGGGCAAAGTGGCACGATGAGCTCCACAGTGAAAGGACTAGTTCGGAGCCGAGTAGCCAATGGATTTCCTATTTTGGTAATTGAGGCTTATTGAGCGCCAAAGCGAGAAAGCGCACTTCCATGCCCACCCATCTCCTCCGCACACGCTCCAACTCTTTTCATGCTCGCTCGCCGCACGGAGAAAGAAAGCAAGGCGTACCCCAAGTCTTAACTTAAGCACCATCAACGACCAATATCCATACATAGGGAGCAGTCGTCTGGCATCCAAATGCACACGATCGGCGCTACTAGTCGCAGAGCCCCTGGCGCTTTCCCGTTTCATCCGCACAACAGCCCGCGCTAGTACCTGCCAAGCCGCAGGCAGTCATACTCGCCGGGCCAATCAGAGGGCCGCACTGCCGGGCCAGCCCTAAAATAGCGAAATGAGGTGTTCGCCGGCCGGTTCATCGGATGGGGAAGGCGCCTGCTCATTGGCTGTCGATGGTGCAGCTGCAGTGCCTGAAGAGGGAAGGAAGGAAGGAACCGTCTCAAGTCGGCACTCGGGGCCCTGGGAGCGCGCCGTCCTGCCTTGGCCCCCCAAAATATCTCCTCTCTCTCTCTCTCTCTCTCTCTCTCTCCCCTCTCCTCTCCTCTTCCTCCTGCTTTGTCTGCTTCGGCTCGACTCGTCGCTCCTTTCGCTTCGTCGTTCTTTTTCTGCCATTCTGACCTTAGTCTTTCGTTTATCAACGCGATCTGGACCGTTTGCTTCTCTCCTTGAAGGCGAACCCATTGCTTTTGCTTCTCAACCGCTCACTACTTTCGTTCCATCGCAACTGCAACGTATAGTCGCACAAGCTGCCTATAAGCCCGAGCAGAGCCGAATAATATCACTACTCTACACCTTTCCTATCAGTTTATCTCGTCATCAACAAAACAGCCCAGCCATCATGAAGTCAGCCTCCCTGGCTTGCCGCGTAGCCGCCCTAGCCGGGCTCTTGGCTTTCGCTGAAGCATCGCATAGTCACCATCACTCTCATGATCACAGAACTCAGCATCTTCGCACCCCTACCGAGGAAGGGGATCTTGCTGTGCAGAAACGAGGCGGACAATGCCAATTCCCTACCGATGCCGGCTTGGTCGCTGTTACCCCGGATTCTGACAACGCAGGGTGGGCTATGAGTCCGGATCAGAAATGCACGCCGGGCTCTTGGTGCCCCTATGCATGCCCTGCAGGACAGGTTTCCATGCAGTGGAACCCCAAGGCTACTTCTTACACCTATCCGCTCTCGATGGTATGTATTCCTTGGCTGTGCATAGACAACACCCGCGTCTGATGAGTGCATTCAGGATGGTGGACTATATTGCGACGAAGATGGCAACATGCAAAAGCCTTTCCCGGACAAGGATTACTGCGTTGACGGAACTGGCACTGTTTCTGCTGTCAACAAAGCCGGTCAAGCCCTTTCTTTCTGCCAAACGGTCCTCCCTGGCAATGAAGCCATGCTCATCCCAACCCTGGTTGAGGATACTGCAACCCTTGCAGTGCCCGGACCTAGTTTCTGGTTAAGCACGGCTGCCCAGTACGTACCCAATAGTGCTAGCTGTTGTGACGAGTGCTAACGATACTCCTTAGCTTTTACATTAATCCCCCCGGTACTGGAACCGAGGGATGTATTTGGGGAACTAATGCCAATCCAATCGGAAACTGGGCTTACTTTGTCGCCGGTGCGAATACTGATTCCACCGGAAACACGTTTGTCAAGATCGGCTACAACCCGGTCGTACAGGAAGCCAGCACCCCTTTCCGTGATACACCTGCAACTTTCGGTGTTGAGATCACTTGTGATGACGATGCTGGTTGTAACGGCCTGCCATGCAAAATTGATCCTTCCGTAAATGCCCTGAATGAAGTTACCTCCAATGAAAGCTCCGACGGAGCCGGTGGCGCTGCTTACTGCGTTGTCACTGTTCCCAAGGGTAAAAGCGCAAACGTTGTTGTTTTTGAGGCAGGAAGTAGTGGTTCCAGCTCCAGCTCCAGCTCCAGCTCTAGTGCCAGCTCTAGTGCCAGCGCCACCAGCACCACCACCAGCAGCAGTTCCAGCACCACCAGCACCTCCACTAGCACTTCTAGTGAGACCTCTAGCTCTAGCTCTAGCTCTACTCCATCGTCAACTTCTTCTCCCACAACCACGTCTCACAGCCCAAGCTCAGCCAGCTCAACAAGCACCTCAAGCACCTCAAGCGCATCAAGCTCGACTCCAAGCTTGACCACATCCACTCCGATCAACTCTTCTTCCTCTTCCATGTCATCCTCTGAAGATTCATCAACCCCATCCCCCTCGGCTTCGCAGACCCCTTCTTCAAGCTACAGCTATGCGCCACACGTTTTCGTTGAAACTTCATCGAGCCAAGGAGCTTCCGCTTCGCCCACTTCTTCCGGTGATTCTACCGTGGCTTCTACCACGTCGGCTAGTCATTCTTCTGGCGCCACTCCCCTGTCTGCTAGTTCGATCACCGGCCTAGCATTGTGCTTAATAGCTGGCATCATGATGCAATTTTAAGAACCAAACGATGCTCAGCCTCCGCCTGTCAGGAACCCACCACGAGACCACGTGCGCTTCTTGATTTCTTTTTTTCTGTTTTTAACGACTTTGAACTTCTCTTCGACTCTATCTTTATTATGTTCAACTTCTTGATCTGATGATCTGATTGATACCCCTCAATTTTTGGTCTTTGAATTCTCTCCAGGATCTGGCGGCAGCATCTTGAATCACTTTTTTATTTACCTTCTACACGAATAATTACTATTAATCATTGATATTTAATTCACTGTATACACTATCACGGGTCCTGACAGGGCGGCGGCAGTCAGATGTCTATCTTCTAACAGAAGCAAGGGAATGCGAAATTCCTGCTCAAAGAGCAGGTAACTTCAGTCAAAAGTGTTTTCCGTTCGATGTGTTTATATTCCACATCTCTATCACTCTATGGCTGTCATGGCTATATTTCTATTCTTGGCGTGAGCTATTTCAGCTATCATTAGTTATATATATTTGATTATACTAGAATGTGAAATGTTCATCTTCTTACCAAAATAGAGCGATCTGAAGATATCACTTGAGCAGAATGTCTGGGACTCCTTTCAACCGATAATTTAGTCGTCTACTCCTGCACATTGGCGGATGCCTCAACGTTTAAGGAAACCCACGTGGGGCCCGCCCATCCGAGCTTCCGGCGCTGCTTGAACGTTGCACGAAGCTGGAACACCAAGCCACCTGGAATCCATCGCCAAGCAGAATACATTTCCCTATTCGCCAGTCTCATACCAGGTATAAGGCATATGCCATCATTGAAATATGCCTTCCTCGACTCAAACTGTAAGTCTGCATTGTTGCTCCCTTTCGAACGTTATCGTCAACCCCGCCACTTATCAGTTCAACAACAATTGCGTCACCTCAGCCTGTATACACTACACATCCATGCTAACAAAATACCTAAACTCTCGCTAGACAAAGCTCCAATCCACGCTGCGTCTACTGATCCCTCGTCTGCGTCTTCTGCAGAAGAAAGATACTGCCTCCTCGGTTGCGCAGCGCCGCGAACTGGCGCAACTCCTAGAAAATGGACGCGAAGCTTCTGCTCGGTACAGAGTTGAAAATGTCATTGCCACCGATATTGGCGTCGAGGTTATGGAAATAATAGAGCTTTACTGCGAGTTGCTACTTGCGCGGGCAGCCGTGCTGGATCAGATCGCGTTCTCGGAAAAGGGCGTGGAGGGACGGAATAAAGCGAAAGAGGAGTTTAAGCAGAGTCTTGAGAAAAAGAGTGCTACGCCGTCTACGCCGGAGCCACAGAAGCAAAGCGGAGGGAGAGGGATGGGTTGGTTTTTCAGCGGCAGGACATCGTCGACAGTTCCTGATCCTCCTCCGCACGTTGCGGAAGGGGTTCAACGACAAGATCCGGCTGCGGCTCTGGATGAGAGCGACGGCTTCGACGAGGAAGCTAATAGCTACCTTAATGCTGGCCTTGATGAAGCAGCGGTAGCAATATTCTATGCTTGTCCTCGCTTTCCACGCGAGGTCAAAGAATTGACAACCCTGCGCATATTACTGATGGAGCGCTGGGGTAAAGAATTCGCAACTCTCGCGCAAAATAATAAGACTGCAATTAAAATCCCTGAGCGACTAGTCAAAAAGCTCCGCGTGAAGCCACCTTCTGTCGAACTGGTAGAGAGCTATCTGAGAGAAATTGCAAAAGCATACAATGTTGCTTGGCCCGGGGGCGAAATAGCAGAAGGCTCGGTGCCAGAACCAATGACGACGACGGAGGAGCAGGCACCGTCATCCTCACAGTCGCCCCCGCCAGGTTACGACGATACGGGAGATGTCGCGGCACCCCCGCATACGCCTCGAAAAAATCTTGCCGATATCCGTCGGATGTCTGAAACGGATGAGCTCTCGCGCGCTACGCCACCAAGAGATATCGGACAACACGACGCTACGGGGAAAAGCCCTGTGAGCGTTGCGAAGCCAGGACCTAGTAGTGACAACCCGGAGCCTAGAGTCAAGATCCCAGGCGATGCCGATGCCGATCCGAAAGATCTCAATCGCAGACCAAGCGGTGGGCTACAGAGGAAGGATAGTAAGGGTATCCCTGATGTGGATGAGCTGTCAAAGAGGTTTGCTGCATTGAAGAAGTAATGTGAATCTACGTCGTTGACATCGCGATGGGGATACTTGAATAGTGCATATATACTTCGTTTATTTTCCTTTTTATATACCACCTGAGATAGGCAATGCCGCATTTATTTTTACCAGTCATTAGATTCTACATGCCTAAGTAGACATCAATGGTATATTCCCCAAGGGCACGCTCATTTTGCACAAATAGAGAAACGTCAATGAGGCATCATATGCATGTATATCAAAGTATCTCCAGAAAACAAAGAGATGAAAGCAAATGGGTTTATCATGAATCATCAGGTTTATTCGTCAAGCCATATCCTCGCAATTTCGTAGCTCATGCTTTGCGTCGCCAAAATGATCTCTTCTTTTTCAAACCAGGTGTTTTGGGCGATTCAGGCTGGAGAAAAGTTAGTATGAGACCTCTGAGACAAGATGATGATGATGGTGATGATAAAAGACGCACTGGAACAAAAGGAGACGACTTCCCAGTCTCCGAGCTTTGAAAGCTGGCAATATCACTATGACTAACATCAACATCATCACCAGCTGCTTCGGCATCTAGATTGTCGTTGTCCTCCATTCCGGGATAGTATCTCTCAGGATCGCCGTTGTAAACGATCCACCAACCGATCTTCTGGCCCGGAGCGACGGCATCACGAACCTCGGCGAGCGCGGCTCGTCTTTCAGGCGAAAAAGCGTCGTCTAGCAGATGCTGATCGATACTCACACTTAGTCCATGCACCGGTCTCGCGGTCTCCGGGAGCATGGTGACGCTGTCCGCAACAAAGGCGTACGGCTGGCTGACAGCCGTATCGGTCATGTCTAGAGGGTCATATTGTTCAATCAGTTGCAGATCGGGCAGATACTGAGCAGCCTGTGGATGGTTTTTCTTCAGCGCATTCAGAATCAGATTTGAGGTTCTCTTTTGTTGCACGTATTCTGCGGCTGCGTCGTCCAGGTTCTCCAGCACAATGAAGACTCGTATGCTGGGTATGCCACCTCGGGGCCATTGGAAACCGTGGACTTTGTAGACGGGCATTTCTCTTCGTCTATGTGAATGAGATGAACATTTGCTGAGGGGGAAAAAAAAGAAGCAAAGAGAACAGCGTGTGTTTGGGCCTCTTCAACTCAGTGCGGGGCCGACATAGGTTTCACGACGTGAAGCTCTGATGCTGGGTTTTTCTTCATTCCGTGAGGCAGATGGCTTTCTCAGCGCGAGTCTGCAATTTTCACATACTAAAAGAAGAATCACTCCAAGGAGGTTTTGGGCAAATAAAACTCGACCTGTTCCCTTTTTTACGCATTCTAAACAAAGCGATGTGCCCGATGCAAGCCCCCGGGGGCGGTGAGCAGTCAATGGCGGCAGTATAAGCAGCTTGCTTAGTGCGGATTACAACTGTCGCATTAATTAATACCATCTGCCAACACTACCAGTGACTTGCAGAAGGGCTGAATGGTCGAGGAGCTGTAGAGCTCTTCCTCCCCACATCAAACGGGATGGTTCTCTCGTTTATTCTCATTCAAAATCGCCAGTAAGTGTGCTTCATGGCTGTTCCAGGGGGACATCCAGAGCATAGTCCAGCTGCTAACACGACATCGCTCTTGACAGAGGCAAAACACGGCTGGCGAAGTGGTACGCTCCATATAGTGTATGTGATGGTGGCTGAGAAGTATACAAAAGAACTCGACAATACTGATTCACCCGCATCAGGATGATGAAAAAGTAAAGCTCAAGGGCGAGGTGCGTCGACTAACTTCCCAAACTTCATCAAAGCTCTGACAACTTCGAGACATTATCTGACCGCAGAGAATTGATAACTAGGTCCACCGCCTCGTTGCCCCCCGAGACCAGAAATACCAGTCCAATTTCGTCGAGTTCAAACGCAGCACGAAAATCATCTACCGTCGATATGCCGGCCTCTTTTTCTGCGTCTGCGTTGATGCGAATGACAATGAACTAGCGTACCTTGAGGCGATCCATTTCTTCGTCGAAGTTTTAGATCAATTCTTCGGGAATGTGTGTGAATTGGACTTGGTGTTTAATTTCTACAAGGTATGTATATGATTATTCGCTTTTTAAGCGGGTATATGTCTATCAGATATCTGACGACTTTCGATCGATCGTGGGTAGGTTTATGCCATTTTGGACGAGGTTTTCTTAGCAGGGGAAATCGAAGAGACTAGCAAGCAGGTTGTTCTCACGAGACTTGAACATCTCGATAAGCTGGAGTAGTCCGGCTTATTTGTTTCTTGTCAGGATACTTGAAGGAGGGGGCGTTTGTCTTTCACAGGGCTCTGTTTGTTTCGCCTTGTATATAGTATATACTTTTATGAAAGCATCACGCAGGGCATGATTGGAGTTTGGCGTTGGACTTATATCGCACGTCTACCAGCGGCGTCGAAATTATTGTTGCGAAATATACATAGTTGCGCACGATTTTGAGCAGCCAGCGCTGTCGATGTCTTGTGGCTTATTGGTTATAAAACAATTGTAGAAAGGTTGGAGAGAACTGTTATTGATAAGTTTTTGGGACTGTTCGTTAAAAGTTCGAAATATGTACAGTTGAAGGGCATCCAAGCTCGAAAAAGATAATTAATTGCCAAAAGTGTTTAATTTCCACCGTATCCACGCTTCCAAGCAGCATTGAAGGTTTCCTTGTTGACTGCGAATTGCTCAATGTAATCTTTCTCCAGATCGTGTGCTCTTTTACCGAGCAAGACAAGACTGTGAAGAGGCCTTCCCATATCAACATCTGTCAGTTCCTTCAATGTCCCCGCAACGAGCTTCTGGTCGGGGGCTCCAACACGAGCGGCGCCTATGGCAAGACTGTCCGGTCCATACACCCCTTCCTTTCTTTCCTCCTCGGTCTCTAGCATCTGGCTTGCACACTGTGCAACAGTCATGTAGCGCGGAGGCTCGTAAATCTTTCGTCCTCGAGCCATGTTTTCCAGCGATTGCTCCTTCACCTTGATGTCTAGGAGCACAAGTGTATGCAACCCGAGATTCGCATTCTCTTTTACTCGGTCGTAGTATGACGAAGGCTTCCAGGTTTCTGTGAAGAATACCATGCTGACAGTCTGACCGAAATTATACAACTGTAAGCCTGTACAGCCGATGGCGGACATTATTGATGCATTAGGGATCGTTTTCGTGGGTATTCCGAGTTCGCGAGCCCGAAGCACTAGGTCTGTATGCGTGGTCGCTCTGAAATATTTCATATCAACAAACGGAATTGTCAGGGAGAGAGAATAATAGAGTGACACAAGACATACCCAAACGGATCTCCTACAACGAGGAACGCTACATCGACATCTTTGGCGTTATCCAGGATTTCGTCGCTTCCGCTTTCAACAAGCTCACGGTCTGCTACAATCACAGGACGTCCATAGTAAGCTTCCTACTAATTGATTACGAGGCCCAGTTAGTCAAAAATTTCTTCTGTTTGCGACCTCGGTGCTAATTAGAATAGTTGACAACCCACTAGCTTTTCCTTCTCAATAAGCAGGATGCTCGTGTAAGCTTCCAGGTAGACTCTGGACGCGGTCTTGACGACTTCCAGTCCTCGGACGGTGATGTCCTTTTCATCTGCAAGACCGAGGCCAACAAGGTAAAGCATATTGAGATTGATGAATTGAGTAAGTAAACGATATTATGGAATCAATCTTTCATACGCATAATATTTGCTCGTTAAGTTCCCCCGCCCCCGCCAAAAGACAAGAAAAAAACTATTTACGGAGCTCTTTCTATGCGGCGCGGAATAAAGATTTCCCGGTGCATTCCGCCGACCCACTTCGATGCTACAGCCTCCGCGTTTCTCGAGTCATCTATATCCTAATCTGGTTCATCCAGACTATCGTTTACTTTCTAGACTTTTTGGTATTAGTTGTTATCCATATTCTTACATATTACTGTCTGGCAACCGCCAGCGACTTATCACTATGGCAGCTGAACGTGCCCCCAAGTACAGGCAGGAAATCCAGCAGGTATGCCTTGCTCTTTGTCTTTCTGTCTTCGATCATGAACCCCCGCAAACTATCGAAGGAGGCAGCCTAAGTCCAACAGAGACGTATTTCAGCTTGTGGGATTCAAGGGAGTCGAGCTAATAAAATAACAGATGATGTTTGTCTCTGGAGAAACCGCCGAACCGTCCCAAGAGACCACCACTCTTATCGAGGAGATTGTGCGTCAGCAAGTTGTCGAAATGGTACGTTGCTGTTCTTGACATACTTTACATTCTCTTTAAGGTATAATTTCAGGCTGATTAGTTGAGCAGCTTACTCGCAGTACTGCCCTAGCTACTCGACGCGGGAACCGTTCGATTTCAACTGACGATCTTATATTCTTAATACGCCACGACAAAGCGAAAGTCTCCCGTTTGAGGACATTCTTGTCCTGGAAAGATGTTCGCAAAAACGTGAAAGATTCGGACGACAAGGCAGGAGGGGCTGATGCTGCCGATTTCGCGGCTGGCGATGATCCCCTGGCTGGTGCCGGAGTGGCTGGCCCCCAAGACATGGCTGCAAAACCGAAGAACAAGCGCGCCAAAGTTGGTCTTCCGTGGGATGTTAACAGCTTTTATTCCGTCCAAGTACCCGAGCGAGAGGATGAGGAGGACGAGGAGGAAGAAGAACAAAACTACGCCACACTTCAACGTCTTGCAACCGCCGACGAACGCACCAAGAATATGACTAGAGAAGAATACGTGTTCTGGTCCGATTGCCGCCAGGCTTCATTCACGTTTCGCAAAGGCAAGCGTTTCCGCGAATGGGCCGGGTTTGGCGTCGTTACGGAGTCCAAGCCAAACGATGATATTGTCGATATTCTTGGTTTTCTCACGTTCGAAATCGTGCAGACCTTGACGGAAGAAGCACTCAAGGTGAAAGAGCGTGAGGATCGTGAGAAGAAAGGTCGCGGTGGCACTGATTCCGACTCGGGCGAAAACCAGAAAAAGCGCAAGCGCGAGACAGGATTATTCGATCCCCCGGAAGAAGGTCGTACGCCAATCGAACCTCGACACATCCGAGAAGCGTTCCGTAAATTGCAAGCGACTCCACAAAAGGCCGTTGCTATGCTGCTTCACGATGGACGTGTTCCGGCGCGATTCCCAATTCGATTGGTGTAGACTACCCTCGTTTCCAAAAAATTACGACGCCGACTATACATCTTGGAAAGGTGCATGAATACGCTACGGATGAATCTATTAGATTAACACGCAATGAACTGTATTCACTATGCTAAACCGCGGAATATTCACTCCGGATGAGTGCGACGCCCTTGAGAAACTGTCAGTTATCTTTTCGAAATCTCCGCTACGCAGGAAGAAGATACTCACATTCGGCCAGCTCTTCTGTCCGAATTTCGTGGATTTTATTGATGGGAGGAACATCTCCCTTGACAATCCCCTTGCCGGCATCTACTGCCCTGCCGATCATTCCTTTGCGAGGGGAGACATGTATAGCTGATTTGGCTTCCACTTTGATGACACCGATTCGGGGATCGGAGGGACCACCATCATGCACACCATCACCTAAGTCGCCCAGCCATGCCTTGAGAGATGGGGAATAGAATTTTTGAACCACTTCCTTATTAGAGAGAATGGTAGCCGTTCCGGAGACAGAAGCCCATGCACCAGATGCCACATCAAGGAACGAGATGTTTGTCTCCGTTGGGTGTGCCGTAAGGTCCATTGTCTTTCCAGAGAAGAGGTTGGTGTGAAAAATCAGATCGACGCCACCGCTCTCCTATACCAGCGAATGTGCCGTCAGCATTTTGTTACTTCTTTTCGAGCGTTATTAAGTCCATACCGTTCCCGCAAGAGCCATTGCTCGCGATGACAGCCGCTCGCTGTCCGAGGCCTTCGTGGTGAGCATTCCGTACTTGAGATCAGTGATGAAATTGACGAGACCCTCGACCTTATCCTTGAGTGGTGCCTCGGGATCGAGGTTCTTGGCCTTGTATGGATCGATAGGCTTGCTACCGGAGCTGGTCGAGATTGAGGAAGACATTTTTCGAGTTGGATGCGAGGTATATTTTTCTATAATATAATTAGAGAGATTGATCTAATTTTAGTTCTGTCAACTTGAAATGAAGGAGGAAGCTGCAAAGAGAAGTAAATTTATGCAGACGTTGTTGACCGGCTGTCGTCTACATGACGTAAAATCTTGGCAGTCGGTCAGCCCTAAAAGCCACCTTCGTGACTATCTAAATCTATGGACTAAAGTGTTGTTCCTAGGTACAATATACCTCTCACTACCATTTTCGGAATTAGTGGAATTGTTTCCTTGTTGAAAGGATGCGTATGACGATATTAAAGATCTACAGGCTGATAAACCAAGACGTGGAAGTATCCCTTAAAGCAATGTTTTCCCAACGTTGGATTCATTCTATCTGATGCTTTCTTTTGTAAATGTCATCCTAGATGGAAAACCATACTCTTAGACTTTAATTTTATCAGTAGTGTTTTTAACCGGCCAAAAAAACGGCGTATAACATATAAATTTACAAGGTTCGTTTTTATATTATATTGTCTTTTAGGCGTATTTTTAATGCCAGTCGATTTGCGAATCGCCATCTGCAAGTCCGGATCGGATTCTCATACCAGTCTTCAGCGTATATCGCTTTGTATAATTAATCATGTAGAGAAAAAGCCCAATTTGCTGACGCTGAGAGGTGATACTAGTTCTCAAACAGGAGTGTGATGCATGGATTTGAGTCTGCGTAGGGTTTTTAGCGCTACAGAACGCGGCCTAAGGCCATCAGGAGACGGTGGGTCGGGTAGGTATCCACCAACCACATATAACCCCTTGTTCTCAGCTAAACGTCGCTTTACTTGACTCTCATCGCAAAGGGGAAAATAGCCTCAGAATTTTAGCTGAATACTTTGTTGGTTATCTTATATCTAGGAGGCACTCTACAGACAGCTTCTTCTCTCTTCTCCGCCTCGGTATGATGGCTGTGGCTTCCGTTGCAGCCTAATCGACTCGTGTTTATATCTCCTATCAACGGAGGCAAGTTACAGATTGCTGGCGCCTAACTTGTACAGAAAGCATTTAATTTGCATTAGGTGTCATCTAGATGGAATTTTTATCTGATATGCTAGTACTACAAGTTGGCATGGCCACTGGCAGCAACTATTCTTGAACAGATATCACAAAACGGACGCCAGGCCACTTCTCTGATCTTTCGGTGTCTCTTTGTTATTGACCACAGTGTCTTCTATCTTCCTGACGTACTTTATTCAAATGGAGGACCTGAATCAAGTCAGGATCGGCAACTTACCTGAATTGCATCGGCCAGAAGCCGAGCCCCGAAATCTTATGGATCTCCCCACAGAACTCCATATGCAAATAGCCTCTTTTCTCAGTTACCCGGATGCGCTCGCCCTGAAACATACCAACCGACATTTTCACTCTTTTGTATATACGGGCATATATCTGAAAATCGGCTGGTTACTCGAGCGGTTTGAGTGGAACCTCGAGTGCCCCCAGAAGGAGAAATCTTCGTGTTCTTTTCGCACGGATGAATCATTCTGTAACAAGACTGTCAGGAGGATCATGGAACGCAGGAGACGCCACCTTGAGTGCAGGGCTGGCGCTGGTGGCTGCTATGTGATTTATGGGAGAACTTGTAAGAAAGCGACGATACCACCCTGGGTGAGGGAGCTAAAGAGCTGGAAAGTATTGGGGAATGAAGGTGGGGTTTTAATTTTACCTAATTTCGTTTATTAGAACATGAGAAAAGAAGATGGTTTTCTGACTTTGGTTATAGTCCTTACATTCGGCTTACTGTTTGTCTTTTGGCTGCTTGTATGGCATGCAGTCAGAATGTAAGTGGCGAGATTACATCCTACGATGGTCAGTGCAAGTGTCAACGAGTTTCTGATGACAAGAAAACAGACTGGTCCTCGGACGATATTCTGAGCTTGAATCGAATGGCAGCTTGTTTGTGCTTTGAAACATCAAACATGCAGGAACATCCATTGAGGCATTTCCACGGATCGGGAATACGATCCAGCACATATAAACAGCAGCAAGGATTTGTTAATAGTCTGGATTGTGTGTCTCGAAGAAAGCCACCTTCTGAGGCGGGATGAACAGAAATCGAGTCAACTATGTCAATCCTAGTATACTCACTGTACATATTTGCTATACCCAGCAGTACCCTTGGGAATTTCGCTCGCACCTGAATATCGTATCAAGATCGACAATTGCCTACAGTAGAAGAATACAACGTAGTATCTCTACCTAGAACAATTACTAGTATACACTTCATCCTAGCACTAGAAACAGGCACATTTTCAAGAAGACTTAAGTGTATTTAATTAGGTAGTTATGGCACCAAAAACCTTGTAATTCTTGATGTGTTTGTTTACCTTAGGCCTTCATCCTAGATATGGTCACGCTAGTACTAACGTAGTAATCGAGATTTGCGTGCAAAAGTAGTGGGGATCGCCCCACCGCCACTCAAGCTCTTAAACTCTTGAAGCTCCATACAGCGCCCTTAAAATAATAATATTCACATTCAACGTTAAAAGCACGCTGACTTCAGTCGTCATCGAACTCAAAAGTGCGATACTTGCGAGACAGCAACAAGAGAAGGAAGGAGACAAAGAAAAATAGAGCAATGTCCGACCATACCGCCAAGCGTTCGGCCTATGGCACCGCATCCACAGACACCGATTTCCGCAAGACATGGGATCGCGAAGAATATGCCAAGAAGGCAAAGGAGAACGAAGCCAAGGCAAAGGAAGAATCGAAAGCCCGATATGAAGCCAAGCTAGCTGGCAAAAAATGGCACGCCCCCGTCGATTACAGCACGCTCGATCAGACTTCGTTGCGAACGCAAAGGCTCGATGTCGCCTCGATGGTTGGGAAGACTACCATGGTGCCTGCGGGTGCTTCTGTTGGGAAAAGAGGCCGCGGAGCTGGATTCTATTGCTCTGATTGTGATCTCACTTTCAAGGATAATATACAGTTGGTGGAACATTTGAACAGCAAACAGCATCTGATTGCTATTGGGGAGAGCGGTGAAGTCAAGCGCGCGACACTTGAGGACGTTCGAAATCGATTACGGTGGCTGGCGCATAAGAAACGAGAAAAGGAAGAAGAAGATCGCAGAGCTTTTAATTTGGATCTTGATGCTCGCTTAAGAGATCGAGAAGAGCAAGAAGCCAGAGAACGCGAAGAGAAGAGAGCCAAACGAAGAGAGAAACGGAGGGCCGTCAAGCAAGAGGATGATGAGGGTTGGGAGGGTAGGCTAGGAATAATTGCATAATATGTCTAGACCGCGTTACAAGGAGGCTGCTGTCGTTAGTATTACTGTTGAAGGTATGCTATTTACTATACCCATGGCGTTAGGTTTAACAAAAACAGATGGTTTAAATTGGAGCAGTCTGGGTGTTTCTACCAGGAATATTAACCAAATCAAGTGCATTCAATATCATTTACCCAAATGACAACCTTATCAAATATACAAACAATTGAAAAGCCTCCAAAAACGCCCATTTCATAATGCTAAAGTCCGCACATTCTCAGAAATCAGTCAATGCACTCAATACCTTCTAACGCCCTCATAGCCCTGCCGCCTTCTCTTTCAAAAATGCTAATGAGTCTTTCGCATTCTTGTCTCAATCGCTCCTCTCCATTCTTCGCATTAAATTGAATCCATTCCTCCACTGTCATCTTTTTCTCCGGGCTTGTAAGGATATCCTTAAGGCTGCTCTGATTAATCGTGAAATCACGATTTTCTTTGTCATCGAGGCTGCCGAGAAGTTCGTCGATATCCATTGGTTGCCATGAATGTGAGGATGATAGGTATCCTGTACCAACTTGACGTTTTGACGGTGATTTAACTGGAGTGCTGGCTGCAAGAGGTACGCGTGTTGACAGTGTCTTTGATGGCGAGACAATAGGCGGCCTTGCCGAGCGTGGTCTGGTGGAAGGAGGTTTGTTCTCGGCATCGGACGATTGAGGTGACGGCGACGGGGTTCTTTCTTGTGTTCTTGAGTGCGTTGTATCCGGAGCGCGAGTTTGAGGCGAAGAGCTTTCTTGCGCAACAGACTCTATAAAGCTTTGAGCACGGTGCCTGTCTTTTGGTAAGTCGCTGTAGCGCCGAGTATTCTTCGGAGGCAGTTTAGACTTTGGCGACCGCCGCGATTGCTTGGACTGTTCCTCAGTTTCTTGCTCATCTTGGTCTTCATCTCGTGGTATCTGCTTTGATGGCCGGCCTCGTTTCGGCTTCGCTTCAACGACTTGGTTGTTGTTGTTGTTGTTGTTAGGATTCTCTTGAGATTTCCTCTCAGCGTCTTTGGCAGGCCGTCCACGCTTCGCCTTTACTTGTGGCTGCTCGACAGCTGCCTCATGCGCTGAACCTTCCGGAGCGGCATTCTGTTGGTCTATGACCACCACAGCCTTGTTAGCTTCTTTGCTTTTACGTTTCGAACTGCTGCCACGCGTTTTGGCAGCATCAAGAAGAGCATTATGAGAATTGGTATCAGAGGCTTCGTTTTGCTCCTCATTGAAGGCAATATCATCGTCTATTCGCTTCGAAGCAGCGGGCTTCTTGCCTTTACTTGCTGTCTTCCTTCCTTGCTTTTTCATCGGAGGCTGCGTGCTCTCGGTATCTGATTCTGGCTGGCGCTTGTTGATTTCAATCTCGACAGCTACAAGCGAACCTTGTCGTGCATGTGGCTCGACTTCCGTCTCCCTTCGTACAAGTTCTTCTTCTTCAATAGATTGTGGCTGCGAGACATCAAGTTCTGCAGGTAGATCTGGTTCTGAGTGCATGGACTCTACTAGTTCGGGCTCGGGCTCGGGCTCAGTAGGGGTGGCGGCCTTTTCCTTCTTAGATTTCTTTGTAGGGGCCTTGCGCTTAGATGACTTTTTGGCTTTTGGTTCTGCAGTGGCCTCGTGAATAGGTTCAGGCTCAGGCTCAGGATCGGGGACATGTTCTCGATATGTAGCTTGAATTTTTGCTCGAGTGTCCTGAGCGTCTTCAATGTCATATTGTGTGACTGGCACTACTTCCGTTGAAGCAGATATAGATTGCTTCCTGAATCTCGCGCTTTCTCGTTCCTCGTCCTTGTAATGGAATTCAAAAGGCTCGGATTCCTGCCTGTTGCGAGCGAGATCGGCTTCAATGGCAGCCTCGAGAATCGAGTCATCTGGGATCTTGCTGTTGGTCGTTCTTCCAGAAGCAGATGCCGATGATATTTTGCGTGTCTTCGTTGCTGTACTTTTCTTGGTACCCTTGCGTCCTTTTTTGGGCATCACGGGGGAAGTCGCTACATCTACAGGAGCTTCGTCCGGATAATCCGGTCGCACATCCTCATGGGGCTGAGAGAGACTGCGGCGAATTTCTGTGGCTCGCCTTTTTGGTGAGGGTTCCTCTGGGTCAGGGGTTATATGCACCTCCGTTGAGGTTACGAGAGGCAAATCCTGAGCGACAGCCTCGCTACCCCGTTTTGTTCCTCTCGTTGCACGCTTAGGTCTCTCTGGTTCTGGTTCTTTTTCTTCGGCCTGTTCTGGTTCCACGAGTTCGTCGAGTTCGAGAGGCTCCTCTTTCTTTCCCTTTTTGGCTCGAGATCTAGGGGTTTTTTTTGTGCCTTTCGATTTCTTAGTTGTCGCCTGAGACGTGACGCTTATATCCATGGTGTCGTCTTCATGAGTAGGGGCTTCCGAGGTTGTTATCATGACAGACTGTGTCGATAATCGCGAAGTCTTTGAGGCGCGTGGTTTCTTTGCGCGAGTAGCCTTTTTGGTAGGTTTTGCAGCGGGTAAAGCGAAGACGAAGAAGGAGCAATCGGATGACCGGCGATAATGTTCCTCGCTGTCACGATTCATTGAGTGTGCAAGTCAAACAGGAAGGAACGATGGGTACTCACAATGGATTATCCGTTTCTTCCCAGCCATCTAAGGATAGCTTGCAGTAAGGGCAGCTTGCCAAGTCCGGGCTTTCTTCGTTCGGGCAGAAATACCATCCGGCTTCGACCATCTAAGAGACCATTGGGTCAATTAGGATACGCAACTCAGTGTTTACTTCTAAATGTGCATTGTAATTGCCGTACCTTGTCGGACTGGCATACCCAGCCAGATTTTCCATCGTGTGGCCACCCTATCGCGAAAGTTGTTCTGCGAGCCTCTACAATGGCCATACTGGTGGGGTCCTCGATTTCAGCAGGATTGGACGTCTTTTGCTGTATATCCATGATGATAGCCCAGGCGCAGTCCGGTGAGTGCTTTAAATGCTCCGTTATCGGGTTGTCGCCTTCTTCCCAGCCATCTAACGCTCGCCTACACAGGAAACACGTCGTGTTGTCGGGATTGGTGTCATATGGATTGAAAAAGAACCCGGCATGAGCCAGCTGTCAGATACGTAAGCAAACCGTTACGACTTGTATGATAACTTGACATTTACCTGCTTCGGCGACGGAGAGTCATATGGCCATGCTATGGGCTGGATGTTTCTTGAAGTAGACGTTCTCGAGTTGATCGATGGCAGGACAGAGTCAAAGCTCGCCAGTCGAGCGGAGAAAGTCTCCATTCTGTGGCCCATGTCTAATTTCTTTTGCTGCCCTATAAGTGTCTCGACGCACGTCGCATGTGCGAGAACTGCTGAAGAGCAAGAATCATGCGAAAGTGGCGTGTTGGGATGGAGGAGGGAATGTTTATTTACCTCGCTGCGCGCAGCTCAACGCGGGAACGACAGCACGTGACCTGGGGCGGAGTTTGGGGTCGATCGGGCCCGAGCGGAAGACCTGCGCCTACGTCAATACTTCAACACCACAACATATTAACAAAGCCTCATCAACCTGCTGCTCTGTGAAAATATTGTTGAGTAGTGCTAGCCAGCAACGCCATGGTTTAGCATTTGTTCTTGCGAGCCCTTTTTAAACTTCTTCCGACGTTCTTTCCTAATTTGTTTTGACATAACCCTGTCCGTCTTTCCACAATGCGACGACATCTTCCGGTAGGCTTCCTTCACCTGCAGCATTTACCCGAAGTTCGTGGGTTGTTAATACAATGATGTTGCTATAGCACAAGGCCGTTCTACGGCGTGGACTTTCCGCACAGTCGTCCGTCCATTCGCTGTCAATACTAGGCTCTACTCGCAATGCGAGGCCTACCCATTATCGCTTTCAATCCCACGGTATCCGAAGCCTCCATACATCTCTTGAGAAACCGCATACAAATTTGTATACATCCAATGATTTAAGGTCAATATATACACCAGCATACAGCCTACAAAATGGAATTCCCGCCGGCTATTCATCACCTTTCTCAAGCTCAGCTCTCCTCCAGAAGGAGTTGACCGACTGGGAAGACAACCCCGACCCCTCTATTTCTGCCTTCTCGCAACTGCCATCCAAAGACTTTGGTGTCAATCAACATATGATCATCAATGAAGAATTTAAGGAGGCTCTTCGGCAAATACTTTGGAAATTCCGGGCCCCGATACGATATGCCTTTGCCTATGGTTCTGGGGTATTCTCTCAGACAGCAACAGCAGGCTCAGAATCAGATCCGGGCCATCCGTCTCCGCCGTCAGCCATTCGGAATGTTCAGCAGGGAAAAGGGAAGATGATCGACTTCATATTTGGCGTATCACATACACAGCATTGGCATTCTCTTAATTTGCAAGAGCACCGCGATCACTACTCTGCGCTCGGCTCTCTTGGATCTTATGCGGTATCAGAGGTGCAGGACAAACTAGGAGCGGGGGTCTACTTCAACCCATTTGTAACCGTAAACGGCACGTTGATCAAATATGGCGTTGTTAATATCGACACACTATGCAGGGATCTCAGTCAGTGGGATACCATGTACCTTGCGGGGCGTTTGCATAAGCCCGTGAAGATCCTTCGCGACCACCCACGGGTGCGTGTAGCGAACCAGATCAATCTTCTCTCAGCATTACGTGTTGCTCTTCTCCTATTACCGGAGGACTTCACCGAGCATCAGCTTTACACCACAATTGCCGGGCTTAGCTACATGGGTGACCCTCGAATGACTGTCTCTGCTGAGGATCCCGATAAAGTGAAGAACATTGTCACAGGTCAGATGGACTATTTCAGACGTTTGTACGCACCGTTGATTGAAAACCTACCCAACTGTGTGTTCAACGATTCTCGCTGCTCCCAATCCGACTGGATCGACGACCCCTCCGCGAATGTCAAATTGAGCCAAGACATGGATCCAGTGAAAAGAGGCAACATGGTACGGCGGCTGCCCAAATCCTTCAGAGAGAAATTATATTTTCAGTATCAGAGTCGTTATCAGATTCCACGGGCAGAGTTCCTTCGGATGATGGAGCAGACGAGCGATGAAGACCCAGAACGAATTCACCGGCGTCAGGGCGGCGCCTTTGAACAACGCATCGCTGGTGACGATAGCCTTAAAGAGGAGCTACAACATACCATCACCAAGACAATTCGCTGGCCAGCCACCATGCAAACTGTTAAGAGCGCAGTGACAGCTGGCGTTGGCAGGGCATGGACATATGTTCGCGAAAAGCGAAAGAAACATGCCAATTCTAAAAAGGGCGCTTCTGAGCAATCATCAGAGCAGCCGCAAACAGCAGAGAGTTCTAAGAAAGAGTGAAAGAGTGATAGTCTTGTTTACTCTGCGGAGTACATACATGCTTCCGTTGACTTGGAAAAGGGTTTCATTTGTTCATGGACTGAAAAGATAGAAGCATCGACGGCGTTAGATTGCATCTTTCTAGGCCCCGGCCTACGATTATGTACATATATAGATGATTTGGACTTGGGCTTTCGGCCAGTCAGTGTTTGGTGAAGCTGCTGTATATTGTGGACAGTTTGTAAGAAATTTGGTTGTGAATTGAGAGATACTCAGGTATCCACGGACGCATTGGAGCATTGGACATTATTGGCACATGGACAGAATATCAAAAGGGTTAGGAATATATATTTTATCTATATAATAATAAAAAAATCGAAGGGGCCATTCAAAGGAAATTCGTGAAAGTTGCGATGAGTCAGAAGAGAATTATGTCATGGAATGTGGGGGGCTTCAATTATTTCCTCCGTCTTCGGATTCCCAACTCTCTCAGCAATTGCTACATCCTTGCACTCCTCTGCACCACAACCAGGCTCAATGGCTTCACCAAAATCAGCGTTTGACTTGTCCAAATGCGCGCGACCGAATATTCTCAAGTTGCATCCCTACCGGTGTGCCAGGGAGTGAGTATTGCTCGATGCGTTTTTCTTTGTCGGTGGAGCTATAGCAAGCGCTAATAAAGTCACCATTTTATAGTGACTACAAAGACGACGGGACAAACATTTTGCTTGATGCGAATGAGAATGCGTACGGGCCTGGTCTCTCGTTGAATGCGAAGAGGGATCTTGAGAATGCCTCGTCAATTAATGACTCTCATTCACAGATTGATTTCCTGGGGTTGAATCGATATCCGGACCCGTGAGTCATAGTTCAGCGATTTTAAGAAAAAAATCCAATCAAGCTGCTGACGTTATCTTTGGTCTTGAATAGTCACCAATATGACCTAAAGCAATTGGTCTGCAAACTCAGAAATACCAAGGTTCACACGCAGAAGGAACTGAAACCGGAGAATCTTTTTGTTGGCGTTGGCTCCGATGAAGCCATTGATGCTCTCTTGCGGTGTTTCTGCGTCCCAGGCCAAGACAAAATCCTTACATGTCCTCCGACATATGGAATGTACGCCGTCAGTGCGGACGTTAATGATGTGGGAATTGTCAAGGTGCCTCTGGACGTCAACAACGGCTTTCAATTACAACCGGAAAAGATCAACGAGGCTCTGACAGCGGACAAAAGGATAAAAATTGTCTACATCTGCTCTCCAGGCAATCCAACAGCAAATCTGATACGCAAAGAAGACATCCGAAAAGTCCTCGAGCATCCAACGTGGAATGGCGTTGTTGTTGTGGACGAGGCATACATCGATTTTGCGCCGGAAGGGTCAAGTTTAGCGGAATGGGTTACTGAGTGGCCGAACTTGGTGGTTATGCAGACACTGAGCAAAGCGTTTGGTCTAGCTGGTATCCGATTGGGAGTTGCGTTCACAAGTCCCGACATAGCGACCTTGCTCAACAGTTTGAAGGCGCCGTACAACATCTCCAGTCCGACGAGCGCAATTGCTCAGGCAGCGCTGTCTCCCGAAAGTCTTGCTGTCATGCGAGAGAATAGAGCTAAAATTATTGCTCAGCGTGATCGGTTGTTGAGAGAGATGCCCAAAATTCCGGGAGTCGGGCGGTTCCTTGGTGGGCAGGCCTCAAATTTCCTGCTTGTGGAAATGCTCAATAAAGATGGCAAACCAGACAATGTCACTGCGCTGGCCACGTACGAGGCGCTGGCTGAAAAGAGGGGAGTCGTATCACGTTTCCGGGGCAAGGAGTACGGATGTGAAGGCTGCTTGAGGGTGACGGTGGGCACTGAGGAGGAGGTCACTCGGTTCCTGAAGGAGCTGCAGGTTGTTCTTCAGAATCTGCACTCGGAAACACCGATACTGTCGTCGAAAGAGGAGGCAATTAAGGAAAAAGACGCAAGTGCAGTTGTTGCGTGATGAAGGTGAGATTCTAAAAGTGATATAATAAATGATATAAATCAATGGACATCGAACAGACTAGATATTATGTCTAGGACTGCTAATACTTTATGCCAGTTCAATATTATTATAGATGCTTAAGATGATCCATTCTTGAGGAACTCTCGATGATAACCCTATGCCAATCCCAATCCTGGGAGTTTCCGAGGAAGCCCTAACCTCCAAGGCTGTCTATCTCCAAAACCACCCTAACTACCCCTGGCATGACACAATGAGTGAAAGCTAAGTCACAAAAAATATCACTCATCTAAAAGAGCGAATTCCCTCCTCACTCTTGGGTACTCATTCCCCAGCCAGAGTTCGCCACTCCGTGGCACTGTACTAGTCATGGCAGATCACAGGCAGTATATCCAATAGTGCATAAAACATTAAGACCAAAAATTCGACAAGCGGTGAAATCTCAAATCTCAGTAGCAGGTATCCATTCCAACATCCGCGATTGGCTGCAGCTGGTCAACCCTTGTTGCATGCTGCCAATCCCTTCCACGGATCAGTATGCAGCCGAAGCCTCTAGAAGCGAAAAGCGGTGTCCGACCATTTTTCTTTGTTTCTTTTGTGTCTCGCAAAATATGTACGTACATCGTGCATGCACGCATTCCTTTGGCGGTTGGCCGATATTGCAATACCACTGCGTGCTGCGTGCTGCCTGGCGAGGAGTAGCCGGTACCACCACGGCCAGCCCTATGACTCTAGAATATCCACCAGGCGCCGGTTCATACGGTCGAGAATGTCTCATACATCGCTTGGATCTACTAAAGAATACGAGATGACGCCATTGCACGGCGCTCCTATCCGTGCTAATACATAAAGAGTAAGAATGAGCAGGCGTTGTTGGGATTTTACATGTTTCACTCCCTTCCCGAGGTTGTTTTTAGGCTATTCGCACGGGCAGACGGGCTGTAATGCTGCATGCTTGATAGTGTGTAGTACACGCAGGCCACAGGCATCAACCGCGTGCCCCCGCCTGGCTAAGTATGCGACCTGCTTTTTGGCCCTCGAAAAGCTTGTGCTCCCGGCCCCGGGCTATGGAAATGGCCCCGGGCAGCGGTCGTGCCTATCGAGTCGGCGTTATCATCGCCACGTCAGTTTGGGTGGTCGGACAGATGCATGCAGGTAGATAGAAGGAAAGACAGAGAGAATGTCAGCAGGTTCTCCCAGGCATGTGAAGACAAGTGGAAAGATGCAGGTGCCAAGTAACTACGCATCTACCTATAGGTGTCTAAAGGAAGTGCGTATTGAATAATTATGTGCGTATATCCAAAAGAAGCTACTGCGCTCTTGGCCACTCTATCATTGATATCCTGGATATACTGGATACTCGTGCTGCTGCTCCGATGGGCGATTAGCCGCAAGATAAATAAAACAGGGCTGATGGAGCTAGTTAAATAGTGAATACCAGTTGAGATCAGATAACATATATTAAATGTGCGGCCGCACAGACATCCGGGGCTCTAGGGCTTCAGGATTTAACAGTTGGATGGATTCAATTTCCCGATTTGGCAATTGCTCTATCCGGAAGCGGGTTAAGAGGGGCGTACTACTATAGCTACTATAGCCACTAGCTTTAGGCGAAATTTATAGTGAGTAATCACATCGGTGACGACTTGAAGTTCGGAAGGATTCCCGTTTTTCTAGAAACAACACTCGGAGTGTCATGGTGGCTGCTTACACAGATGCAGGATTAACAATTGAACTGATCACTAAGCAGCCACGCCTATATTAGCTAGTTAATACATATAATGACAGTTAAGTTTGTTAATAGTCAAAGTGTCGACGATAAGTTACATTGAAATGAAATCCCAAACTCCACCCGTGTCCGCTCGCTAACCTCGTAGTAATATCTCCATGCAATAATAACAACAACACCACTCTGCAACTATGACTACGTGAAATGTCCGTGTTGCATATGATGCATGCCCGGCATGACTGTAATGTGAGCATGCCCGGTAGGAACTATGCTATTATTTGCCTCCACCGGAGTCATGGTCGAGCTCGGGCCTAATGTCGACGGATGCATAATCATAGGAGACGCAGCAGATGAAGGAGATGAGCCGGCACTCGGGGGCTGCGCAAGACATCGCCAGTAGTCGAGTTCTCCCTGGGCTTCGATTAGTTGTGTGTAGAGCGCGCTGACTTGGTCGGTGGACTCTTTATAGGACGCTTGGAGATTCTTGTGGCTGGCGTCGAGCGTTTTGATGTGCGCCTCGAGGTTTTGTATATATCGGTCTTTGCGTTCGCGGAATGTGCGTTGTGCGATGCGGTTTTGTTCTCGTCTTCTCTGTATGTGAAGGACGGTCAAAATAAAGTAAAATAAAATAAACATGTTTTGCAAACAGGTGGTACAAGTCCTCTTAAGCGAAAAGTGAAGACTGCCTACCTGTGATTTGTTCTCCGGGCTATCTTCCTCAGAACCGGGGCTTTGTTTTGAGGACCGCGTTCTTCTAGACTTCTCTTTCCTTGAAGATGGCCTGCTGTCGTCAGGTTGGAAGAGCCCAAAGTCTGGGCTGGCGGTCGTGGAAGGAGGAGAGGATGCTATATGATCTGTCGGTGGGATAAAATGCTCAAACTCGATCTCGTCCTGCATGAATTTGGCATTTGTGATACTGTCAGTAGCCTGCGGATCCTTGTTGCACGGCTTGTCAGAACTGGGTATGATTCAGGAAACAATAGACAGATAGAGTAGGTAGGTACACATACAGATATGGCAGCATTATGATAGCCTTTCAAGCTGTAATTATTGTAGAACCAGGGTCGGTTGTCAGTGTTACCCGACAGCAAGACGACGTCTGCTTTCATGTTGTGGATGTTCATTTGAAATAATAAATAAATAAGAACACACACAGAGCGACTCGAGGTTGAACAAGCTCTGTCAGAGTTGAACGAGAGATTTACCTGGGTAGCAGCGATCAAGTAACTATATAGCTGGAACTTAAGTAATCGTACAGTAACTGTCGGGGTGAGCGTTCAGCTTAATATAAGAGAACAACCACATTACCGATAACTGCACGAAGGGGCCACCCAAACCTCCCATTGGCCAGCACCCGGATTCCAAGCATATCCCTAGAACGTGGATTAAGGGCAAAAAATACGCACAACAATACTATTATTCCTGGGGTTTGTTCCACGGAGTACGCTCGGTCAACCGGGTTAGTGCTCTTTGATCCGGCCAAGGACTCAGCCCGAAAAGATGGGACAGTAGCAGCAGGATGGGCACATTTCCTGCAAGTATGGATAATGATGTTACCCACGATAGCTAGTTACTACTAATAGATAGTCCCGTGTCTTAAGATAACTCGGTACTCGATCTTGGCTGCTGCGCCTGGCCCGACCTAGAGACTTCCTCCGCTCGAGTTTAAAGACGTATTATAAAGCGCCACTCCGTAACTCGCACATGTGCTATGATAACTAGAGGAAACTTGCCCAAACACCCCTGTCAGCACTCGGCTTCACTGCCCTATCAGTGCCTAGCTTCTTCCCCCCCCTCCGGGGCTGTAAACATTTTAGTCTTGCAGGAACGTTGACTCGCATGGCGGACCAGACCGCCCCTTGGGACATGGATAGGAAGGATTTCAGCCGCACCCCGGCTACTTATATGTCGTACAGATCGTCTGGATACGGTGTGTCTCTTGTGTTTTCTTTTTGCATTGCCATGCTTTCTTTTGTAAGCGTGCACCGCACTGGAATTTAAGCGGTTGTGAAGCGGTGTTTAATCCCACGTATGAAGATTCACGATGTGTATGCTGAAACAACAGAGTTTTACTAATACAATAATTTTTATTTTGACTGGAAGCGAAATATTGGCAAAGAAAGAAATAACAAGGGAAATAAGAACGAAAAATAAGACAGGTGCGGGACAGACACGGGAAACCGTGACCTGCGGAACCCTAATTCAATGCGAAAACAACCTGGCCAAGCCCTAACGCAGATGACCATATTCCGTCAAGTCCATTCCTGATTAATCTGTATGCTAAAACGCATGCATGCAATACTAAAAATGAACATCGGCCTTTTCTATTTCTTTTCGTCCCGCGAGAAATACGGGGGTGGTGCATCTGCCCGCTGTCCTTCGGACGAGGGCTCCCTGGGTGCTTCTCTAGGCCAAGAGTTAGGACCACCAGAAGCAGGATATGGAGATTGACGCTGAGGAGGTGGAGATTGGTATTCAGAAGAGTAATTAGGATTGTATCCGTAATTCTGGTCCCATTGTGGTTGCTTTTGCTTTTGCTGTTGCTGTTGTGGTGGCAGTGGTACTTGTCTCGCGGAGTTGCTGTGACCAGGGCCATACTCCTGTGGTGGTGACGGTCCATCTCTGTAATATTGGCTAGGTGGTGGACCGTATTCCACCGGTCCTTGCGGTGGTTGCTGGTAGTATTGTTGATATCGAGGAGGGATATAACCGTAGCCAAGTCTATCGAATCTGTCGAACCTACCGTATCGATTATATCGATCATACGGAGTATACCGACCGTCATAACTGTAGCAGTAGTACGTATGTCAGAATGGAAATTGCAAGACATAATATAGACATGTATATATGCTGTAGAGGCAGAGGATGACTTGGGAGACTTACTTTGGTCCAGCACCAGTGTTATTGCTTAGCGCACCGACCACAAGAGCAGTTCTGATGAGACCCATGATGAATATTCACTCTAGGTGGTATGTATATAAAACGACGTGAGAAGCCGATTGGCTAGGCCCGGAATAGTTTAGAGAATGAGTATAGGAAGAAAGATTGTTGGAAGAGTACTGCTTGAATGGGAAACAGAAAGAACAATCAGACCCAGCGGTCTTTCAAAGCCATATTTATACCTGAATTTCTACTCTGTTATCATTTAGAGCAACATGTTGAAACAACTACACAGTGTTGTTGATCGCCCGTAGTGGATAAGATGCCAATTACTAATTACGCGTGTTTGCTGTTGGGTCCGCGTATTAGTTAATCCCGTATAAGAAACCAATGAACATCGTTTGAGCCTTGAGGGACTTGTACGTTGGAAGCTAGAGATAGCTTAGCTTGGCCAACTTTGATATCGGCCCTCATTTACGTAGAGTTTCAGCCTTCCACATACGCGGAAGATCCGTTCTTTATGAGAAAGTCATTGCTGGCTAGTTACTCTCTGGGTCCAATCAACCATTGTACCATGATGATACAAACTTTCAGATAACCACACGATGTATTTTGTAGCTGCAAGTTACTCCGTATCTCCCAGATCGATGCCACGTGGCTATACAGTCGTATTGAACCTGTCTTCTTCATCCCCATCACGTTGATAAGTCTCCCGTTTGGCCATGAGATCTTCCTGCTCTTCCCCGCGCACAATGTCTTCCGTTTTGATGTATTCCTCTTCTGTCTTTCCAACCGGGGGTGGAATATCTTTTACGATCTCGGCATAAGCTATTTCGGGCTCCGCTGCACTAGGCTCGAGATCAGATCTCGAAACTGGTTCGTCTTCTTCGCCTACTGTAGGCGTGGTGACACTCTCATCTCCTCCTGCAGCTTTCTTGGATGGAGGATGTCTGACAGGTGTGTCGTCATTGAAGAGTCGGAGAAGTAGTGCGCGCCGATCTTCTTTCGAAAGCATAAGGTTGAGAGAGTACATTGATCGCCAAAGAGGGAGCACCATCCGTTCTCTGTAGCGAATGTTAGCTAGGCTATAAGATTGGATTACCTCCTGCCAAATACATCGCTTTACTTACGGAAGTCCTTCCTCAGTTTCACTTGGCTCAACCCTCAATATACAACACCCAAGCTCCATATCTTTTGTTTGTTCTCCCACTTCTCCCAGATGCTCATAGGTATGTTTGTCGAGTTTTGGGAAGAGGTCAATGAGTAGTCGCCGTAATGTCTCTTTCTTATGTAATGTCACTGTTCGCTGAGGCCCAAGCCAGCGCTCGAGCAATTGCAACCCATCGGTCTGGATGCGCCATGGACATTGGTTAGATCGCTGAGCATCCTGTTTCACAAACATTTTCACACCAGCGTGCACAAATTTAAGGCCTCGTCCCTCATTTTGCGTCAAGATGTCCCGCACCAGTGCACTGCTGTAGTAGACTGTCTTGGTCAGACTACCCGACGCATTTCTCACCAGGAACCGGTCCCGTGGAAACCGACTTGGAATATGATAGAATTCGAATATCTTTTCAATTTCATCTTGCTTGCCATCAATATATTTGAAGGGTTCTTCAATCGGCTGTCCGGGTTTCCTTTTTGTCGGTGCCGGGACCTCTGTTTTAGATTGTGTAGGCTCTTCTACTTTTGGATAGTCAGTAGTATCTTCCGTGCCCTCCACCAGGGATGGGGGAGGGAAATGGACAGGTCGGTCGCCGATAGCAGCATCGGTGCCATCATCAAGCCTCGTACGTTTTGTTGGAAGCTGTTCTTCGAGAACGGACCTCGCTCGTTTGGAAGGGGAAGAGGGTACATCCAAAGTTGTTTTGTATGGAGGTTGATGGGATGATTGAGCGACGGTCGCATCTTTGCCATCTGTTCCCTCGCTAGGTGGTACTATATCGTCGAGGGCCTCAATCTTCTGGATGGGATCACCGTTACCATCGCGAGTTTTCTGCTCCAACTCTTCCACTACCGCAGCAACGGATGCTTTCGGTATCACTTTCGAACTGTCCTCTTTAAGGGCTCTGATCTCGCCCTTTTTCTCTAAGACGGTAATAAAGAAACCACCCGTATCTTGTAAATGGGGATAAACACGCATGCAACGTTCGAGGTGCACTTCCTCCGTAGGTGGGAACATGGTCCCCGCTAATCGACCAAGTCCACTAATGCCGGATTTTTGCCTATGTTCGTCGACTTCCTGCCAGCTATTCCAGACGCGAGAATCGCGATCCAGGACTTTCCAGCTGCGTAGCCCATTAACTCTCTTCAAATCAGGCAGCTCCTTGCTGCAGTCTATGATTTCGACATGAGCTGATCCACCACAGCGGTCGATAGCTCCAGCAACGACAGCTTCGTTTTCAATTGGGTTCATGCTACAGGTGGAGTATACAACGCGACCTCCGACTTTGAGCATCTGGAGAGCCCGGACAAGAATGCGCACTTGAGTAGCGTGTAGGCCTAATGCGTTTCCAGGCGTCCAGTCGTTCCAAATACTGGGGTTTTTCCTTGTCGTTCCGTCTCCGGAACAAGGAACATCCGTCAGGATGCGGTCAAATTTAAGATAGACATTACCCTTTCCGCTTCCAGAGTGTAATCTTACAGATGGAAAAAAAGTCGCATCGTGGTTCGTAACAATCAAGTTAGGAGAGTTCAATCGTTTCATCTGATGGATTAACAAATGCGCTCGCTTATAATCGCTATCGTTGGCGATGAGAAGACCAGTAGTTCGACCGTCATCTCTCAATCCTTCGGGGTAATTTGATGCGTCGAATGTGCCTTCTCGGATCTCAGCAGTTGCCTTTGCGATGCTGTCTTCTTCGCCGGCGTGCAGCATCTCCATCAACTGTGTGGATTTGCTTCCGGGCGCGGCGCACATATCAAGCACGGTCATTCCGGGCCGAACGTCAAGAAATAAAGGCGGAATCATGCTCACGACTTCCTGGCGCGTGATATTGCCTACATCTGCCTCGGAGACAAGGAATTTCTGGAAGGACGAAAACGGGGGAAAGCGTCGGATAACATTTTTCGGAGTTGTCATGTACCATGCCAGTTGATCCGGGTACCAGGGGACGGGCTTTGGAGGTTCGACGACATTTCCCTCATAAGTGATGGACGTGATTTGGGGGATGTGGTGGTCGACAAGCGTCTTTTTAACCGCAATCGCATGGCTATTGTGAAGAATCATCGTTAATACCACACATAGAGGGCGTCTAGAAATCAGGGTATGACGTACCCTCGGGAGCCAGTAAAGCGGAAGCTGTTGGGAAGTTCTCTCTTCAATGCAGCCCAAAAGGCTTCTTGTTCCTCCTTGGGGATGATTCCAAAGTCATTGTAGTATGATTCGAGTTTCGTGTTCGCCTTTACTATGTCCTTCCAGTCCGCACGTTGGCGACTGCCTCTCTTCGCAACCTACGAAATAAGACGAGGTTAGTGGTGATTGCGAACTTGTGTCAGATGAAGGAAAGATGACTTGCTATTCTGTCATCCTTTCGCATGGGAGCGATGTCCTACCTTTTTGCCTTTACCCATCGCGAATTGGTGGCGAATGGCTCGTTGTGTTCGTCGCTGGCTGTCCCGCGATGAGATTTTGCTCTGCGAGAGCTAAAAAAGAGCTTGCTGCTTATCGATACGGAAATTAGTCGGGCCGACGGGGGATGCGTCTAGTCAGGTGACTAGGGTTAATATAATAGGAAAGATTGGCTACAACCCTTAGATATTGCTCTAAGCTTGTTATGCAGAAGTTAATTTTCGCGCTTACGAATAATAGAAAAGACTTATGGCCCCGAGTCTTTGGATTGTGAATGATATAATGTCCAGGTAGAAAGTAAAATACTAAGGGGAGCTTCTGGGCGGCCCGATCAATCCATTCACTCGACCAAGGAACAATCACAAAACAAAGCAAGCGTCTGCCTTTCCTCGTTTACGCCCGGTTTGTATAGTTACTAATATGGCATCATGACATTGATTCGCATGCCTCTTTGTCTGGTGAGTGCTCTGGTCTGCTCATAAAGCGAGGAGCCGCCGTGGCGGGCCTCACACGTGGTGGGCTGGGCTGATTGGCTGGAAGCGAATGCTGATACGGCCAAACCCACGGCCAGGGCGTCTAAAAGTAAATTACCCAAGTTTACCCCGAATTACGCTGATAAAATACACCGAGCCTTTAGAAAACGGTGCTCTAGCCTATCCGGGGGGACTTCTCGCCTTTTTTTACATATCTGGTACAGCCTTATACAAACACAGGCTGACATCTGCCAGCGCCATTTTTTTTTTCGGCCTTTTTCGCTCGCGTGAGGCGGTACTTTTGTTGTTGTCTCTCCCAAGTCAAGCAGAACGGCCAAACGGTCGGTTAAAATTATTCTCTAAACCATCGTAGCTGGTCGTCCTTGGTACATCCTACTTACTACGTCTGCTGTCCACCTCGTCTGGAGGACTCGAATTCTTTGTTTTCAAGTATAGACCGGAGTAATCGGTTGTTGGTTTCTTGGCTGGCTTTGAGCATGACTCGCTATCTGCTGATAAGTCTTTCGTGCCTCATCAAGTAGCGAAAGCCTAATCGTCCCTACGCGCCCAGGGACTTCTATGTTTCTATATTTTCTCTCGATCATCTCTTCACTTCTGAATTCGTTCTGTGCTATACAAACTAGACCTGTCGGCGTATATTTGCCGTCGTTGGGTTGGCGTTTTGTATATATATATACGTATACTGGCGATTGAGCAACCTAGACTCTTGCTTTCGCGCCTACCTAGGTACTGCTCACTACTAGGCCGACTTGGTGCCGATGGATTCAAGCCGTGCAGACTTCGTGAAACAACTATTGCAGAATCATCACAAAGTGCCTTGATAAGCCACCCCGGCTTTCACACGGCTGGCTAACACCAAGACCTACCTGTATCAGGTAGGAGAAGGGCGAGGCAATGCTAGAATCTGCATTGCGCTCCTTGCCCGTCGTCGTCAGGGGCATATATAACCCTGTCCCGCCAAACCCACGCACGGCATACGAGGATCATCCAACTCTACTGGTGTGCTGGTGGTGCACTTCCGTCTCTTTGGGCATAATTCTCATTCGACTCGTCGGCCGCTATAAGCGAGTGAAGCGACTCTTTACCGAAGACAAAGTTATGATGGCTGGCGTTGTCCCACTTGTTGCTAGGATGACTCTGGTCCACTTGGTTCTGACTTGGGGCACGAATAATGCGAAAACCGCTGCGCTGTCGGAATCTGATCTCCAAGATCGAGAAAGGGGGAGCCGGCTTGTCCTGGCAGCGAGAATATTCTATGCTATTTAGTGAGTCCTGTCATCTTGTAGTAACCCCTGCTAGTGTGTTGCATTATAGATGTATACGTACGGCGAGTACAGAACAAACATCTGACTGATAGCTCGTGCAACAGCATCTGGATGGCCAAATACACTGTCTGCGAGTTCCTGAAGCGCCTAACAGGCATGGTATGGACACGGGCTTTCCAGATAGCACTTCGAGCAGTTGAGTATTTTCTTGCCAGTACTCTCGCCGCGGTGATAATCGCGACACTTGTAGAATGCAAGCCATTCAACCACTACTGGCAGGTCGTTCCAGACCCCGGCCCGCAATGCAGACTGGGATATGCCAACCTGTTAACCATGGGAGTGTGTGACATTCTAACCGATATTTTCCTTGTGGTACTCCCCGTCTCGCTCTTTCTGGCATCAGCCATGTCGCTGAAACGGAAAATTCAGCTGGCTCTTCTCTTTGCCTCGTCACTCCTTCTGGTTGGTATCACGGGATACAGAGTGCCGGCGGTGATTGACCGAAATGGGCTGCAAAGCTTTCGGTCCCTACTCGCCTCTTTCGAGATCCTTGCCGCCACATCTGTCTCCAACTTTGTAGTCATTGGCTCTTTTCTCCGTGACCGCGGTATCAAGAAGGCCAAATACAAACGAGCAGAAGGATCGCTTTCGGCAATTGATAGCGTTGATACTACCTCGGTGAGACGAGCTACAATTACAAAACATCACTGGGGGAGTGATGCGGACCTTGCCAATGGCCTAGGTATCCGGCTCAACCCTGAGCTGTATGCGGTACAAAACTACATGATACGTCCTGCGCCCGTCGTGCACGGAGCCAATAAACCGGATAGTAAATGCGAGAGTGATTCGAGAAGCATGGACAGCTACACCATGACGAGTAGTAGTTTGGACGCAAACAACAAGACAACAGCACCGCCACCTCAATTTGTTGCTATCAACAAGCCAGCAATATCCAAGATTTCACCGCGAAGTGTGTCATTATATGACGTGGGCGGTCTATTGAGCGAGTCTACACTGCCGTTGCATCAATCTGTCGAGAGCATCAGCATTTCACCACAGGAAACACAAACCTCTACTTGCCCTCAAATACCACCAATATACACACTTCCACCTGATAATGGGGAAGTGACCAGGCCCTTTCTTCAGGATGTGGGTGGCCTCATAATTCCACGACACGACGTATTTAACGCTGCTTCCACTATAAACCGATCCGAAGACAATGTCAACGGACATTGTGTCGATTAATGTTCTTACCTTAATCATATATGTACTTATTTGTGTCAGAAACCCCTTCACATTTTATGTTTTGAGAGTCATGGTTTGCATATGGTTAGCGACGGCGTTGGCGGATATACCCCTAGTCTCTTTCGTTTGTTGGGTATACCTGGGTCTTGAATCTATTGATATTGAATTATAATAACCCTGATTAGTATCTCGCAATTACAAATGCTTTCAAAGTACTTATGCAGCCGGTTCGCAACATTCATCTTGAGCTCAGCATTGATTTTTGATAGCTACCCACCTAGGTAATGGCACATAACGGTAAGAGACACTTGCATAATACATTAATAGGTACATTCGAATTGCTAATAATCTCAGTTTAGGTAGTCTCCTGAATCTGCTTTTTTTAAAACACTGATTTGCACATGCGCCGACACGCCGCCCTATAAAATGTGCTTTCTCTCACTCTCTCTTATTTTTTCTCCCTCTGCATGCCAATGGCTAGTATACTGACTAGTATTGCAGGGGGCTGGGTTTGGGCTTGTTATCAAATTGACCTCCAGAGATGCACAATGCAATGACTGCTCTTTTTTGCCTAACAAGCTTGTGTGGCATGGAATAGAAAAAAGAGGAATTGAGAAGGAAAGAAAGGAAAAGAAAAACACCTAAATAACCCAACGGTAACTAGCATATCGACCGGCTGTCTCACTTTTTCGAATAATTTTAACAACCTGGCCCCTTCGCAACCCGTGATAGCGCGAGACAGGATCAGAGACCTGGATACGAGGGAGCTGTGACTCCTTTAGACGATACCGTTCCAGCAATCGAGCCTTCTCTTCAGCACTCAACAATACATGTTTTGGCACGAGCTCGTGGTGTGTAATATTGACTAGTAGATCTGACTCTTGGAAATGTTCGCAGATATGGCCTATAGCGCTGCTCAAGAGGCGAACGGCCGATGGCGAGATGGCGGTTTGTGTGATGAAGATTCCGGAATGAAAGTTGCCCTCGTCAACTGTGTGATTAAATGCGCGCACTTGCTTTGCGCCCACGGCTGAGGTGTCTGGGCAGAATTGGACATATATTTGTCCGCAATCTGGCACGGGGTCGGGGTCTGAAGCGCGCTTTTTGAGCGGCGTGTATTTCGCTCTCATCGATTCCGAAGGGATGGCGGCTATTGTCATTTTGCTCCGGCTATGTATTCGAAGGCGTTAGACTTTACTGTCTTGTGAAGGAGGAGATGAAAAAGACATACTCAGGCCCGCCCAACGAATCCGTATATTTGCTCCTAAAATCATCGTAGGTTATGTTCAATTCTTCGTCAGACATTTCGTAGCCCTGTATTTTTTTTTAAAAGGCCGGTGCAACTGAGTTAGCAACATGTATTCACTGAGTCGACGGTAAAGAACAAGTCAGGTTCAAGCCCACCCTATCAGCAAGCATCTCATGCACCGTTTTCCATATGCGCCATAATCTAGCCGTCTGTCGCTCAGACTCCTGGGAAGTCCGAGAAGTGTCTTCATCCATGGTAGACACTGTAGGCGCCTGTGTGGCGCACTGGAAATTGAAATGAGGTTCAAATGAGAGCGAAGAGACAGAAAACTAAAAGACCGAGAAATCTTTTTTCTTCTCTTTCCGTCGCGGTAGCTCTGAAGACAGCGCTCCAGAAGGTGGATGGAAGGTCGAACAGCAGCAAGTGGCCCCGTCAGCTGCGTGTGTTGCGAAAAAGCACCAAGAGATTGTCCTCTGCCTCTCTCCCTCTCTCTCTCTCTCTTGGGTCTGGCTCTTTTTTTGCAGCAGGAGGAACAAAGTCGGAGCGCGCGATAGATTTCCCTAAGCGGGCGCTAAAATCGGTTCTTAGACGCGGGCTGGCGGCTTGGCGGGCAGGCGCCGATTGGCCAGCGGGCGACCAGGCTAGAACCGAAGCGAAGGGGACGGAGAAAAATAATAACGGCGATTCATCTGGCTGTCTGTCCTCTGTGCTGTGCTCGACTCAATTGCCCTCCTCGGTGGTGTGCGAACTTCCTCGTGGGATATTCTCCTTCAACTTGCGCATCTTTGATTCTCTCCGGCCGGTAAGTCCTTGACAAGCTCACCCACAGAGCTCCCTGCTCACACGACCGATCTCGGTTCTACGATATTCGTGATCTGTCTTCTTCGTATCTGTGACCCGCCACCGGCATTCGTTTACTGACATTCCTGCCCAAGGTCGGCGTTTTGAAAACATGGCTGCTACTGCCGCAGATGTCCCTGCCGCCGAGCAGAAGACTCGGCCTACAAAGCCTGATGAGGGGGCTTACAAGGCCAACCTAGCCGCGGCCGAAAAGGAGCACGCTACCGCTCAGGAGAAATTGGTTCGCTCATGCCTTAGTTATCCTAAAATACATCATCACTAATTGTTCAATTGCAATCTAGAACCAAATCAAGGCCAAGATCGAAAGCGCAAAGCCCAACAACCAGGACTCGCCTGCTGCTAAGAGGCAGAAGGAGCTGCGTGCCGAGCTAGCTTCTATCCGCCAGAAACAACAGGGTTTCAAATCCGCTCGCGCAGGCACTCAGGAGAAGCTAAATGCCCTGGATTCTACCCTCAAGGCCCGTGTGGCTGAGCAAAACAGCTCTCGTGGCAAGATTGCCTTCAAGAACGTCGAGGAAATTGACAAGGAAATCTCTCGCTTGGAGAAACAGGTCGATTCTGGCAGTATGCGCCTGGTGGACGAGAAGAAGGCCCTTTCGGATATTTCCAGTCTCCGCAAGCAGCGCAAGAACTTTGCTGGTTTAGATGACGGCCAAAAGACCATTGATGCTTTGAAAAAGCAGATTGGCGAGCTGAAGAAAACACTCGACAACCCAGAAGCCCGTGCTCTGAGTGACAAATACAATGCGATCCAACAGGAGCTTGACACCATCAAAGCCGAACAGGATTCCGCCTACAAGAACCTCAATTCATTGCGAGACGAACGTACCAAGCTGCAGCAAGACCAGCAAGCGAAATTCACCGCCATTCGCGAGATCAAGGACACCTATTATAAGCAGCGCAAGGCGTACAAAGAACATGAGGATGAAGTGTGGCGAATTCGCCGGGAGCGCCAGAAGGCCGAGCGTGAGGCTTTCGAACGGGAGAAGAAGAAGAAGATCGCCGACAGGAAGCTCGAGGAGGCTTCGCAACTGGCCTACACTGACGAAATCTTGACAGCACAGGGTCTTATCCGTCACTTTGACCCGTCTTACGATTTCTCAACCTTGGGCCTTGATGATAACAAGAAGGTTACAGGCAGTGCTTTCCGTGCTGAGATTGGACGTACCGTCGATGACTCGAACATCAAGGGCGTGAAGATACTCAAGAAGGACGACCGTGATGATGACTACTTTGTTGGCACCGGGGGAAAGAAGGGCAAGAAGGGCAAGAAAGGCGCCAATGCTTCACCCGCTCCTTCCACTCCATCTGAAGGCAAGTTTAACCTTAGCTTTGGCGTGATCGAAGACTTTGCCAAGGTCAAGGTCGACCAGCCCATGAGCCAGGCCGATGTTCCAGCTGTTATCGAGAAATTAGCTGCCAAGATCACCGAGTGGAAGAAAAACCAGGCAGCCAAGACTCAAGAGGTATGTCAAAGCTTATCCTATGCTCCTTTAACCTATTCTTTCAGAAAGAACGATCGCTGATACCCTAGCAGAACATAAAGAAAGCCCAAGAAGAGATTGACCGCCTAGACGAAGAGGCCCAGCGCGCTACCGACAGCGGCAAGAAGGTCTCCCAGACGAATGCCGGGGTCAACGGCCATGTTTCAGCCGACGCAGAAGCCAAGCAGGAGAAAGATGGTGCTGAAGATGCGGCTGAGGAGCTCCAGAAGGCTACCATCGAAGACAAAGAGTAAGAAGTCTCGCAAGGCCGTCGATCTGACCTGTTGAATAAATAAAAAATACACATTTTTCGGCAACTTTGCTCTTGCGCGCCGATGTAACTGCATAGCTGCCATTACGGAAAAGGCGTGTTTTGCATATTACTGTTTCAGAATAGCCACCGAACGCCCCAGTATATCTGAGCGCTTTTGTTCTTCTCGTTATTTCTTTTGTATCTTGTCATTTGACTGCATCTCATCCCATCTCAACTCAAAACGTCTTGTGCCTTGCCCTTACTTATGCTGTTTATTCTCCGCCTTTCTTCTTTGGTTAAATTTTTTGATGAGGCCATGTGGCCGTGCCTTTTCCCGCGAAAAGTACTCCAACTTTTGATTGTTGGCTTTCTTTTCATGTCTATGTTTCTCTTTCTAATTTATTTTTACTGCCTTTTTTTGCCATGTGGCGTGGACTGCTGAAGCAGTACACAACTGCTCAGGTCATAACTTTATCTCTTTCATGTAATTTTGGTTTCCTCTCTTCCTTTCATTGGTCTATCATATATGAATAGCATCATGCTGAAATGAAAATCAAAAAGACATACAAATTTAAACAAAGGGTTTTTGCTCCACTTGAAATTATGCCGAGAGTCAGATAAAACCATGATCGTGCTTGCTAGAATAGGACGTTGCTGGGATAACCCAGTGTGGATAGGGTTAATGCAATCACGGGACCGGAAGATGACGTCTCTGACCATCGTCAGTCACTCACATGGATATTTTTTACAGGTCAGCTCAGCATAGGCTCGGTGAACCCATGATTTGTGCAAAACGAGGTGGACGTCTACCTAAAGCCGCTTAGAGTCAATGCTGCAAGGGTCAGTTTTTTCCTAATTAGGCAAGTTCCATTCGGACATTGCTATCAATGGCTGTGCAGTATTGCTTAATTTACCCCGAAACACAATCATCATATGCAACGAGCCAAGTCGCAATATTTCGGAGGCCTCCTAAGAGGCTTTGTTGACGAACACGCTGCATCTAACTAGTATGTGGAATAGGCATGCATGCATGCGACCGGGGTCTAATCCCTGCCAGACCTTGAGTGCCAGCTTCCGGTCGCCACGTTTGGTTTTATTTCTCCAAGCATGTATAATATACCATGGCATTTCCCAGTTTTATGTTATCAGTGAATACAGGGTACGTAAATCCTCGCTCTAAGCTTGCCAGGGTATTTATGAGTCCCTCGACTCCGTACGGCTACGCCAAAGGTCCATGCACAACAGCGGGTCTATGCTCGTACTTTCTCTGCATTGCTTTTATTGGAGCAATTGGCTCAGTCAGAGGTCATGCGTCCATAGGCTGCACTCTGTCTCTTCTGGTTTTCTTTGTTCTGTGCTCATCTGCCTCAGCGCTCGGCTAAGTGTTCCTACATTCGATAGATGAATACTCTAAGGTATAACTACGAACCAGAAATTCTGCGCTTCATTTCCTCTTTACAAAAAGACCATACTTCAAACGACTACGGAGTATTTACTATTTAGTACTTAGTAAAAGATGGATCGCTTCCACACGTTCCCAACGTGCAATCAATCACCACCCAGCATCCATCTGTTGATCCGTGCTGTTACACCTACACCCAAACTTGGGCATCTGGCATTTGCGCTCCGTGCTTTAAGCGTCCATCATATGCAGCAGAAATATTATTAGGTTGCTTCTGAGTAAAGCCAATCCCGCTCTTGGATCAGCCTCTAATCTAGTAATCCTCCCGTTGAGCCGTGCGGGAACTACATCCCGTCATTTTTCTAGCTCGTCAAGGGCTGGCTGAAAGCCCCAGGCTCAGAGTCACAGCAAGTGACACGAATACGGATTGGGTGGTGTGCTTAAGCTTTCCACCCTGAGCTTCAAAGACAATCCGGGCCTTCCATGGCAGCACTCATTCACAGAGCAAAAAGTCATCGGAAGCGAGCAAGATGCCCATGCATGGAAATCTTTGACCCCGGCAATCTAACTGGCCACGAGTGCCTCTGCACCTAGACTTCTGCATCATTTGAGACACCTCGCGAGCTAGACGGGGCTTTAATGTCTGAAGGACGGAGTAATTACTACCTTCCATTGTCTGTGGAGTCTTCATCTCGCCCTGGCCGGAGAGATCGTCATTAGCCCCGTCAAAGTTGCATGCCGAAAGATCAAACCAAGCATCTTGATTGGTGCAGAGCAATGTAGTTCGACTCTTCAAGGCGCGAGCGTGACTAGTTTATGGTTATCAATCAACTGATCTTAGTATAATACGGGGGTTTTCTTTGGGCTGGCCCGAGCATAGTAAAAGTACTCCATACAGAAATTATCACACATAATTAACGCTAAGGAGATGTTGGTCCTGTGCCGCTTGCTGGCTCATTTAGCATGCACAGTGGCTGACTAGCTAGCAGCTAGGTGACAGCTCTTTTCATTTCCTCTTTGACGCGACTTGGACTCGTGTGTATTTTGACTTTTGAGCCTCTCACTGATCTTTGCGTGTTTCTTTGATACCTTTTAATTCCTTCACCACTTTATCCTCTCTGTGTATGGAATCTCATCCACCGGTCTTTCGCTTCCCATTTCTACGACGGGCTTCGTCTTCAGTACGCGCCATGAGTCGTCTCTTCTCGTTTGACCGAGAAGAGAAAGGCTTTCCTCCAGAGGGCGACCATGTCTCCCACATCCCCCCTGTGCAACCTTTCTCTGGTTCAGGTTCAGCTCATTATGACCAACCCCAACAGCCACCGCCCTCGTTGCCTATGGACGAGCGAGATCGAATCAGTCAGCTATACCATGTTCAACCACATAACCTTGTTCCGGCAAACAACAAACTCCTCGTCTTCCGCTCATTGACTGGTATAGACCAGGTTCCTGTCCTCTCCAAAGATGGATTCTTCTCTCCCAGAAACGCTCCCAATGTCGGCATCTACACGCGAGTTGTGCAGGCCGAGAAAGATGCTGCGTCTCGCTACCGACTCTTCAATACATTGATTAACACGTGTTTGGCTATTCAGATAGTGTTTTCGGCTGCACTGACAGCCATCGGCGCTGCGTCTGGTCCACATAGTGCAGTGACGGCGTTCGGCGCTATCAACACTATTGTGGCTGGGATTTTGACCTATCTAAGAGGGTCTGGACTTCCAAACAGGGAAAAGAACGTTGAAAAGGCATGGGGCCGGATACGCGAGTACATTGAACAGCGGGAACGTGAATTCTGTCTGGAGAATTGTATGTTGAGTGTTGAGGACGAAATCCATAACATCGAACGTATGTACGAGGAGGTCCGCACTCAGATGGAGGTCGGTGCTTCGGATTCTGGTGGTTCCAGAGGCTTGGAGAGACTTACGTCTCTAAGGCCGAGGGGCAACTTGTTCTCTGAGGCAAAGGGTATGGCTCATACGGGCCTTGAAACTGTGCGAGGCGCTATTTCCGGTCATGAGGCTCAGACCGAGCATCATTTTCGCGATGAGTTGCACAACATTGGAACCCGTTTCCGAAACGCCAGCAATCAGATTAGAGATACCGGTGACTATATCAGGGACACAACGGATGGTATTCGGCACACTGGAGAAGATCTACGGCAGACTGGTGAACGGATTCGACAGACGGGAGAAAACCTGCGAGACACAGAGGTGCATCTTTCAATGAATGTGCCACCTCTGTCGAAGCAAACCCAAACTGATCAGCTAAGCAGCACGCCAGAAAAACACTTGAACTAGCTTACTATTCAAGTCGATATTTAAAGACGATGAAACCACGGTCCCAATAATATCCATTAATTTCCGTGGCGAACATGTTCTAATTCGTGTATCAATTTACTGTACGCCCTTGTCCTCTATGTACCATTTATTGCTACAAGCCGGCTTGTGTTATCAGTTCTCTTTAACATGACGAATATTGTTATTGGTTCCAAAGATACTTCAAGCAGCGGATACCCTATCATCACGATCAGCTAGCAAGCACATCGCTTCGGAATAATCGTTTTCTTTCAGAATCTGATAGTACACTTACATAATACCAATAATTCGGCGAAATAGAGAGGACACAATAAGAATATTGCCCTTTTTCGGTGCAGTTTTATACTTATCTTTATGACTTCATACATCTGTACATACCTGCATCTTAGTGGAAGTTCAAAATAATAATCGCTTTGCCTCTGAAGATTGTTGAAAATAAATTGAAAGTGCTTTTGAGGTGACAACGGTGCTGTTCTTATAGCCAAAAGATGATCCCTAGTTCCTCAAAGTACACTACTACTTAGACAGCCTTTTTCCTTCTGCCTGCCGTTCTACCGGATACAACCCCTATTTTATTTTGACATGAGCCGCACGTGCACAGGATATGCATGAAAGTAATCTTAATATGCCTCCTGAAGATCACCCCTCCACCGCAAGTGCGGGGAAGGGTTGATATAGACAAAAGTTTTGGACGATATTATGCCCAGGAATAGAGGCAAAGTTGAAGAAGGCATATCGAACAATTTTACGAGATTGGTTCGATCTAACCTCAACTCTGATATATGAATTAAGCCTGCAAGGATGATGCTGTCTACAGAAGCTGCAACTCCTGACTATTCGGACTCTGTATGTCTATACAAAGGCGAGCCATGAAAAAGAAGTTTCCTTGGTATTGTTACACCGGGTCTTGTATTTTATCGGCCATGGCCACTTGTCTAGAACACAAGGAGTTCCGATGCGTGTATGATATTCTTCTTTTCATCTAGACATCGAGGCTAAAATGGTGTAATAAGGAGTGTTAACACATCCCAAAAAGCTGTAGTTGGCCAATGAATCGACAGGCATCGTTGAATTTGAATCGGCATTTCGGCAAATGATATGATTTTAGACAAATTCCTTGCTAGGCTTTATTTTGCGTTTGTGGGATTTTGCATTCGCCAGAGCTGCACAACCCCGCCAGATATTATTTCCTAATTAGGAAGGTATCGTGAAATTTCCCGATTTGGCTGCGGTAGGGGATTGCAGACGAACTCCGCCTTCCTCTTTTCTATTTATCCATGTCATGTCACTATAGCGAAGTACATAGACAAGAGCAACGCTATTAAATACGAAGTGAATTCGACATGCCTAGTTATGTAGGATTGCGGAGAAACATCCAGAAAGATTGATTGCATCTCGGGCTATGAGATACGCAACTGGCGGGACAGCTTCCCCCGAAAGTTAGTGCGCTACATATTCTGCGTAGGACTAATGCATGAGGAACATATCCCCCGCATTTGAGAAGCGTAGAAAAAAAAAATCCTCGCAGGGAGTCCCCATCTGCCTATCCTTGGGTGGGATCGGCATTTTTCCGAATGGCTTCTCGGTTAAATTCCGCAAAAAAAATTGTCGCAAGGGACCGGTGTAGACATGAAATAAATGCCTCTCTCCCACAGGAAACGGGTACTTCATCAAGGCAGTTCACAATTACCAAGATTGAAGAGCAAGCATGAAGCTTTTCTGGACGGCTGTAGCTCTGGCCGGCCTCTCACGGCAGGCCCTAAGTAGAGCTGTGTCGCGTAATGCTGGTCGATTCGGTGTAATTGAGCATCCTGACATTGAGCAAAGAGCGTTACTGCAGGATATTGTAAGCCATGATGTCTTTCTGTTTGCTATTCGGCTGATTTATACCTTCCCCGGACTGACGAATCTAGGTAACATGGAATAATCAATCGCTCTACATAAATGGGGAACCGCTGATGATTTTCTCCGGTGAATTTCACCCGTTCCGGTAGGACTGATTCTAGGATTCACTGAAAAAGATACCTTGCTAATCGAAATACTTAGTCTTCCGGTACCATCCCTCTACATCGATATTCTCCAAAAAGTCAAGGCTTTGGGCTTCAATACGGTCTCATTCTATGTCGATTGGGCCCTGGTTGAGGGCAAGCCCGGCTCTTATCGTGCAGACGGGATATTTGACTTACAACCTTTTTTTGATGCCGCATCGCAAGCTGGACTCTATCTGCTCGCCCGTCCGGGTCCCTATATCAATGCCGAGGCGTCTGGAGGAGGCTTCCCAGGTTGGTTGCAGAGAGTCAATGCAACCTTGCGCACCGCGCAGCCTGGCTATATGGATGCTACACAGGTGTACGTGCCTTTTCCTAGAAGGAGATTCTAAATAGTGGGCTCACATATTTTCTATCTTTAGCTATGCAAACAACACCGCCGCGCTTATTGCGAAGAACCAGATCACCAACGGCGGTCCGATCATTCTTTACCAACCAGAGAACGAGTACACTAGTTTCTCTGATGGATTCTCGTTTGACCCACAATACATGCAAGATATCATGGATTCTGCCAGAGCTGCCGGTATTGTTATACCATTTATTAACAACGATGCAGCAGCAGATGGACATGACGCGCCTGGATCTGGGGTTGGCGCTGTCGATATCTATGGGCACGATTCGTACCCGTAAGTTGATCTTTTCCAAACGGTGGCTAATTAGACTTTTGTGCCTGATTAATGTCTTGCAAAGACTAGGATTCGACTGCGTAAGCTTACCAAGTACCAAAACTGCTTTATATCGCCACTAATGCAAAAATACAATAGGCCGAGCCATCATCATGGCCATCCGGGGATCTACCAACTTGGTTCCGCGAAGTTCATCTGAAGCAAAGCCCCTCAACTCCCTATGCTATTGTTGAGGTGCGAGATTTAAACACAAAATGTTCCAAAAATAAGTCCCTTGTCCTAACTCTTTACTAGTTTCAAGGCGGTTCTTTCGACGCTTGGGCAGGGAGCGGGTTCGCGAACTGCGCCGCTTTGCTCGGTACAGAATTTGAAGATGTCTTCTATAAGAATAACTTGGCTGCTGGTGTGGCTATCATGAATTTGTACATGGTGAGAAATTCTTTCATAAATAGATGCGACCCCTGTATATATGTCTAATTGTCTCCCCCAGATATACGGCGGCACCAACTGGGGCAATCTGGGATATCCAAGTGGCTACACATCCTATGATTATGGTGCCGCTATCGCAGAGTCTCGCAACATCACTCGTGAGAAATATAGCGAGCTCAAATTGATCGGGAACTTCCTCAAAGTTTCACCATCTTATCTTGACACCGTTCCTGGCAATGCTTCGACCACGGAATACACCAACACATCGGACTTGACTGTTACACCCCTCATTGGTCAGAGCGCCGACTCATCCTTCTTCATAGTCAGGCATTCAGACTATAGTAGTCTCGATTCGACCAGCTATACGCTGCAAGTGCCAACTAGTGCTGGTGTTCTGACTTTGCCGCAGCTCGGTGGCTCTTTGACCCTAAATGGTCGCGACTCTAAGGTGCATATTACGGATTATGATGTTGCAGGCACAAATATCTTATATTCGACTGCCGAAGTCTTCACATGGAAAAACTTTTCCAGTTATAATGTACTCGCTCTCTATGGGGGACAAGAAGAACACCATGAATTGGCAATTTCTTCCTCTCGGAATGCGAAGGTTTCGATAATCGAGGGCTCACACACTGGAATATCAACTAAGTCAAAAGATGGTCAAGTTATTATCGCATGGGATGTGCCATCTACCCGCACTATCGTTAAAGTCGATAACCTTCTCGTCTTCTTGCTTGGTGAGTCTCTAGTGGAGCATATATGGCTAGTTATCATTGAAGATTTGACCGCTGACACCAGCATAGATCGCAATTCTGCGTATAAATACTGGGTTCCTCAAGTTGGTACATCAAATAACAGCGTCGGGTTCACCAGCCAGAAGACGGTGACTGACTCGATAATCGTTAATGCTGGCTACCTCGTGCGGCTTGCCTATCTACGAGGAAGCGACTTACACCTCTCGGCAGATTTTAATGCAACCACTGACGTGGAAGTAATCGGAGTGCCGGAGTCCGCTAAGGATCTGTATATAAACGGTGTCAAATATCATTATACCACCGACTCTAACGGATTTTGGAGGGCAACTGTGAAGTATAGCGCGCCAAAAATCAGCTTGCCAGACTTGTCAACATTGGAATGGAAGTATATAGACTCACTTCCAGAAATCCATCCAGCCTACGATGACAGTCCATGGATTCGTGCTGATCATGACTGGACCAACAACAGTGTCACTCCACTGCAGACTCCTGACTCACTTTACGGTGCCGACTACGGCTTTACGGCCGGTTATCTCCTATATCGTGGCCATTTTGAAGCCAATGGGAATGAAGAATTTCTCTCGATTGAAACTTCTGGTGGCGATGGGTTTGGAAGCAGCGTGTGGCTAGATGACACGTATTTGGGTTCATGGACAGGCAGCAGCGACGACGAGACTTACTCTTCCAATTACACCCTACCAGCCCTTGAATCCGGTTCTACGTATAACATTACAGTTCTCATTGACAATACTGGCCTGGATGAAGATGGCACAGTTGGTGCAGATGGAATGAAAGTCCCCAGAGGAATTCTCGACTATGAGCTATCTGGTCACAGCCAAAGCGATGTCTCATGGAAACTGACCGGCAACCTCGGCGGTGAGGACTATATAGATCTCACTCGCGGCCCACTGAACGAAGGAGGGCTCTACGCCGAGCGACAGGGATGGCATCAACCGTCTCCACCAAGCAGCAACTGGGGAGCATCGAGTCCTTTCGACGGTATCAGTCAGGCTGGAGTAGGCTTCTACTCGGCCTCATTCAAACTTGACCTTCCCGAAGGATATGATATTCCGCTGTACTTTGTGTTTGGCAACACCGGTAATAGTTCGTACCGAGTGCAGCTGTATGTCAATGGGTACCAGTTTGGGAAATATGTTCCGCAACTTGGGCCCCAGACGGAATTTCCTGTCCCACAAGGAATCTTAAACTATCAGGGTGAGAACTGGGTAGCAGTAACTCTATGGGCACAACAGAGCAGCGGTGCACAACTGGACAGCTTTGAGTTGATCAATCAAACGCCAGTGTTGACTGCATTGACAGGCATCGTATCGTCACCGCAGCCTGCATACACTCAGCGAGCCGGCGCATATTAGGTATCCAGTATGTAGGTAGTTGACATAGTTTCGTATTAAAGTATAGCAATTACTTGCTTTTCTCGTGCGTCGTTCGATTGGGGGCCTGTAGGAAGAAACTGTCTGTAGATGCAACGAAGCACTCTGATTGGTGGATGTATACCTACGTTATGGCTGATGTTTTCAAGGCAACCGGTCGACTTTGAAGGAGGTCAGAATCAAAAAGCAAGGCTCCTCATTCTATGTCTTTTGACAATTTTAACAAGTCTGCTACATTTTTACCTAGTTAACTAAACTAACGTAATCCACACCCGAGCGGATCACACCACCGAGCGGATCACTCAACTCCGAGCGCGTCAAATGAGTCAACTCTCTATATTCAACGCGCCAATATGCCACCAATTCCTAATAAAAATCAATCAAATTCTCAGGAACAAGAAGGACGAATCTTATTAGCTATATCCGATTTTAAAAATGGAAAATTATCATCAATTCGTCATGCAGCACGCACTTATAATGTGCCATATACAACTCTCTCGCGCCGCCTCAATGGTATCCCAATGAAAGCTGAGATACGTGCAAATGGGCATAAATTGACTCAATTTGAAGAGGAATCGCTTATTAAATGGATATTAGATCTAGATAAGCGAGGATTACCTCCCCGACCCTCTATGGTACGAGATATGGCCAATATTCTTCTTTCTCAACATGGAAATCAAACAGTTGGCGAGAACTGGGTTTATAACCTAGTCAAACGTCGCTCAGAGCTAAAAACACGATTTTCACGAAGATATAACTACGAGCGTGCTAAATGCGAAGATCCGAAGATAATTGAGGAATATTTTGATCGCGTACGAGAGGCTATAGCCAAGTATGGAATCCTATCGGAGGATATCTATAACTTTGATGAGACTGGCTTTGCAATGGGCCTCTGCGCGAGCGCAAAGGTTATTACTGGAAGCGATCGATATGGCCGTCCACATCTACTACAGCCTGGTAATCGAGAATGGGTAACTGCAATTGAGGCAGTCAACTCTACTGGCTGGGCCTTGCCCTCGTACGTGATCTTTAAAGCTACTAAATACTCCCAGGAAGGCTGGTTTGAGACCCTTCCAGATGATTGGAAGATCAATATTAGTGATAATGGGTGGACAACAGATCAGATTAGCATGGATTGGCTCATCAATCACTTTATTCCTCATACAAATGGCCGGATAATCGGACAATATCGAATGTTAATTCTCGATGGCCATGGAAGCCATTTAACTGCCGAATTTGATCGTACATGCACTGAGAATAAGATTATCCCAATCTGCATGCCTCCACATTCCTCGCATCTCTTACAGCCTCTCGATGTTAGCTGTTTTGCAGTTCTAAAGCGACAATATGGAAAGCTTGTTGAGCAGCGGATGAGACTCGGCTTTAATCATATTGATAAAATCGACTTTCTTACTGCTTTTCCAGAGGCCCGTACGATGGCATATAAAGCTGAGACTATTCGGAATGGCTTCAAAGCAACTGGATTAGTTCCATTGGATCCAGATCGAGTTTATAGTCAACTTACTATCCGATTAAAGACTCCAACACCACCTCCTAATCCACCTAGTGATTCTCAATCATCATGCTTACAGACACCTCAAAATCCACGCCAATTCAAACGCCAATTGAGTACGATTAAGCGACGAATCAGCCGGCGTACAAGGAGCCCCTCTGAAGTTATTGATGAAGCAATTAGTCGCATGTCAAAGGCGTACGAGACCAGTATTAACGAGCTTCTTATTATACGGAAGGAAGTTCACGATTTACGAGCTGCACATGAGAAAGAGAAGCGAAAGCGTACACGATCTAAAAAGCAGATATCTCATGAGCAAGGAATTACTAGAGAGGATGCTCAGGCACTTATAAATAGGCCAATTGAGGCATCTCAAGCTCCTACTACTGCTCCGGCCGAGCCTGAGCTTCCGGCCTCTCAACCACGTGTACGCCGTCAATTTCAATGTAGTGAGTGTGGAATTTTCGGGCATAGAAGGCCTCAATGCCCTAATCGTATTACTAATTAATTTTTTGTATATAATTATTATTTCGGGTTGAAAATTGAGGTTTAAAATCTATACAAGACGCTTTCTTGGAGCTGAGTGATCCGCTCGGTGGTGTGATCCGCTCGGGTGTGGATTACGTTATTCTTCTGCCTGGCATTTACATAAGCGGATTCTATTGGCCAGGGCGCCGCTCCGGAAGTGGCGCAGTGACTTCTCCATCTTTCCTCCACCTTCCCGAACTGTTCCTCTGTTCCTCCTCAATCCTTCTCGATAGCAAGGCCGCCAGAAGAGTCTGCTCAACGGATTCCTATATGCGGATTGCAGCCATTCAAACGCGGTATCCACTTGTGTGCGTCTGTTCTATCTTTGAGGTATTGCAGTTGCCTAGCTATAGGCTTTTTCGACGGTGGCTATGCTCTCTTCCCAGACTACGTCAGACCCTATGCTAATATCGGAATCACGGCATACTAGGATTCTTTTTATAATCGTGAATTTTCCGAGCAAGAACAAGCCTCTTTGCGCTTACGTATCCGGCGTTGCCGACGACATCCGACCGTGGTGTGACTTCTTGAATAAATATACCTTCTTGGGACACAACTGGACCCTCTCATCCTCTGCATTCCCTTTTGTAAGCATATAGTCACCATGTCAAACAAAAACCGCGTATGTTCCCTGGCTTCTAATCGACATGGCAAAGCAAATCAACTGACTCATAGTCTCGTTTTTTCAGGAACAACCACCGGCCTATCCCGCTGCTGTCCATCAAGACGCTGGTCCCTACAATTCCCAAAGCCCACCACCCCAGGGGGCATACTATTACCAATCTACTCCTCCGGGCGGTGCCTACAATGGCTACTCTAGCCCTCCGCCACAAGGGTATTATCCTCCAGGACAGCCGCAGTACGGACCACCGCAGGGAGGGTATTATCAACAGGGGTATCAGCAAGGTTATCCGCCACAGGGTTACTATACCCAGCAACCCAATCGAGGATATAGTAGCGGAGCGGATGGTATCTGTGCCGGGTTTTCTGCAGCACTTGCCCTCTGCTGCTGTGCTGATCTTTGTTGCTGGCTTATTTGAGCCTTGAGCCCATACTGGTACTGGCGGCGAGCGCGATAACGAGTTTTTGAATGACTACTGTTTATGGGAAGTGTGTTTGGCTTCTGCTGCCTGGGTTTCTTTCTGGAGTCTTGTTAAATTATTGATATCCTGTTGGGAATGGTTTAGGTAAAACGGCGCTTAAGATGACTTCTTTGCTGTCTACTAGTTACTTTCGGTTTTGTCTTTTTTTATATATTCTCTCTTTCTCTATCATTGGCCTTGTGCTTTAAATTAGCACTATACATCAGTCATCATTCATATCGCTTATACTTGTGATTATAGCTATGTATTGATTGGTAAAGTATATACAACTTTAAGGTAGCTAAGCATGTACATCTCGCATGGGAAAAATTGTCGTTATGATAGGTGAAGCTGAATATGAAGAAAACAGAGGAAGAAGTAAGAAATCAGCAGTCCTGTGGTAATAAAAAACAGTGAGGGTAAAAAAAAAGTTATTCAATAGTCATACAATAAACATGCAAATGTCGAGAAGGGGAAAAGAAAGGGCCATCACCGAGCCCGTCTATAAGATTCATCGCCATCTCCATACGCTAATGGGTCGACTCTCCTATAACTTCCACTTCTTCTCCTACGCCGCGGCGGACTAGTCGCGACACTACTCTCCCCCTCCTCAACCTCGACGAATTCATCTGAGTAATGTGTGCCGGTAGTTTCCTCTTCCTCAACCACTACTACATCCTCGTCTTCATCTTCCACTGGCTCGTGTCTTCTGCGTGAGGCTGGCCGTGATTGCACTTCAACCATCTCCTCCACGACACGGCGCCCTCCAGAACGATTCGACACCGGTCGAGCAATGGCACTGCGGCGAGAGCCCGTGCGAGCCACACCAATATTCCTTCTCTCCTCAACTACTACCACGCTTTCGTCGCTGTCGCCAAAGCCAAGTATCTGATAAACGACTAAAAGCGCAATAATTATACCGGCAACGGTGCCGAGGACGATGCCGACAACAGTGCCGGGGGTGGGTGATGTGTCGAGGAATGCATATGTTGCGGGTATGGAGACCATTCCATTTTGCCTTTTTTGCATTGGATGATCTAGGGAGGAGCCAGAGGAGGATGTTAAGCGTTCTAACGAGTCGAGGCGTGTGGCGAGTTTCGATGGTATGGAAAGGGGGATAAATGCGTGCGTGAGGTTGCGGACAGCGCGTATTATAGGCTCTGTAATGGATGAAATGGGCGCCATTGCATAAAGGTCATATATGCGAGGTCGGTAAGTAGGTTATAATACTATGCGATGCGAACAACGGGGCTGATTAGTCGCAACGTTTGCGCGGTTTCTCGTTATCGAGAGCGCAGGGCGCATGTTGCAGCTGCCAAAACAAGCAGTGAGCTCTTTGCTGCAAAAGTTGCAGGTAGACTATTCGGTCACACTCTGTCCGACTTTCAGTAATGTGCTTGGAAAAATGATGTTGGTGAGGCTGTCGTCTGGAGAAGCTCGAGTAAACAAACGATGTTGTGGCGCATGGTGGGGCTAGTTCTGAATTCAACCAATCATGGCGGACTCTCTGCTATTGCTCTAATAAAGTATACACTGCAAGGTTACATAGTAGTCCGAGTACAGAGTAGGATTTGTAGTTGGATATAATCACTTATGAACAAGTTATACTCTAGGCAGCGAATACGAGTACACCGGTTAAGTTGATAATATATATTTAACCAAGCGGAAACAGCTTGTGAAGGGTTGTTGGCTTCCCTAGTTACTTAGGTATCGTGGAAATCTGGCTTGACTGCTATCTGACAACAACTGACTGCCTGAGTTGGACGGTGTAATTGGCACTGAGATGATCGACTTCATGATGTGTTCCAGATCGGCCAATTCCTGATCCCTTGGTTCGATATGTCCATCGGGTACCTGGCAAACTCCTCAAAGAAAAGCGCCCCCTATGGAGTGTTGCATGTATGTTAACTTGCTGCGCACGTTGTCGGTGTATAGCGTCTAGAGATGATCTTTGATCTTGGGAATGCAGGCTCAAAACTGTATTTACGATCACTAATGCCATAGCATACCCCCATGTTTAAAAAACCTGATGAATGTAAGCTGTAGGGCAAACATCTCAATTAACTCAGACAGGCTGTAACTCCAAGTCCGCAATATCATTCCTATAGGATGACTGCGGATGACTGCGTGACCTTCTGGAGTGACATTATGTTAGGACCAGTCATGTCTCTAAAGCCCTTCTCGATTGCTTCTGATCCTGAGCTCGCCTGCGTAACCAGCTGTTTAAACTCGTTCAGAATAACAAACTCCATCTGCAACTTGAAGGCATAAACAAAGGAATGAATAAATGATTTGAGTATGTAATAGCCTGCAAAATCCAGGGTGATAAGCAGTGCGTCGCAGAGGATGACGGCTATCTGGACGGTAATAAGCAGGCGAATGGTTTTGCGAATGCGACTGTTGAAAGAATCCCGTTCCATTTTGAATGTTCCGTAAATGTACAATCCGCTGATAATGAGTTCTTGGACGGAAAAAGCAACGATTTGTATGCGTTCAAGTATGTTCATGCATGTGACATACTTTTCAAACATCGCCCCACTCGAAGTACCAATGATGAAGATCACAAGTGCAGGAATATGAAACAGCATTGCATCCGTGATGATCATTCCCAGCGCCAGTCTCAGAATATGGCGGTTCTGCATGACGAAGCTGATGAGATTCAACCTCGAGTATAGAACGACCGCGAATCCGGACACCATCCCAACCCATCCAACCTCGGCCAACACAGAACTGGCTATCTGGTTACAGGACGGAACGCAGTATGATAGTAGAAACCCAATGGCGTGCACAGAGATGCTCCATGTGGTAACAAGAACGGACCAGAAGTATAGACCGGACCAGCGTCGAAATACATATAGCACTGAAACGGTGAGTTCGATGGTCATCCAGAGCGGGAGTGCGGTGAAAGCTGCGACCAGAGACCTTAATTTTGGAAGGTCAGCCATATTTTCGAAGACGAAATCGAAGAAGAATGAAGTAAATTGAGCCAGAGATTCTTACCAGGTTGTTTGATTCCAGGGTAAAGGGCTAGGAGATTGGAGATTCAGACCCCAGTCGAACTGGCTGAATGGAACGTAAGGGACGGTAATATTTGTCGCCATATTGTTGACTACCTAGGTAGCAATGTATTTGTATTCTCTGGCGATAAGCGGTTTCGCGGGTGAATACTGAAAACTTCTGTAGAATTTTTGCTACATTTCAATTGAGAACACAGCACCGGATATTTGTGCCCACCCCAGCGTCGAACCGGGTACGCAATATTGGTCTCTCTCGCCCTTTTCTCTCACGTTGTATTGCTCATTGCTGGAAAGGAAAATTGAATGAAGAACCCGAGACGACAGCCATAGCTTGGAATAGAAAGGAGGGGAAGAAAAATGCAAACCCAGGATGGTGTGGACGAACTCAGTCTACCAAGAAAGATAGACAAGACCATTGAGCATTTAGGCATTGATCGACAGCTTTTCCAAGGCTTGGTTTCAGCTCAACTCGTTGTGATGACTGCCGTTCTCGCAAGGGACTGGACGAACGGTCGAGATTCAGCCCCGCGCATGCATGACGGGCCCTTCGCGGCCCGGCCCCCAAACTCTATAAAACGTGGGCCTTGCCAGATCGCTCGGATTTTACCGTATAAATTGTTTGCCTTGGAGGTCGAATCTGCTGTCTGGTTTTATTCGCCCTCAGTCTCTGGGATGGTGGTCGCTGTCCTAAAAGGGAGAAGACGGCTTGCAAGCTGTTGACCTCAAAATTAATGGGATTGTGATAGACACGCATAGATAGTTGATGAATTAACAGGGCGTATCGCAGTGTGTTGGTTTAGTATATAAGTATGCATTTGTGATTCCCGCGGCTAGAACTGGGCGTGCCTGCGAATTTTTAAACCGAGGAGGTGGAATATCGCGCCATATAGGAAAGCCGAATGACCGAGACATCACTCTTGTCACGGCTTAACTGAGGTCTTCTGAACGTAGAAGAGCTGTAACTGTAGCTGAGTACCTAGGTATCTCGCACAGTATAGGCTGCAAGGCAGACTCACTTATCTAACTGCCATTATACTACATGACTTAAGAATTAACTAAGGACTAGTTATATAGTCTGTGCGAGCCTACTAACTACCAACGTGATGTCTTGCATATGGTATTAGTCCCTATCAGATAAACATATCAATAGGCTAGGCAGACAGCCAGCATTTATCACCATACAGCCAATCGGCGTACGACAAAGTATTGATATGACCCATTTTTATAGATCAGAAATCAATCATATTTCTCAGTATCTAAGTAATGATGAACGACTGACTTCAATATTAGTTAGAGCAGCACTAATCAAGGCATCTAGGCTGTTCTCCAATCGGTTATGTGCGCATTGAGAATTTTCCTGACTAGAATGAGATTACAGTTATTTTTAAGGGAAGGAAACAAGCAAACAAAAAAAGTGATAAATGAGACTTTGCGTGCGACACACAAAACCGCCGACTGTACTTGCATTGTCACTATATTATATGGAAATCCAAAAATAACATCAAGCTTACTGTATATGTTTGAAAAATTAACCATGGCTCCGAAATACGAAGTAGGCTAGCCTCATGCAACGAGCATTGTACATATGCATGTAGTTTGGCCTCCTCCCGAGCATCACTTGAGTCCTTCTATTTTCCCAAACCAAGTCTAGAGATGATATATTCAAGTAAAGTACAAACTAAAATTTGCTCACTGATACATTTGATTCATAAGACTCACATACTGACTGCGAATGAATGACATAGTCACACGAAAAAATATAGCTTACAGATCCTGTGCAAAGAATACCGGCTTGGACGGATAGCGATTAACTCTCAAACTCAGCATATCTGGGCGGGAGTAATGGCCAACGAGGTCCAAGTTCTGCTTTGCCTCGGCTTTCCTGCTGAGATCGCAATCAGCATACAAGATTCCCTCCTGATCGGCAGGAAGTGGCTCGACTAATTCCTCCCCAAACGGACCAAAGATCATGCTGAAACCCCCACTGGGAAGCCGAGCAAATCTGAAGCCATCGATGCCTATCTTTGCTGCATGCTCCTTGCTAACAACCTGTGTGGCAATCAGTGCAAAGCAGCCGCCCTCGATGGCCAGTATGCGGGTGAACTCCTGAGAGCATTTTGTAGATATATGATATGGCCACTTTTCCAGTCCCTCGACTAAGAATATACATGGCCAGCTGGCGACGTGGATATCTGAATTTTGTGTGTATTCGTAATAACGGAGGAGAGTTTGGGTGTGCTCCCAGCACTTGAGACCACCGATGTTTCCGAAAGAGGACTTGACAACGGTCTGCAGAGACTCGCCTTGGCCGTCTCCCCAGTACGCCCGCTCCACGTGGGTTGGCTTGATCTTGCGGCGGTGGAGAACCACCTGGCCCTCCTCGTTGATGAATGTCTAGTACAAGTTAGTCAGACTGTGCGAGCCGCGGGGGCATGTTGATCTCCGAGTAAGTAACGTACCTGGGATATGTACAAAGTGCCCTGGAAGCGTTCACTATACGCCATGACACAGAAGATGCCAGCATCTTTGACTGCATTTTTGATGCGCTCCATCTCCGGAGACTCGAGCTCCATGGAATTGTTGAAGTACTCATTCATGAACTCGCCATTCTCGGTGGGAGACTTGGCCCAGATGCTCCTGAGCGGTACTTGAGTCAGTCCATCACTATGAATTACCCCGGTAGCATACATGTATGGGGCTCACCATGGGTATCCTGGAATGAAGACTTCAGGGAAGCCAACAACATTCGCTCCGTTGAAGCTAGCTTCCTGGATCAACTTAATGGACTTGTCGACACCACCCTGTAGGTCGTTCCATACTGGCTCGGCCTGGATGGCCGCAACTCGAACGGTTTTGCTCATGGTGGACTGGACGATGTGAGGAGGTAAAAGATGGGAGAAGAAAGAATGATAGAAGACAGAAATTCGGCATAGCAAAACGAGAAGGCTAAATACTTAACATATCGCCAGTTGCATCGGAGAGCAGTCTTTTTGACCGAAAAGGGTTACCCTCCTTATCGGCGCAGATAAAGAGCGTAAGCCCCGGATAAGCAGTAACGCGGCCGGCTAAGCAGTACCCTATCACCTCCGGACGATCTACCCCAATCTACCCTGGATTAGTGGAGGACTTCTCATTTTAGCTTTTTGCAATGACAATGAAATATCGATCATCTCTGAGAAGTACTCCGAGACACGCGCCGGTCTTATCGCCTGGTGATAGAGAGGCTGTGGTCTGGCCATCACCGGCGGCGCGCTTCAAAAGGTATTTGATCCCCGATGTTTGCATCTAGAGTCGAACTGTTCAGTCGTCTTGTGTCGATAATCTTTTGTTGCTATTTTTCTACGGTACAATATCAGACTAATCGACTGGTCCTGCAAAATGAACACCGCCAAAGGCTCGGCTGGCAGCCATGTCAGCTTCTACAATGCCCTGGTAGGAAGCGCGTTTGGCCATTCACGAGAAGACACAGGACAAACTAATCTTCCTACTAGATCATCGCGTTCGCATGCTTTGGAAGTATCACTTATGGATGTAAGGAGCCATCCACGTTCTCTTCACTGTTCACAACCGCTTACACCGACAGATTGCTCCTCTATCATCGGAACCACTCTTGGTCAGCCATCCTTCACTACCTATTTCGGGCTTGCCACTAGCTCCAATGCCCACGGCCTCGAAGGCGCCATGAATGGTCTCTTCCAGGCAGGAGGTCTCTTTGGAACGCTGTCGTTTGGCTATGTAGCCGACAAGTTTGGCCGGCGAACAGCTTTGTTCACATCCTCCGTCATCTGCGTCATAGGAGGAGCGCTCCAAGCTGGATCTGTGGACATAGCCATGTTCATTGTTGCGAGATTTATCACTGGATTTGGAGTCGGCGGCAATGTATTCCTTGTGCCTCTCTGGCAGAGCGAAATCGCGCCGCCTCATGCACGAGGACTGCTAGTTGGTTTACATGGTCAGTTTCATTCACCAATTGGGGAAAAAAAAAAATAAAATAAAAATAAAAATAAAAAAATAAATAAAAGGGTTCACTCTACGTTTTTGAAAAGAAAAAAAGCTTACCGTTTAGTAGGAATTTTCATTCTGGTCGGTTACAACATAGCGACTTGGCTTGGGGTTGGTTTCTTCTATGTCAACGCCGGTGGCGCACAATGGAGACCACCTCTAGCCATTCAATGCTTGCCGCCCTTGATTTTGGCCTTGGGGGTTCCTTTCATCCCCGAGTCTCCACGCTGGCGTAAGTTGGAAAATCCTTTTTTCAAAGAAAAAGAAATTTCGAATCGTCGACTAACGAAACTCTGTTTCAGTGATCGATCACCAAAAGGAAGAACGAGCGCGATTGATCCTTACCAAACTGCACGAAAGTAAACGAACAGAACAGCAAGAATCCTTCGCGGACCAGGAATTCTACCAAATCAAAACACAGCTGGAATACGAGCGCACACAGGATTCGAGCTGCAAAGCAATCTTCACGACAGACCACTACCGCAAGCGTGCCATCATTGGCTTCTACCTTTTGTTTGCTGGTCAACTCACGGGCACCACGGTCATCAACAACTACGGGCCAACATTGTATGCTTCGCTGGGCTATGGAGCAGCGGATCAACTTATTCTTTCCGGTGGCTGGCTAGTACTGGGCCTTGTGGCCAATGTAGCGAACGCTATTCTTCTCGACCGTGTGGGCCGTCGCTGGCTGATGGTATCGGGCATGATTGGTTGCTTGATTAGTCTCATTGGCGAAATTATTATGCTGGCCCTATTCCAGTGTTCGGATAACAAGAGTGGGAAGATCGCTGGTGTGTTTTTCCTGTACCTGCATCTGGCCTTTTATGGAACCTGCATCGACGGCTCGACGTACGTGTACGGTAGCGAGATTTGGCCAACTCATCTCCGGGGTAAGGGCTTTTCGCTTTCGGTTGCTGGCCTTTTTGTAGGATCCACGACACTGTTGACCGCAGCTCCAACGGCATTTGCTAGAATTGGCTGGAAATTTTATCTGGTTATGACTGTATGCACCGTCATTTCCACCATTTTTATCTGTTTCTGGCCTGAGACAAAGGGCTTGCCGCTGGAGGAAATTGCTGCAAAGTTTGGCGAGAAGGTCACTGTACAATTGAACGATTCGGCAGATGCCGCATCAGTCTCCATCGCAGACGTTTCAGCCCCAGTGAAAAAGGCAGAAAACGAGAAGTGATCCGGTATACACATGTTTGGCTGGAGTTCGGGAAACTCTTGGGAGAAGGATTGGCAATCGCTGGATATGGTTTGAATGATGCAATCATGACCACCAAATAATTCGAAATGTTACCCTCAATCTTTAGATTAATCAATCTCTTCAATTGAATTTTCATGTCTGATCATCACCAAGAAATAATCCTGCAATTTTGTAGCTCTTTTTGGTCGCAGTATCATGCTCGCGGGCCCTGTCAAAAAGATAGAAATTGCATGGCACTTGCTTGATACCGCGGATAGTTCTTTCAACTATAAATCCAAAATCTGTCTCTAGTTGGGTACAATCAACTACATGAAGCCGATCTCTTCCAGCCAAAGCTGAGCCATCCTGTCCATTTCAGTCGACGCTGAAGCATCTTTGAAAAGAGAACCGAATATTGAGGCATCAAAATGCGGTGGATATACAATGGAGCTGCTTTCTTGATTGATGTCTTCGAGGACCGGCGGTGTTCCGGTGAAATTGACGCTGTCAGCGTCCTTCAAAGCTGACCGAGACTCCTCCAGTTCGACAGCCGACTCCTCCCGGCTAACCTCATAATAGAGCGAGCTTGTAGATTTTAAATCGAAAAATTCGTCGACATGCCACTCTTTCGCCAATACCTGCAGAGCTTGGAGAGCGCGTTGACTCCACGCGCACCATGCCACGCTCAGATCCTGGAGTGTTTCAATGCAGATTTGGAGGTATAACAGGGAGCGTTTCCGGAGCGGTTTACTGATGGCGCGAGATCGGACATCAAGTAAGTGAATGACAGAAGCCGTAAATACATTGTGAACGGTAACGATTGCAATTCGTCGCTGGTGAACATGAGAATCAAATTCGATTCTTGTGAACCTACATAGCTAGCAAAACTTAGGCAAAGTAGACATACCATGGTGTAAAAGTGCTTATATATTCGCAACATATTGACAACTTCAGTTGCAGAGTGTCTGCAAGCTTGCATGTGTGCGTTTCCATCATCGAGCGACGAATTATTTTCAACTTCCCTCTGGGTTTTTGCTTTTATGAGGGGCCGATGGAGGAGGATCTGGCAGACATGATATTGTATACTTTAATTGGTCAGCACCGAGAATTTTACAAGGACGGATCTGTTGGTCAGCTTACTGAAGCTCGTAAATGTGAGGTAGAGTAGGAACCCGGGGTGAGGATGGTAGGCGGAGGAAAGTCGGGAGAGATGTGTAATACATCTGTAGAGCAATATCTGCTTTGGTAATTATCGATTCCATTGTTTGTTTTGGCAGTCGATTGTTTGGTGAATATCTGATCTCTGTTAGTAGCCCAAACTTTTGGGAAGAAAAATGACTGGCACGCACATCTCATCCATAGCTTCCGTAGCAATGGTCAGACTTTCAGATACAGAGTGAGCCACAGACACAATGCGTGAATGGGCGGCCGGCGCCAACTGACCTTTGTGAAGGTCTGCTAGCCACGGCCCGTATTCAACACTTGGGATTAATTCAGGACGAGGGCATGTCACATGAGCTTTTTTAGTCGCAGCAGGTCGCCCAAGAGCAATTGCAAACAGTCTGTTTCCTCGTTAATGGGTGGCCGAGCGGTGAAGGTCAAGGGATATCAGCGTACTTGTCAATTGTATATACACCCCACCAAGCGATTTTCCTCACTTCTGCCTCTTCTTCCGAAACCAAACCCTTGGCAACCCAATGCGTGCAGTCAAGATTGAGACCTATATTATATGCCATGCGGGTTGCATTTCCTAATCGTCTATTATGAGAAACCGCGTTTAACATGTAATAGATCGAGTCAAACATGAACGTTCCGCAATATAACCAGCCTAAAGCGTCTTTATTGTCGGACATCGTCCTGAGAGCCAGTAATGATGCAGCTTGAACCGTCGTCACTGTCGGCGCTTCAGTCTCGTATAGTAAGAGAATTTTGGCCTGTTCAACAAAAGCATCCCCTGCGGTGTTCGGATCATCGGCAACGCTCCGGATTTCGATGCGGTCTGAATAACGAGATGCCAAAGCCAGCACAGCTGAAAGCAGTAACGGGGAGCAATATTTACCGTTCCCGTTCTGAAGATCCCGCATAAAGGGTTCTTTGTGTACGACATAGTTCCACGAGTTCTGCCAATTCCAATACAAGTCAAGCAAATGGTCGCGTAATTCCTGTGATACGATAACCGTCTTGTTGAGTTGAGCTGCAGCCAAAAGTCCCAGCTGTTGCATCTCAAACGAGGTCCCCGAGATTCTCTTGACGCCCATTTGGCTCTGGAGAAGATGATAGTTGCTCTGAGAACCAAAGTAATGCAGTTGGCCGTCGCTACCAACATTGAGTCGACCCATGAGTTGTGATACGTCGGTCACCGGATCACGCTCGTCTGAGCCTGGCGAATCGTGATCAGAAGTATCTTCAGTCGCTGGACTATACTCTGCAGGCTCGATAGTCGGCGGGAACGCTGCCGCGGTCTGTCCAAGTGCTGTCAACTCATCCTCTAAGGACTTGATACGCGCCAGCAGAGATTCCACATATTGTTTGCTGGGTGGCCTATATTTGATCTCAGTCACAGCCACGGAATGCGATGCACGGCAGAGTCGGTGACTCCACTTACTTGCGCCTATTCTCGGTGATTTGATACTCGCATTTAAGACTCCTGCTCATGCAAAGACCACACGTGGGCTGGACGCCATCGCACTAGAGGTCACTAGTCAACCTAACGAACAAACCTTGCGGTAAATAACAGGTGAAACAGCTCCAGTCAAGCAACTTACGCGCACTCTTTTCTTTCGACAAGATAGACATGCGATAGACATCCTCTGCCTCTGCTTTCCCTTCGGGGCGCGCCTCGTCTGTGTTCATTGTGCTTATGTGCGGTACAGTTCCTTCATGATGAACGCCAGTTAGTAATAACTGGTTTCTGTAAATTTCGATGATAGAAAGGCACTGCCAAAGAGAGGGAGAGATATAGAGAAGGAAGGAGGAGGTGAGCGGGTCCAGGATTTTCCGGCCTTTTTTAGTGCCGTGGGTACCGGCGGTGGAGTACGTCGCCGCAGTACTTTCTTTTCCTACCAATTTCATATACTTGATAGCAAGCGACAGTAGGAGTGTATAAGTCTATTTTGTCGATCTGACTAGATGTTGGTTTTCTGTCTCTACCAAAGATCTACGAAGGAGTCTGCTTACTGAACTAGTGTGCATGAGCCTATATAAACACAGAGCTGGAATCACATTCTGCTCGGAGCGGAAACGACATATCCGCAGATGATACCGGCTAATTCCTCGTCGAAAAGCCATTCCTGATCACGAACTAGTTTAGGGCAGCAATGGTACTTATATTCAGAGAGCGGTCTGTTTTTACAGGCATTTCACTATGTTGCCTTGCTGCCGTACACCGTTTTCATGACTCCTCGCCAGGGCGAGAACAAGATGAGAAAATCCCCGGATACCCACTGCGATACAACTGAGCACCATTCTCGAGATGGCGGGCTTAGAGGCTGGACACAATGCGGACTCGCCTGGCTGGTAACGTTTTCGATATGGGGCTTCGCGAACTCATTCGGAGCCTTCCAATCCTACTACGAAACTCGAATGCCCGAAAGCTCGTCAACAATCTCTTGGTTGGGATCGCTTCACGTCTGCCTGCTCTTCCTGTTCGGTTCTGTGTCTGGTCGAGCTTTGGATCTTAATTGGATGTACCCGGTGCTGATCGTAGGCGTATTACTACACCTGGTGGGCATTTTCACGGCCAGTGCATCAGGGCTTGTCTTCTAGAGACTACTCCTTTCGCAGGGCGTCTGTGCGGGCATTGGAAGCGGCCTCCACCTTTTGTCCCTTTCTCGCCATGGTGGGAACCTACTTTACGGAACGACGTGCGTTGGCAATGAGCTTGGTCACCACTGCTACATCCGTCGGTAGTGCGATTTATCCTCTGGTAATCCCAAGACTCCTGGACGAAATCGGATTCGGATGGACGATGCGCACCATTGGCTTTCTCAACCTTACTTTGTTCCTGACTGCCACTATCTGTATGCGCCCGAAAAAACAACCTCCGGCGCAGCGACCCTTGAAATTGCTGGAGCTTTCGATGCTCCAGCGGATCGATGCCATACTCTTTTTGGTCGGAATAAGTGGCACGTTCGCAGCGTATTGCTTTACGATTTACTATGTGAGTGCACTTTTACCTTACTACTACCACGCAAGTCTAACACATTATCAGATAACTTCGTTCTGTGAAGTTGTCGGCCATGAGAACTATGATGATGCCACTCATTTACTTGCCATCATGAATGGCATTGGGGTTCCTGCCCAAGTATTCTGTGGGTACTTAGCGGACAGATACGTGGGCTTATGTAACGCTTTGACACTTCTTTATAGTTGCATTCTCGTGGATGGCAGTACGCAGCTCAGGCGGTATCTATGCTTTCATCTGCGTCTATGGATTGGTCCAGGCAGGTTGGCAGTCCATCTTCGCCGCGTCTGCCACGAGCTTTGCGCGCAAGACTGGGGACTCCGGTGCATGCATTGGCATCACTTTCACCGCAGTAGCCTTTGCTATGCTGGTCGGTGGTCCCATTGGCGGTACACTCATTTCTTCCGATGAACCAATTTCTTGGACGCTCAAGCGTGGGCAGCTGCCAGTACAGCATTGGGATTCATCCTGGTGGGAATGACAAGGATCTTGAGATTCGGCGTCTCTCCAGGTTTGAAGTGTTGAATAGATCGCACGGTTTTTGTTGATTCTTTTCTTTTTTTTTTTTTTATCTTTTCTTTGCATTCTTGTTCCCCTCCCACCCCCTCCTCCCACTCGCTGTAATAAAAATCACGAATCAAATGACACGCTTTCCTCTAGAAAGGCCTTGAAAATGTCTTCATTAGCAATGACAGATTGCATTGCCTCAAAATCGGCGTCTGTAAAATTGAAATCCAATGAAGACGCGTCAAAAGTGTGTTCATCCACCTCGATGCGATCATGTAGTAATGCGTTGTGATTCTGGAGCGATAATTGAAAGGCAGGGGAATAACTGAACCGCAACGGTAGCGCTCTAAGTACACCCCATCGAGTGGCCAGGCTCTGGATGAAATGAACGGCACGGCTGGCTTGCTGCCACCAAGGCTGTTGCATTTCTTCGAGACTCTCTAGTACTACTTTCAAGCGACGGGCAGCGCGGCGCTCAAAGGCCGTATCAGTTGATGTGGCGAGTAAGAGCAGAAATACCGAGGAGCGCACGAGATAATATACTATCATCGGCGGACATTTCACAAGGGGGTGGGCTTTCCGATACTGAAGGAGAATGTCTGTGACATTGAATGCGGATCGAAACATCTCCTGGAGCAACGAGGATAGTTGTTGATGACTGGTTCTACTAAGGAATGGAAGAAGCAAAATCATTGGGGAGGTCTCAATAGCCATATGCAAAAAATAAACGAAAGGATGATGACCGGTAGATTTGGAAGAAGAGAAACTGAGGCGAGGACATACAGAGGTCCGCATATTCATGAGCGCGCGACGGCAATCGAAGAGCATCTCCTGTCGCTTGGGCTCTTGCAAGGTGCTGAACCGTGGCGAGTAAATAGTGTGCATATAATACCCCTGATTCTGCCACAGGGACCACAAGTGATCAAAATATAGCCCCTCGATGGCCAGTGACCCTGCCTCCATCGGCTCAAATAGAGATGAGTACCGAGGTATGCAAATCCGCTGCCATGGAATCGTCGATGTTCTGCCCAGGAGTGCCGTACAAATGCGATCGACGTGCGAAAAGGCCCAAAAAGCGGCCACTTGTGCGCGATACTGTGGCGTGTGGCGAGTCTGTCCAATGTAAAGCTCGGTCCAGTCAAAAACTCCCAGCTGTTGCAGCAATCCGGCGGCCAGACAGACAAACAACCAAGCGCGAGTTTTACTACCACCTACAGTGAGCTCACGCCAGGCGAAAATGGTCAACGCTCGGAATAGATTCAGCGACGATCCAGGAATTCCGGACGCATTTAGGATGCATGGCTCCGCGGCTTGAGATACAGCGTCTCCCATTTCCAGCTCCCCTCTAACCACAGTAGCCGCGGAGATCACGGCGAGGAGAAGCAACACCGAATCTAGTCGCTGGTTGAGGGACAGGTCTAATGACAGAAGAAAGTCATCCTCCAGCAGATGCTCATAGGCGTTGATTTTCTCCGTAAAGCATCTATATGTCGCTTGTCGATAGGGCAGATCGTAGACACCTGATGGCCATACGGGCCGCGGAAGGCCCGGGCCGCTCAAGTTTGCATGTATGGGTGGTTCAAACCCAGTGTCTAGATTATAGATACTCGTTGATCCTATAGTGTTGGGGGACACTCTTGGCCGGGCCCACTGACTGACTTCACGAGTCGCTTCTGAAGTCCAGCTCAGCGGTACAGGTGTTTGAATCGTATCGAGGCCCCGTGGAAAATCCTGTGCCTGTTGCGATGCTTCTGAGACAACAGTGGGAGTTTGGTTTTCGGTCAGAGCTTGGACCAGAGAGCTGAGACGTTCAATCTCCGATTGCATGTGTTGGATATGCATGCGCTGAGAAGACGTCCGTCGAGTTCCATACACACACGGTGTTGAGAGCTGTTGACACAAGCTACACGCTGGCTGGCCTCCATCACACTAACATCATTAGAGCTTTCTCTATTTCGGCTTGCTAGTTCGTCCGGTCTGTACCTTTCGCTTCTTTTGACGGCAATTCGCACATGCGAGCCAAACACGGCGTTTTTTATCCGTATCGGCTGTCCCCATGTTGATCGAGAGAGCGGAAATAATAAGATGACTACTACCTGATAGTTAGTCCTAGTCAGCACATGAGAAGTAGTTAGTTAACTTACAGCCGCACTCATGTCAGAGAAGACTAGCCAACGATTAAGCCAACCAATAGAATCATATGTAGTTGACTAGTTAATAGACTAATGCGGTTGAAGAATAGAAAAAAATCAATGCCAAGACTTAGTGGCTCAGAGCTATCGTTCGGGAGAGCACTACCCTATCTCAACCCCGTCTTTTGTTTCAATGGGGATGATTAACAACATGTCCCGGACCGGAGTTGCCCTTCTTCCTTTGCAGTGCACAAACAAGGCTTATCTTTGTCCTATGGTCTCGAGCCAGCTCTTAGATTATAATCGAAATAATATTCAAATACAATCTAGCACCTCAAATCACTTGATTCTTCGTTACAAGGCAATATTCACATCTAGCTATAGATCAGTTAAGCAGAAGCAAAAATTCCAAAAAAAAAAGAAAAAAAGAAAAAAAAAATTAAGATTGATAGTCCCTTACTGGAACATTTCAAGAATCTCCATCTCCATCTCCATCTCCATGAGCTAGCTATCTTATCACAGCCACACCGGAGCGAGGCATTCAATGTATTGGAAGCTCTTATTATCATCTATCATCAAATTCCACTTTCGCCCGACTACTACATAGAGATACCGTATGTTCGAGATCCTGATCCCGGGTAGAGCTTTTCCGGATAACAGGGCTTCTAAAGACGGACCTAGATAGAGAAGATCACAGAGTATATATATCCGTATGTATGTGTGTGCGTATGTTCAAGTAATCTTCTGCGAAACAAGTGCCCTCCTCCCCATCAACCACCATGGTCAATCTCAACAGGCTTTTGGGCTGTGTAGTTTGGCCCGTGGCCATCACAACAGCTCAGTATGTGTGGGTAGAAACGAATGGAACTTCACCAAGGCCTTACTGTTCAGAAAAAAATCACCCAAACGCTGCACAAAATCAGCATCATCATCATCATCATCATCATCATCATCATCAAACTTCTTCTTTCGTTATGACACAGACATGGCGGTAGGAGCTACAGCGACTCTGATGTGAATTGGTTTGTTCATACTGACAACGAAACAGCTATGCCGAGTCTGCGCCAAAGCCTACAGCAACTTCGACATATGGAAGACCCTACTCCGAGGTCAGCAGCTTGCTTCCCCCCTTGAGAACAACGACTTGGGGAAGCTTCGAGCCTGGGACCACTGCTACACCAAGCAAACGCGCAGATGATAATGACCCTTTTGGCGAGGCTCAGTGGACCTCTTCCTGGCTCGCAGCAGACCTGCTCAATTACACTACGGTTGGCATATATACCACAACGGTGGCGGCGACCCCTGTTCCATCTTCCGAACTGGTTTTCCCTCCGGCTCTACCTTTTGCGGAAAAGGACTGCTATAACTTCCCCGAGGGATTTATGTTTGGAATCGCCACATCTGCCAGCCAGCAAGAAGGCGCCATCGCATTGGAAGGACGAACCCCAACTATCAGCGAAACGATCATGAAGGGGGGGGGTGTAAGCGGAGCCACCAACTACGTTGCGAATGAGCACTACTACTTGTACAAGCAAGATATTGAACGAATGGCCGCCATTGGCGCCGAATATTTCAGCTTCAGCATCTCTTGGGCCCGCATACTACCATTTATATTTCCCGATACCCCCGTCAACCAGGAAGCAGTCGATCATTATGATGATGTGATCAACACCGTCCTCAACGCAGGGTTAAAACCAATGGTCACGCTCATCCATTTCGACACGCCGTATGCCTTTGTTCGGGACTCGGTCGACCTCGATTTTCAGATAGGCGGGTGGCGTGGTGGTTACGATAATGTGACTTTTCCGGACGCCTACCTACACTACGCTAAGTTGGTCATGTCCCTATATGGCGACCGTGTCTCGCATTGGATCACATTTAATGAGCCCATGGCACACACAAACAATGCCGAAGGGGTCAGGAATGTGATCACTTGCCATGCAGACATCTGGCACTGGTACCACGAGACATATGAAGGAAAGGGTATGGTTGGAATGAAGCAATTTGACTACTTTTCCGCCCCCCTGGATCCCAGCAATGCATCACACGTTCAAACAGCAAACGACTTCAACGATTTCTGGACCGGGACCATTTATCGACCACTCTGCCTAGGCGAAGATTACCCCTCGATTTACAAAACTTCAATTGCCAATGCCACGGCTTTCACGGAAGAGGAGCTGAGCTACATTGGAGGCAGCATTGACTTCATAGGCTTGGATATGTACGGCGGCACGATTGCATTGCCCCAACCCGGAAACTTCACCCCTTCGCCAAGTTTGAAATGTATATCGATGTCCGGTACTTGCTTTGGGGTTGATTTGGTAGATGTGACAAATGCAGGATGGACGGTGGGCTTTGGCAACACGTCTGGTGGCAATACCTACTCCACGGGATTTTTCCGTGCCTTTTTCAACTACATCGATCGAACATACAAAAACCCCTTTTATTCTCACAGAATTCGGCTTTAGCAATCCGGGTGACTCCGAGAAGGATCTCGATGATGCACGACTTGACGTTGCTAGCTCCTTGTTTATCACCAATGTTCTCACGGAGTTGCTAGAGAGCATTTGGGAAGATGGATGTAACATCATTGGTGCTTTTGTTTGGACATTGACAGATGACTGGGAGTAAGCATAGGACCTCCCTCCTTTCGAATGAGTACTGACTTGGCTATTTTAGGTTTGGCACATATGAAGGCCGCTATGGCCTTCAAACAGTTAATCGCACCACTCAAGAGCGGTCCTATAAAAGAAGTTTCTTCGACTACGTTGATTTTGTCAAGTCTCGCCTTCCAAATCATTAAACACGACTATATGGGTGTTCAACGAGAATGCAGCTTATACCAGGGCAGCATTGCTCTCGTACATCCCCTCGGCGAGGATGAGAGACAGGAAAATATAAAATGCAGTATACAGATCAACATCGCAGTTTTAGAAAGCATCATCAGCAAATACCAGAAAATTCATTTCCGCATATTATTTAAGAAGGCCGTAGGAAGGATGGTAGTGTCTTAACTATTTTATCGATTAATCTGTGGTATTATGACAGCGGTCTTGTCGTTGTCTTCAAGCCCTATAAGACAAAATATATAGGCTCAGATTGAACATTATAAATATAATACTTATAGAGAAGAAGTTATTAGCAGTAATCTAATAAAGATATACATTATGCTTGGTAAGTAGATCAGTATAACTACCTATTTACTTAGCTTTAGACCACTAAGCATGTTCATAAGCTTATATAAGGCTTACTAAATTAATTATAGTGCCCTAGGGCTTGCTCAGTTCTATTCAGTGAGTAAAAACAGTGAGGGGGTGAGTACCAAAACAGAAAGGGACTTTTAAGCCCTGGCGCGTCAGGGAAAATCCGGTGCGTAGGTACAACGGAAATGTTCATGCGTCATATTTCTTCTATACATCGAGACTATGCCCAAACCCTCTAGCTATCTTTCTATCTACAAAGTCATAACCAAACCCGTCATATTCTATATCCACGGCTCTCGTTCTTTTTTCCACGGAATTAGCGAACCACCTTGATGGTCTGGCCCCCATCCCAGGTAATACGCTTGCGAATAACCATCTTGAAAGTCCTGTGTTTCACATCCATCGCTTCATGATGCGCATCGAGGAGATAAGCAGAGGGTGCGAATACGAGAGCCTCGCCAGTTCGAAGGCTAGAGATCTGATAAAGCCCGTCGGTTGCATGGTTGCCGTCGATCCCCTCCTGATCGCTATCACCCTTCTTACCGCCGATAGCGATGTGTTTCTTTATAGTTTGATACCACTCTGGACTAGAAAAACGGTGGACAATGGTGATTGAACACAAGTCGATGAGACGAGGTGATATCGTTGGTTCTTGGGTTGAAATGATGATTCGAGTCCCAAGATGGCGTTGTTGGCGGATGATGTTAAGGAACGTCTCAGTGAGTGCGTTTGCAGCTTGTGTGTTTGTCATATACTATAATTCCAGTGGTTAGTCACTAATTTGATTGCATGAATACGCGCAGAATAGTGGCGACGAGAGACAACATACTTTGTGCGCTTCATCCGCCACAATCAGCTTTCCACGAGATGGGTGCGCATGAAGGAACAGGTCAATCGCAATTCGGAAAAGGATGCAGGCTGTATCCTGGTCCATGAACGGACATGACAAGTCTAGAATGGTTACCCCGCCATCAACAAAATAATCGCCACTAGTTCGGTCTGCACCCTTGAGATCGAGGAAAGAATCCAACAAATCTAGACGTTGCTCTAAGAATGGCGTCTGGGATCGATCTAGGTGTAGATCCTTCAACCGTTTACGAAACTCAAAATAGTTGAATCGCCCCTGGTTAGTAAGTGCCATTTCACGCAGAACCCGGGTCAGCTGGGCCATGTATAAAGGCATAGAATCCTTTTTGCCCATGGACATAAGCGACAGCATTGTGGCAATGTTCAAATGGCGCGGCTGCAAGCGAAATGGCTGAACGCTCACGCTAGGGATTTGCGAGTACATCTTTTCTAGGTTGTGAAAGTTAGAAGGTGAAGTCAGAACCCTCACTGGAATCGACTTTTTGTAACTGCCGCCGAATTCAGGCATCGTAGAGGCGAGAAAAGCTGCTTCACTGGGCTGATTGCTCACATTGGAGCTGTATTCATTGTAGTGAAGAACCAAAGTCGAGAGTGGCTTTTTCAGTATCCCGAGACTGGGAATAGGAAGGGAACAATTTTCTGTTGCTTTTTATTAGCTAGACACATTCAACAATAAGGTCCATGCCAATACCACTTTACCTATCATACAGGATGTCGTGTGGGATTTTCCACTGCCTTGAAGACCGCAGATGAAGGCGGAGAATGGAATGTTAGTGTTGAGCATGACGCGAGGGTCCATAAGGTCTTCAGATTGGCGTGACGCCAAGTGGCCCAAGAGGCCGAACTGAGATGGCATTGTATTTCCGATGTCCTCGAGTATCGGTGATACCAATACCGCATGCTCAATACTACGAGAATCCTCATTGGGTGCACTTCTGTTATCGTCAACAAGGCTCAAGAATTGCAACTGGCGCTCAAGATCAGGTGTCTTTGTCATGCGTAGAGAATTATTTTCCTCGGAGTTCATGCGTTGGGTAGCTAAATGTTCCTTAAATTCTGCGCTTGGTTAGATTTTGTTTACCTGTGTATTTTCGCATACGAGTAGAAACCAGCACCTACCATTCAAAATAGCATTGGTAGATTGCACCAAGTCAGCGTGCACCTCAGCTGATTCTGGTTCAACTTCCTTGGTCTCAATTGACCTTTTGGGTTTTTTACCGGTGGACTTCTTTGAAGTTGGATCTTCATACAGGCCAGAATCGTTCTGCTGATCTTCGTGTTTCAACTGCTTTATTTCTGCGATTGATTTGTTTTGATACAGCTCATTTTCGGAGCCAGAAAAGCACTGGATGGGCTCGCTTTTCTTTTGCGCCTTTGACTTCTTCTTTTTAGGCGGCTTTGGAGAGTCTACTGGAGTGATTGGGCTAGGTTCCTGTCATTCATTCCTTTAGCACGACTGGACGAATGCATCTGTAACTGTGTTGTACCTTGGGAGTTTCTATCTGCTTTTTCTCAGACATTCCCCAGTTTGCAGCACCTCTAGCTGCTTTCTCATCGATTGCTTCCGCATAGCTAACATTGTCAGTGTGTTAGTTGACACTCCAGAACAGAGGAAACTTTAGATGATAGTACCTACCCAGTGACTACATTTCGTATCTGATCGGCCTGCCGAGGGTACTTGTTGATGTACTTGGAAATTAAATCATTTTTATTAATGCGGCCTTGCTTCATAAATGTAGTGCGCATGTCTTTGCGAATGTCCCTTTTCAGATGCGTTGGCTGCTGCTCTGGCTGCTGCTCTGGCTGCTGATCAGGAGCTGTTTTTTTCGATTTCGACCGCGTCATTATGGCGGGAATAGGCGCAATTCAACGAATCAAGCAGTAGAAGGGAGGTATTGATGCATATCAAGGGAAATTCGTGTATGTTGTTGGTGTTTGTTGTGTTGTTGTTTGGATTGAATTTTGCCATGACCCACTGCGGGTTTCCGGGGCCTTAGGCAGAAAGCCTATCTTTACTGCAAGGCTGTAACTACACAATTATTACTTTATATGATGTCCCTGACATCATTTTCATAAAACCTTCGGTAGATAGATACTCATATATGCGGAATCCAAAACAATGCGGCCGAAAAACCTGATACACGCCCAAAAAATCAAATCAAATCAACAAAGTACAAAGTGTACTTTCCTCGCGTGGAAGAAAAATGTGTCTGTAAGTATACCTACTCTCAAAATCATTCGTGGCCAGTCCTTCAAGCACCGCGGATCGATGCAACACAAGCCAGAGGAACTCTTAACGAAATACCACCTCTTGGTCAGCATTATAAAATGCCATATTCCACATGACATATTCGCCATCACGGAATTTCCTCCTCAAACCATTTCTCATTTTGTAAAAATCCTCGTAGTCAATGAACCAGCTGTGAAAGAAAACAGACGTCAGATCCAGCAAATTCAAGAATGCTACAGGACTTGATTTGTCATGGTCGATTGAGCGTACCATTTGTTCTCCTTCTCATCATACAAGACATTGCCACGATGTGTATCACCCGGGCGAATACCGACGCTGTACAGTTCCCTGATGTAGTAGCGTTGATTAGTCCGGACGCATACAAAACTTGCACCAGGAAGTCCACGAGAACTTACATTAGGCTTTCCCGAAATGCACACCTGATCTTCTCGCGCTTCTCAGGGTCGTATGTCCAATAGTCGACTAGCGGCACCCCAGGGAGCTTCTCCATTACGATCACAGCCATCCATCCATGTGGCACAGGCAAATGCTTCCAAGGCTGTAATCCCCGTATGATATCAAGAGGCTTCGCAGTCACTTTACTGCCCTTGTATTTGAAGTACTCCAAGAATTCCATCTCGTTGCTTGCCTTCTCAGACAGCACCTTCCTAGCGAGCCTCCTGCGAACCTTTGAACTTAGGCTAGCGGGATAATCGGGGGGCACTCTGCATCAGTGTAAGTATGTTGGTTTATTGTCGTGGCAAAGGTATAGTCGTCACTCAGTGCAAGCGTATCTTAAGAATGGCTTCCTTTCCTTCCTCTGGACCTTTGAGCTGCGTGCAATGGTAGACTGCGAGGGCTTCAGCGGTATCTTCGGGGAGTCCGATAACAACATCCGGATAAAAAATGGCCCTTTCAGAGATTTTCTTGCCAATCAGCCATTCAACATCATCCGTACCCGTGATCTTGACGTTGTCAAACAGATCCCCGATCCATTCTTGATGAAAGTACTTTCGACCTATCTAACCCATGAAGATGAAAAGGACATAGATGTGGCATGAAGGAGCAAGATAGAAGAAAATGAAGAGAGAAAGATGCAAAGGACGATGGTGACCGACGTGACTTGAAATAGCAAGAATGAGGTTAATAGTAGGTAGTGCAAGAAGGGAACGGGAAGGAAGCTCTCCAACTCCGGTCCCCATCCACCCGCAGCCACGGCGCTTACATTATCCACCAAGCGGCAACCACCAACCGTTTGAACTTCCATGCAGCTCGACGTTTCAGTTGATATACAGTCTCGCCCAATGATGAACATCACGGTCCTAGCCAGGCCTTACCTCGACTTGATTGATTGGGCAATGCAGGGTGTCGAGAAACCTGAGACGCCGTATTACACAAGCAGGGATCCAACACCCAAAAATACTGCCCATTCATGGCCCCGATCATGGACGATGTGGTGTTGGAATCAAGCCCATCGGAAGAGTCCGTCTGGTATTTTCGAGGGCCTCCGTATCCAAAATTACTGTCCATTCATGGCCTCTATCATGGTCGATTGGCCGTTGATTCATTCAATCCGCTGGAAGGCCCGCGAGCTATAAAGGTGGATGGATAGGCCTGTCTTTCTACATGAATCCTCCCTCCCATCCACTCTACAAGCATCTTTGCCCGTTGATATATCCTAACACCCGCCTCGTTGCCTTTTGTGATTCCCTTCAATCCACCATGCAGCGGCCATCAGTCGAGTACCATGACTCTGCGTCGATCCTCCGTGATCCGCTTCCCAGTCTTCCAACTCGAGACGGTTATCAAACAACGAGTACTGCCTGGCGCAGTCTCTACCACGTCGCTCAACTAAGCCCGTGGCGAATGGATGAAGAAGTCCGTCGTTGGGCTTCTCCAGGGCGCCTGAAGCCGGGAGACTTGTCGGTCCGTTCTCATCATTTGTTGCAGCAAGTAGGCTGTCTTGACCATGAGCATTACCTTTGCGGTGATGAGCAATCTGTTTGTGGACGTTTTGCACAGAATACCCTTGGACCCGTGACTGCGGTTGCATTTCACAATGAGATGAAATACAGGTTTGGTGACTACAAGGTTTGCGAGGAGAGCAAGCGTTCGGCAAGCAAAAAATTCATTCCAGATTTTGTCGGCGTCTGTTGTTCGGCTACGAACATTGAACAACTGAAAGCGCTGCCCAAGGATGAAAAGCCCACGATGGTGCTCTTGGGGGAAGCAAAGACACCCTGGAAGCATAACCTTCAAGCGATATGGGACCGTTATCGCGCAGACCCAGAAGACGACGAAGGTATTCGACTAGCATTCGGTAGGTATTATATTCTTACATTTGACATCTCGTTGGTCTAACTGACGGTTTCTTCTCAAGGGCAAATATCGTCCTACATGCATGAATTCAAAATTAAATACGCCTTTCTCACCACTTACGATCATACCATATTCCTGCAGCAGGCCATGTGGGAGGGAAAGCACCCAGATTAAATTTCTCGCGCCCCATCCCAGCCACCAATTCTCCAAGAGACGGCGAGAATTGTGTTTCAGTTCGCCAATGTTTCTATTATCTGTTGTCTATCATCGAGGAAAATAATGATTACCGGTTTGATAACCCTTGTCCTCGGGAGGAATGGGGGAATTCAAAGGCCCATATTCCCGGATATGAACCTCTAACCCCAAACACCAGCGCTCGGGATCCTGGCAATTCTATGATCCAAGCGACTCCTAGCGGTCTCAGACCGACCTCTCCTTCTTCACCACTGTACCTTCAAAAGACGTCTGGTGATTATAAAGCCGAGCTTACATTCCGGGACCATCAGATCCGCGATCGCGGTCTTGGTCGGAAGGTCGTAATACTCAATGGACAGGGAATAGGGATTATCGTCGATGGCGATGACGAAGAAAAGGAAGAGGAGGGTGATGACGGCAACGACAGCGACGACAGCGACAGCGATGATGATAATGCTGAACCTCTCAATCCCCTACAGCGACGGCCAATGTCGGGGTATTTCACACTGCCGAAGGGAGACCGGACCCCTGAGAAGCGAAGCGTAGCCTTCAATTTGCCAATAAGAACAGAGAGACTAGAAACAATTCCTACGCTCGAGGTCGAGTCGCCAACTCCAGCCGCGAGACTCGCACGCGAGGGCGCAGCTTCACGTGGGCCGAACGATCGTCGGGGTACGAGCGCTCTTAATCCTTTGTCACAACGCATGTCTACAGCAAGACCGTCGCAGCCGGCCGCACAGGCAGGTCGGAATCTGCCTCTTCGACCAAGGGACGCGGAAGATGAGCAAACTGCCGAGACCCGAGATGCCGGGGGCAGGCGGCAGTTTCCTGCAAATGAAAATACACCAAGACGGGGCAAGCCGTAATTAGATTTAGGACACAACCTCACCGGATGTGCAGGTCGCTTCCTTTGGGTACCGTGTCAGGGAACTAGGAGATTGTTGAGGGTGAATTTGTTGCGAGGTTTGAGGCCTTATAGGAATGCTTCAATGAGCCCTTGTAGTAATGACAGCGGAATGCTAAGGTATACTTAGATGAAGGTAGTGGAACGATACTATTATTGAACGAGGATGGTATTATTGATTTATCCGTATAACTGCAGCTCTCCTGTATGCTACCTGCATGAAAGAGTATATCATTATCAACCCAACAGGGCGGGCCGCCATCATGATTGGTCAGCCTCGGCCTCTTCAGCCTCGTTGAACAGCCTCACTGCCGACACCTTTGAAAGAGGCCCAACAGCCAGAGAACGCTTCCATCCTTATAGAAAGTCACACTGACAGGCTGCCACAATATATAATGTCAGCTTTACCATTCAACATCTAGCCAACAGTCAGAACAAAGGCCCAAGTCTCTATTACTTCACACAATGTCCAACAGCGTATTTGCTCCCCGCCATGTATATTTTCCTGCAAATGAACACAAAACAACTGTGCTTTTCCTCCACGACAGGAATAGCACTGGTCCTGAGCTTGCAGACTGTCTTGCAAGATCCTTAACAGCGTCGGGGGAAACGTTGTATCAGCATTTTCCCAGCACTCGTTGGGTTTTACCATCAGCTCGAGCGAAGCATTTCTACTGGACCGCGGAAGACCGACAGCAACTGTCTCAAATCAACAAAGATAATACCACTGAGTGGTTCCACATGCCTTCCCTTACAGACATACAGCTGACGTCGTCCCAGCAACTTGCTTCACTACAGGAAAGCGCTTCTTACGTATTACGGATTATTGATGATGAAATTGCGCAAGTCGGCGGTGATCCTCAGAAAGTCTTTCTAGTCGGTATAGGGCAGGGAATGGCCCTGGGCCTGGTCGTTTTGCTGTGTACGCATCATCAACTCGGCGGGTTTATAGGGTTGAATGGCTGGATGCCCTTCGCTGAGACTTTGTCAATTTTGCTCAAACAAAATCAAGTCGAGGAGGCCGGTGGATTTTTCAAGTCAAAGTTTATTGCTGTTGCACAGCAAACATACCTCCAGCAAGCTGGCGCTGCATTTCCAAGTCCACAGCCAACCACGGCAGAATCTACAGTGGTTGTGCCCGTCCATGTCAAGCATATACCCGTCTTTTTGAGTCATTCACAGAAAGGGACTGGACCAATCAAGCCTGAACTGGGGATTGAGGCTTTGAGGCTCATTGAACAAATGGGCTTCTCTCAGGCCTCATGGAAGACATATCCAGGACGAGACGAGGGGGAGGAAACAAACGAAAGCGTCTTTCCCTTAGATATGCCGGAGCAGTTGAGAGACGTGATTGGTTTTTTTCAGGAGCTTCGACTTCTAAGCTAAGATTATTTGAGGGAGTGATTCTAAGTCACAGTGAAATTAGACGTTCCTTTGTATGAATCCAATGGAATATGTTGTGTTTTGTATATTTTCGTTTTTTGGCTGCAAAAATCGGCTCCACTAAGTGTCTCCACCAATCACGGCCCGCGTTCTCCACTTACCTCTTCCTGAATACGCACTAGCGCATATCGGGCTAGTGCCAATGGCAATCAGTTGGCTTCCGATATTTTTTTTCCCCTTCACTCCTTCTCCTGTTGGCATACGATTCGCCTTCTTGTTGCTGCCTGTTTTCATCATCCAACAACGACTGCTTTCAATCCATCACTCGTTATCCATTTCTAAAGCGGTTCCCTTTACGTCTTGTCCCACAAGGCTCTGAAAGGGCTCTGTATTTCTCCCTTTTCACCATGTTGAGCGCCGTTCGTCGCGGGCCGGCCCTGGCGAGAGCGCTTCGAGTATGCGCTCCTCGGGCCTTGCAGTCTACTAAGACTACGCCTAGTCTGGTCGCAAACTTCAAAACTACCCTGCCACCAGCTTATTCTCCCGCATCTCAAGTTCGATTGTTCCAATCTACGGTCTCTCCGAAGCAGGCCAATGCTGCAGCTCAGAGCCAGGAAACTCCCAAGTCTATTGACCAATTTAACGAATTGGCAGTCCAGGGGCTGGTGCACCCGCGTATCATTCACGCCATTACCGAAAAAATGGGCATTCATACCATGACGGACGTACAACGCCTCACAATTCCGCATTCTATTCAGGGGGTTGACACGTGAGTCTTATGTCCCTACTTTTTACGTACGATCCGAGATGACAAAATTCACTGACTTTTTCCCCCCCAATCATCGGTGTATAGTTTGGCTCAAGCAAAAACCGGTACCGGAAAGACACTCGCCTTTCTTGTTCCTGTGCTTCAAAGGATCATGACCAACGATCCTAGTCTGGCTCAAAGGACAAGAGGGCCAGCAAGATCGCATTCTGAGGACATCCGTGCTATTATAATCTCGCCTACCCGTGAACTCGCTGAACAGATAGCTGTGGAGGCTAGGAAGGCTGCAACTGGTACTGGAATTGTCGTTCAGACCGCTGTAGGAGGAACAAGAAAACAAGAGGGTTTAGCACGAATCTTAAGAGAAGGTTGCCATATCCTCGTTGCAACACCTGGTCGTCTTAAGGATATCTTGTCAGACTATAGCAGTCGTGTCAGTGCACCCAACCTGGATGTTCTTGTTCTTGACGAAGCCGACCGCCTGTTGGACGATGGCTTTGGTCCGGAGATTGAAAGCATACAAAACCTTCTTCCCGACCCGACCGTTAGGGACCGACAGACCCTGATGTTTTCTGCAACGTTGCCCCGTGAAGTCATGGGTATGGTACGCAGGACAATGAAACCCGGCTTCGAAGTCGTCAACACTGTTGCCAAAAATGAGGTTCCCACACATCTGAGGGTACCCCAGAAGGCGGTCTTCTGTCGAGGCTTTGAAAATGGACTTCCAGCTTTTCTGGAGATTTTGAGAAAGTACAAGGCACGTGAAGCGACGGAACCCAACCTGCGACCACTGAAGGCTATCGTCTATTACAACACTACAGCTGAAGTTCAATTTGTTTATGAAGCGCTTGGGCAGATGCTCAATGACCCCACAGACCGCCGTAGCGGCAACCCTATCGGACGTAACATCTTCCGTATGCACTCCAGGCTTTCTCAAGCCCAGCGAACTCATTATTCCGAGGCCTTCCGGCGCTCCCACACCGGTATTTTGATTTCATCTGATGTCACTGCTCGAGGCTTGGACTTCCCTGATGTTACGCATGTGATTCAAATGAGTGTTCCGAAAACTCGCGAATCTTACATTCACCGCTTGGGTCGTACCGGTCGTGCCAACAAAGAGGGTGAAGGTTGGATTATCATTCACGATGAAGAAGATGATGTTTTCTTCCAGAGACTAGGTGACCTGCCTATTGAACAGGACGAGTCCATTGAGACCGCCAATGTCGATCTATCTGGCAAAGATCAATTGACCGGGCAATCCAAAGATATCATCAACCAAGTTACAGCAGCTCTCCGGTTGATTCCTTACGAAGAGAAGGAAACGGTTTACCGTGTTCAGATGGCAGCTAACGCCTTTAACTTCCGGCGCAAGCAAAACTTTGTACATGCGCTTAATAAACTTGCCACACAAGGATGGGGTCTTCCTGAACCACCAAAAGTTCCTTCAACGCTTGCAAGTAAGCTCGGTTTCAACGGACTTTCAGGGATTAATATCGGTGGGGATGAGCGACGATCTTCCTATAACGCTCGTCATGGCGATAGGAACAATTTTGGTGGTGACAGATCACGATTTCGGCGCCCTCAAAGAGACAGGGTTGATTGGAGTGGGTTTTCTGACAGCGATCATGCGCAAAGGCGCTTTGGTTTTGATTCACTCCGAGGCCGCCGTTAGAGGACTAGAATGGTCTTGAAGATGAAACTGCACGATCCATTTTGCCTTCCTATTCATGAACGAGTCAGCAACAATGAGAGAAATTACCTCCCAGATATCGTTCTAGCATTTCAACACTTTCGTTTTCTTTTCCCCTCTTTCAATTCTTATCCCCTGGGTAGATCACCCACTCCTATCCCATCTGACAAGGCAAAAGATCTACCGATGAATGAGGTTTGTTTTGATGCATATATTAGGAATTGCTCTTTTCAACCCTGTCGTTTTTTATTATATCTTCCTCATTCAAAAGCTCTAATCTTTTTTTTTTCTTTTTTTTCTTGTCTGCCTCATATTCTGATGGGATGAAGATATGACATCCATGCGGTTCGGTTGTTTGGATTATGAAAAACGCAGAAACAAGATAGGTCGTCATCATGAAGCTTAACTTGGTGACTATGTACGATAGTTATTTCTACATTTTGCTGGTGATCATCGGGCATGGCGTCTTTTTTATTCTTACGGGTCTCAGGCTTATTCTGTTTTATCCTTCACCCCTTCTTTTGCTGTATATTGACCATTTGGATTTATTCAAGATTGAATTGTGTGTTATACTTTACTTTGCATGTCCGGGGGCTTCATCAATTTGGATTAGTATATATAGATCGAAGCAATAATCTCCTCTTTATACACATTTTTGAAAAATGGCTCGTTTATTATTAACCATCTCTTACACATACGCGGCACAGAACATCATAGGTATCTAACGATCAGCGATCAAAGAGGAAGAATGACTCGATACAAATCAAATTGCTTCCACAGGCCAAATTCCGCATTAAATGGTTGTTGTATGAAAAGAACAAAACGAAACAAAATAGTGACAAATCTATCTATCCATCCATAGTTTGTTTTCCTCCTGTATGTGTGTAGGGTCTTTGCATCATAAATAGAATTTATATCCTTCTTATTATGGCATTGATTCCATTTTAATTCCTGGAAGGGTTGTGATAACAAACTGATGTTTCTTCTTTTCTGTAAATTCTTTTACCGGATGATCAAGTGCTCTCGAGCTGGACCAGTGCCAATCCACTTAATGGGTACTCCATCCATACCCTTTTCTATGAAGTCGACATACTTTCGCGCATTCTCGGGGAGATCCTCGAATTTTGTCGCGCCCATAGTGTTGCTCTTCCACCCCGGCAAGGTGATGTATTCAACCTCGAGCTTCTCGAGCACATTGGGATCGGCTGGGTATGAGTCCTCGACGCGCGTGCCATCGGGCAGTTTGTATGCAACAGCGACTTTGATCTCGTCAAAATCGTCTAGGATATCGAGCTTGGTCAGATTGAGCTCGGTGTAGTGGTTGACGGCGAGAGAGTAGCGGCAGAGCACAAGGTCGAACCAGCCACAACGGCGCTTGCGGCCTGTCGTTACGCCAAACTCGCGACCGACGGATTGCAGTTTGTCGCCGTCTTCGTTGAGTTGCTCTGAGGGGAATGGACCTGAGCCTACACGGGATGTGTAGGCTTTGACAACACCGATTATACTCTTGATCTTGGTCGGGTTGAGGGAGAGGCCCTGAATGGCGCCTCCGAGACCCGTGGACGATGATGTGACAAATGGATATGTACCGTGGTCCAGATCGAGCATGAGGGCGTTGGCGCCTTCAACTAGTATCCGGTCTTCGTTCTTGTATTTCTGGAGGAAGGGGAGTTGATCAATGACGTATGGTTTGAGGATTTTGCGGTATTCCTGCATTCGGCCGAACATCAGATCTGGATAATGAACGTATCAAAGGAAGGAATAGCTAAATGCTGCTCACCTTGAAGCGGTTGATCTCATCTTCGACATCATAAGTCAGATCCCCGAAGCGGTTCCTGTACCCACTCTCCAAAGAGCGCAATTTGCGCTCAAATACCTCTTCATCCAAAATCTCGCCGACGCGCACACCACGTCGTGCAGCCTTGTCACTGTAGCAAGGACCGATACCTTTTCCTGTTGTGCCAACCTTGCGGCCGCCGAGCTTGGCTTCTTCCAATCCATCGACAACAGAGTGCAGGTCGAAGCAGACGTGGGCTCGGTCAGAAATGAAGACACGGCTCTTGACATCTTGCAGGCCTTTTTCTTCGAGCGCTGCCAATTCCTTGAAGAAACTAGGGATGTGCACCACGGTCCCAGCTCCGATGAGGTTGACGCATTTTGGAGATACGAGACCGGAAGGAAGGATGTGGAAGTCGTAGGTCACGGAATTGTGGACGATGGTATGGCCGGCATCTATTATTCGTTGTCAAAAGTCAGCCCAGTCGAGAAGATGTCGCAATGTCGCGCGCGGGAGAGGGGCACTTGCTGTGTCCGCCGGCAGAGCGGCAACAGAGTATCGCTTCTTGCGATAAGTAGTCGGTAATCTTTCCTTTGCCTGCGAATGATATACTCAGTCAGACTCGAATTGACACATAGGACGCTCTCTACTTGTTTGTAGTCGTAATTCCGGGGTAGCATCGACATACCCTCATCCCCCCACTGGGAGCCTAGCACGATAGTCACCATTGCCGCGGGGTAAAAAGAGAAACGAATAGTCAACCTGGCTAACGTTCGTTAATAACAAAATGTGCAATGATAAACTGGACGTTCGAATCAATTGGGCATAAACAGTCAGACGAGACGAAGTAGAAAGAAGAAGAGAATGAGGAAGATCTTGATCGCGATGTCGGCTTATGAGTCAATCGATGACTTAACGTCGTAAAATCTCTGGCTTAGGCAGGCTTTGCCGATTTGGGCGGATTTTTCGTCGTTTTGCGAGCAAATTTCTGGCGGGGAAGAAAATGACAGTACAATACGCTATTAAATACCACAGCCGTATTGCCGGTACCCGGCGGCGGTAACTGCGGGAATGCAGAGGGCAAACATGACAAACTCATATCAGATGGGTATATAATTAATTTGCTTGCAGGAAAAGAAAAGCTCCTTGTATGATTGCAATGATTAGTCCAAAATTCCGAGCCCTGTCATATCATATGTAGAAGAATTATACACATCTAAAGTGTGTTACTCCTTAATCAAAAAACGCCGTAGTATGCAGTACATTCAAAATAAAAGAACTTCTGCCCTCTTCAGAGGCAAAACGTCTTCTGCAGGAAGAAACAAATATTGGGCACTTTGAGAAGACATGGCATGAATCTGGAAAGTTCACACCAATTTCCGCTGCCCTCTAATCCATTGGCGAATCTCCCCAAGCTGCGATATGCACTCGCGATGGCGCTCCCAAGCAACCGTCCAATGCTCGAGGACCCGCGCGTAGTCGTCAACCGCGTTGAAATACGCCTTATATCCACCGTGAGGATGATGGGGGACCAGTGTATCCGAATCGTTATCGGCATCACTTTCTCCTGCCCCCACCTGCGCTGCTGTCGAGTCAAGATCCTCCTCGTTAGTCCTCGTGCTAAGGCGAAGAGAGTCTCCAGAAGCATCAATCCACCGCGGCGCGAGACCAGTCTCAAACCCCAGCTGTCGGACAGCTAATAGCTGCAACATTTGTCTCTGGAATTTGTTCCACTCCATGATGTACGCGCTCATCTGCTTTTCATAGCGTTCCCAACTTTGCTTTGGAAGAACCATATTTCGCGGGTCGTTGTGGTTTGGCACGACTGGCGGTCTCATGGGGCGTTTCGGAGGCTGTGGAAGACTCATGCTTCTTCTACTACTCGGAGGGGTCATCAGGCGGCCAGTATTGGGGTCATTTGGACGAGACTCGAAGGGTAGTGTTGTATAGATATCATTCAAATCATTTATGCCACCGCTATTTGAGCTCGTGAAGGGCGTCACATTATGGAGCGAGTTCATATTAAAGAGATTGCTCATCCATTCAGATGTCTTCCCCGCACTTTCACTGGCATCGCCAGCACTATCCTTAGCATTCGAGTCGGCTGCTTTTGAAGGAGTCGTTGGTGATGGTATAGACCCGTTTGTTTGTGCTTTCGTTGACTGCAAGGAGGGCTCCTCATCTATCTCCATTGCATCAAGCACTGGGACCGAGCCCAGTTTGGAAGATGGTTCGGGAATTGTCTTCTCGTCTTCCTCGGCTTCGGTCGCTACAGCCGGCTGTCGAGGTGGTACTGTTCGTCTTGCAGGTCTAGAAATGCTCCTCCCTGATGGTGCAGTAGTGGCATTTCCCTGTTGATTTTTTGCGGGTTCAAACATCCAATTTTGACTCTGGAAATGTTGACTCCATTTGTCAGCAGAGAACGGAGTCTGATTCCAGGGCTTGGAGTTCGGGGTCGCTCGTCTTGCAGCTTCATCGCTTGAGGACATGAAATTAGTCGGCGATTTGGAGTCACTCCTTGTTGCAGGTCTGCCACGCATAGGCGAAGTTCTTGATCTACTACGACGATGTCCATTGGTTTGATTTGGAGCAAATAGGTCGGGGTTGAAAGCATCGCCCCAGTCACTAGCAGAGAACCCCTTATTCAGGTTATCATGGCTTCGACTCTTCGTGCCATTTTGAGAGATGTGGAATCTGTAATCAATTTCCATCAGGATCCTTCTGGCCGGTTCACGCCAAATTAGCTTTTCAACAGGACGAAGGGACTTACGCGGCAAGTTCTTCCGCAGGCTGCGCTGTCTCAAAGATCTTTGTATTCCCTTGGGCAGTGTAATTTGCAGCGCGAGTAGGCCGTTGAGCTCTAAATGCGAACGAAGCACCTTCAGAATCGTGTCCTTGAAGATAGTCACTGTCAGTACTCTGGTCCTGGAATTCATGGTAGCTGCGGGGTCGATCTCGGTCAAAGAGGCTGCGATGGCGCCGATGACTTCGGAACGAATGGTGGTCCATGTAGTAGTTGCTGTTTGAGGATTCCTCACCTGATCCGGGGCCTTGGAAGCGGAAAGTATGGCCAGGTTTTAGCCGGCTCTTTGGAACTGCTTTCCGTCGGGGCACAAACGTCGGCCGATCGGACTCGCTATCGGAGCCATCCTCGCTGCTAGAGCTTGTCGAAGACGATGAATAAGCCTTGTGTTGATGTCTCATATTTGGGCTAGCACTACGATGCCTGTCCTGGGCCGGAGAGCGAGGGCTAGGCGGATTAGTCCGCGAGCGAGCCTTGGAGCTAGCAGATGAATCACGCATGGTGTAGGCACGGGATAATCCGGGACTGGCAAGGTAGGTTCTCTCGCCGCCAGCTGTTGCGTATCTGTGACTAGTACGTTCAAACTCCGGGGCAATATCATCCACGGGGGTTTCAGATCTCGAAGAAACAGGGGTTCTTTTCACCTTGGCCGTTGGAGCTGGGACGCTGTCGAAAAACGCAGAAGACCGATCAGCCCGGGGTGTATTTGAATAAGCCGAGTTAGTCCGTGGTGCCATCGGTTCATCGCCTCCTGGAGTCCCCGGAGCAAAGCCATGCTTTTTCCTTACGGTTGAGGCCCGTCCAAATGCGTCCGGATGCGGTCGAGCATTAACATTCACATGCTCGTAAGCTGATTTCCCACGAGATGATGCCTGTGCATTGTTAGTAGCGGGCGGGTTACGGGGCGTAGGGGTTGCTGTAGGCCTTCCAGATGTAGGATTGAACTTTGCCCAGCCAGTGGGCTTCATACCCTGGAAGGCACGGAAAGCATCAGCCCGGGCTTGCTGCTCATGCATCTTGTCATACTGCTGCTGAGGTGCAGCCTTGGCGTAGTTTGCATATCTCTGGGCACCACTGGAAGGCGGCGGTTGGTATGAGGCTGGGCGAGAGGCCTGTGTCTTGGATGTTGGCGTTTTGCTCCCGTTCCCAGCAGTAGTAGTGTAAGCGGCGGAAGTGTTTGTTCGGCGGGGAGTGTTTGCAGTTGACGGCCCATAGAGCCTCCCATATCCAGCGCGCAGTCTCTCGGTGTCATACTTCGTGCGTTGTTGAGGATCGGTAAGAATTTCATGTGCGGCTTGAATCGCTTGGAACTTGGTGATGAACTCGGCTTCGCGGCCTGGATTTCGATCTGGATGGTACTTTAAGGCTGCAAAGAAATGAACCAAAACACGTCAGTCTTGACAATCGAAGCCGGCCGAGAGAAATTCTTTTCAAGTTTGCACTGTACCTAGCTTCCGGAACTGCCTCTTGATCTCATCAGTGTCGGCTGCTGGACCCACGCCCAGATCTGCATAGTAATCTCTCCGCACATCTGCCTTAACCATCCTCACAGCGAAGGTACGCTGCTCGCACAGCGTCCTTCAAAGCCGACGGATAGTGGGATTATATTGGTCCAGTATACCTGCTCCTCTAGTCATGGCACTGTCCCGACTGTCTGTGCAAATATGTATGTTGTAGCTTTTGTACAGTTGGGCGTAGCGAGTGTCGCAAGATGCAATAGAACAAAATCAAAGTGACGACAACGCCCACGACAGCGGACCTAGTAGCGAGATAGTTAGCCCTTGGTACGTACTGGCAGCTGCACATGTCTCGGACCATAAGCACGGCGGTGAAATGTCACATGAATGGACGCGGAAGGGCTTTTACCGCAGGGTTTGGGAGGGGGCTTTGACTTGAACCACGAGCCTGGGCACTTGTGCAAGCGCGCGTAGGTTTTCGAGCGTCGATTGTAGGGCCAGCATGAGAGCCAAAGTGAGGCGTCTCTTGCTGTTCCTCTCTCGCTTTCAGATCGCAAAAAGACCGCTCTAGAGGCCCCACCGCGCAGTCAACAAACAAGCCAAACTGCCGAGCAACAGCGCACTAACCTTATCCCTAAGGCAGCAATTCTTCTCAGTCGGCCTGGGGTATAGTTATATAGTTAAGCCCCATGCACGATGAGTTGTTCGTCTCCAGATGTTCTGAATTGAATTGGTGCCCAACTGTTTCTCATTGGCGCTGTTCTTCGAGATCGCAGGCCTTTGGATCAGGGACACACATCCATCTTACATATGATTCTGCAGCAACTGGCTACGTAGTCGCTTGAATCATGGGACAGCGAAATTGCCAAGGGTATCATATATATATTCTTTATCAATTCTAAATCCCAGTAGCTCCTCCTCCACCAGACATGCCAAACCAGTAGCCATCCATCAGATCATATCCTGAGCCATCAGTGGTTAGATCTCGCAGGTAATCCGCCTCTAAACCAAAACTTGCTAGGTTTATCCCAGTGCCTTCCACGTCATGCTGGTTGAAAGCCCCCAGCCCTAGCCCCATGGTCTCCAAAGTTGCTCCACTACCGTCGTGATTGCCCATGGCGGTGTCTTGGTTGATGCTATGATGGTTGGCGAAGTCAAGAAAATCGAGGCTGAGATCCGTTAAGCTATGCGGCTGTTCGTGCTGTGCTGGTGGTGTAAAAGCAGGGGGTGCCGATCCCACGCTCTGAGGTGAATGGGTCATATAATATGGTTGTTGCTGCTGCGAAGGCTGTTCGTATCCCGTGTAGGTCTGGGGGAACCCGGAGCCGGTTTGATACTGTTCGGATTGGGCTGTCACTGCCGGTTGATAAGATCGTTGTCTAGGATGGTTTGCTTGTTGCTGGCTGGTAGGACTCTGGTACAGATCACTGAGATCCATATCAAAGGTAGGAGGCCGCCGCGTGGGTCTTTGGGTGTTTGTCCGCTGTCCGGATGTTCCGTGAGTGTTCTGAGCCCCAGTACGATTGGTGTTGTCGGTCGTTGACGCTAATGACTTGGTAGATGCTGTAAGAGAAACCCCGCCCACAGCTTGCGATGCAAACCCTTTTGAGCCCATGCGGACTGTAGCTCTGCTCATTCTTTCAAATGCATCCCGACATATCTCTGCTGGTGGACAAACTTCCATCAGATCGCTCAGAATGGACGTTGCAGCAAGTACAGTGAAATCGACATCGTCCAGAGTCTATATATCATCAATGATGAGTTACCAAGATTTATGATTAAACTTCCACTACTTACCAAGCGACTACGCACAACAGGCGAGTGCCAGATTGCAAAGAGAAATGATATACCTGTTCTTCATTAGCGTATCACCAAGGTCGACAAGACAAAAGAATCTTACCAGCCATAAAAAGATGGTGAGTCGTCAAATATGTATAATTCACGAGACGGACACGGTGCAATTGCCGGTAAATCTTAATGACCTTTTGGCCTGCTTCGGCTATCTGAAGATAAATGTCGTCTTCATCTTCTCTATCATCAATGTCAAAAGATGGCGGGCTTGAAACATCCTCCGTTGGACTGAGTTCGCCGGCCAGCGCGGCAGGAACGGTAAGCGTCTGCCTGTATAGCATAATCAAAGCCTGGTAGTAATTCAATTCAAAAAGTTCAATGGAGAACTGCACTCCTGTGTTCTTCTTCGTCGGCGAAGCCTCTTTCCATTCCAGCAAGCGGCGATGAACGTCCCGACGCCACGAACGGAATGAATCAAATCGGTCAAGAAAGGCCGATTGAAGTTTAGTGTGCATAAATTGATTTTGACTGTTCTTCCCTGACCGTCGCACAAAACGTGCTTGTTGATATTGCAGAACTTCTTGGATTTCTGATTGCAATAACCGCAATCTAAAATAATGGTAAGAAACGTGCTTATAACTGGGCTTCTCTGGATTCGGCGGGCGAAAGCCACTCTTTGTGATGAATCGGTCATCGAGAATGGAAGGAAATTCGGTGGTTATAACCTGATCTGTTATTCCAAAGGGACGGCCAACACAGGTGCTGACAAGTCGATCAAAACTGTAAACACACCACCAAAGCCGTCTACGATTGTCACGAACCCACTGAAGTCGACCGCGATCCGGATGAGTCTGATGGTTTGGGGACTGGACATCTTCTTCTCCAATCGAGTCTACACCAGAACCATCCTCATGGTGGAGACCAAGATCAATCGCAAGGCGGACGGCAACTCCGACAATATACCAAAGGCCTGGAGCAACAGGGCGCAGGAGTGCAAAACTAGCCAACAACAAATAGGCCTGTAGCTCGTCCAGACCTCCTCCAGAACCATCGGACAGAGGCGATGAGCTCAAGAAAGCCTCCCAGTGCACGACTGCAGATGCATGGTACTCTTCCGGCTGAAACTGGAAGCCTGACAGCTTCTGTTTCTTGGCAGAGTGAAACGGTGATGACTTCTTTCCAGAACTAACATTCCCGTCATGGTCTTCATCTTCACCTTCTTCTGATGACCTTCTCCCTTCAAAGATGATACCGGCGCCGATAGCAAAAACAATATTCAATAAATACAAATCACGAGATCCCCTTGCGGATTCTTCGGTTTTGTACACTCGGTCTAAAAGCTCCATGAATTCACCTCGGTGTAGAATAGGCATCTGCGGATTCGCATGCTCAAAATACAGTGCAACCAGCTTATCAGCAAGTTCGCGCTCGGGAAACGCAGCTTGCCTCATCAAGGGACGGGATTGCAGACCGAAAATAGATTCTCGTATCGTACTACCTGTGCTAGTTGAGGACTTACGATCATGCAACCGCGCCGAGCTGGGCTCGGATCCACTTGTGTTCACAGAACTTTTGACGGCCGCAAATACAAGTCTAGCAAATGATAGACCAGATGTGGAACCCAGGTAACGCGAATCTGACATGGCCTGTACTGAGACCATTCCAATGTTGGACACTAACTGATCCAAGTGCTCTTTGGAATCCTGCTCGTGACTCTTGCCAGAGGCCGGGGCATCGCGCTGCTGACTGTTGATAGTGTCCTTCTTTTCTGTCAGGGCTTTCTCTTTCTTCTTCTTGTCCCTCGAGGTGCTGCCAGCCTCTGCCACGTCTTGTTCTGAATCCTGAGCTGTTCCGCGCACTTCCGTCTCGCCATCAAAGGCAGAAGAGGGCTTAAACTCAATGCCGTTTTTCAACAATAACCTTTCAAGGTACGTGACACGCGCCTCCAAGAAGAAGACATAGCTTCGAGGTATCTCGCGTTTCGTGATTGGGTCAAAGCCGACACACTTCGCATCGGCTTTTTCGCATGTTTGGCAACGAGGAAGACGTTGATCGCATCGATTCTTGCGCAAACGGCAGCGGTTGCAGGCGGAGACATTGCGAAAGGAAGATGCAGATGCAGGCGCACTGGTTGACGACTGGGGACCCCTGGCGCTCATTGCAGAGGCCGGTTTGCTTCCGCTGTGACTGGCAGAAGGGCGCTGCAATAGGGGATTGGGGGACTCATCAGGTGACCGTGATCGCTTGATTCCTGTCGTTGCTGTAGGTGTATATCCGGGTGACGTGCCAGGCTGTGACGGCGAGTCCGGCATAATTACCATACATTAGCGATGGGACTTCTTTCGCGTGCCAAGTACAGATATCTGACAGTCATATGTTATTAAGCGCAATATCCATGACGCTCTCTCCAAGCCAATGTAATATGACTTTCATCGACAGTACGGAATACTGGGAGAGTCGGGTAGATTTCACGGCGGGGTTCGACGGGGAGTACGGGGCTGATAAGGGGGGAGTGTCCGTGCTCGACAGAGCGAGTGGTGAGTCTGCGATCTATAATGCAGTGTCTCTATAGTTCTCGAGCAAGAGGGACGGCGATAGACCCAAGCAGCGACACAACAAACAGAGGAGGAACAGCCTGTGGGATCTCTTCCTGCGCGGCCGACGGAAGGCTCCAAGGCACACTGCGATCGGTGGCGCTGATTGGCGGGAGATAACTGACGGCGCCTTGCCGTTTAGGGGCTAGTACGGGTGTCTATCTATCTCTGCTGTTATAAATTTAGAACTGTCACGAGTATTTTTATGTCCATCGCTAACCCTAAAAACATCAAAAAGAATGTCTCAGCGTCAGCAAAGTAGCGTATATACACAAGGTGAAGCCTCAGGTCTTGTACGTGCGCTCCCACGCACCTTATTTTGCCCAGATTTACACATCTATCAAGCATCTTAACTCAAAAGCCGCTCTAAGCGCGGTCAAAATAGAGCCCGTCCTTCTACACTTCTAATGTTGATACGGCCCGAGGAGTAGCGAAGGAATTGGGCCGTTGATTGGAAGATCGAACTCAGTAGGGGAAAGTAAAGCTAGGCATACTGTCAGCAGCTTGCAGTTGCAGAGTATGAAAGAACATATATTTAAGCGGAGACGTTCCTCGTCGAAAGGATTATGTGGAGTGTGAATCGAACATATACGACCTTGAGCCCGTCTGAAGGCATTGCACTGCGTGTGACCAATCTCTCCAAGACGAGGATTGAAGTGTCTGATTAAATCTATAGGATCCGTTGTCACGACGGAATATATGGGATATCATTCAAAAAAGGAAAGACCGGCGAACAACCTTGATTACCACGCATTTCTTAGACGAGATATCTCTATCTCTCCTTCCCCTGAAGTTCTTCTTGGACTCGTGGCCTGAGACTGATTAATGCTAATCACCCAAACAGGCCGATGTGCTAGCAGGCCATATTATTATTTTATATCGAGGCCGTGTAGTTTGTCAAGGGCCAAGTACTGGCCTAAAAGACCAATATGGAGATGGCTACCGAGTAATTAGCATCACAAACTCAGACACGAATCAATGTTCTACATGGAAACTGGGTAACTCTACCGAGGCTACACGCAAGGTCCTGGATCTGGAAGGCGCAAACAAAGTGTGCGATGTCGTATACCCGACACTGGAACTGGCCATTCTTAGAGTCACCTCGGACTCGATGGAAGCTCAACGTTTTAGTGGCGATGGAATCATTGGAGACGAAGCGGTGCAGACAATGTTGGACGACCAACCTGAAGATGAGCTTCACAACCTTTCAGATCTAGATCTTGAAGTTGGCAGGGCTGTTGGGATGCTGCGGCAAGTGTGGCTTGTGTTTCGAAAAAGATACATGCTTCTTCGGTCTGGCTGGTTTGTATATCTTGTCAATCTGGCGATCCCAATTGTAGTCGCCGCTGCTCTCTTCAAATATATCCGACATTGGGATACTTTGACGACGTGCGATATGCAACGAAACTATCTTTATAGTGGGTCACCACTAGGAGATATTCAAGACTTTGAATCCACGGGAGGCGACAAAATTGCTGTCCTCGGTCCCAACAACTGCTTTTCAGGAGCTGTGCAGGATCAGCTGCTTGTGGATAGTGTGTACGTTTGACTGCCTCCGTTCCAAAAAGTGGCTTTTTATCGGAGTTAACATTTTTTGATCCAGGTCTTCTTTTCTAAGCCAATACGATAGCACAGGTAGCCAGTCACCTGCACAGCTTATACCTGGCAGTGTGGTCAAAGTAGGAGAGGAAGATGGCATTCTTAAGGCTATAGAAGATGCCCAAGGACTCATTGGATTCGGGTTACGGTCTCCAGAACCGGGAATAAATACGTTCTTTCATGTCGCGAGTCCGTACGCAACTGGTAAGTAGTTCTCATCCTTGGTTGCACTTCAGTGTGCGATGAGTATTTTTGCTTACGTATTTTAGGGATTGGACTGCAAGCATTTGATTATGTGACAAATAGAATGAGCAACATGACGGCGTCTGCAGGACTGACGCGAAAAGTCAGTAGCAGCGTGCAGGTTCTCAATCATGTCCCTATAAAACACGAATGGAGGACTCTGCCTCTCCAGATGCTTGTCGTCCTAGTGTTTGTGGCTGCAGCTTCCACTGCGGTAATTTACCCAAGTAACTCTCCTACCTTGATACTCTCAGAACCGAACAATACTCATTTTCGAGCAGCGTATAAAAAAAAAAAAAAAAAAAAAAAAAAAAGTCCCACGTCAGAGCACTGCAGTATAGCAACAGAGTATCGCCTTTGGCATTGTGGGTTGCTTATTTACTATTTGACATCCAATTCATTCTGATAGAAGGTAAGTATCGCCGATAGTCATCTCTAACCTCTTCTATATGCTTTCTACTAACACTCACTAATAGCATGGGTTGTCTGGGGACTATTGTTCTCCGGTCCCAACGGCAATCGAATTTCGTACGCTCCGTCTTAGTTGCTTGGTATCTTTATTCTTTGGTATTGCGTCCTATCTCGGCATGTATATTGTATCAATATTTTTCAGCCGGTGAACTTTTGCTATCGAAGGAGGTGTGCATGTCGCGCTCTCACTAATTTACCTGGCTGCGTACGTTATGAATCAATATCTAGGTCCAGATTTTACGCGACTCACAGGTAACTAAGTGGTTCGGTCTGTCTACAGCGTCGCAAGATATATCCTTTGATATATCGACGAATGAAACAACGGCCTTACTGGGAGGCAACGGTGCAGGAAAACCCACACTTTTTAACATGATTCGAAAGGGAACTGAAACTATATCATGGAAGCATCTACGTGAATGGAATATCTGTCGTGGATCAAGCTCGCAAGGCTCGGATGGACATCGGGGTGTGTCCTCAAGAGGACGCCGTTGACAACCTCACTGTCCAACAGACGCTTACATTCTACGCCTCTGTGAAAGGACTCAAGAACGTACAGAGCAATGTAGGCCAGGTACTTACGGCTCTCAATATTTCTCGGTTCAAATACCAGGCACACAAAGCGCTGAGTGGCGGTACCAAGCGTAAATTAGCGGTCGCCATTGCTCTCCTGGGTAACCCGCAGCTCTTACTACTGGATGAGCCTTCCACAGGACAAGATGCAGGAGCTAAACGTATCCTGTGGCAGGCCTTGAGGCGGGTGGGCAGCGGCCGTGCCATCTTGCTGACTACCCACAGCATGGAAGAAGCTGAAGCACTCGCAAGCAAAGTGGCCATTGTATCTACACGCATACTCGCTGCGGGCTCACTTTCATCTTTGCAAGAGATGTATGGTGATTTGTATGAAATCCGGGCACTTCGATTGGATACTGTCAACAAATACGTAGCAGAAACAGAGGTGAGATCGGTTCTCGGCCAGTGGGGTATCGAAGTTGTGGATTACTGGGACGCAAATGGCCTCGTTCAGTTCGATATTACCCTTGACCGAACAGCACTAGGGAGGATCATGGTGGGGATGGAGTGTTTAGTTGGAAACCACGGCATCATTTCCACTGTCAGTGAAATGGGAAGCTCTTCGCAGTCATACGGAACGGTCCTTAAGGCATACAACTTGATTGGGCCGACGATGGAGGAAGTCTTCATGAACGTCATGATACTCCCTGTGGAAAAATTACAAGAATAGAACCTGAAATTCAGATAGAAGTAGTTACATATGCAGGTATCAGTCGGAGGCACGAATCTCAGCTTGGTCCACATACAAACTGCTGCACGGACTGAAAAGGGCGTTCTATGGCGAGAAGTTCATTAGGGAAGAGTTCTGTAGAAGAAGAAATCCGTGGTGTTTCATTCCCGTCTAGTGCAATCTGTGCACACGATTTAATACGTACGATTAGGTAGGCATGTTGTACAGATATACAATAGTCCACTCAGCTTGGTATCCTGTCCGGGTGAAATTGAAATCCAATCTGAGTAGACGGGCTACCTAGGTAGGGACTAATGCACGTCTACAGAATACTCCGAGCTGTCAAACCTGCCATGGATCCAAGATGCCAGCCGATGCAGTTCTGTTTTGGCCCACAGGAAATCAAGGATAGGTATAGAATGACGTGGGTGATGGACATGGCGGTGTATATATATCCCTTACCAAGCTAGGTAGGTTGACTACAGTTGTAAGCCATGTACTTAGGTAGCGCCCAGCTTATTACCTAGGTAACGAGGTTCGTCAGATTCCGAACTGAACTGATGATGTACATATACGTTCATGCCATGGATATCATGCCAACTCATAGTTAGACGAACCCGCAGTTTATGTAGCTGCATGGTGTGTAAAAGAGAAGAGTATTACACTGTAGACAACTATTTTTTTCTGTACTGTAGGTGTGTATTTATGTGTGTATGTATCTCTTATACTTTCTATCAAAAATGGATGTGTATATCAAAATGACTCGCTAAATTTGTTTCAAAATACCTCCCTCTCACATAATTTTAGTGCAATGCAACGCAATAAAATGCTCTTTCATAAACCTTGTCATGGTGCCCAAGTGGTGCGATGCTAAAAGAAAAGAAAAAAAAAGACGCAAGACGGAATGACAAAATATCCCTCCTAAATGTAAATTAGTCATCCTGAAAAAAACCAGAAAAAAAAAAAGCCCGCATCTTTGCGGTTTATTTGAGAAGTTTTTTTCTTCCCTCTCTCCTCCGTTGTGCTCGCTAGTTTGTATGTCACGCTCAAAACATAACCAAAAGAATAATGCCCGATATCTGTATTAATACGTTGTAATCCGAAATAAAAGGGTGCGTCAAATAAACCCTGTTAATACTGTTACCGGCACAGTATTGAACTTGAAAATGAAAAGAAAAGTCAAAAATGATAAAGTAACGTGGCATGCATAAAGTGCAAGTAGAGACATGCCGGTCTATTCAGACTTTCTCGAATCTGTCGTCAACCAACGTTTCGGCTTCGTCGGAAGTCTCGCAATTGGGGCACATGCTGGAGAGTAGCCTGACCTCCTCCTCTGGCAGAGAGCGTGCTGCTGGTTGGTCGTCGGTGTTGTTTTCGGTCGTGTTCTCTTTTTTCTGATCTGTGCTCTGCAAAAAGAGACTTTCGATGGCGCCAAGCACGCAAACAATTCCCAAAGCCCACCAGGCAATTATTGAGAAGCCACTGTGCAAGCCTTTCGAGTGCAAGAGCCCCGTTATTGAAGGGCCAAGGGCTCGACTTAGGCTGGCAACTGATGACGCCAATCCGTTGACCGTTCCCAAGACATTTGGCGAGGAGACCGTGTTGGCAAGGAGTAGATTTGTCGCTGGGAAGCAAATGACATGCAGCGTGATCTTGCCAAGCAAGGCCACGTAGGCAGCTGGCACTTGTAGCGCGCTCGGCAGTAAAACGAGGAATGGGACAGCAAAGTAGAGGGGCGTCCAGGTGAACAAGGCCAAGCGAAGAGTTCGGAGTGTACCAAGACGCTCAGTTAAAACTGGGAATAGGTAGATTTGTGCGAACATAGAGTAGATGCCTTGGACGGCTAGCATGTAGCCAATGTCCTTGGTCGAAAGGGCCAAGCCTCCGGTGAATTTGAAAGGTAGCTGGACGCTCTCATCCGACGGTGGTGTACTGAGGAAAATGGGCATCAACTGATCGAAAGCTACACTGTGGCTGGACCGGAACGTTAATTACGTGAACTGATGTGATGTGAAAATAGAAACATACTAAGCTAGAATTCCGTATCCCACAATAACGCAGATAACCGGCCGAGTCAATGCGTCGCTGAAACCAACAGGACGGCTCTGCTGTAGCTCCTCAAGGTCGGCGTCAATTCCACGTGGACGATCATGTCCCACAGAAGATGAGCGAGGAGAGGGTTCCCGGCTTCGGTATTCGGGAGGTTGGTCTTCGAAATCATCGTCGATGAGCGCATCCTTGTCCTCCATGAGTGCAGGGCCCTCTTCCAGACGCCTCGAGGATCGGCCCAACAACCACCGGCCGAATTCCAGGCCACGGTCTCGGCGATACTTCTTTTCGGCGTGTGTTTCCTCCAGGAAGAGAATGCCGATGGAGATTCCGGTAATGAGAACACCGACACATACCAGGTTGGGAAGGAGAAAGGGAAACCGGTCGAAAATAGTGCCTTGCTTGAATAGGTGCGGATAGCTGAGAACAGGCCGGGCTAGAGCACCACCCAGATAAGGACCGATGATTGAGCCGAGGCACCACATGAAGGGCATGATGGAGTAGGCCCGGGGCTGGTCTTCCTTGGTGGTCACTAGTTCTGCTACTGTCGTCTGTAGGACGCCGATATTGCCATTAAGCAAGCCACCGAGAGCGCGAGCCACCAGGGCTGTTGGAAAGTTTGGCGCGAAGCCGAAAACGAGCATGCTGATGGCGGTTCCCACTAGGCCCATGATGAGGACTGGCTTCCGGCCGATTTTGTCGCTTAGACGGCCCCAGAAAACTCCGCTGCTGAATTCAGCAAAGGTGAAGGCAGATGTGATCATGCCAACAAAGAGAGCAATCTTCTGCTCGTTTTCCGCGACATGGAAAGATTCGACCATGTAGTAAGCGTAGGGGAAGACCGACATGAACGCAATGGGTTCACAGATGCGGACAAGAGCTGTTTTCTGGTCAGAGCTGTTTTGGTTGGTATGCCTTCTAGAGGCTGAGAAGGGGACGGACATACCCAGGACAATAAACTGGTTCCATGGGAAAGTGCTGCTCTTCTGCCACCACCGCTTGGATGGAAGCCTGTGCGATTGAGGCCGCATGATGTGCAAGAAGATCTTTATATAAAGGGCAGCCTTGGACGTCAACGCATCAAGAGCCAGGGCGTCGTCGTCCGGTCAGATATAGTATGGCTCGATGATGTGCTGTGGTGAGGGAGAGAAGAGCAGAAAGCAAGAGAAAGGGAGGGAGGGAAGACCGATAGTTAAATCCCAACGTCTGCAAACGAAAAGAACCAAAGCTTAAACGTCGTTCGATCCCACTTAGTGCCTTGACAAATAGGAAAGCAAAAGCAAAAGAAAGAGAAAAGAAGCGAGGAAGGGGCCACAGTTTTAAAGGCGAATATCCATTCTGTGATCCCTTCATGATCCGTTAGGCTTAGGGTTCCAAGGAAGCTTCTGACAGGTAACACGCAGGACCAGCCTTAGGATAGCGAAAAGGGAAAAAAAAAAGAAAAGAAGGCCCGATCCACAAGTGAGTTAGTATTAGCCCAGATGTGGGGAGATGAGTGGATTTTAGTGAGCAACGATCTGTTGCTAGACAAACAAGGGCTGGCTGGACTAAAGAAAGGGGCTGCTAAGATTTCGGGCATCTGTTCTGCTACGTGCTAACACAAGGCGCCAGTGGCGCCTTGTGTTAGAAAAAAATTAAGAAAAAAAGAAAAAAGAAAGAAACAAGAGAGAGCAAGCAAGTGATGCTGGCACTGCAATTGCTACAATTACGATTCCGACTGAATACTCGTATTTCTGTTTGGGCGAGCGAGGATTTGACGTCCAACCTATGATGCAAGGCTCTATGCATGTATACAAGCAGTGGTCCGAACGCAGTCCGTACATATATTAAACCTAATAACTTAACACGCAGCTGCTGATACGCATGCTCCATACTACCTAGTAGCATGATTACAAATCTGTATGTGCAGGCAAAAGTAGACCCAAAAAAAGGGAAGGGAGGGGGAGGGCTTCTTCAAAGAGGGCCAATAAATTCCGGAAAAGGAACACACGCAAAGATTCCGGGACAGGGCACCTTAACCCGGGGAACAGGACCAAGGGCTTGAAAAAGGCACTAGCAGCAACTAAAAAGCGAGAAGCGAAAAGTCAAAAAATCACTAAAAGTGGCGTACACACGACGTGATACGCTACTATTTTCCCAGGAGTCCGGTTGCGGGCTTGGAAGGATTCCTTGGTTAATCTCCGCTATCCACCATGACGAAAGGCTCTGTACTTGTACCACGCTGGCGGAACGGAGAATATGCGGTGAGATAGGTTTGTCCATATATAAATAATTCTCCTGGAAACCCTCGTCGTTGCGCCAATGGGATAGCAATCCGTGCCCTTCCATACTCCTACGTTACAACAATCCATGTCCAACTCGAGGGAGAAGTCAGGTGCGTTCGGCCAAATGCAGTCCATATCGCGATTGGCCTATAGGCTGGCCTGACGTTGCATCATCAATGATCAGAAGTCATGGTGAAACGGCTTGGCCTGGCGGTGTGAATGTAGCCTTAAAATTGCATTCCGAGAGTTCGGGCCGACGAGTTCTTGCGCTGCTAACTACGCACTCCATACATATAGATCTGTAAGTGATGCAACTAGCCATGCAATTCTAGTTTAAGTTGTCAGGCTGGCTGATTTGCATCTTACATCTTACATATTGACGTCGGGCATTGCCTCGAAAGAACAGCTGCACGGCCGTTTGTTCTATCTCGCACTCACCGCTCCAGTCGGGCTGTGGCTGAGCCTGCAGGAAACACATGGCTTTTGTCCGATCTTCTCTTCACATAGTCTGTCTGTGTTGAGTCAGATGACATTTCTCATGCAGTCGGTATCCTGTTATTCCGACTGGGGTCTTGCAGTATACTTATTTCACAGCAACCACACCGACACTTGGACAAGGCGCTTGGCATGATATTAGGATATTAGGATATTAGGTAGTAATGTACCCGGGAAGAATCAGGGGGAATGTGAGAGGGGGAGAGAGAGGTCCACAAGCCTACCAGACAGGCAAAAACAGAAATCCGCCGGGTGCCAGGGCGTGATTCCCCGACAAATAGTAGACGCGACCACCGGAATGCCTCCCGGGCGGGCCTCAGGAGCGACTAGACTGGTACGGTCTATAGTTATACCAGGTCTGACACAAAGTTAGCTCAGGAAGTCAATCTGGAAGTATACTCCGTCTACATCTACAGACTAACGTCTGTTTCGGGCATAGCGCGGTGCACGCTAGCATTCCACCGTTCTGGTTTGGCGTTTCACTAGCGCAGCCAATGAGCGGCCGGCGGGTCATGTGATCCGTCATAAAGATCAGCAAGATGATTGTGAGCTGTCAGCTCAAGGAGGCCATTTTTTGAGTCTTTGGCAGCATTACCCCATGCAGCAGCGAGACGCATCTCATACGACAAGAAAAGCCAGCTATACCGCAAAGTGAGTGCCTGGTGACAGGCGATAAGCCGGGTCACGTGAGGATAAGCAGCGCCAAGCGTGCAATTCTCACGACGAACGCGCGCGCTCTTTCTCTCTCTGATGACTTGGGGCCGACAACAGAACCATACGCCATGTTCCTCTGCCCCTTCCGGAACACGACCGCATGCACGAGGCGCACTACTGTGAGGGCTTCACAAAAGCTGTTGCGAGGCCGCCGATGGCACACCGCCGCCAGTCGAGATAGCGATGGACATACCCCGGACCTCTCCCATCTCAATCCCGCGCCTTCCGACTACTCGCGATTCATTTTCCAGGACAAATGCATCACGACGGTGGTAGCCGGATCCGGAGGCAACGGGTGTGTATCCTTTCTTCGGGAGAAGTATATCGAAGAAGGGCCGCCTAATGGTGGTGACGGCGGCAGCGGTGGAAGCATATATATTCAAGCCATCGACGGCCTGACAAGCTTGCATAAGCTGGCGCGACAAGGCGTCATTCGCGCTGGTCGGGGAAAGAATGGACAAGGCAAGAGCAAAGGCGGGAAAAGAGGCCACGATATTCTGATCCAAGTGCCCGTGGGGACAGTGGTGCGCGAAGTGTCCCGATACGATCCCGTAGAGGAAGAAGAACTCAAATACAAGACGCTGAAAGGCACTTTACCGAGGGAGGAGCAAGCAATGGGAATGTTTTCAGAACAACGAGACCGTTTTGTGCTGTATCCCGGCTCCCTTCCATCCGATTTCCTCACCACCAATTTCCCGAAACTTGAACCTCCGCGACGGTCAAACCTGGCTGCATTGGAGCCATCGGCCCCTATCCATTTAGACTTGTCACAACCGATGGACCAACCCAAGCTGCTGGCCGCTGGGGCGGTTGGAGGATTTGGCAACCCCCACTTTGTGTCGCGCAATATGGGACGTCCTAGATTTGCCACCAAGGGGGAAGGGGGCATGTCACTGCAACTGGAATTCGAGCTCAAGCTTTTGGCCGACGTCGGATTGGTTGGGTTCCCCAATGCTGGAAAAAGCACCCTCCTTCGTTCCTTGACGAACAGCCGGACGCGGATCGGGAACTGGGAGTTTACCACCCTAGAGCCGAACATTGGCACCGTAGTCCTGGACGACTTCAAAGGCAGGCCACTCGTGGAATCATCAAATAAAAAATCGCCTCGCACCAATTTCACGATAGCAGACATTCCCGGTCTCGTCGAGGATGCGCATTTGGATCGGGGTCTTGGTCTGGGCTTCCTCCGCCACATCGAGCGCGCTGGCATTCTCGGCTTCGTCGTGGACCTTAGCTCAGCGAGCCCCATAAAAACACTCCAGAAACTGTGGCATGAGCTGGGAGAATACGACCGAATGCGCAACGCGGCATCAGACTCAACACCCACCGAAGGCCAGTTTATGCCCTGGGGGGACCCTCTTCCGCCATTGGCATTGCCGCCCATCTATAGAAAGCCGTGGTTTGTCGTAGCCACCAAGGCTGATTTACCGGAGACGCAGGACAATTTCCTTGCTCTGCGAGACTACCTGGCCCAGGTTCAGCAGGGAGCCGTCGAGCATCCCAGCGGACATAAAGATGCGTTCAAGGAGCGTCTTGTGGCAGTTCCAGTGAGTGCTATCAGGGCTGAGGGTGTCAGTGGCATACCAAACCTAGTGATGACTTTTCTTGAACCTCACTGATGTGGTTGGGCTCTCTGTATTATAATAATGATCATTGTAGATGTAAAATAGTTAATTGTATAGCCTTCTTGCATATAACCATTAATAAAGAATGAAATTTTTAAATGATCTATATATCTATATATAGATCACGTATATGTGATATTTAGAAAGTGAAAACCAAAAAAAAATGCTCGGTTTGTTCCAGGTCCTTTTGTGGTGGGGTTTATCATACTGTATTGTTTCGATGATCCACGCTAGGCAGAACAACACCTCACCTCATCCCAAATCTCAGTGCAATCCTTCTTCTTCACAGAGTCGTCTCAACTTGCTGGAGATAGGCAAACCAATCTAGCTGGATCGCGGCCTTGTCATCAATGGAGCCTCTCACTAGCGCCATTCTGGCCGCTATCGACAACCCTCAGCCCGATGACTCCGTTCTAGAATGCGTTGACCACAACACTGAAAAGCTTCGCTCTCTTCTTCGAGATAATACCGAGACCGCTCTCAGTCTGGCGGACGCGAAATTACGCGTCTTCCCATTCAAGGATGTGAGGAATTGCTGGCGTCGTCTCTACACCGACGCGAGCATCGTGCTAGCTGTACGTCTGATCAGGGAGAATCTTGCACGACAGTTGTCCCCTGATACCTGCAGAGAAGGAGCAGGAGGAGGAGACTCATCTTGGCTTGCGGCAGTGGTGCGATACTTGGACATGGCAGTTATTATGACTGGCGCACCGCAGCGAGAGGAGATGATTGAATCTCTATTTTCGGCCTTGAAGGACTGGCGACGAGCGAGTCAACAACAAACATCTTCGCTTGCTGAGTTAACAGGCTCTGACGACAGTACTGAGCAGCGCGCGGCGAAGCGCAGGAAGCTGTCTGTTCCATTATTCCCTCCAGGATCGGCCCCTTTGCCTGAGCTGACGAAGCCAATTCCACGTGTCTCAGCGCCGTCATTCTATACAATGGAAAGCCACATACAGGATGTGCGCACGCCTCTTGTAATCACCGATGCCGTCGGCCACTGGCCCGCTCTTGGTGACCGACCCTGGGCATCAAAGGACTACTGGTTTGACCAGACACTAGACGGGCGACGCCTTGTCCCCGTTGAAGTTGGACGCTCATATACAGATGAAGGGTGGGGCCAGCGCATTATGCCTTTCTCGGAGTTTGTAGATACTTTCCTTTGGAGATCTAACGATGACCATCAAACTGGATACATGGCGCAACATGATCTTCTATCTCAAATCCCCGCCTTGCGGAAGGATATCAGCGTACCGGATTTTTGCTTTATCGACCCCCCGGCTGCTGAGCCCGGAACATCAGTGTATGAGAAGAAAAGGAAGAAGCGCGAACTGGAGAAGAAGAACGACGCTGCTGCTACTACTGCTACTGCTGCTGCTTATACAATGAAAAACGAACCCAACAAGAGCGGCGAAGGCGCACAGCAGCAAACGTTCAAAGATCTTTCATCGAAGCAAAACCACGCAGGTAATAATGAATCAGAGAGCGAAAACGAGATCGGCATCCCGGCCGATCCCATTATCAATACATGGATCGGACCTTCTTGGACCATATCGCCATTACACCACGACCCCTATCATAACATCCTAGTCCAGGTCGTCGGTGCCAAATACATTCGATTGTACTCGCCACACACGCCGGCTTCGCAGATATACCCTCGAGGGATGGAGGCAGTCAATTCTGAAGATAAAACTGACGGTGACGATAAAGAGACAAAGGCGGACGAGAGCCAGCTTATTGACATGTCAAACACATCCCAAGTCGATCTAGCTGCTATGGAGTTGTCGCCTGCCGAATTCGAGCTTTGGGATTCGACATGGCCTGGGTTCGCAGAGGCGGATTACGTCGAAACGGTACTAAAGGAAGGTGAATGCCTTTACATCCCTGTAGGCTGGTGGCATTATGTGCGCGGACTTCGGGCGGGCATCAGCGTCAGTTTCTGGTGGGGTTAAGTGAAATACTGTAGAAAGCTAGTTGTTGACTGCCAAAAGCTTAGTTGAAGATGTAGATTCCTAGATACTCAGGCACCGAGGCATCCGTCGGTGGCGGCAAGCTTTATCTGTATCTGATCGACCGATAAAAATAAAAATACAACCAACCACCTCAATCCTCCGCAGTCTTCGGACGTTTCCATCCTACCAGCTAGTTTCTTCTTCTTCTTCTTTTTTCAACCCGTGTATCACAAGCTTTAATTGAACATGCCAAAGAAAGCCGCCGGTGAGAACTCCAAGAAGGCCGCTGGCAACGCCAGAGTGAGTCAACCCCGCGCACATTTATTTCCATCTCCCCGCAATCGGCCATGAATTTGGACGCAGCTTTTCAAACAGTATCTTATGCGAAAGAGCTATGATTTCAACTATGCGGATAATCCTTTCTTTCTTCTGGATAATAACGCAACAGAATTTATCAGAAAGCAGAGGCTGCTGCGCAAAAGCAGGCTGCTGCAAACGCCAAACAGGCCAAGGAAGAGGATGCCTACTGGGAACAAGGCTCAAAGTCTAATTCCAAGAAGTAAGCTAGCTTTCCCTTTCCTGAGAATCTTTTCTTTGCGTGTAATAATCTCTTAATATATCGTGATTTGAAACTATTAGAGATGCCGCAGACGCCAAAAAGGCCGAGGCCGCGCGCAAAAAGGCCGAGCGCGAAGCCATGCTGAAAGAGGAAGAAGCCTCACAACCTTCCAAGGGCAAAGGGGCCGGCGCGAAGACAGCACAGAAGAAAAGTCGCGGACTGGATCTCTCACAACTCGACGATACAGGTCTACCGGGCAGCCGAAAAGCAGCCGCCCTCAACGCATCCGGTATCGAGAATGCGCTCGATGCGCTCGAACTTACGGAATCAAGCAATAATACAAAGATTGATAGACACCCGGAGCGCAGATTCAAGGCTGCTTATGCTGCCTTTGAGGCTAGGCGGTTACCGGAAATCGAGGTTGAGTATCCGGGTCTGAGGAAGCAGCAGCGCGTTGAGATTTGTAAAAAGGAGTTTGAGAAGAGCGAGGAGAATCCATTTAATAAGGTGAATGTTGCTTTCGATGCCAGTCGCGAGGAGATTGCGGCTGTTAGGGAGGCGGAGAGGAAGAAGGTTGAGGCTAGATTGACTGCGAAATGATCGTTTCCTCTACATTCATGCATGCATGGGGTACAAACAGTATTGGGCCATGAGAATCAAGCATTTGGATAAATTCTTGTTAGCCATACATCCTCTTCAACGAATCAAGCACTCCTAGTTGCTTACTACGTTGGTGCAGATATTATACAAATGGACAAGCCCTATGAAAGCGACTACATGTTGTAAAACCTGACGAAAGAATGAAGAAATGCTATTTTTTAAATCATATTAAATATTTTTATACATACATAGAAAAAAACGCAGACTCAATGATCAATAAAAGCCCGTAACGCCATCTTTGTCACGTAATAAAAGGACGGACTGGTCTATTGCTTCATAAAAGCCCTCACATCCCAAACGTATAAACTCTCATCCCATCCCACAGTACCACACCAACCCTCAGCGCCAAACAAGCACCAGTCCACCCCCGTCACGAACTCCTTATGATGGCTCATGCAACCCACCTCCTCGCCCATAACAGGCCCAGTGGGTCCCATGCGCATAGGATCAATATCTGCCTGGGTCTCGCACCGATCGTTCCAGACTCGACAGGTCATATCGTAGCTGGCTGTGAGAAGCAAACTGGAGAGATGTGGCGACCATGCCAGTTTGCGAACCGCATAGTTGTGGCCCGGCATGATAGCTATGGGCCCGTGTTGTGGTGCGCGAATATCGAATGTGCGGACTACCCGATCTACTCCTGCTGTGGCGAGCACTGACGAGCGGTATTTGTTCCAGTCGTGTGTGAGACATTCCGAGGGAGGAGCAGCGGCAGCGGGTTGAGGGGGCATGGCACCAACTTTCGTAGGTGCGGCCACTGGCGATGTACCGTGTATCGGGATTTGCATGGTTAAATGATTGGAAGCGGAGGCAGGTGTTCGAAGGTCAAAGATCCTAATGTGCGAATCCGATGTCACACAGGATAAAATGTCTGGAGAATGAGGAGAGAATGCCGCCGAATAAGTGCAGCTATGTGTCGGTAGGGTGAGGAGCGACTGTGCTCGGTGCGGTGACCATACTTTGACCGTGCCATCCCAACTACTCGAGCAGAAATTTTCTTTTGCAACGAGGTTCCAATGTACCGAAAACACCTCTCGATTGTGCTCCTTCCACGCTTGAACGGGAAAGTCGTTCACGGAACTGTCAAATAGTTTGACACTCCCATCACCAGAGGCGATCAAAACTTGATTTTCATGAACCTCCGACCAGGCCAGGTCGTAGAGTGCATCTTGTGTTGTATAGCTGCATTGTATACCAGTATCAATCAATCAATATTTGCCAATCTGTTTGATTTGCGGGGTCGACGGGGCAGGCGGCGGCGGGGGGGAGAAGCGTTCGTCGAGACTCACAATTTTGCAGGCACGATGCCATTTGGGGTTAACTCCAGGATGTACAGACGACCATTTCCCACGAGGCCAAAATTCGCCGATGCGCTCACGGCTAGTCGATTGTCGAAGAAAGGGGAGTATTTGACGGCGGACCCATTGAAGCCTTCAGTGCGGAAATGAAGCATGGTGCCAGCGAGAAATAGAATCACTGAACTCAGGGGTTGACCGTCAACTGCAGTTGGGACATTGACATTCTCAGAAAGCTGGCAGCAGGGGAGACCGCATCATCATGGACATCTCTGAAACGATGCAGCTTCTGTCAACGTAGAGATGAATGTGATGCCGACCCGCACCGGCAGTTTCGCCGAGGTAAGCTCTCCGGCGCCGCCATTGGCATATAATATTTACATAAGCATTATTACTAAGCACACGCAGTTGGACTAAAGCAGGAATAAAACACATCAAAGACTCAGGTGTATCTAACCATGTATTTCACCACTTCCCCCTCAGAAAATTATCTCCCTGAAAATGCATATCTATTGATAGGCCCCAGAGGGATATTAGAAACCCTAAAAACCACGTTTATCCTAGCGGAACACGGCATGATTTCACAACTTTCAATGAGCAGCTTGGCTGCAGCGAGTGGGTGAATCCCAATGTGGCAACAAAAACAGGTCCTCTGTTATGCATTTCTCCAGGAGTATCGCTGCAACGCAGCAACAGTCCTATATCTCGCTCAAGCCTATCAAAGCTTTGTCTTCCAGGCATGCTAACACGCACGAGAATCTTCCACGTCTCTCCGGGACGCAATGAAGCGATAGATGTCCTTCCGCAAACTTGAATATCGTATTTAGCACTAGGTGTAAGTCTGACATGGAGGTTTGTTATAATTCCTGCTGTAAAGCCAGAACGAATATGGCAGAGCGCCTTCTCGATCTTATCATGAAAATCGCTCGCGGAATTTGGATTTGTGTTGATTTCGGGATAGATGTGCCAGCCAAGGCGTGGTGACGGGCCAGAATCATAATGATCCTCGAGAGTGATCGTCGTTAAACCGACAACTGCGTTATATACGGTGTTTAATGTGGTGTCATGATTGGCCGAAATCAAAAAGATGTGAGGAATAGAGTGTTTACTGGCATCAAATAGCCGGGAAGCAGCTTCCACAGCATCTCCTAGCAAATCGTCGTCCCGGAGAGCACCATTGATTGGCGGCTTCCCAGAAGAAATACACTTCGAGATCAAGCGCTTTAAGTCCAAGTCACGGCATTCACTCGACTCACAAATCACATCGATGAGATCGTGCCGCTCAAAATTCACACATGCTACCGCAAAGGAATCTTTCGACTTGAACTTGTCAAGGATGACTTGAGCCATAGCAGTTACCTGTGTCATCTCACTGTCACATCTAATATGAAGATGTCAACACGCGGCCTTACTTAGAGTAGGAATTGGTCATCATGGGTCTAACTCACGTCATGTTCAGAAGGACCATGGCATCAATGTCTAAACCGTATTGCATATATTTTGAGCTTTCCATATTCACGTCATTCGTGATAGTGATATGGATGCTCGTTTCAGTCTTTCTGAAATTGCTCGATAGCTCATCAACATGCATTTCCATACCCACAACTGATATTGGAGGTGCAAAGATATACTTCCTTGGTGGATGCGAAATAAGACTATGTTCCTCACTTTCGGGATGAGGCGACCGTATGTTACTCGTTAATCTTTTCGAGAACCCACGAGTTGGATGCCTGATAAGTTTCTTATCCAATGAGTGGAAAAATTGAGATATCCTCCCTTGTGTTTGAAGATGACCACCAATTGGAAAAGGTGAACTCGACAAAGGCTGTCCTTCAATCTGACTTTCCGTGGCGCGTGTCGCGTTGTATGCTGGTACAATTAATCCTCCTCGGCGATTCCCCTTCCCGTCCGATTCCGGCGCATTGCTTTGACGGACCCTTGGTATGTCCAAATTTTGCCATCCAGCATGTGGAGAGCTATTTGAAGCTAGCACGGTTGAATCACTGGACGAGACCGTAGTTGACGAATTTGTTGATGAAATCCTGCCGAATCTCGAGAGAAGACGTTGTGTATGATTATTCCCAGGCTTTGCAGCAGGCATGCTAGCCCTCTTGGTGATTGACAGAGGCGTCGGTGAAAGGTCCATGATTGAATGATCTAATATACGCTTGCGTACGGGATTTTCACACGTGCTCTCGACCCTGCACAGGACTGTGGAGTTCAAGCTCGAGGTCGGTTGTGCCGGTCGCTTTCGTCGACGTTGAGATCCTCGGGGTGGCCGTATTGCTGGATTTGTTGCTTCGATCAGTCCTCGTCCGTTTTTTCCAGACCATCCACTGGTGCCGGCGATGACAGTGACGATTCTCGCAGGATAACAAACAGCACACCGCCGTAGCGACGACAAATACAACGAGGAGAATGGGGACTAAGACCAATGCTAGAGTAAGAAAGTTCTTTTTCAAGCTGGTCGAGTTGATGGACATCTCGAGTGACTAAATAAATATTGAAGTATCGAGACAGCATGGAAGACCTTTAGAAAATAGTCTGAAGATACACAATCCAAGGCAGCAAGTCTTGCTGGCCGAAGGAAACATTCGTCAAGAGAAAGGCGTGACTCGAAAGGCGAGGCAGGAGGGCTCGACCGAGGAAGGTGCGGCCCCAAACACACAATTGATAATCAAGAAGGGGTATATTTAATCATCCAACACCGAAGCACAAATCATCCGTTGAGATTTTCTTTCAGTCCCGAAATCATCCTTTCCTTGACGCCGTTCAAGGCAGCAGAATCCAGATTCACGAATCGTATCTGGTTGAGAGCGATGGTTAGCAGACATAGTTTTATCGCAGAATATAACAGGCTGTTTCACTTACAGATTCTGTTTCCATCCTAGAAGCATTCGCAAACAATACAGCATCAGACTGACTGGCCTGGATTCCGCTTTGGACCCTCTTTGCCCACACCCCTTCCCAGTTCCACTCTCCAGGCAAACGGGCCTGAGGGGCTCCTCTCTTATCCGGCGTTGCAAAGCCTGCACCTTTAACCGTTCGACGATGTGCTTTCCAAGCATGCCATGCGCCTGGGTTTCCGGCAGCATCAAGAGGGAGGGAGTCAAGTACATTCTCGTCATCAAATGTTGAGCGGATATAGCCGAGCAATGTCAGCACGTGGACTGTTGCTACGTTATCCTCGTGCGGCGTTGCTGCAGGGGCTTTAGAAATGCGAACAGTATTCTCGGTCTGCAAGAGGGTTTCTCGCGTTGATGGCTTTGCAGCGCTCTCATCTATATTCCCAGCAGTTGGTGTTTGAGAGCTGTTCTGCGCATCATGACTTTGCTGTTCACTTATCTCGCTGCGAGTCGTATCATCAGATGCTATGCTCCCTCCACTAACATTTCGAGAGGCATTCACCGAATTGCCTGTAGTTCGCTGGGCTCGACCAAACCATCGAGGGAAGCCATGGCGTAGGCTGAATGCCCCGGGTGACAGTCGTTCCTCGTCTGTTGCACTGACGGGTGCTTCATTTGAGGAACCTGTTGTGAACGTGTACGTTGTTAGAGGGACAATGAGTGGGTGGAAGATATCGGTCGTAAATGTGACAAGCGGTGGTAATTCGGGGTAAGAGGCAGGAAATTTAATATTGAACCGGAGGACGGCCGAAGTATAGGGGCCTTGAATATAAGTGATTTGTTAGAAAACATGTCGACAACATAGAAATCCAAAGCATAAGTGAATCACCTTTTCGAATGAATATGACTCCGCTCCAAAACGTTGGGTCTGTAGGATTGGCGATGCTCACGTAGACACCAGGAGGCGGCGCATACTTTAAACTCTTACTGTGCGCAATGGCTTAGTATTCAATCTCATGACCATGGTCGCCTAACATACAATTCCAGTAGCAACTGTTGCTTTCGCAGCGAAGGTATGTTGGGCAATCCCGAAGAAGACATATTTGGAGTAGTTATTTGGAGGTAGAAGATTGGCTGGCGAAGCTTATCTCAGCCTGCGGATGTTTTTGCCTCAAGGCAAAAACATGAGTGCCAAGCTGGTGTGTTTGGCCTTCCAGTTAAATGATTGGCTCGGAAACTTCAAAACTTTTACATGTGATTAATCCTGGCAAGTTATCCCAACTTTTCTATAGTCTTCTAGCCAATCAAATCAAGGCTGACGTGAGGAAATGTGATAGCAACCTGCACATTTTCCACAGCTTCCACAGTTTCTGTAATCAATCACCTTTTAGCGAGGTTACTAAGCGGTAGTTAAGCGGCAAGTTATTCGCATCTATTAAAACCATAATTGCATTGAATCTGCCAACTTTGTGCAACGATGAATATCACTCTAGAATAAACAAAAATAGTACCACATTCTAAGATATTTACAGCACAATTTTGTGTTGAGTCTGTTGACTTAGTTTTGGCTATCTACTCCGTGTGATGCAGCAATTGAGTATATGTAGCCGGAAAATATTGGTCTAGGAAGGCCGTCGCTGTTCTAATTCGCCGTTTGGGCTATGAGCTACTCCAACGGCAACAAGGCCCTCGTTAACGCCCTCGTATATACCACCAGCAACAGATTCGCTCAGCCAGGCAATCAGATCCCCTACCGCCGTCATAATCTTGCCTTGATTTGAAATCGACAAAAATAAGCCGACATTATGGGCGCCTTTGCCATTGGCCCCGTCGGCCGTATTCAGAGCGGTAGCAAGAACTTTTTCGGTAAGACGATATTTTCGTTCATATCTGTATATCAAATTCAAGAGCTTTCTTAGGTACGGAAGTATTACTTGTACGAAGACGAAGATGTACACGATAAAGGTGGCAATCAGGCGGTGCAAATAAGATGGCGAGTTCGAGGAAGCTAGATTTCTCTGCGAGGTGGTTGCGCCTGCTGAGTTCTCGACACTCACCCTTACAGATTCGGGGAGATGATCGTAAATGGCACGAGCTTCGTCGACAGTCAAGTCCGACGGCAGTGCATCGAGCAAGTACCCTAGACCGTTGATGAAGAGGCTTCGAACGAGTCGAGTGTCTGAGTTGGATTGCTGAGCCTCAAAACCGGCATTTCGAAGCAGTGAGGAAGCTGTATGGTTCAAATCAGCTGCCCTGAGGGTGGGTATTCATAAGAGGAACGCAGAAACAGATACTATACCAGGTACCACCCTATTCCATCGGACACCAGAGTCTATTTCATAAGACGACGACGACAAAGAAGATGGTCGATTCGCCTCCGGTGTTGAGGCCCCCGAGGTATCAGTAGAAATAGAGATTGTAGACCCTTTACTACCTGCAGAAGCCGGGCGCGATGACGATGGAGTGCCTTTTGGCGTACAAAAAACAAAGTCCACCTCCGAAAGCGGGGTCGCGTCAATTTGAACACGGTCCCGCTCTGCAGCCAGAAAAGATAGCTGTAGATTATGCACGCGATCCAGGCGTCGTCGGAGAACGGCCGGAAGCATAGTGTACAAACGGTTGAAAGAGGCACATAACCGTACACATGTGTTGTGTCGTACTTAGGTCAGCCATTGTCATTGTGGCGGTTTGGTCGCGAAGAAAACGCGCGATGTAGGAAGATCACATGTGATAACCATGCTATATAATACTCACCTATACTAGGTGAGTGTTATATGGCTAACTAGCCAAAGATTCGGAGATAAGCACTGTACAGTGTTGATGTTGTTCGCTAAGTGTTTTTCCGTGGCCAATCTTAATACTTTTTCTGGCAAGCGCGCAACAAAGGCTCGGGCAGGACCTTCCTAATGCGGCTCACTCTTGCCTCCAATGAAATTGTGCTTGTCGGCCTCTTAACTAACACCACGGCAATGCGGGGTACAAGATGCTTCCAGCATTTAAATACCATCGTCCTTTCCAGCTCCCAGCACTCTCCAAGTTCTCTCCTCGTCTCTTTTCGTCCAAACCCAACGGTATCACAATGACGGACCTCTCAGTGGAGATCACCGCGCCCAATGGCAAAAAATACACCCAGCCCACTGGTCTTTTTATCAACAATGAATTCGTCAAGGGCAATGGCGGAACGATTGTCTCTATTGACCCAGCGTGAGGGATAGATTCCAATGCCCTCTCGATTATTAACTATTACTGATTCTTCTTTCCCCCTTCCAGCACGGAAACAGAAATCGCGACAGTTCACGCCGCCAGCGCGGATGACGTCGATCGTGCGGTGCGAGCCGCTCGCGTCGCCTTGAAGCATCCTTCCTGGAAGAATCTTCCAGCTACAGATCGGGGTCGCTTGATGGCTCGATTGGCGGATCTGGTTGAAGAAAAGAAAGAGATTTTTGCTACGATCGATGCCTGGGATAATGGCAAGCCGTACTCGGTCGCCTTGAACGAAGATCTTGGAGAGGTAGTCCTCACTTTGCGCTATTACAGTGGCTGGGCCGATAAGACCTTTGGACAAACCATCAACACTACCCCTGAGAAGTTTGCATACACACTGCGCCAACCCATTGGCGTTGTTGGACAAATTATTCCATGGAACTATCCTCTTTCAATGGCAGCTTGGAAGCTCGGTCCAGCTCTGGCCTGCGGCAATACAGTTGTTCTCAAGCCCGCGGAGCAGACACCCCTCAGCGTTCTATTGCTGGGAGAATTGATCAAGGAGGCCGGCTTCCCACCAGGTGTTATCAATATTGTCAACGGCTACGGTCGTGAAGCGGGCGCCGCTCTTGTGGAACATGACTTGGTCGACAAAATCGCCTTCACTGGCTCAACTACCACTGGTCGCCAGATCATGAAGTTGGCATCCGCAACAATGAAGAATATAACACTCGAGACGGGTGGTAAATCCCCACTTATTGTGTTTAGCGACGCTGATCTCGAACAAGCTGTGAAGTGGTCTCATTCAGGCATCATGTCAAACCAGGGCCAGATCTGCACAGCAACATCCCGCATATTCGTCCAAAAGGAGATATACGACACATTCATTGAGAAGTTTAAGGAAGCTGTCAAGACAACATCCAAAGTCGGCAATCAGTGGGATGAGTCCACCTTCCAGGGTCCGCAGGTGACCCGTGCTCAATATGAGCGTATTCTGGATTATATCAATGTTGGCAAGTCCGAAGGTGCTACCGTTCTTACTGGCGGAGAACCTTATCGTGGAGAGAGCGATAGTGGAAGCACTGATTTCAGCAAAGGATTTTTTATTGCACCAACAGTATTCACCAACGTTGTTGACTCTATGCGAATCTGCCGTGAGGAAATCTTTGGTCCCGTGGTGGTAATTGCCTCCTTCGACACAGAGGAGGAGGTTATAGAACGCGCCAATGGAACAACCTATGGCCTCGGTGCATCCGTTTTCACCCAGAATATCCAGCGAGGTCATCGCGTCGCGGCAGAGATCGAATCTGGTATGGTATGGATTAACAGCTCGCAGGATAGCGATCCACGCATTCCATTTGGAGGAGTCAAACAATCCGGGATTGGCCGAGAATTGGGTGAAGCTGGCCTAGAGGCTTATTCTCAAATTAAGTCTGTTCATGTCAACATGGGAACTGTCCTATAATGAATTATCTCTATCTTCTCATAAATCGAACATGTGTACGGCAGTTAATTCGGAAGTGATTTAACGTGATATAGCATAATGGAATTTTAGCGATAGCTATCTGGGAATCTAAAGTAGTTGGATTATTATTTGTTGGCACAGAACAACTTGTATTCAGCTCGCATGTAGGCCTCTTTCTGTCTATACGTTGGAATAGACATGCGGGAGTAGCCGCCGCTAGCCGCGCGGGCCGACGGCTGTGTCACAATCCGACGGCGCGTGATATGCATAACCCTAAACGTCAGAAATGACTCGAGACTGAGATGGAAATTATAACAATATTAACCAGTAAGCCACCAAAAAGGGACCCCTTTATGGGGCTTCTGGTAATGCTCATTTTATGTCTAAATAATGCCTTATATTCCGCTGTCAGGAAATGACGGAACGCTAGAACCGACAGCATGTACAACACGCCGCCACGAACGAACATGATGCAGCGGAGCACCTATGCATGGCGGAAGTGTGGAAACAGTTTCATTGGTAGCACGAATTAAATGCTATTTCTTCTTGACTTACGTAGGCTGGCTTAAGAGCTCCGTTTCAACGATAGGCCAGACCGGAATGCTTGCCTTAGTCTACGGTTGTATGTTCGTGCTCCTAATACAAGACTTGCGTATATAAACGAGTAACACAAAACAAAGGCTCAATTCGAGTATGCTAAGAAACTATCTTTGCATATTTATGATCTTTATATTGACAGATTTAGACTCAATGATGCCCGCGCTATCATCACGTCGTGGAAATAGGATAGGCATATAGTTCAAACAAGATGCAGCCGTGATGGTCATTGACAAGATATCCTCCTCCGTACGATAGATCGGTGGATAGATCAGCGCTGTCGCAATAATCAGGCATCCATTGGTCCATACAGACACCGACTGCGTTATCACTAGGATCACCAGTGAAATCCCACGTCTCCTCGCTACCACCACATCCTGACTGGTCGGGTGCCCAGCCTCCAGATACTACAATGGCGTATGATTCCTCTGTGAATTGTGTAGTATAGCTGATTGTTGCGTCCCCAGATTTTAACCTGTACTTCTTCTTGCAGAAGTTTTCTGAAGCGGTAGCTGCGTTTTCCAATGTGAATTGGGTGTAGCCGTCCGCTTCAGTGAAGCAATATGCACCAGTAGTTCTGACTGTGGACCCAGTTATGGTTGGCCAGGATACAGCGGTGGTTGATGGAGTCGAGGATGTTCCAGAGCCACCGGATCCACCGGAGCCCCCGGTACCCGCAGAGTCTGTAGCTGTGCTTGTAGAGCCCCCAGAGCCCGCAGCGCCCGTAGCGGTGCCTGTAGAAGCAGTGCCCGTAGTGGCAGTAGTGGTTACTGGAAACATCGCGTTCCACATTGACGCGATATCGGACTCCATTGAGGCTAGGGCAGCGGAACCAACTGTGGTAATCGGCCGATCTGCAGTAATAAATGCCGGAGCTGCCACAGTGTATTCACCTGAGCTAGAACTGGAGCTGGAACTCGAAGTGGACTTGGAACTGCCAGTGGAAGAGGGGTCTGACGATTTAGTTGAACTGCCATCATCACCACCATCACCACCGCCACCTCCTGATCCCCCATCATCTGAAGTATCCCCAAAATCAGGTGGACAATAAGGGCAGTGGGGATGACAGAAGGAATGACCTGTCATGCTCATGTTAGTGAGAAGTAGATATGAACAGACCAATGTTTGTTGTACGCAATCAAGAACTCACAAGCATGGCCGGCACCCTTGGAACCCTTGTGGGTTGTTTCCTTGGGCTTTCCCTTTGAAAACGATGTCCTTCTAGTGTTCAAAGTCTTATCTGGCGTGGATTGTGCTGTATCAGGGTATGGATTTGGAGTGAAGGTCGTTGTTATTGGAGTTCCTGTGGTCCCACCAGTTATGGTGGTCGATCCTCCAAATATGTGTGTTCCTGATGGACCAATATATGTATAATGCCCCGATATATAAGTCATTGGAGTCTGAGTGGTGACTGTGCCACCTGAGACGTTTGTTGTCCCTCCCCAAACACTAAAACATAACCTATTGTTAACATTTGAGATAGACAAGAGGGGGAGAAGTGGGAAAACCATACGGGGTGATAACAACTGGGAAAGGAGTGGGCTGAATGGAAGATATCATTGGAATTGTCGTAGGGTAGGGTGACCCGGATGGAACAGAGACCCCCCAGACGGGAATCGAAGGGCCAGTGTCTAAGTATCGGAGATTAGCAAGCTGCCATATAGTGAGTTAAGATCAAGGTAGTTCATGTCAACATACACGCAGGTATATTCAACACCGTCGGTATCGACATAGGGATGTAGGAGATAAGTGTAGTTGTTGTTGTCCCAATGGTCGTGCTAACAGGCGTAGGACTAGAAACCACCACAACTATCGACGTTGGAGGAATTGAGACGGTGGTGTTAGTTGACAGAGGAAGTGGGGGCATTATAAATGAGCAAGGCGGGATGCAATCCAGAGTTCCAGTGTCATTAGTCCAAATACTGGGATCGATATAAATAGTTCCGGAACCATTGGTGCTTGATCCAGGGTCAAGGTAACTTGTTGAACCATTATTTTGAAGATCGATTGCCCAATCTACCCATCCACCCATGGCAAGGACAGAATAAAGCTCGCCTCTCTGTTCCTTGTTCTCATCATCCATATATGATACCCATTGGTCTTCATCATAGACAAGGATATTAGAGTAACTTTCATCCACAAACTGGATCATTCCAGATGAATTCTGGGCAATGATATCAGCAATCTCGCCATTGCCTAAATAGCCTGCAGTGTCAGTGCATGGCCCAGGAGTTGCACCAGAATCTGGCCCAGTGTAGGTGCACATGTCAGTATAACAACCTGGAGTTGTCATCTTGAACGAACGACCATAACTAGTTACTCCAACCACAACCATGTTTGAGGGAACCCCAGCCTTAGTGATCATCGACAAGGAATTAAGAGTCTCCGTTATATTCACATCAGATCGAAGACAGTTGCCTGCTGGGCATCCTGGATCGGAAAATTTACTTCCGTAATCCCATTGCCCATGAAGATCATAAGTCATGAACACAATATAGTCCACATATGCTGACATAGCATAGATTGGAATATTCTTTAAATACCAGTAAGACGAAGGAGCAGTGACAGAAACTGAGTATTTGCCAGCATTCGATTCATAGAATTCTCCCAAAAAGACATAAAAGTCAATAACATCGGCAGTAGTATCGGCTGGTATCCCTGGAATATCAGGCTCGCCAGGGTATTCCCAATCAAAGTCAACACCATCGAGGTTATTTTCATCCAAGAATTCAAGCACATTACTGATGAATGTTGCCCTATTAGCTTCTTGAACAGCTTGTCGAAATATTTCATATGTTGAGGAGCTAGTTGAAAATTCCCATCCTCCAAAAGATAAGATTCTTTTCACGCCTGATAAACTGCCAAAATCATCAAAATTCGAAGACATTGATGAAACATTGACAGAGAAATCTGCGTTTAGGGTAGCAAAAGCAAGATGAATATGAGTATATTTGCTTGTGTCGACTGACAGAATACTTTCTGCAAGGCATGGCCTTTGCCAGTCATAGCCCTCAAAATATCCGATTTTAAGAAACTCTGCAGGAGGATCCGAGTAGATAATATCTGCTCCACAATTTGAGATACAACCATTTGTTCCATTAGCGGCAGTCCCAGGTGCTCCAGTTGTTGACTCAGTAACAAAGCAAAACTCAGCAGTAGTACCACACTGCCCCCAGATATCACAGCATGCATTTAATGGGCACTCATTAAGAGTGCTCAAATTTGTTCCGTGTGGTGCAACAGCCGTGCCATTTACCTGAGGGCCACAGACTGCATTTGAGATAGTCGATGGCATTGGAGGATATCCAGAGCTGAGGCAGATACGAGCACCAAGTTGCAGGTCACTGCAGCCCATCCATCCCCAAGTATCGTTATTATAATTATCAATATCGCTAACAGTAATGTCGTACGTCGCCGCAATTACAGAGCATGTGTCATTTGCTGCCACTGTATATGTATAGCATGTTCCATTTGAGTAGGCACTCGGTGTCAAATCCGGGAGTGACCCGGATGTACAACAAACTGACTCACCAGGAGTGAGTGAGGAGCATTCACCGGAGCTTGGATTGTACTCGGTGAATTCGGCTGCGGTGATTCCACATTCTGCCGCTAGAGTAGTACAAGTATCACCTGAAGCAACTCTTATTGTTGTGCAAGTGTCCCTTGCTTGGAGTGCGTGTCGACTAGACGAGGTGCTGTTTGAGGTATGATTGCTTGAGACTGGTGCAAGGTAATTGATGGCATGCCAGGTCGTTGCCTCGTCATAGGCAGTGACACAGCTGGCATTACTCCATGCTTGCACTGCTTCTTGGACGAACGTCCAGTCCGCATCGGTGCTCAGCGCGACTCCAATGGAATACCTTGAGCTTGTATACGTTGAGGCACAAGATTGAGCGACAAGATTGCCGGATATACCATTGCTCTGTATGTATGACAAGAACTCCTCCAAGATAGGGCCTGTGACATTTTGGCTCTGAAGTCCAGCGCCTGCGTACAGACCAACAAGTGCCTTGTCAGAGTATGCGAAAGTAATCTTCTCATCACATGAGTTGTCAGCTTGCATATAGGACTGCAGCTGTTGAACTGCGGCGATTGCATTATCCGTAGTCGTGCTTCCAGCGCTATTCGAGCCTGACCAGGCTAGCTGAAGTGTTGATTTCCTCTTGGTGGTGTGTTTCGCGGTGGCACACGATTTGGCGTCAGTTTCTTCTGAGTCCACTGCTGAGGCTGAGTTGACTGCTGATGCGCATGCGTACAGACTAATATGCGTGTCGTCATCCTCTAGAGGGGTGTGGAGCGCAAAGTTGACGAGCATAGATTGGTTACAATGCGAGAAGCGGTCCAAGTCATGATAGACGGTCCAGCTGCTTGGGTCGTCTCCGGCTTCAGCGCAGCTTACAGGGCAGAGAGTTCGGCTGAATTTTGGTGGGCTCGTTGATGCCTGTTGAAGTGTGCTCTCTCTTGGGCCAAACGTTGTCTCGTTTCTGGGCTTGACAGATATTGGGTGCTTCGACAGATATTCATCAAACGCAGCTGGCACTGAAAAAGGAAGCGAGGCATGCACAATATCTATGGCAAGGAAGACGAAGATCAGCAGCAAGCTAATCGCATGGTTCCTGAAAGCCATTGTCACTAAGTGTGATAATGGAATCCAGGTCGTCACAAGATGGGCAGTTGATGTCCCATGGGAACCATGTGAGTCGAGAGGATAGAGCAAGGTCTGAATACAAGCGCAGGTAGTTATAATTATACTTGAGGGGAAATATCAAGGCATCAAGTCCGATGACCACGGAGTATCTCAATAGCAATGGGGGAATTTTTCTAATAGTCACCATCACTGCGAGATACAAGTGGCGTCTTTAGCGCGCTTCAGCTGAGCAAAGCACAATGAGGTATCAAACCCACTATGTTTTGCACTATGTCCACCGTCAAGGCCTACAGATCCGAGTTTAGCAGTAAGCAGTGAAGGCTGATCAGATCAAATGTCTTCAGGCGAGACGGGATACAACGTATTTTTTACTTTGTATTGCGTATTTTTTTAATACATATGCGCACAGGTATTGTACTTCGGCAACGCAGATTCACGATTTGACAGTTTAGAATGCTTACTAGGTACTATAAGTTTAAGATTGCTGGGCTAAATTTGCTTTTGGATTAAAATCTGACAATGCTTTCTAGTTTCAAAGTTTGATCCTGCAGGAACTTCAGAAGTGGACGCGATGTTACTTCATAATTCCATACAAGATGGAGCGTTAGATTAAGCTAAATGAGATATTAATTTGAGCTACCTGTTAGTTTCGTAGCTCTCTGGCGTATATTCCCAGCCTCGACCTTTAGAGCTTACATCGCGCCCAAAACCTTGATCGGGTATCAGAAAAAGAAGAAAGAAGAAGACGAATAAGAGAAAAGTGGACTCTGTACTTGATAGTGCACAAGTCTCACCCGGAGTCACTTGGAAGAAGAGACGTCGTAGTATCACAAGCTTCTTATGGCCCTTATTCACGACGGCTTATATTTATTCCACGGTTGCTCTCTCGCATTGGGGTTTACTCACCCCACCTATCTGTCGTCAAGAAGATGCGGCTTTCCTTCTCGCGCTTTTGTGTCCTTGCGCTGTGCGGTGCTGCCAGCATCTCGCGCGCTTCGCTCTTCACCTTGGTGACGGAGGGCGGGGGACAATGCGACAGTTCTATGCAGACGACACTGGATCAATGGATTTCTGACAGCAAAGAACTCGTCGCAGCCGCGCTGTGGGCTGTTGAACAAAGAAGTTCAAACAACGAAGAGATATTGGCATTTTTCACTTCCTATTTCGGTATCAAGTTCGACTACGAAAATGGCGGATTCGCAAACTCCGCCTCTGGTATTGTGTTTGCGACGGTTCGCAGTAAGACTCTATAGAATAGACTGGATGAGCAACAAGAACTAAGATTGTTTACGTGCAGACACGCTCACCTTGGTGTCGAACTTCCTGAACGGCCAGGGCATCCCCGAGGCCATGAACCCCACGACACCGCCGTACCTTTTCTGTGGCGATGGTGCTTATTCGGCTACGGGTTGGTACGCGTCCGTACTTGGTTTTGATGGAAAGCCTGTCCCAAACCTGGACACAGGCGAAGGGTACTATACTGTGTGGGATATGTACAAGCAAGAGGTTGTAACCCAAGCTAAGAACCCGTTCTATTCAGCTGTACAGAATGGGTACGCTTTTGGACTGGGCAAAACACCCTGTGCCACACGTGTCGTTGATGGGGAGGAGGTCGCACCAGCGGCTTTCGTCACAAGGCCTTATTTTCCCAAGTCACTCCCCGATGAGGGTTTTGTTATTGACTGGAATCCATCTATGACTTTGTGTGATATGATGCTCGAGGCCCCAGAAGCGCCATATGTGGCTCTGCTTAAGGATATTGCGTATCCGACCAAAGATTCTCCGATAAACTTGGACTCCCAAGTGCCGCTAAGTACGAGTTTCTACCATGAGCTTACCCACCTCGTGTCAAAAGCCGTCGAAGATAACTGGTGTAAGTACTCCCCAGAAAGAAAGCAAACTGAGGTATACGTCTAAGTACCTTTGGGTTTACAGATGACTTGAACGCCATCATCAAAAACGCAGTAATAGATGCCGCTGGCGACTCACAGGGGGCAGAAAACAATGCTGAATCCTACATGTTCTTTTCCTTGGCCCTTTGGTACTACAGGAATCCGAATGATGGATATCGCGCGACTTTCTACCGGGGGAAATCAAACGACCCGCTCAGGATTTCTACTACGTCTTAGCCCCGAGCACTCGATGGAATGATACTAAGCTTGTCATTATATATGTGTACGTAGGCTTCTTGGTTCTAAATCATCTCTTGGAATAATTACTCAGTGACACATTTACGTGTTCAAAACATTCAGTCTTGCTGCTGCTGCTGCTGTTAGATAGTGTTCAAAGTGTATGACTTTGTACCATGCTTGAAAGAATCATGTACGGAAGAAGTGAGACAACAGAACTTGGTGAAGTTAAAAAGCCTATATATCAATTCGTTTCCCTTTTTCGATACACTATATGATTCGCTAGTCCGCCTCTCGAGCAGAGAAATCAGGGATAGCTGGTGTAGCTTCGCTTGATGTCTCTATCGGTTGGAGATAATTACAGCACCGAGCATGCTGCTTGTGAAAATACCCCCGCATACAAGTCCGTCCATGATAGAGATAGATAGGTGCATCATGCAACTAGCGAAATGTTCTATGAGGCAATTTCCTTCATGTTTGTGTCACATTTCTCGGAGGGCGAACCGTCTCTGCTCAGCTGAAGGCGCAATTTTTCTATTTCTCCTTATGTAAAAGATTCCACTAGTTATTACCTATTATTAGAATTTTTAGGAGACCATAGTATCAACGCGTCGCCACGGAAAGCTAGGAGTTATTTGACCATGGTTACATCAGCTAGTGAGCTTCTTTTGGTGGTGATGCCGTGATGGTGGCGAGGTTGGACCAGCGTCGTGCCGAAATACTATGCAATGTTCAGTTATGTATAGGCTATATGGCCCACTTTAGGTTCTGACCAAGATATGGCATGCAATTGTGGCGGTCTAAGAGGAAGGACGTGGGAACAATGTAGTATTACTATTTAGTCAGTAACGTATGTTAGTAGTTCTATGATGAAGGAATCATACAAGCATCTGGGCTTTGCAGCACTGCGTGGAAATTAAATATACAGGTAACGTACTTTAATTCCATGTCGTACAGTTAGGGCTTACTGTAGTGACTAGTGCAATGCACTCAAATTTAACTACTGGTGCTTTAAAATCGAGAACAAATTAGGGTTACTCCCAGCCTAAGAGCCTCCACAGGATTAATTAAACTACAAAAACAAGCATCCCGATCTTTCCGACAGAACACGACATGTCGGCTGTTTCGGTCTTAGATAAACTAAAAAAAATAAAGTTCAAAATACGCTTACGCTTAAGGCCAGAATTGGCCCCCAAAGTCTGCGGAGGTTTTTCTTTTCTTGGGGTCGAGGCGTGCATGTGGCGCCTTCGCCCCGGGAAAAATCTTTGCCTGAGTCAGTTGTATTGCGTCGAACTCCTCGAATTGCAAGATGCGAACTACAATGTGCTGAAACCGGTCTAGGGTTCCCTTAGGTTGGAACATGGTGCCATTTCTTCGACAATGGAGATTAGTGCAAGGTAGATAGACTATATAGTTCATAAGCACTAGCACAATTCGCAGGCTGTGAAGGATTGCTCATGATACGCCCGAGCTTTTATGAGGAAATGCCGACACAGACATAGTAACCTAGGTCCAGATAGTAACATTCTGTTCCAACCGCTGGGTTCCAGTCATAGAACTCGTCTAGTGAGATATCATAGTCTGTAGCGATGGTGTCGCAACTATCTCCGCTTTTAACCAAGTAGAACTCGTCACAGTCAGTCACCATGCCGGTTTGGTATGGTGTAGGAGTTGTGATGCCGTCACCAGCAGCTGTTGTTGTAGCAGTAGCAGTAGTCGTAGTGGCACTTGGTGTGACCCCAACAACATCAACACAGACATAATCGCCTAGATCTAGAGATGCGCATCCTGTCCCAACAGCTGGATTCCAATCGTAGAAGTCGTCCAGTGATATGCCATTGTCCTCGGCAATGCTGTAACAGTTATCTCCACTTTGAACCAAGTAGAACTTGTCACAGTCAGATACCATTCCTGTTTGATGCGGTGTAGGGGTTGTAATGCCATCTCCGGATGTGGTTGTAGTAGCAGTGGTAGTAGCACTTGCTGTTACGCCAATAACATCGACACAGACATAATAACCTAGATCCAAGGACGAACAGTTTGTGCCAACGGCTGGATTCCAGTCATAGAATTCATCAAGAGTAATGCCTTCATCTGATGCAATAGTACCGCATTCATCTCCGCTTTCCACAAGGTAGAATTTATCGCAATCAGACGCCATTCCGGTTTGATATGGTGTAGGGGTTGTAATCCCATCTCCAGATGTTGTTGTCGTTGCCGCGGTGGCAGTTGTAGAGGCAGCAGTAGTGGTAGTAACACTTGGTGTGACTCCAATAATATCGACACAAACATAATCACCTAGGTCTAGAGCAGAGCAGTTTGTTCCAACTGCTGGATTCCAGGCATAGAAATCATCTAGGCTGATGCCTTCGCTGGATGCAATAGTACCACACTCATCTCCGCTTTGAACTAGATAGAACTTATCGCAATTGGACGCCATTCCTGTCTGGTAGGGAGTGGGAGTCGAGATACCGTCACCGGAGGTTGTCGTGCTAAAGGTAGTAGCTGTGCTGGTGGTTGTAGTGGCGATCGATGAGCTGGTTGTAGTTGACGAGGTGGCTGACGCAGTTGAGCTGGCTGTCGATGATGATGTGCTCGATCCTCCAAAGTTGATCTGGACGCAGTAATCTAGGCCCCCGATTAGAGTACAGGTGCTTCCCAGCTCCATAACGACGGGATTCTAGTCTCCAGAGGTCAGAGAGGGTGAAAAATGGACGAATTCTCCCGGAAAGGCCCTTACCCATGTCTCAAACTGGCTCGGTGTTAGACCATAATCTGCCTCGATGATAGGACAGTTAAGATCATCCGAATATGCGACCCATTCACTGCAGTCTTCAGTGGTTCCAGGAGCGGCAACACCGGGGGGTGCCACCAGGTAGGCTCGCACAGCAGGGAGCACAAGCAAAGATAAGAACTTCATGTTTGCTGGCTATTCAGACTTGATTTGATGGAGACAGGGGATGAGATTGCCGTGGTCGTTTCCTGCTATTTATATTCCGCCGATACATGAAGTAGAATTTCTAGCTATACGTACGCACCTATTAGAACATAGGTATAGTGCATGTACGACATAGTAGTAACTGTAGTAAGTTTAATATAACCATTGCTTTGCAAAGTTCGGAGCCATGCCCATATCTGCCTCAACCTGTCGCTATTACCGATCAGGTATATCTCTGCTTACGGCTACCCACAGAGCCAGTTACTAGCTTATACATAGTGCTTAGATATCATTACTGTACGGAGTAGGCACCATACTAGCTCGGAAAAAATCCACAAGGCAACATTTTCTGGAATCCGAGCACGACTAGGCATTTCTGTTGAACAGATGGTAGTGTAGTATATACTAAATCCGTGTGGCGTTGGCAATGGAAAATTCGGCAAATGTGCATGGAGGCGCGGATAGGAGTTATTAGATATTTGCTTGCTCATCACAGTTCTCATCTGAAGAACCGAGGTGATGGTAATAGGAAGAAGAAGCGAGATGAAGATGAGAATGCGTGCCTGAGGCAATCTCACCCTCTGTGAAAACTTGAAAACCGACAAGCGGGGCTGTATGCCCTAAAAAAGAACGCAAAAACCGCCAAAAAGTGTGAAACACCCCTGTTCGGCATAGTGAGATATTTTGCAACATTGCATGACCTGAGGCTCGCTGCTGCAGCGCATGCTCGATAGAAGTCATATTAAACATGCACTGTGTCAATTATGTCAATTTCTATTTCTTTCTATTTTTTCTATTTTTCATTATTTTTTTGCTTCGATATGTATATCTTTTCCATCTTGTGTCCAGTATGGCTCATAGTCGTTGTATTTGTAGTTATGACTCATGATGGCTAACGGAAAGTATGTAACTACTAGAGAGCAATCACTCCCTATGTTGTTGACCTTTTGGCCTGGTATAAAAGCCCCCCATCATGTAATTACAACAACTCCTTTAAGAAAGAATCAAGGCAATCACTCTTATGCCACTACCTCTCAACAACACTTCAAACACCCACGAGCAACCATCAGCCATGGAGTCTCAGCCATATCCTATACCGTCTGGTTTACACGAGATACCTGTGCATCTTCTCGATTTACGGTCGGATGCGGAAATTGATCAGGATCTTCTCAGCCCCAAGCCCGTTACAGACGAAAAGAACGTCTGGTTTTTTTGGCACTCCGGTTTCCAGCACATGCATGCATACACACAGCGTAATATCCGTGCCTGGCACAGACGTCTTTCAAAACATGGCTGGAAAATACGGGTCCTGGACCGACAACCTGAATCGCCACTGAATGTCGCCAATTTCCTAGACGTCTCAGACCCAGCTACTTTCCCCAAGGCTTTCATTCACGGCACCTTGGCTGGCAAATACGCGCTTCAGCATACTTCCGACCTGGTGCGATTTCCGCTACTACTAAAGTATGGTGGTATTTACGCGGATGTAGGCTTGATGCAGATTGGGGACCTCGATCGTCTATGGAGTGCGACAATTGGCAATCCCGAATCGCCTTTCGAAGTCCTGTCGTTCAACGCCGGTGGCGTGGACGGCCGCAGTCTTACGAATTACTTCCTTGGCTCCAACCGCAACAACCCATTCTTCTCCAGGTGCCATCGCCTTTTGTTGGCGTTGTGGGCGGCCGAGGGCGGCAAGACAAGCACCGAAGGAATGCACAGCAGTCCGCTCTTGAAAGGCGTACCGTTGATGGGCGGCAGTTTCACCATTGAAGAAAAGGGAAGAGTGATTGACCCGGACGAAACAAGCCGCCTTCTAACGGATTACATTATCCAAGGTCAAGTGATTACAATGGTCATGGAGCTCATCGACGAAGAAGGCGGTTGGAATGGTCCCCAATACGTGGCAGAAAATATCTACGCTGTAGAATTTATGGAGGGATCACAATTGATCAACGAGTTTACTAATTGGGATGGCCGAAGGGCTTTTGAGCTGATGTCGCTTCCCCTTCCGAAAGATGGCGAGCCCGAGAGTCCAGATCAGAAACAGGCCCGCGAAATTGTCGAGGGCTGTCTACAGAGAAGCTTTGCGTTCAAGCTGGCACATGGGCTGATTTTGAGAGTGTTCCGAGCCACGCTTGGTTCTTGCTGGAGGGATAATCCGGGTTCGGATAACATCCCAGGCACGTACGCTCATTGGCTTCGATATGGGACGATTTATTGGAACCAGGACAACATTCCACCGACGCTGCATTTCAAGATTACCCCCCCAGTCAAGAAGGGTCCATTGCTGCGACCAGAATAGATATATGTTTATGTTAGATTTTGATTTGCGCAGAATCTGAGCTGTAGATATTGAGGAATATACATACCAAGTTCTCATCGATCATGCTTTCACATTTTCCCTCCCCCCGACGCTGTGTCAAGGCCGAAATTAAGTGCCATATATGTTAAACCCAGCTTTAGACAGGATTTGTTCGCGCTGCAGCGTTCTGTCGTACTTTTTTCCAAGATTGCGGGTGGATACATATCTATGTCTCTCGGGTTTGCTCGCTCAAAATACCGGCCTGACAACAAGAACATTTGGGTGAAAGATGTGCGAGGAGTCGACGATTTGCAAACAAATTTGATGTCAAGAGAGAGGAAACAAAGGCAAGTCTCTGAATTTTCCAATCTAATGATGAGCGGGGAGGATAATATGCCCTGGTGTTTCCTGGGCTGAAACAAGTTGTTTTATCGACTTTCTTAAGTCTTCTTAAGTTGTCTCAAGTTTTGCAAAGTTTCACAGCCAATCAAATCCACAAACAAAGGGGCTGGGAGGCATGCTACCTGATATTAAAAGGAGCTTGTGACGATTCCAAGGTGACGACTTTTTCTAAGCCTACATGCTAGGAACTGAATTGGCCTAGGCAGTTTTTGTTGGCCCTTGTGCCCCGTTAGAGGTTGTCAATCGAAGGGCGTGCTGTACTACCTAATTTGTCTACCTGTGATTGGTATGTTTGTACCTGGGTAGTCATTGAGTCATAACTATGAATTTCATGTATATATATATATTATGTATCCTTCCTGCTTGAGAGCAGGTTGTAAAGCAAATTTCATTCTTTGGGCGCTTCCCTCCCCATTTGCATGCGTATAAATGATCAGGCAAGTCATTATTGAAACCCGCAGAAAATATAAACATTCTAAACTAATAATTAATTGCAGAAATTTCGTATTCATCATTGAAATCTAGTTTGCGACGCATATAATGGGTCGAAGTATTGATGCAGAGCCGGATCGTCGAGGGGAGCGGCGGCAGTGGGAATACTTATCGGCTGTGTCTCAGAGGTAACCGAAAATTCTGCTACACCATGCAATGACTGGTTGTTCTTGGCAGCAGTATCAGCTACCGAGGGTAGGACATGGTTTGGCATTGTGTGAGCCTGTGATTCCAGTCCTCCAAGGCTGAAATCATGCGCATCAACACCTTCGCCTTGGGAAGCCGCTGCGTTCAATTGCTCTAGGAGCTCAAGATCAAAATTGGACTGCGTGAAAGGGTCCAGTATCCCAGTGCTTCCAACCCAATCCGACGATGATTGATCGCCTACAGAAAAGCTACTACTCCAAGCGCTTGACAGGGCGGGTACGCCAGACAGCGGCCTAGCGGAGGATACCCCAATGCTGCCGGAAAAGCTGCCAGCAAGACTTCCAGGTATGCTTGGAGCAGCTGAGTGAAATCCACTGCTGAGAGGTAGAACTGGGCTTTGCATCTCAGATACCGAAACTGCAGCGCTCCCAAGACTGGAATGGCCAAACCAAGAGTGACGCACAGTTCCAGCAAGAAAGTTGTTTGTTTCTAGAGGGGGCTGTTGCATCTGACCGACGAAAGGAGGCTTCATCCCTAAATCTTGCAATGTAATATTCTCCAAACCAGGAAGATCTTCGATACCACTATCTCGCTTCAACACGCTGAGCCACACCGCATTGTCAGCGCATGTTCGTTTTGATCGATCGTTCGAGCCATAAATGATGATTCGGCCGTGATCTTGAATCGCTGTATCACTGGGCACAACTCCATCATGCAATTGGCGCCCAATGAATGCCTTCAGCTCGCATTCCAGCCGCACAAAGGATGTTTCATCAGCGGGAGCTGACGGAGACACTGAAGATGAACCTGCGGAAATATTGGCAACAGTCTTCGGATGTTGTGGTGCAGGGGCTTTATTTCTGTTCAAAGTCGAACGCTCATTAGCAATAAGATAAGGAGGTATGCTGTTCTCTACAAGACGCTGAACATAAGGCTCAAATCCCCAGTCACCTTTCCACTGCGACATGTCGGCTCCGTTCTTGAAATGTTGGGCTAGGTGATCAATACGGTCTTTCCAGGTGACAAAATTCGTATCGCATAATCCACATCGTGATTTGATTTCAGTTGTCGTGCTCCGCCATTGATCCATCGACGAATCATATTTAGCATCATGCATCAACCGCAAGTGTTGATTCAAGTGATCTTTGCGATAGAAAGTGCGTTCTTGCAATGTTTTTTCCTGACATGAAGCAAAGTTATGGGTTTCTAGATGGTCTTCGGTTGGATCCGGAGCCCTACAAAAGGCACAAGCCTTTTTGCCATCAGATGTAGTGATCACCCCTCCCCATGGAGCGCAGGTCCACTTTTCTAATGCCAAATGAACAGACTTTTCATGCCGCTGCCAGTCATATTTAGCTGGAAAGGAGTCGGTACAGAATGTACACTGGAAAATCCGGGCGCATCGAGCCGGCTGCCGGTCGAAGGTTGGAACTGGTGGCATATTTTTGCGACGGTGACGGCGCTCTTTTCGCTCCGCCGAGTTGAATGACCGTTGAGAAGATCGGTGTGAAAATGCAGAGGCGAAGGAGAAGTCTGAAACTGATGAATTGTTCTCCGTTTCATAACTACTCACAGACGGCGCTTGGAACATGGAGCTAGAGTCGTTGCTCGAACCCGTCTTACGGGAAATAGACCGGCCGTGTCCAGAAACCGTTGGGGCCCCATATAGATTCTGTTGTTGTTGCAAATGGGAAGGTGATGGTGGAGGAAAAGTAGTGTTGGCCATGGCTCGAATAATGGCACTTGTTGATGCAGCTTCGTGCTCAGGTGGAGATTGCTTCCATCGCTCGAAAGGCGTCATGAGCGCATATTCAAGTGTAGACGAGGATGTTGCCGAGGCCGATGACGGCGAAGATGACGAGGAATTTCGTTGTCCAATATCAACGGAACCTGGAATCGGTGAAATACTACGTGTGGACGGTTGAACTTTGCCGCGACGACGAGCGTTAGCCAGCCAGTTGGCAATTTGGCTTCTTTTGAGACCAGTGTGGTCTTTCAATGCGTCTTTCTCTGCCTCGGTGGGATACGGATGTTGGTGGTGCTCCGAGAGCCAGTTCTTCAAGACTCTGACAGCATCACGCGAGAAGCGCGCACCACTTTTGCGGCCACGGGATTCTAGATTATCAAACTTGGATCCCACGGATTTCATGGCCCGCCTGCCTGTCAAAGCGCCGTTGTAGGTGACGTCGTTTTCACCCACTGGATGCAAGGTGTTCAAGTATTTGCCTGGTGCTTTGGCGCGTTTGAAGCTGCACTCTCGCCATAAAGAGACACAACAGGTACAGCCATTATTTAAGGCGCCTCTTTTGATGAGAAAGCAATTAAACCCCATTTGGCGACAGAAATCACAGGGCGCTGGGGCTTGGAACATGGGGTACTCTGCGCCCGGTTTCTGGTCGGAAACAGGGGATTGGGGCCCCGGCTGTCCGTCGGTTAGTCCCTGGTCGTGCAGGTTATCGCTTTCGTCAGCTGTCAGCCCCGAATCTGGACGCAACTGAAACGTCTTTTCAAAGAAGAGCGAGTCAAAGTTGTCGACGGCATCAGCTTCGTCTACTTCCTGGCAGTCCGATGCGACATCGTCCTGGACATTGGTGGAGGCGAAAGAAGCCTCTTCGAAGTCGAAGTACTCCATTATGAGGTGGTAGATGAAGTGATGTCAAAAAGATGAGTCAGAGGAAGTCCGGGAGCTGTCGCACCTGTCGCACCGGGCTGTCTCTCGCGGGCACGCACTCTATTATGGATTCTCAAGGAGTACCAGGGAGAATCAACTCGGATGGTAAACAGGCGAGAAGTTGCAGACACGAGGCAGCTTTTCTTCGTCCGTTCTGCTCTTGTGACCGGCGAGGCGTGATTGGCCGACTGCCGGAGCAGGTTCGAGAAGGAGCGCGCCCTGTGAATGACAACGCTTTGTCTGATCTGGCTTAGCGCTGCGTATGTTTGCCTGTTACGGACTAGCGGGCCGAGCTGCTCCGCAATAGCGCCTGATCAGTAGTAGCCTTCCTATCTGGGCCTAGCGGCTAATGAGATTGTGCGCCAAATCGTAGACCAATTGGAATAAATCGCTATGATTGGTTATGGAACAGATCTAGGCAAGAGTGTTCACTGTTTATAACCCTCTACACGGGAGAAAAAGAGAAAAGAACACCCATGGCTGAGACAACCCGCAAAGGAAGGCTTATTAGGGTTAGTTTTATTAGGGCTATCTACGTATTAGGTTAGAGCGATCTTCTGCGCGCGGCAGCGCCACTTGCTCACTAAGCAACTTGGCAACTCTCGTTCATTCATTGAATGTTCAATAGTCACAACAACAAATAACAACAACAACAACCATTCCCAATCTGCCAGTCATTCATTCCTCGACCATGCGACTGCCACTAGCAGTCGTGGGCCTTGTTTCCCTGCTGTTTTCGTGCGCATTAGCAGAACACACATCGAACTGGGCGGTCCTCGTGTCTACTTCTCGTTTCTGGTTCAATTATCGCCATCTCGCCAATGTCCTCTCCTTATACCGAACTGTCAAACGTCTCGGGATCCCCGACTCGCAGATCATCCTCATGCTTCCTGATGACATGGCCTGTAACCCGCGCAACGCCTTCCCGGGCACAGTCTACAGCAACGCTGACCGCGCGGTGGACCTCTACGGCGAGAATATCGAGGTCGATTACCGGGGCTACGAGGTGACTGTGGAGAATTTCATTCGATTGCTCACCGACCGGCTCGACGACGATGTCCCGCGAAGCAAACGTCTTGGCTCTGATGCCGGGAGCAACGTGCTGGTGTACATGACGGGTCACGGTGGCGATCGGTTTCTGAAATTCCAGGACTCCGAAGAGATTGGCGCGTGGGACCTGGCGGATGCTTTTGGTCAAATGTGGGAAAAGAAACGCTATCATGAACTGCTGTTCATGATCGACACGTGTCAGGCCAATACCATGTATACTCATTTCTACTCCCCGAATATCATCGCCACAGGATCCAGCGCACTGGATCAGTCATCTTACTCGCATCACGCGGATAATGACGTGGGCGTCGCAGTCATCGACCGATGGACATACTACGTACTAGAATTCCTCGAGACGCAGGTGACATCGCCAAATTCAAAGCAGACCTTGGGCGATCTTTTTGATTCGTACGATGAGAGCAAGATTCATTCACAGCCCGGTTTGCGATGGGACTTATTCCCTGGCGGTGAACAGGAAGGTCGGCTGCGAACTGTGGTTGATTTCTTTGGAAATATTCAGAATGTGCAGGTGGAAAGTAACGCAACGTCGGGTCCGGGTTCGCTCAAGGAAGATTTAGACGAAATTGCCCGGCTTGTTGAAAAATGGCAAAACCGCGAGCAAGAGTACCCTTTCTTGTACCGGGGAAAAGGAGAGAACCACACCTTCTCGAAAACCCAATCTCCTCCTGCTTCTTCACTTGCCAATAAAAAAGACCGTCAGGTCGTTGCAGGTGCTAAAAAAATGACCGATGAGGACGGTTGGACAAAACGACTCGTTGGTCTGGCAGTTTTCGGTGCAGGCACAGGTCTTTGGCTGGCTGGATCAGTCTTGGGCAGGAAAGTCTGATATAACTTGTTTTTCCACGCCATGGAGCGTTCATTCATTCAAATAATTTTGTACATATTCACTATACCCATTTATTAATCAATGCTTAGGAGAATTTACTACGCTTCTAGGTTAGCTGAACAAGCGGGGCCTCAGATAATGTCTAAGAAATAATCATGCATTCCACCCCATAGAAAGATACTGCTACCCAATGTATGTATTTGATATCCCCATGTCCTCATTCATATTCGTCACCAATTCCAATTGCATATCCATATCCATGTCCGTCCAGCCTATGTATTTCAACAAATCAACCCCCAGAACTAATCATTCAAAGAAATAAAAAGGAAAGAACAAACAGGAATAACAAGACTTTGTACGATGGCAAGAAAATGAGATGGTAACAACGCACTCCAGGAATGAAGGTGCGAAAACATAATATGCATAACGGGCGAATAATAGAATAATGCTGATGAATGATAGTTGTGTACAACAAAACACGCGTAGTAACAAGTGAAAAAGAAAATCAAACAAAACAAAACGAAACCAGGGAAACAAGTAATCCGGGGGGGGCGGTACAGAGAGCGAATAACAAGCAACATGGAAGCCCTAAGTAGATCTTTTGTCAACGGCAACAATTGCAATAGCATGCAACACCATGCTTGCTCCCCAACGTTTTATACTCTCATAACGATAGTTCTTGCGTCAATATGGGAAGATGCAATGAATAAATATAAAGCTCATTCCATGCATATAAGACAAATGCAATTTTAGCAATAGTAATGTTAAGAAAAAAAAAATGGAAAAGAACAAGAAAATGCTGTATCAACGCTGATTTAATCATGCCATACGCCGTCCAGCACCGAGTGAACGTAGGGTTATAGTATAAGATGGTGGGAAAACAAAGGGAAAAGAAAATAATGAACTTATCCGACAACACTCCTGAAGCTCAGTGCCTCTAGAAATCCACTTAAATCCTCCTTTTGAACTTCTACCACAGAGTGCTCAAAGCTGTCGATTCGAACTCGAGCGCTAGTCTCCTGGACCACTTCCTGAAATGCAATACCAAAGCGATTGCGAACAAGTCGTTTATTCCCGTATAAGCTTTTTTCGTCTTCTGATTCGTCATCGTCAGAAGATGAGTCCTCCTCTGAATCCTCGGTCTCTTCGTCCTCGTCGCCGTCTTCATCATGCTCGCCTTCGCTACGACGGGCGCGTTCAGCTGCTCGTTTTCTCCGTCGCTCTTCACGTTCTTTCTTTTTCTTGTCTGTTGCTTCTTTCTTGGCTCGTCGCTCTTCGTTTTTCTTTGCAATTGCTGCAAAGTCAACAACACCACCGCCGCCGCCAGTGCCGACGACCACATATACGCCGCGATCCTCATCCAGCCCAGCCAGGACAAGTGGTGTGCCTAGGATCTTCTTCTTTCCCATTTTGCTCTCACTTCGGTCCCGCTCCTGCACTTGAATGGCTTCTGCGACCCAGAGTGCCAATTTCGTCAATGCGCCTGGGTTGGTGAAGAGCTTCACGTCAGGTCCGTCCTTAACTACAGCAATGCGGAAGGCTCGCAGATGGCGAATCTGGTTTTTTGATAACAAGGAAGTTCCAGTACGCAGAATAGCACGGTGTAGATGTTGTGCTAAAGGCAAGGACTCAACCAATGATGTAGGTGAATCAGACCCAGTTGGCGAGAGCGCATCGTAGGCACTCCAGAACCGAGGATGTAAATTGGCAGAATCTGTTTCTGACTTGGTTGTGGATTCGAGCTGTCTGGAAGAAGCAGCTCCCGATTCCCAACTTGATGCCGCGCTCGGTCCGACTTCGAGTATTGACCCCAAGATGACAGCAACATCGGTTGCTGATAGACACGCTTTCCAACCCCAGCTTCGTACAAAGCCCCAGCCTTCTCGGTTGCTGCTGTGTCCAGACGCGACAGGCGGAACCAGCCCTTCCAAGCCGTACATAGGAGCGTATTTCAGCAGCCGGGAGCGCAATACGCGCTTCAACTCCATATCCATATGATTATAGTTTTGGTGGCATTGTGTCAAGCTAATGCCCATTTTGGCTAATAGCTTATGGAGTCGTTTTCGGCCATTCTCAGTCCATACGTGCAGTCTTGATGCAAGATATGGGCTGTGCAACATGCTTTCGTATAACGACCAGTGGCGTACTAGCAGAAAGCGCGGTTCCGGTGATATTCGTATTGATGTATCCGCTGGAGATCGCCCCGTCGTGGGAATGACATCGGTATTTGAACCTGGTACGTCGCGAAAGCTTTCAATGCCCTCGGGGGGGTTGAGACGGTGGACTTCATCTCGCATTATCTGTCGAATCCGTTCGCCCCGAGATCCACCCCAACCAGCCGAGCCTCCGGATTCAGAGGAACTTGATATTCCTACGCCTGTCATTGTTCGGCCAGAGATTTCCATGCTCGAGCTCCCTACAATTGCCAACCACAAAAGGTCATTGTCTTCACGTCCCAGCTCAGAAGCGAGGGAATACATAAGGGAAGAGATTGGCTCGGAATAGGCTGTGCCTGTACTGTAGTACGCTTGTAATATACTTTCGTGTTTACTCTTCATTCGTAAAAGTCGTCTTCTTAGCGTTCGCGCTGAGGGTTGTCTGGATGTCGGAGGCGACACGAAGCTGGGTTCTGGAGTAGGTGTGCGTGATTCGTTCGAAGAATCATGTCCAATTGCACGACGTCGATTACTTGGAGAAGAGGTAATGGGGGAGCTCTGGAACAGTATAGTTGAGTAAACAGAAGCCAAAAAAGACGCGGAAGAGAAAGAAACGTACCGAATTACTCCTCCTACGCTGCCGTGGACGTTCATCGTCCTCATCATCACTATCCTCCATTTCGCGTCCCGACCATGATTTTCTTTTCTTCGAACCCCCCTCCAGGCTGTTAGCATCATCTTCACTTTCCGAGCTAGACCCATCGTCACTATCATCGTCGACTTCCGGCATTGCTTCAAGGGCATAATAAGCATCACGTTCTCTGGACAGATCTTCCTCAATGTCGCCGTCGTCGAATACGATAATTCCTCCGCTGCCACGTTTGTAGCTTCGATTAATACAGCCCTTATCCACGCCACGACCTCTACGCATGGCAGCGAGGTCCATCTCTGCTGCATACTCGCGGTCACGGAGATGCTCTGAATAGCCGCCAAATATATTCACCAAATTCCACGGTCGTCGCGCGTCGAGAACCCAGACTTCTACGCCTCCCATCTCGTCGGACTCGTCTTGCTCATTTGTTAAGCACAAGATCTCGCTCAAGTCAACAAGCCCGCCGACGCCGAGACAAACAACGACTCCCCCGCTGCCTCCATCGGTGGTGCGCATGGGACGCACCAGCTCCTGTCCTGCACGTGCCAGATCACCATATCCAGCAATGGGTTGGATCTTGTGAGCGATATAGTCGCGTTTCAACAGCGTCGTAAGGATGCGGCACGCACAGAGGGCGTCGGGTTCCAGGGCAACGAGTATAAGGACCGGCGGAGAAAGCGGATGGTGTGATCGAAGGAGCTGGAGGTATAGCTGGCTTATAAGTGAGCGTGGAAGATACATGGCTAATTTTTCAAGTCTCGTTTATGCCCTGTCTATATCAAAGACACGCTTCTTCTGTTGGCCGTCTAGCGAGGCATATCCCCTCGAATATGGCGTGAATTTGTGAAGCAAGCGGTATTGGCAAGGCGGAGATATAATTGAAGAGAAATCAATAAGCAAATAAAATCTTTTTTTTGGCGTCAATATAAGGGTTCTGCGCGTGGACGCATGATGCCCATGGGCTGGCGTGCTTTATTGTTTTGTTGGATGGTGTTATGTGCAATCAATGATCCCAACGATAAGCGCGCGATGTTGTTCACGCGTCGACGTGCTTCGCGGCGGGCCGACTTCCCTTTTGGGGCTGGACGTCCTTTCCCGGCATTCCTTGCTTCACAGTTCACCTTGCAACAGACAGCGCATTCAATATATTTACTAATAACAGAACAGAAGAGATGCATTTCTTTCGTCGATTATACGAATGAGTCAAGAACCTATCTATCCCAATAATCAAGCAAGATTGACAGCCCATCTCGAAGCAATGTTTCCCAGTGCTGATTATTAGTTAGGTACTGCCTCCGCATTTCTCAGTGACAGGGATGAATGCCTTTTTGATATTTATGCCCTGGGGGATTATGTGAGGAATTAGCACAGCCTTGCTACTCTGGTTGTTCTATGTTCCGTCGAGGAAATTCGGTATTTCTCTCGTGCTATCCCTAGTGATATGAACAATGAAGCTAATTACAGCCGGGATTGCTCGTGCTATTTGCATGAGTAATACTTTGGGATGCTCACTAGCTAGTGATGAGGACGGGGTGAGCTTCGGTATTGAAGACGAATTTGTTCTTGCCATTGGCTTTGACTTGCCAGTCGGCGTCTAATGAGGCCAGTCAGCGGAAAATCGCTTACTCGAAGTTGAAGTGCGTAAAACTCACCATCTGCATGGATCATATATGCGTATTTCAATACCTCGGCGAAGAGGAATGTCTCTTGCTCATTGTCAAATCCATCCCCCCCAGCCACGTTGACGTTCTCAATTCCACTGTATCCAGAGCCCACGTGGGTCGTGGAGTTGATGGCAACAAACGCGTCCCAGGCCCAGTCTCGGTACTTGGTGGTTATTAGCAGGGATACATTTAGATCCCAGAAGAAGAAACGCAGAAACGCACCTTTTCGTCACCTGTCACACGATAGGCATAGTAGTAGCTTTCCATTACTTCGGGTCTCAAGACATAGTCCGCTGATGTGATATAAAACCCGTTAACTTGGTAGAATGTCTTCTGATCAGATGGAACTCCAGCTTCATCCCATGCGAAACCCTCGGGACCAATCTTAGTGGCTGTTGCATTGTAAGTTGCATACCACGAGTCAGTAAAAGCTAAACCAGCGTCGATTAGATCTTGACGATCCAACACAGAGCCAGCTAACAAAAAGTTGCCACCAATGAAGCCTGTCAGATGTCCGCTACTTGAGATCAATGTACCATTGTCCCAGATATTAACAAATGTGAGGTCTGGCTGGGGCACGGGGTGTGAAAGTAGATACTCGAGCGTTGAATTGGCTGCAGCTAACCAACGATCCCGATACTCGGAGAATCTACTAGGGCTGTAGACAAAGAACTTGATAAGGTATTCGTAAAACGAATCGTCTCCACCGTTCCAGGTAACGTAGTCGTCAACAAACTGACCATTAGAGATATTTATATTGCTACCAACCAGACCGGGGAAAGGCTGGGTCCAAGCTGGCTGCGGATTCAGAAGATATGATTCTGCCTTCTGAGCGATTTCGCCGTAGGTCTTATTTCCTGTCAAGTCTGACAAACGCGTCCACTCGAGGACCAAAGACCCTGTCGTAGCCAAGCCATTGGTAGTCGAGCCGTCGTTGCCGCGACTATTCAGAAGCAGGTTGTTGTATGGAACGCCAGATGGCGTTTCAAAAGCGTAACTCAGGCTGTCGGCAAGAGACTGGGCCTGGGTCAACAGAGCATCTACTAGGCTTTTGTCGGACACAAGGTTCGCAGCCGGGCCGGCGAGCAGGTCGTAACCGGCCAACAGGCCCCCCAAGTAGCGGATTGTGGTCTCAAACAAGCTGATTGTGGTCTCATTTGACTTTGTGAAGTCAATGGTGGCGATGTAATTGAGTATTTGATCGACAACTTGGGCATTTCCCATGATAGCCGCCGTTGAGATGGCGTCAACTGCAGAGGCGCCCCAGCCGTCGCTGATATGTTTGTTAGCTCTGTACGTTCCATAGATGTTTACCATGTCATGCAGACTAGACAGGGAGACACGCACTAGTTATCATCATAGCCATTGTCCACTGGATGCAGTTCGTCATGCGGGAAAGCGTGGGCATAGTAGCCATCCCAGGCAATCTGGAAGGCCTGCTTGACGGCGTTTGCGCGGTCAGTCGCTTCCGTGTCTCTCTTCAAGACGGGAGATGCAACAGCCTGGCTGACGACAGTCGAGGCTGTCAGAAACACGGAGGACAAACGCATTGTATAAGTGAAGGTATTCAAACGAGTGAAGAAGGGAAAGACTGAGTTGTCGCGACGGGGGGTATGTATATATAGTATGAATACGACGCCAATTACGGGCTAAAAGAGTGACATCCGGTTTCCTGGCGCAAGAAAGAGAGAGAGAGAGGTATTGAGGAAGATTCCTGAGGCCGTGACACGCGTGACCGATCTCGTGCCTTCCTCCGCCCCTGTCTTCCGACTGCTACCTGCCAAGCCTCTTTCTATTTTCTTCTCTTCTCTACTTCTCTCCTCCTCCTCCTCTTCTTCTGTCCTTGCGATAGTTATCTCATCGTGCAGACTCACGTTGAGCTACGGCGCCCCCGCACGGTATTTCTCACAGCGCTAGTTAGCCAGCCTGTCGATCTGTGGAGTACAGTCCCCTGAGCCTGCAGCACTCGCTATATACTTCCCCGTACCTACTACTCCGTACTCGCATCTCGATTTTCTCTCGTTCAATGGCATCGCATAATGCATTGTATAGCCGATCTTTTGGTTCGGCGAGGCAAGGTAGGTATACCAATGGTTGATTTGCAGCATTCCTGAGATCGACAGGCACTAATCCTCGCACTTGATCCTCCCTCCCTACGGAGGAGGATCAATAGATTCGGAAGTCGGTATTACTATGCAGGACTATGTTCGTCCGTGCACACCATGCAATGCTGATTTTCTTGGAATCACATAAAGCCGACTTGACTGCATCGTCAACCCATGACGATAGTTATGAGACATGATGGCACTGTAGTATCGACTGCAATCTTGGCACACCATGCATCATCAACTGATCTTTGTCCCGTGCGGGGTAGATAACTCAGCGCTCAGCAGCATCAGGACCTGGGCTGGTGGGATGTTGATTGCATTGCGGTTGTGCATAACCTGGAAAAAATTCCGGTCAAATAGCACAGTTGTGACTAGCTATGTAGTTGCATATAGACCGACACGGCCTTGGACTTTGGAATTTTGTCTGTCGAGCGCGTGGCCTCCATGGATTCGCGTCATACCTGGCCGAACTGATGACTGAACTTGACAACACCAAGTCGGACAATTGGCGGTGCTTCGAGGATGTCACGTGGGATGCCTTTCTTGTGCCGAAGGCCCCCTTCACCTCAAAGCACATCCTCCAGTGGCCATTCAGTGGTTTGATCACTTCGAAGAGTCCGAGGCATGTGATAGCAGTGTACCATTTAGAAATCGTCTATCTGACAGTTTTACGGCCTTACTATAGTTTGTAATACATCATAACTATTCGACCAGATCCAGATACGGGCGCTCCCTTGAATCAGCATAAAACTGCCCTCTGAATATCTCAATTAATCGACACCGCTCGTCAGTATCGCGTCTCGCTTTCAAAAGATGCTGGAACTGTCGGTGTTTACCGCGTGTATTGCCAGTAAGACATTGCCCCGTCAACGTAGGATCAAAAGAATGAGGGCTATCCCGATACCGGACCTGAATAGCCACTTGGTAGTAGTCAATGCAAAAAAGTGAGAAAAGCTGTGCTATGCTCGGGGATATACTTTACTCCGCGTCGAGCCTCTCCCGGCGACGCTGATTGGCCCAAACCTTGCTTGCTAATCAAGACGATAAGAAAATGAAGGTCTCTCGAGTTCGAGCGAGAAGACAACACCATCATTCTCTAAGTTCATGGTCCAATATGACTGCACTCCGTGACCTGCAGCTTGCTGTGTCCGGTAGACGCTCATCCAAGGTCTGCGCACGGTGTAGGCGGAGGAAGACCAAGGTTCGTTGGCAGTCCTATAAATGCGTCCGTCCTATACATATGCTCACTGGATCTCCGGGAGCAGTGCGATTCCGGCTACCCATCATGCGGTGCTTGCACAAAGGCTGGCGCCGTCTGTCGTGGCTACGACTCAAATGGCCACCAAGATCTACCAAGGAGGTGGGTGGGTGTTGATTCTGTTGCTTGAAATCAAATATTAATCTTCTGCTAGTCTAGTCAAGGCGCTCGAGGACCAGGTAGCTGAACTTGAGCGGCAGGCCTCCAGTCTCCATCATTCGCCTGCTAATATCACCTTGGCGCTGACCTCAAGGCTGGCACAGGCAACATTGCTGGCTGATATATCGGGTCCCCGCCCTTTTTTCCTCTCCGATATCACGTCTTCGGTCTTGCTCAGACCTAGTTGCCTGCCTTTGGTTGTGTGCAATGTGAAAAAGATTGACGGCTCAGGCAGCAGACCCGAGGATCAAAATCAACAACAGCGGCTATCATCCACCAACCTTGGCCGCATTCCATACGCAGCAATCGAGCAGATGATATCCAACTATACAAATATTCATCTGCCCCAATATCCCTGTGTTTCGGAGCAACATCTCTCCAATGCAGTCAGCCGCCTTCTCATAGTGCTTAATGGCGATACAGATGCTGCTCTAAGTCTTGGGATTCCAGCCAGCTCAGGTCTCACTCATTACGACTACTTTATTGTATTTATCGTCTTAGCAGTGTCCTCCCTGACTCTCACTTGGAAAAACGAGCACCAGGCGAGAACTGCTTCTGATGCTTTCTTTGATACCGCGCTGCATCACTTGCGGCTAGCTCCTGAGGTGACGGATATTCATCGACTCCAGACATATCTACTTCTAGCACACTACGCAAATTTGAATCCCAACAAGGCGGATAACTGGATATGCATCTGGAACGCCACGAGGATTGTGCTAGATCTAGGATTGCATAAACAGGCCTCAGAGGTGCTTTTGCAGGATCAAGAAGAAGTCAGGTTCCGAAACAAGCTTCTCTGGTGTACGTACGGCATGGAGAGATCACTCAGCGCCACTGTCCGTCTGCCGCTCGCGTTTCCCGAAGAAGCCTCCATCACGATATCACATCATTCAATCTCGGACGCAGATACGAAACACGCGTCAGCTAGTCATCTATATCGATTCCGTGCCTTGGAGACCGAGGTTCACCGTACACTGTATCTTCAAGATGGCTCGACTCACAGGAGCAGGTCCGAACTCAACTCCTGGATGGTCGATGTTACTCGTCGGCTCGACGCATGGCTGGAAAGGGCCAAGGATTTCTCCAAATACCAGATGCTGGAGTTCAGGATGGTTCAATACGGGCTTCTATTAGCTAGACTATTCCGTCCCTCGCCGAGGCTAGAATCCCGAACACCAGAGGAGCGCGAGAAGTGCTTCGATGCCTGTTCAATATTGGTTGAAGATTACCAGCACCAAACAAAGAGGAGGCGCTTATTCTACCCGTGGCACGGCGTCCACAATCTTTTCGAGGCGGCCGTCATCATGCTCGAGTCGTGCTGGGCATTGAGGGATTACGAGCCACTTAGACACCGGGCCCGACATATACTAGCTGTCACCTTGCCTGACTGTCTAGCTCTATTAAATAAAGTTGGAGAATCTTGGCAAGATGCAGCGTTATGTTCCGCATACCTCAGCCCCATCCTAGATGAGGCATCTCGCGCTTATAGTGACAGAGCGCTTGCGCAAATAGACCCGGCTCGAATTGAGGCTGAATGTCTAATGACAGAAAAGCTACGGAAGTTACTCTTCCCTGAGGGACCTCTCCTGTGGGAATCTCGCATGTCGTTCGAGACAGATCAGAATAGCGCTACAGATCCTGCTCCATCCCTCGAACCGGTGATGTCTGGTATGAAGGACGTGGACTGGGATGCATTCTGGGAATATGTTCAGGATCTCTCCCCAATTTGGACAGACATTCAGCCCTCAGACACTGTGATTGTAGCTGGATAGTCTAGCACTAATTAATTGAAGAAAAGAAGAAGAGAAAAAAGTCTAAACTATTTTCCCAATATGTCATTCTCGGTCGACAACAGCCTTTCCATAGTCGGCTTAAAGATGAACGGCAGCTTGGTATCTTCAAACGTACTCCCCTTGACGATCTCCGCCATCGCCTTTGAAGCAAGACATATCAGAGGCATTCCGTGGCCGCTAAACCCGGCAATTATGAGCTGCCCGGGCTTGTTGGGCACTTCACCCACATACGGCATGAAGTCCGTCGTCCAGCCCATGATACCAGTCCACACCATGTCCGTATAAGCACCAGATTCCTCCCAGCCATTGAAATGACGTTGCATCAACCCGTCAAAATAGTCTTTGGCAGGCTCGATCAGCTTGCTATCATCTGTAACACCATACCAATGGTTCAGATCATGCCAGAACCTTGGCTTTGCGCCCCCGATTACGATGGAACCATCCAGGCGTGGAATCATATAGTCATATATGCCCTTGCCATATCGTATGCTGCAACTGCTTGTCAAGCGGGAGACCTTAGCTGCGTCCGGTGCAACGATGCGACTACAGATTCCTCGAACCGGGACAATCTTCTCGTGGAACTGCGGCGAGATGGCGGCTGTGTACCCATTCGTGGCGAGAATGAGCTTCTTGGCTCGTATAGAGCCGCGGTTGGTAGTGACTGTCCACCTTCCCTCCGAATCACGTTGTTCAGATATTGCAGTTACTGGTGTATGTGTTTGGAGATTGATCCCCTTGTCGACCAATTTAGACAGGAGGCCCATAACAAGCTTGTAGGGCCAGAGATGCGCGGCAGTGAAAGAAAAGCAGCATTTTGTGTCTTTTATGCCAGTTATCTAAAAGTTTGTGTATTCTGTTAGCCAGAACTTCATGCAGGAACTGGGCAAAACAAAACCGCTTGCCTTCTCTGCCTTTTCACCGTGCACTAATTGCACATCACCGAGATCCGCGACGCCGATGCGCACGAGTTCCTTATATGAGTCTTCTGTTGCTTTTGCATGTTCGGCATCCAGGTATGCATCGACTGCTCTTGTCATGACGAAATCGCAGTCAATGCCCTCTTTCTCGACCAGCTGTTTAACGGCAAGGACGTTGGCGGCCTCGAATCGCGCGAAGCTGGCAGCGGCCTCGGCACCATACTTCTTGGTGTATTTGAGAATGTTGTAGTATACATCGGGCTTTACATGGCCCCCTATACAGTAGAATTTAGTCTAAAACAAATAGAACTACGTGCAAATTGAAGAAGAATTCTTTAGTCTTACCATTCCTTGCCGACGCTCCTGAGCAAGCCTCTCTCGCCTCGAGCATGACAATCGAGGGCGGAAAGTCATTATTCTCTAGGATATGATATGCCGTACTGACGCCCGCATAGCCAGAACCGATCACTACAACGTCGCATTCCTGTGGTGGCTCTTCCGTCGACCTGAAGGTGTCGAGTTTGTGAAGCTCGGTTCGCCAGAATGGCGTGGTTGCATCTGCAACGGGACGCTGGCATGGAGGAGTAGTAGCAGTCATAGTTACGGACTCGACTGAGAGAATGGTAGTTGTTCAGCAAGAAAGAAATGCAAAGGCGAGAAGAAATGCGCGTTTGCTTTGGGCAAGTCTGGTAGCGGATTTGTCCGCGGCGGGGAGACTTGGGAAGAGGGGAATTCCGTTTATCATGCTATATACTCCGTACGTAGCTACTATCATATCAGGAGGTGCGGAGGTTCTATTACCAATTATCAAACTTGAATGAAACAGTCCTTGGCCTAGATCGTGCTAATTTTGGCGACACAAGTAATCTTAGGCGATTGACAAGTACGATGATAGATAGGGCTAGGGTTAGGGCTGTCTGCATTCCAATAGAACCGCGCAAACTACCTTTTGTATTTTTTATGATCAAATTGAATGGATAATGTAGTAAAGATTCCACATATATGATTATTAGAATAAAAACTCCGGTCAACCGTGCTAGTACGTATGCTTATTGATTCGACGCCGCAATGATCTTGTCTGCCATTTCTACCAGAGAATCCGCCATCACGTCAATCTCGCCAAAGACTTCTGTCGTCGGCTCCTTTTCATAGACCGAGCACCAAGCCGCTTTGAATCTGGTTGCATATGTCAGCGTTGTTTCTTCATTTCTGCGGTATATCAATCAATTAACTTGCCCGCAATGCTTTGCTGCCGCTGTGTCCCACATGTGCGCCGCAGCAAACCATTTCTCCTCAGCCCCATCAAACTTGTCAAGGACATATTTGTATACCCCTGGGTCTGGTTTTACGATACCGAGAGTGTCGCAGGTGACAAAGTTCTCCGTGGGCAACTCGATGCCGTTGCTGGCCAGATAGCTCTGGACACGAACGGCATCGCCAGATGTAACGGCCCAAACGGTGAAGCCTGCCTTTCGCAGGCGCGCCCAGCACTCTTGGACGCCAGGGCGCCCCTTGAGTTTACGGTACTCGCCGACCATGAAAGCTGCGTCCTCGTCGGTGGCGAACTTGCGTGGCTCCTCGATGCCGGCCATCCACAGAATGCGGTAGAACAGAGGCTGGAAGACGTTCCAAAAGGGCACGTAACGGCCAGAGCGGTCCAAGTAGCTGCACTCACGCTCTGCTGCTTCCATCCACGCAAAGCCGAACAGTCGCGGCTTGATTCCCTCTGCACGGAGGCGGTCGCCCATGCGCGCCTCGATGCCCTCGAAGAATGCCTCGTAGGACACACAAGTGCCCACGACGTCGAAGACGACGTGCTTTCCTGTGTTCGCCATGGCGGTGCAATTAGGTATGTTGTAGTTCGAGAGCAGAAATAAAGACAGTACAGGGAATTTATTCTTTCTCATTTTCCAGCAGCTCGAAGAGCTCTAGAAACATACTTATTATTAGTCCACCTCGGAGTTTCGCATGTCGGAAATCCGGCGAGTCGCATAATTCCGGATGTTCATTGGCAATTTGGCAGCAGATACATGATCTGTAGATAAGGATGCATAGATAGTAGATAGTAGATACATGGGTATTTTTTTCTTTTTATTTTTATTTTATTTTTTTTTGGGATACTACAGACTACTTGGGAATTTCCGATACGGGTATGTGTGCCGATTTCTTAAACAAATATAGCTAAATTATGAAGTATATATGTACTATTAGGTGTATACAAGCTTCAAAACTTGTCTGTCAACAAGTTAGCTTGACAGCCATTGGCATTATCAAGTTTACGTATTTTCCTACGCACTTAAAGTTATGCTTGTTGATATGCAAGCAATTCTCACTATATTTTTACCTAGGTAAGTAGATCGCACGAGAGATATATTTGAAATATACAAAAATTTGGATGTGAATAATAGACAGGCCATATTAATTTTCACTGCCCACGTGTTATTTAGCTGAAGATGGATCGTCCAGCCCTGATATACCAGGGGGCGTCTTTCTTCGGCGCTTCCTCGATGTCTGGAATGATCTCTCTTCGACCAGTGACTAAATCGACCTCCATCAGCGGCACCATCTTTGTCCTCTTAATGATCTTCCATCCCACGAAGAGAACGACGAAAACGGCAACGACAATGTAGTTGACGACAAAGCCCACGGCATCAAACCCGTCAATGAAGACCGAGTAGCCCGCGATCAAGGTCAGGAAGGTATTGATGAAAATTACAAACCATGTGCCATAGGGGTAGAATAGAGCCTTGTAGGGCAAATCTTCGACGCGGTTGCCCTGCAAGACCCAAGCTCTGCGAAACCGCATATGCGTTACTCCAATAACCGCCCATGCAACGTACGTAGCTGATCCTGAAATGTCAACGAGATACGTAAACACCTTGCCCGGACCGGCCCTGTAGTTCAGAATGGCTATGAGGCCAAGGGCATTGCAGAACACAAGAGAGTAGACTGGGGTTCCATTCTTTGTAGTTTTAGCGAAGAACTTTGGCGCCCGCCCACGAGAAGCGAGCGTGACGAGGCTTCGAGATGCAACATAAAGTGCCGAGTTCATGGACGAGAATTGTGCAGTGATCCTTGTAGTCCAATGTTAGCCCAAAGTTGAGACAAACCAAGAAGAAGGGAGCGCTACATAACAACATTGACTACATTTCCAAGTTGGGGGGCTCCAGCATTGGTAAATGCAATAGTCCATGGAGATTTGCCAGATTTGGTGGCGGCAGTGAGCAGCTCCGGACTGTTTGAAGGCACAAGGATTCCCGCGAAGAAGACAAGACCCCTGTTCCAGATAACGTTGTGTCAGCTATATTGATTCAGTCACCAGGGGAAGATCGAGTCAGCGCACATAAAGATGATCAAAATCCGCCAGAATGTCTGCTTGATAGCCCTCGGAACATCTCTCTCGGGACGCTTGCTTTCCGCTGCAGTAAGTGCGAGCATTTCAGTGCCTAAGAATTCACAGTTCATCAGCTATCCCTGCAATTGCAAATCCGTGGTAGGAAGCACATACCGCAATAATACACTGCGGCCAGCAGAAAGGATTGCCCAAAGCCGTTGATGCCATTAGCAAAGGGGCCAGGGTCTTTCCAGTAGCGAAAACCGATATATTCGTGACCGTGACCGATAGCTCCGGTATTGAGCAAGATGGCTGAGATAAATCCACCCATGATACATATCAGCTTCCAGCACGCAAAGTAGAATTCCATCTCTCCCCAGACAACGACGCCTAGGAGCGTTGTGACCTGGTAAAATGCCCACCAGATCAGGATCCAGCCATACGAAGGCACTGCGGAGGTCCAATAACCCATGATAATCTGATCCATCAAGAGTCAGCAGGCTGCCACACAAAGTCAGAATACATACAGACGTACAGAACTAGCATTAAAGTCACCTATTCGACGGTTAGTCTTCATTCACATGAGCTGCAGAAACAACGCACCAGCTATATTAGTGATCCAAAGGTACCAATAGTTATACCCAACACTGAACGCCAGAGCAGGATCGACGAAGCGGCCAGAAAGTTCTATGAAAGCTCCTGGAATGGGGAATAATGTGGACATCTCTCCCACTGTTTCGAGAACCAAGTTAGCGCTTGCCTAGTAGTAAGTACCACATAGAGAAAAAAAGGGGGGGGGGGGTCGAACTGACAGCATTGCATGACGAAGTAGACGTCAATTCCAACGATGAAGAAGCATATCAACGCGCCCACCGGACCGCTGTAGGCAACTGCAAAACCTGTTCCGTACCAGATACTAGCCCCAACAACACCCCCGAAGCTGATCATGACCAAATGGCCTACATTGAAGGATGTTAGCAGAGGGGGGACATGTCTTTTTTCCCTTTTCTTCAAACCATATAGGGGACACTCACGACTCTCCAAGCCTCTTTGTAGGCCATTTTCTGTTGACATAAGAAGAGACACAAGTCAGCGGAACGCAAATCCCCCATCAACAAACACCAGGCCACTCACCCATCACGTTGCCATTGCCTGCAACATTGTAGGTAGTGCCTTCTTCAGCAGTAGACGACTGGCCAGAAACGGCAGTCGTCTGTACGCCGTTCTTCGAGATCTCCGACTGCAGAGACATGGCGGAAGATTCTGTCTTGGGAGGCAGGAGTGAAGGAATTCAGAATTTCCTGAATCCGTCCCAAAGCCAACTTTTGTATGCAGAGAGGCCTACGCACAGACTCTACATTTAAAGATATCTATTATCCATGCTATGGCAATAAATAACAAACTTCCCAGTAGTCGTAGTAGTACTAGATAACGCAAGGCCTTATCGACCAAACTTATTATTGAGTTATCGTCTTATCCTCGTTTGGGAAATTCTCAAGTGGCGTCGGAAATCTGCGAGCAACAGCGGGTCTGTGAGCGCAAGATTCCGCGTCCTCTATATGATAGGAATCTGATTGGGGGAAAAGGTTGAGAATGAGGGCTGATAAACATTCATCCAGCTGATAGTAGCAAGCTCGATAAGCGAACCAGTATGTCCGGGATCGCATTCTTGACATGGAGTAGAATGGAGGAATTCTTTAGGGGTTTGTATACCACGTGGATTCGGAGATATCTCAACATGGTCAGCTAGAGTTTGAACTAAGTTTGACAACCAAGTTATTGACTATCAAGGTTTCATAATTCGCAGCGCGGGGCACTAGACAGCCAAGATGCTCAAATGCTATATTCTATGATGGATATGTATGCTTTTCAACTAGGTGAGACTATGCGGATCACCGGACTATTCCATTCGTAACATTTCGCGTGTTTTCGGCAGACCGTTCCATGCAAGCGTCGAATATGTCCTGATCGCGCACTTCGAAGAATGCCTCAAAGTCCTTTGGAATCGCACTCTGAGCCGTCGTGTTACGGTTATAATCCACAAAGTGCAGGTTAGGTTGCTTCGACGGCTCGCTCCCCTGCTCGATTTTGAAGGAGACAATAAGCCGCAGGAAAATGGCGTATAAAATCCTGTTGGAAAAATTGATGGCTGTACACATGCGTGATCCCGCACCAAATGCAAATTGATGCGGAGAAGGTATCTTGTTCCTCATGCCATTCCCTTCTTCTTTTTCGTTTTCCAGCCACCTTTCCGGACGAAAGACGTGCGCATCAGGGCCGTACGTAGCCGGATCTACTCCTCAATTAGCCATGATCTCCCTTTTTTTGCTGTTTGTGGAACCTTGGGTTTATTCACTTACCATGATTAGCTGCCTGGCAGTTGATTAGAATCATAAGTCCTTTGGGAACCTTGATTCCATTTTTCCATGCAAAGTCCTGGTATGTCTGCCGCGGAGGTAGCAAGTGTAAAGGAGGGTAGTGCCGCAGTGTTTCCTTCACAAAGGCAGCAGTATACTTGGACCTCTCCTCGTCGACTGCCTTCTCAAAGGCAGCCTCCACAGAACCATATGACTCCACAATGTCTTGATACGCCTTTTGCTGTACTACTTGGCCTTCAGGACTGGCGAGAAATGCTAGACCAGCAATTGCAGTTGCAAATACGGTCTCGAACCCGCCAGACATGAGACCACCAAGAATCGTACGGACGTCAACTATGTAAAATCAGAAACCGAGATCGTGGCATTATAAAAAAAATATCCAATGAAAATGAGCCAACTTACGCTTCGTTAAGTTTTCCTCGCTATCCATCAGCAGTCCGGAAGCAACACAGTTAGTGACCTTTCCAGAGGCAATATTCCCCTTGACTTCTTCAAGCAAGGCAGCAAGCCATTTATCTCGTCGGTCTCTGACTTCGGTGGCCAATGCCTTTCTCTTTTTATCTTGCAAAACGCTCAAGTATCTGAGGTAAGGGACATAGTCCTGGGCATTTGAGTTGGTGGAGCGAAAGCTTAGAGTATCCAATAAGTACAATCAGTACCATTGGCCACTTACAGATTTTTATGTTCGGAGACATGTGCATACCTTGAAATGATTGAAGCATCGCTCAGAATGCGCAGGAGAAGAGGGTCATTGACATTCTCAAAGCGCCTTCCATAGCAGAACATGAGGACGACATTCAGAGACAACATCTTCTGATAGATGTGAGGCATAAGCGGTTTAGAGCCTCCTTTCCCGTCACTGAAAATAGCCTTGACCATTTCTGATGTTTCGAGATCTAGCATACCGGCAAGTCTTTTAATAGCAGGTGCTGTGGTCAAGGAGCCTACAACTCGGCGCTGCTTTTTGGTTCTCTCATTCCAAGGGTTTGTGCCAATTGTCGCCGCTAAAACCACTTGATTAGAAAGCATGACCTAAACTCACGCTGATTTTCTTGCTAACTCACCGGAAGTCTTAGATACTACCCCGTGGAACGTGTAGAACAGAGGTCTGTCGACGGTAGAAGCTTGGTTGGTAACTATCCATTCTCGTGCTACTTCGAACCCATTCAGAACAACGACACGTCTGTTTCCAAGCCGCATTTGGAAGATGGGCCATCCATATTTCTCCGCCCACTTTTGCGCAGTAGTAGCATGGTCATTTCCAAGCTGATACAGATGTCCGTGGAGGAGGGACGCTCCAGGTATTTCTGGAATGCCTTGGATAGCAGCGAAATCGACGTAAAAATAGCGTAGGTAGATGAAAAATGCTACACTCGATAGGATAGTTGGTATCAAAATTGCCGATTGTAAGTCGATAGCTGTAGCTAGAGGCGCAGTAAAGACGGCCATGATGAATTTGGCGGTTACACTGTGTATCCAGGAGGATATGACTGCTGCAACAGCAAAAGATAATTCAATCTCGAACGAAGATAATGCCCTAAACAACTAGCTCTGATAAGCAAGCTCCTGGCGTCGGGGCTTTTGCTCGGTGGGGTAAGCGGAGATGTGAGAAGCAAAAGCTTGGAGCGACGGACAACTCCGAGAGGACACTTCAAGAAGATAAAATCAAAGAAGATTGTGAGATTGTGAAAGCCTCTCTAACTCCGGCTACGCAGCTGCGAAGGAGTTGGCCCACTAATTTATTGCCCGAGCAAGTTGCCGAAAAATTTCAAAGTAATCTCTTCCTCCTCTCCACAATGAAGATGTGAAAGTCAGGACTTCTGAGCACTTAAGCAACGACCCGAGACAGTTTTCGGACCCCGGCCAATGGGTCGCCATCGCAGTTAATAAGACGCATGCTGCCATGAAGGCCCTTGAAGCTGCGAACATTGGCGGGATAAAGACGTCCTGGGAGGTTACCAGCGTATGAACAGCCGCAGCCAAGGATATTGCTTCACGAAGCACTCGGCTATGCAGCCCCCCAGCCTCGTCTACGTTGCTCGGCGGGAAAGACAAACAGGAATCACAGGGAGCATGGTCGACCAGGAAAGGGTGAAGTAAGAGCCAAACTTCGTGAGTGACGGATTCCCCGGTATTCGTAGTAGTAGACATAGTTTCAAGAATATGCAAAATTGAAAGGCCAGTAGTATTAGAAAGCGGGCATTCACCATCGTCAGGACGCTTTGGGTTTGTCCCGAAATAATCACGTATGATCTGCCAGTAGCTGTTATACGCAAAGTCACTACTGGACTCCCAGGTGACTGTGCTAGCTCTCAATAGCGGGGTGCGCTGCGACAAGACGCTCAAGGGCCTATTTTACGGTTAGTTTTTGTCATATGATGATGATAATCATCAAGAGAAACAGAAAAGTGACTATGCCTACCTCTCGATGTTTATGAGCACAGATAAAAGCGTGCGGCGAGTCTCCGTACTCAGGGTACCACGAGCGAGATCATTACTCTCATCATCAGAGACTTCCGCGGGATCCTCGTCGACTCGATGCCATCCCAATTGAAAGCAGATACGTGTAGCCGTGGATATAAACTCCCATATAAGGCCTCTTTGTGGATCGGCAAGTTCATACACGATGAACATGATCAGGACGAAAACCGAAAAGTCATCCCGCCTCTCTATCAAAGGCTGAGCGAGATCGCCAGCCCAGTCACGGCAGGCGGTAGCAAGCGCTTTCCAACTTGGGAGGTGGTAGCTCTTGTGAACGGCAGCTGTGGCGCAAGCAAGAAGAATTACACAACGATTGCCATCACTGAGTTGCTTCAAATCGGTCTCCACGCCCTCCCCGCATTGGATCAATTTAGTTGGATAGGTGGGTTCGATACATCTAGCGTAGTATGTGAGAAGCAACCGCACTACGCTTGGTGAGAGGCTGTTTCTGTCGCACTTGATTTGGACTGCAGCTGGCAATTGCTCATACTCCGACGTGCTGCGAGACGAGTCTATTTGAACTCCAAGCTGCTGCAGCTTAGCAATCGTAACGTTTCCAAGAGCCACCGGCGGAGATGGTCCCAAGAAGAGATACTGGTGGGTTCGATAAGGAACAATATAATTAAAGGGCTCAAGATACGGCGTTGTTGAGGGCACGGCGCTCGCCCCTGACCTGCAAGTAAAGAGTGCTGAGAGACGTATTACCAAGCAGGCAGGTAGTAATACATACCTCTCTGCATGCGATGCGTGCATGGAAACAAGCGCAGAGAGCTCATCAATCTTGTCGTAGAGACTCTTGATACGACTTCGAGGTACATTTTCCTTAAGAACTTCATCATAGTACGTACATGGCAGGCTTGACTTGTAGCAGCTCAGACACGACGGAAGGCGAGCGTCGCACTGGTATGCAACTTGGTAAGCTATGTTCCTTTTTTGTAAGAGAGAAGTATCTGGGAACTATCACTCACCTTGATACGCCGAGAGCGACAGCGCGTGCATGTTTTAAGCATGGCGCCTACAGGATGACAAGTGGAAAGCTTGAAGAGATGGAAAATGAAGGTGTGGATTCCGATTTCTGTCGGTTGGCGGTAAAACAATCTGCCAGTGGAATTTATTGAACTAGCGAGTGGTCTATTACTACATGATGTTTGTAGATTGGTTTGATCAAGTTTATAATGTCAACGACTGCACCAGAGACTAGAAGGATTAAAAATGAAGTAGTGAATTGACATGCCAAACAACGGCCGGGCAAAACGTTTGTCATTTGATGGGGCAGACAGGGCGGTGGCAGAATAAATCCGCTAGCTGTATAAAGAATAGCTCCCGTAATCCATCCCCTCGCCCCGCACTCCATATAATTTCATTAATATCTTTTTTATCTCTAGTCCACCGTAATTCCTTCCATAGGCAAACCAGAAACAATCCTCGCTGTAATTTTACTCTCCTAAGTTTCAGCTAGTTATACATACAGCTGGTTGAGTCATGTGGATGGTAAGTATATATGTACGGTCAATAAGTTGTTGTAACCAGGGTTACATCAGTTTAATACCGGCGTACACTGTGCAGTACATATTTCTTATATTGTCACTACCTAGTTAGATAGTCAAGTACCTATATTTTATCCTCTTATGAAACATGTTGCTGGATGGTTTCTACCAAATCTTTATATTTTGGCCCCGGGATCTACCAATGCAATCTCCTATATACATGAGAGGGAATAGTGATCAACGACATCATGTCACTCAGAGACATAGATACATCAATTAGCCCTTGGGACAAGAATATTCGTTAAGATGTTACAGCATCAGCTGCACCCTTAATTCAGACAATCTAAATGTATATCTTTCTCTACGCTCTTGACTTTCTGGTAACTAGATAGCCGTCATCCTTATAACTATCTATCATCATCTACTTCATCTACATCGAGCATCTACTTTATTTATTACGTCTTTGCCTTATCCGCAAGACCATGACCGGACGTCCTGGTGAGCCAGCTTTTATGCGATTATTGATTGCCTGTAAGAATAGTCGCTGTAGGTGGTCCCCAGAAATCTTGCCACGCTTCGATATTTGGAAGCCGTCTGGCCATACTGGGGAAAGCAATGCCGTCAAGTTCATGCGTAAAAATCCTTTGATTTCTCAATGACACATCTTTGGCATTGATAAGCTCATGTGTATCACCGAAGTGAGTGCTAAACCAATCATTAGGGCTTCAAGAAATGGACGAAGGTTGCGGCAGGCAAAGGCCCTTGTTAATTGGCTTGCAAGTAGATTTGCGCGCCCCCAGGAATGTTTGACCAGATTCTCAATGTTTGCACGCCATTCTTTGGGTTTTAGAGCGTTAACCATGTCGAGAATGGGTTGCTTCCGGGAAGAAGGTTATCCAAGAATGAAACGAACTGTTTCTGACTTGATAGTACTTTGGATTTCGTGTCATCGTCAATGTCTCGCCATACTCTACGAACTATGGCGAAGTCGTCACCGAATGAACTCGTTTCTCTTGCAGCAGCCGAATATGTGTCAGAGCATGCTTTTCTAAAGTCTCCTTGACAAAGAACTCAACTACCCACATAGTTGACTACATCCATGATATATTAGAAAAATGTGTTCATATAAGGCTTTCTGTTTTTGGAAAGAACCTACCTGAATGGTTTCTTGTGAGATCAATTGCCAAAACAAGAAATGCCTTTCGTGGAATTGAGAGTTAGATTGTTCATCTTCAAAACAGCTGCTCGTCGATGTTGTCCGCTTTCTGATGTTACTTGAGGTTGTTCGCGTTCGTCAGGGTAAAGTGCATTAAGTATGGCGTTGACTTCGATGACCACGAGATCATCTAATGAAGTTGCAGTGTAGTTATTGCTGTTTGTCAACAGCAGAGAACAAAACGAGCGAATGGTGCATTCGCTTGACATCTAATTCGAGAGTCATACCGGCGGTTCATCGCGAGTGAGCTGGTCAACAAGAGGTGTCAACATGCCGTTCGATAATTGATCGATTGGCGTTCAATACTCTGCCCTAGCAGGGATACAACGATGCGTGGTCGACGGTGGCTACTAATTGTCGACGTTCCCTCACTTTGTCCGCTTCCAAATCAGGCATGGTTTATGTTGCTGTACTGCCTAAGCAAACGATACTTGCCCCTTCAAGTGTGCTTTTCTGTCCATTCAATCAGCTCAAGCTTTTCGAATGGATTAGATGGTTCGACGGCGCCCATGTTGGGCGGTTCAGTTGCAATGATGTTGGAGCCCGGAGATGAGGAACAGTCTGTGAGCGAGATGGAATTGAGAGATAAACAGAATTAGGTGAAGAATAGGAGGTTAGAAGTAGATGATAAGTAATAGTGAATGAATCTGATGAGATAAGGAAGAGCATTCGAGGGTAAAAATGAATGAAAGAAGGAACAAAAGCGGTGGCGGGGGAGCGAGTGCTGAGGGGATGCTGCAAACGCTGAACAATGGTCAGTTGAATGATGTATCTGCTATATTGAACATGGCTAGGTAGACTATGAAAATGGCTAGTTCCTAAGATGGATATAAATATATGTGATGATCATGGGCATGTTGGATAGCTCCAATGGAGGTATAAGTGATGTATTGTCTCCAGTAGTAACCATAGCCACAACCATCCGCCTAGGTTCACAGGTATATACATATATGCCTTTTAACTTAATCTGAATGCTTTTTTGTTGAAGAGAACACATGGGTCGATTCGGGGATCCTCGCGCCCTTTTGCAATTTCCCTGCGGTTCGTAAATTGACGGCCCTGTTTGTTTTTGAAAGTAAGGCAAATAGAAGACAAGAAGGCACACCAGAATGTTTCGCGATTCATTAGACGGCGGAATTGGCTGATAACATGCCTTCCTCAGCGGGCAATTGCCTATAATCCACTACATAGGTAGCCATCTTTTCTACTTGACTAATTATTAAATATCTTTCCTGAATAGTCTGCTTATCTTTCGTTAGAAATCTGGCGCTCCCTGATTGGCTCCAACACTGCCTGGCTAGTTTCTAGCCTATGCATGTATAGATTATCGTGTTGGATTGACCAACGTCCATCGAATGGCGTTTCCCTCGCAACCAATTCTGCAAGTCTAGATCATCAAATGGGCTTCCTGGTGGTAGGTTAAGTCCGGGTATAGGAGAAATAAAGGCGTATCCCGAATTTCTCCTAATATACATGTTTTAGTGGTCCGTCGGGTCAGGCAGAATTAGCTCACTATAACCCCGAGTTTACTCGCTTTCTCCCACTCCTTCTTAGTGCTTACTGTTATCTCATCGGGGTTCTCTCCGCTTGATATCGTTCTTCCTGTTCGCATTTGTTTAATGACAAGATAATTCTAATCCTTTTAGTGGGAAGATGTTCTCAATTTCGAAGTCGAGCGGCCATATAAGCGTTTATCGACAGATTTCTTGTGAGGGCAGTTGCCTACCTATATCTTGAGGAAAACGCGAGGAGCGGGCGGACATGAAAATGCTTGAAGCCTACGAAATACCAAGATTCTTTGTAAGAATGTAATACACTAGTAACTATATAAGGACTAAAGGATTGGAGCATACTCTGTTGGTTCGGAGCTTGTATGCAGATCTTACGCGGTGTTTCCTACAGTTCTCGCACATTTATTCCTTATTAGTCACAGCGCACAGAAATTGTGTAACAAGAGAGAAGTCAGGCTTATAAAAAGCTGGTTGTCCCCGCGAGCGTGCAAGGAGGTCCAACATCCCCAATTCCAGACAATCAGATAAGGGCAAGGCAGGTCACGGGGCGGTGAACTGCGGGGACTTTTCTGCCACTTTCTCTCCATTCGTTGTATGACTCAACCAAAGGCAGTTGCAGAAGACTCTCTAGAAATTAAGAAAACTTGAGTGAGATCTGTAAGGTTTTCTCCTCGCAAAGGAAGCAGCTGAGGAAACCTCACCCAGCAACTTGTGTACATTCTCCTTGTGCACAGATTTTGACAATGGCGTCGCCCTTGGTGATTGCCGTCCAGCCCCGCGCTAGACTGGGTGACCAGGAAGATGACTTCGGTCTCAAGGACATTTCTCGCGTCGGAAGCGCGTTCATCAAGGTCTCAGCTTCCGTGGAAGCAGTCGAATTCATCAAATCCAACTCGAGCCTCCTTGATACCTATGTCGATGTCACAACCATTGCCCCCGCCGATGCGGTCGAAGTTCTCAACGCCGGTGCCGCAAAAATATTCCTTACCCCAAAACAAATGATTACGCTTGCCGCAGAGAACCACATTCCTTCATCTAGGCTAGTGGCATATGTGGCCTCGGACGAAGACACCACGGAATTGCGCAACTGGCTTACGGATGCCCCCGAATTTGAAAATATAGGCGTATGTGCAACAGCTAACGCTGCCAGACTCTTCGAAAAATTCGGCTTTCCACGGGATGGCGGACAGGTGTACAGGTTGTTCGGGCGTGATGTAACTGAAGCGGCTGTCATTGAAGAAGTGACTCATGGCGTCGTCGCCATTGTCTCGTCTGAACAGCTTACAATTGTCCCAAATACGAATGGCAAGGTTTCAGTGGCAAATGTGCTGTCGAGTCGTGCTGTGCCTGATGCAAATACCGGTCTCATTGCGACCTTGGTTGTTGATGAGAGAGGTGTATCTTTGGGATTTGTATGGAGTAGCAAAGAGAGCCTATTGGAGGCCTTGAAGACAGGCACTGGAGTTTATCAATCCCGCAAGCGGGGTCTCTGGTTCAAAGGCCAAACTAGCGGAGATGTTCAGCAGCTACTAGGTGTTGGATTTGACTGTGATGCAGATTGTATGATTTTCAGAGTTAAACAGCTTGGTCGAGGATTCTGTCACCTTGGGACAAACACCTGCTTTGGCCGGTATCAAGGTCTCTCGAGCTTGCAAAAGACCCTACAATCTCGCAAAGAAAGCGCTCCGGCTGGATCATACACGGCACGTCTATTCAATGACCCCAAACTTGTTGAAGCCAAAATTATGGAAGAAGCGGAGGAGCTGTGCCAGGCGACAACAAAGGATGAAATTGCGGCGGAAGCAGCCGACCTGATCTACTTCGCTCTTACTCGATGCATTGCCGCAGATGTAAGCTTGGAGGATATTGAGAGGAATCTAGACATGAAGCATCTCAAGGTGACGCGCCGCAAGGGTGACGCCAAACCTCGTTGGGCTGAAAAGGTTGGGCTGAGCAACACAGAGACTGCGCCGAAACCAAGTCCTGCTCCAGAGAAACCGGCAGCCGCTAAGTCTGATCGAATTGAAATGAAGCGCATCTACACGGCTTCAACTCCAGTCAGTGTTATTAAAGATGCTTTGCAGCGTCCTTCTCAAAAGTCCAACGATGCTATAGTTGGTCTTGTGAAACCTATCATCAACGACGTGCGCACGAATGGGGACGCTGCTGTTCTTAAGTACACTCATAAATTTGAGAAAGCCACCTCATTGACTTCACCGGTTCTGAAAGCACCTTTCCCGGAGCATTTGATGCAACTGTCACCTGATACTATCAAAGCAATCGATGTAAGCTTTGAGAATATCAAAAAGTTCCATTCCGCACAAAAGGATGACAAGCCGCTCGTTGTTGAAACCATGCCAGGTGTAGTCTGCTCCCGTTTCTCCCGTCCGATTGAGCGTGTTGGTCTCTACATCCCTGGTGGAACTGCAGTATTGCCCTCGACTGCTCTCATGCTTGGTGTCCCTGCAATGGTTGCTGGTTGCAAGAAAATTGTCCTTGCCTCTCCTCCTCGCTCCGATGGCAGCATATCTCCAGAAATTGTCTACGCAGCCCACAAGTGTGGTGCGGAGAGCATTGTTCTTGCGGGTGGCGCCCAGGCTGTGGCAGCTATGGCCTACGGCACAGAGAGCATTAGCAAAGTCGACAAGATCCTGGGTCCCGGTAATCAATTCGTTACAGCCGCGAAGATGATGGTATCCAATGATACATCAGCGGGAGTTAGTATTGACATGCCTGCTGGCCCCAGTGAGGTCCTTGTTATCGCCGATAAGAAGGCCAACCCAGCGTTCGTCGCATCGGATCTTCTGAGTCAAGCTGAGCACGGCGTTGACTCACAGGTCATTCTTATAGCAGTTGATCTGGACGAAAAGGAGTTGGCAGCAATTGAGAATGAACTGCATCAACAAGCTAATGCTCTGCCACGAGTGGACATTGTTCGAGGCTCGATTGAGCACTCGGTCTCTTTCGTTGTCAAGAACGTCGAAGAGGCTTTGAACCTCAGCAATGAATATGCTCCGGAGCATCTGATCTTGCAGCTTGAGAATGCAGAGGATGTTGTTCCTCTAGTTGAAAACGCTGGAAGTGTTTTCATCGGTCAATGGACTCCTGAAAGTGTTGGCGATTATTCTGCTGGCGTCAATCACTCTCTACGTAAGTTGCAATGCATCACCACTCCCTTAATACTGGCCCTAAAAACAGAGTGTCTCTCTCATGGTAACACAAAGGCTAACATGCACTTTTTCCCTTTATGTAATAGCAACCTATGGATATGCAAAACAATATTCAGGTGTCAATCTCGGCTCGTTTGTGAAACACATTACATCCTCGAACTTGTCCGCCGAGGGTCTTCGCAATGTCTCTGGAGCAGTCATGCAATTGGCCGCTGTTGAAGGATTGGATGCACACAAGCGCGCAGTTAGCATTCGTATGGACGTTATCAATAAAGCCTAACGATAAAGCAAGTTTCATTGGCCAATTTTCTCGCACACCAACTTCATGGAGCAAAACCCGACATTGATATATATATGTTACTTGTCGATATCTCTTATCCTATTGATACTTGAATATTGCTGTGGTTTTTTATGACTCCGATGCCTTATGTAGATGAGTTTGTCTATATACAGTACCCAGGTAACTAGGTACATTCCAAGGCATGGGAAAAAAATTTTCGGGCTTGGTTTTTATCTAATAAAATCAGTGAATTGTTGTTAGGATCGGATAGTTATACCCCAAGCACCAAGAAGATTGTATTTTCCTATATTCCAGTACGCCATTACCTACCAGGTTATGATATTTGGCAGTTGTATAAATCCAAGTATAATGACATGGCATTAAATAAAAGCCTACCTCTTGCGTTCCTTCACTTTCCATTTCACACCGTTTTTATTGACGCCTCCGATAGAATTCGACATTCGGGCTCGTTGCAACTCAAGTTCTCTCTCAGCGGCCGTAATTTCTGTATATTGTTTTCTGAGGGCTTCCAATTTCTTGCGACGACTTTCTGCTGCTCGTCGTTTTAGTCGTTTGGCCGCACGTCGTTGTAAATGAGCTTGTCGTTGAGCCTCTATTTGTCTCTTTGACGGTTGCTTTGATTTTTGTAGCTGTTTTCCGAGCGATTCGCTCTCTTTGTCCTCATCTTCCTCCACCACCACCTCCTCCTGATCATCATCCTCGTCATCTCCTTCAGAATCAATTTGCCGACCAAGTCTCTTCTGATCTTCTCGACTATCCGCAAAGACAAGTTTCCGTTTCTTATTTCCACCACCACCAAGAAGAATATCATCCTCATCCTTATCCTCATGGTTCCTCGACGAGGGCCCCTTCACCCCCAGAATCTTTTCCATGCCGTCCTGCAATCGCACCTCTCTTTCCAACCGCTCCATCTCTCTGCGCACTCTCTCGCCAACTGTTCTCAGATAACCGGCGTCCTGCGTCTTGAGTAATTTCACCGTATCATGGCTGAGCGATGCTGAATCGCGCGCACCATGCTTACCCTGTTGTGCATTTCGGTCCGATAACATGCCAAATGCGAATTCGTCGGGGTTACGGTCGCGCGCCTTCTCGCGCAGACGTTGGAGTTTTTGTTGTTTCTGATTGTAATCTTTGGCACGGAGAGAGTAGTCCTAATATGCATGCGTTAGATTTTGTCCTTCATTATGATATTGCATATATATATATACTTACCTTGTGTTTCTCCAGTATACCCCATTTCTCTCGCCCTTCGAGCTGACCACGCTCGCGGTGCTGCCGTCGATGAACGGCATTTCGCATAGAAGACATTTTCCGTGAAAGATTCTGGCGCAAGGACTAGAGGTAATGGTAACGGCTGCCGTTAAATTGTATTAGATCAAATTCCAGGTACTGGCTCTGCTGAATTCTCAAAAGTTCCAGCTGTAAATGTTGGTGTATCAGTAATGTTAGTGAGTTTTGTCTCCTTTTTGTTAAAAAAAAAATAGATAAAGATTGATTAGTTTCTGCCGGCGGCGGAAAAGGCGGCGAAGGCAGGAGACGGTGGGCGCGACTCGGAAAGACAGACGGACGGCAGCTTCCAGAGCTTCTTTTGCTGCTCGGAGGGTTGTGACTTTCAAGACACTGCAATTGTCTACTCATTTCGAAGGGAGACATTGATGAATGCAGGAGCTTTATCGAGAAGAACAACAAGAACATACAGGCACACGAGACACGCAACATGAATTCTATATAACCCATTTCTTCTTCTCCAGTCAGACTCCTTTCCAATACATGCAATTGAACAATTGATGATCTTTTCTACTCCCTCCCTTCGAATTGGAGATAAATAAAATGTCTACCTCATCATCTCCCAAGTCGCCTACAGACCCTCAATTCAACTTCCGCAATCCATTGCCTCTATCCGCAACCCAGGAACAGCAAGTCAAAGAGGTATATTATAAGCGTGTGCGCGGCTATTGCGCCCCCGAAATCAAAGGTACCCAGCTTCGAGAGGAAGGGAAAGAGGAAGAGTATCATTACTAAACGCTCTGTGACTATTATAGCATTCGCAGAATGTGCTCGCGGTCGAACCTTCACAACAACTTGGGTCTGCCGAGAGCAACGCCTGGCCATGAACTCGTGTATGCTTGCACATGCGAAACCGGAAGAAGAAGACCGAGCGCGTGAAGAATGGTTCGCGGGCCGCGAAGCTCGACGACGTGAGCGCGAGGAGGCCGAGGCTGCGGTCGAGAAGCGACGACAAGAGGTTATACAGTTGATGAAGTCAGATGAGGAAAGGAAGCGGAGTAAAGAGGCTTCTTAGGCACGTCCTCCTTTCCAGCTCTGGGACTTGCGGAGCATGGTTCTATATTTTTTTTCCACTCCCCGTTACTATCGAATGTGTGTCTTGTGTTTTGCATATTGAAGCGGCGTCTAGGTGATTTTCAATGTTGGTGACGAGCTGAAGCTGAATCTCTATTTTGATGTCTGGTCCCGAAATGTACATTATTTTGTAGATATATATTATATACCATTGGTACAAAATTTGAATTCAATTTGGCGCCAGGTGTATGTCCCGGTGCGAATTGTTCATATCAGATTCGAGATAATGATACAAAAAATTTCTTAAGAAAACGGTACGATAGCCCAGCGCCGTCCCAAAGAAAAACACGCAGCCCCAAAAACGCCGGCTCTGATATATAATCCTAGACTCCAATCAAGATGCTGAAACTGTGAGAGATAAAAGAATACTGCATCAAGCATCTGCCATATTTTCATCCTCTTCGTCGTCTTCTTTCATATCGACATCCTCACCGAAGATATCTTCCATTTTTCCATCTCCTTCATCCTCCATGCCCTCCTCTTCGTCGTTGTTGGCAGCGCTTGGTAGGACTGCCGACTCTAATTCTTCAACGTCTTCCTCGCCTTCACTCTCCCATTCATCCCTCAAATTCCAGCCCGTCCCGGTCAGACAAAACCTTTCTGGAGGAAGTCTCATTCCACCCATGGATACATCCGAGAATGTGCTCCTGGATCCAGTCTCTCCGCCTCGCGCAACTCCAGGAAGGGCAATCCGATTTCGTTCTGAGGCCACATCTACCAAGAACTCTTTGGGCAATCCGGGCTGAAACTGGTAATGAAGTCGAGACGCTATGCTCAGTCGCAGCGCTTGTAGTGTGATTGTATTTAACTCAACGACGCCGCGACCGCTACCGGTTGACACGTTCGTTTCCCCAGGCCCTGTTGCAGTGCCCGCATATCCCTCCATAGCGAGATGAACAGCGTCTTGAAGCGTGGATGAGGTATAGCGGTAGGCGAAATCAAGCAGTTGCAGGGGCACTCGCTCTTGGTATGCAGTCACACCGAGCGAGGCTAGAAGCATATGTATGAGGCGCGCGTCGCGTGGGCGCCGCCATTTACCGGAGTCGTTGAGAGAGGTTGCCGGAAACGACGGGGCACTGGCCGCAGCACCTGGGTTGGCTGTGCCGTTTTGCGACGAGGCCGGATTGGCAGATGAAGAAGGGTCGTCAGGGGGTGTCAAGGGCTGGGTTGACCCAGTCGCAGCTGGGGCTGCTCTGGGAGATGCCATTTCTCGAAATATATTTGTTTTCTCGTAGTGGGTGGTTAGAGGGTTATTCGTTCTCAATGTGAGATTTCAACATCAGGCGCAGGTCGACTGAATCAACTCAAGCCGATAGATGGTATGCCGATGAGCTGAGGTTGGAAAGGATTGAAATATAACGAATGTGTCTGGAAGATGTTATAAGTCTCTCTCGGAGACCTATGTACTTCACTGGGCGAGCACCTTAAACAAACCGTGGTCGAGTTGGTGAAGTGAAGGTGAGGAAAGCTCACCATCAAACCGTCACGGCTCAATGCCGCTATTCCCTTTCGAGCTACCGTGCCGCCGCTTTAGACCAAAGTACGACTACATCTTGTACATGTATTCGAAGCGATAAAATCCTGTGTTCATGCCCTATTCAGACCATAATTATGTGCGCACGCTTTGAACACGCCGCTTGAAACTCCTGCCGCTTATGCGTCTATTTTACACATCAGATAAATCATAGCACACTGATCAAAAGACAAACAAAACGATGGCACCCTCTATGCAAAAGTCGTGCCGTAACAATAATGATCAGAAAATCAAGAAATCAACTCGGGTATAGAATGAGACCGCTCAAGCGATCTAGCATAAGTAATCAACAAGCTCTTGAAGTCGTTCAGAATTTTGTATCGCGCAAGGAGACCCCCCCTACGTCAGGTAGATCGTCATCAGTTTCCGAAAGTTCGTCGTTGGAAACTGCATCATCCTCGATCGTCGACTCGATCATTGAGCTGGTCATCTCCAGATTCTCAACAGAGTCTTGCGAAATATAACTGTCGCCCATGTCGCCGACTGGTTCATCCTCATCCTCCTCCTCCTCATCACTGAAGGCGTGGTCAATATCGAGGCCATGTCCTTCTTCTACATCACTGTCCGTGACGGAGAAATCGTCCAAATTGGCGTGTTCTCGCCAGTAGGTAAAGTCCGTGAACTCCTCGCCCCCTCCTTGGACCAGTAGACTGATAGGAGGGAAGAAGTGGTCAACCAACTCTCTCATTGTGACGTAGCTACTCTTATATTTGTTGAGGCTCAGCAGATCCAGCGAAACCTCCGCGTAGGAGTTAATCGTGAAAATTCGAGACGAGGGGATATTGACAGATCGATAGCTAAGAGCATCGGTCAAGCGGTTGCCGAAGCCAGCATAGAATGGATTCTGGCTTGGGGGAAAGAGGTTGAGTATATCACGAAGGCAAGCCATCTTGAAGACTTCGGGCTTTCGCAGGTAAATCTCGCGTCGTAATGCTGCTATCGTTCTATCGGGACTCATGATAACAGGCCCTTTTGGTAATCTGTATCCGTCCTGTAGGACGCCTTTCAGGTACGTCCGAGTTAAGTCCGCTTGCCCAGTAGAGCGGCTCGTAAGGTACATGATGTTATATCCGTTGCTTACAATGTCGGTGAAAAGCTTCGCAACGCCTTGATGGGTCCAATCACGTCCAATCATATTCAAGACATGTCCCAAAACGTCGGATCTACCATACCCATGTTAGTTAACAGAATCGACAAGGAGTTTCCCAGTTTCATACTTTGTAATTGTCCCGTCAATGTCGGAAATGACAATGGGAGTCTTGTAACTCCAAAGGTACATCATAGCTGGGCATGTAGCTTTGTTGACCGTGAAGGAGACAGGATTGGCCCCAGGCTTCAGGTTGAGTGCCTTGAGTTGATCGCTAGTTAGTCTTAGTGTTTTAGCATAATTTCGGTTGGGATCTCCAGCGCTCGCGTCTTGCGGCGGGGTTTGAGGAGGAGTCGGGAAGCCAGGCTGGACATCAGATTGAGCACGATGATGACGAGTTTGCAATGGGGCTTGCAGAGATGGCTGTTCCCCTTCACTGTGGTACCCAGGATCCGAGATAGCATCGTCATTGTAGGCTGTTGGTTGGACTTTGAGGGTGTTCAACGTAGCTCGACGGTCGGCCGAGGCTTTCGCCTCCTCGCTACTATATATCCAGAGATTGCCGTGATCATCTGCACCGATCAAAGCCCCAATGTCATAATTGCCTTCTAGTTCTTCGGAAAGAATTTTACGTGCGATAACCTCGGCACGAAGCGCATCTTCCTCACTGCTTTTATAGCCAGTCATGTCAAGCATCAAGTCACCACTTTCTGTAACATGCGAAGGAATGTTGGAACCCGATAGTTTCTTGGAAAGAGCCATGGCGCGTGAAATAGCTTCACTGGGTGAAACGGGAGGCGGGCTCATAGAACGACGACCCTGGGGTGGATTCCCCTGGTTCGCAACGTGAAGCAAGCTGACAGGACTGGAAGGCTCGCTACCTAAGGATTCTTTTTCCTGGGACAGGACGCCATCGGAAGCCGAGCGATCTAATTTCCTGATGGAAGGGCCTTCGAATGAATCAAGTCGGTCTCGTTGCAAGGTAGAGCCATTTGGTGATTGTGATAAGGGTGTCAAGTTGCCTGTTCAAGGGTTAGAAAGGCAAATGAAGCAGCAGTTATCGGACATACCAAAATCGTGGCTGGAAGGGCGATCATTTGATGGGATCGGGATGCCCAGTGGATCCTTCGAGTCAAGTTTAGAGGGAAGCAAACTGTCGAGATCGAGATCAGGAGGGTCTTGCAATGAAGGTAGCTCGTCGACAGATGTAGAGGCCGGACTGCTTGCAGCGGAGACCAAAGGAGACGTCTGGAGCGCCGCCGGGACATCTTCAGTTGTTTCAAAGACAAAAAACGCTTCCCCTCCATCGCCCAGCTTCATTGAAAAGTCTTGTTTAATCCCATTGACTCTGAATTCAACTTTCTTCTCGGACGGCCGGAGCAATGAGAATTTGCCAAATCTGACGTGGAAGGGCGAGCAGGCAAGGCTTCCTATCAGCGTCTTGATTAGCCTCGAATCTAACACATAGCGAAAAGGAAAAACCTAGGCGGATATGCCACTCACCATCGTCGTGTTCAATGACTATTACATCGATAGCCCCGCTAAGCGTAGCCGGATTGATGGAATTCCATGTCTTGGAGACCGGACCACTCAAGCTTCGCACGTACTGCATTCCGGCGACTGCTTGTCGAGCGATGGATTGTGCAGGCTAGGTATAAGCAATGTGTATCGATGTATACCATGCAGTAATAATACTATGAAGCGAGCACAAGTTCAAGTGGTCGAGGACCGGGAAATGCGGCTGGGGCGATTCGGCGTGGAAATGGACGACGATTATCATGTGAAAAGTGGCTGCGCTGCGGCCATACAGGGCACGTTATTTCATGGCTTGCAGGCAGAGCACAACGGGCGAGCGAAAGTCGACACAAAAGCCCAGCAGAGCACGAGCAAACGAGATAAAAACGAAGACTGAACGAGAGTGAGCGAGGTGAGATGGAGACAGAGCGGGCGTTGGATTCTCAACGCTTCAACAACTGCAGCGTCATCGGCCCGCCTCGGTCCCAACCTCTTAACTAGTTATACAGTACGCGGCCAGCTGACTGATCAGCTGGCAATCTATTGAATTTCCACACTATTGAGTACGGAGTACGGAGTAGACTATGTGGCATCTACAATGCGGAGTATTCGTATTCGTTCTTCTACACAGTGAAGCGCTACCATCGAGGGCGTATTGTCTTTCTTAGAGCGCAGTCTAACTAACTAGTCCCTAAAGGGAAATCTGAGGGAATTCAGAACCATCACGTGATAGGATCCGCCGCTAAGCCGCTTGGGGCAACACAGCCAGGCGCCTTCCAGTTTTCCATCACCATCGCCGTCTTGCTTCTTTCTCTCCTGCTGGCGGTCTTTGGCGGATGGAATTCTACAACGCGGGCATGTACGAGCCGCTGTACTGGTCTTTTGATGCATACCCCAGTGTGGTCCCTCGTGTGCGGGTGCGAGGCGTAATGGCTCTGTTCCTCGCAGCCACCATCCTCTGGGCCCTGGTGTGGTGAGTCAAGCTTCCCTTCTGCTCGCCCTGCTGCAGTGTTTAACCCCTTCATAGGCTGTTATACCGAGCGTGGCAAGTCTGTCAGACCCCGAACGACATCCTAGTTGATAAGCTCGGTCTTGATATTCCCCCATCACCCGAGGTCACTCTGGAGGAAATTTCGGCGCGAGAAATCCATATTGCCTGGAAGCAACCAGACTTTCACAATTCCATTCACAAACATATAATTCAGGTTAACAGTGCAAAAGGTGCGGGCTTCTCACTGAGTATTCGTCGCAAGTACAGGGCTAACGGCGAGCGCAGTGGGCGAAACCAAAAGGGCGGAAACCGCGGTCACCATCGGGAATTTGACGCCAGGACACATCCACCATATCTGTGTATTTGCTGTGAGCGCCGCTAACTTCCAAACCGCAAGCGCTGTGCTTCATGTCCGTACGAAGCCGCTCCCATTGTCGCAGACTCAACAAGATGGCGATATCGAGGGCCCTACGATTCACGCATCCGTCCCGCGTTCGACGGTTGCACTTTCCGCTCCCTCTGCTCCGGTCATGGCGAGAGAGCATAGCGCCGGTTATACGCAAAGCAAACGCACCGCTGGAGGAAAGAAAATATCATCGGCTTCGAATCTAGTTGACTCTCAATCCGAGGACTACCAGCGTCACTCATCCAACGATGATCATGCCGGAACTTTGGAGCGTCTCGCAGAGCGTCTTAAGAATCTTCAGCAGGAAAATGAAAATATAGATAAACAAATTGCAGAAGAGGATGAGGAACACGGCGCCACTTTGAAGGAATTGGAGAAACAGCGCGATGAGCTCAAGCAACGTGTGAAAGAGAAAGACGAAGCCAGTGGTGATTTGAAAAAGCACGTGAACAAGCTAGAGAGTGTTAATCGCACTGTTCAGAGTGAAAAGTCGAAGCGAGAGAGATTGCTCCAACAGAAGGAAGCTGATCGCAAAAAGCGGAAAGATGACATTGTTCGATGGCAAGATCAAATCGCGCAAATCAACAAGGACATGGCGCGAGTCAAGGAAGAGAGAATGAAGGTTGAGCAGGACGCCGCTAAGCAGGCCAGCGAAATTCGGGACAAGATTGCCTTGGAGCAAGTGAAAATGAAGGATATTGACGATGAGATTCAAGAAAAAGGTGGCCGCATAAAGAAATTGGAAGATGAACGGCAGAGACTCGAGGGCGGTGACAACGAAGATGGCAAGGAGCTCGATCGTATTGATATTGAAAAGGCTCGTCAGTGGGAAAACCGTCTCAATAATCTCCACGCAAGATACGCTACACTCGTCAATCTTCATGTTCAAGCTCAGCAACAATATCAAGAAGCTCAGGAACGCCTCAAGTGGCTGACTAGTCAAAGAACTAATGGGACGGGACCTTTTGCCGCATTGCAGACTCTCGACTTGGATTTGTCTCAGTCCTCTGCTATGCGCCGCTCTCGGCATCGGAGTTCGTTGACAAGCAATGTATCTTCGCCAGTGGCGTTTCCACAAGTGGACACCGCATTTTCTCGAAGCACGAACTACAACCCATCTAGTAACTCGCCTACATTTCCTTCCAGCACCGCTTTCTTCAACATCAACAACGGAATGACATTAGCCGGTCTTACAGGAAGATCGGAGGCTCTTCCTACGGAATCCGATACGTCGTTGCCGCCGATGAGCCCACGCGCCGACGCATTATTACCGTCTGATCTGCTCGGAGATGAGGAGTCCAACGAACTTCCCGATCCCATCATTGAACCCAACGTCCCTGATGCTGATGCAGGAGCAAGCTCTTTGTTCGATCAGCCTCGCTCGCCTTCTCCCGACCCTTCGGAAACCAGATCTAATAGATTCTTCGCAAGCCCCCACGAGAGTCTAAGGGATAATGACCCCAGCATTCCGACTAGTGAGGGGATGTCGGAGGAGACTGATACATCTCAAGCTCAAAGTGCGTCGCGGCGACTTTCTGGGTTGTTTAGTTTTCACAGACCACGCGGTAAAACCACAGTCGATGGGCCTCCGTTACTTGGAAGCCTGAAGCCTGGGCAGAGTCGCTCGTTCCCGCGAAACTATGATGAGATTGATGCAATTGGGGCACGGCGACGCCGTCTCACTCAAGCTACTAATTGGGCAAACCCAATGTCATACTTCCCTCGAAGCAGTGCCACGTCGCATGTGACTGCTGATAGCTCTTCCGATCACACCCCATCCAAAAGGAGTGCATTTGCAAGTATATTCTCTGCTGGCAAGAGCGGGTCGAGTGATTTGGTCAAGTCGGACCAAGGATATAATCAATTCAGCCCTAGACATGATCCCATCGATCCTGCATCTATCCTGGGCCCGATTCGACGAAGTTCCTTGTCTCCGCGACCATCGTCTGTGTTCTCTTTTGACAAACAACTCCCCCATCCTTCCACTGAGCCCTTTGGCTGGCCTTCTGGCGATATTGTAGGCACAAGGGGATCTCTAGCTTTTGAATGGGCGTCACCGTCAACGTGGTCGCGCGGTCCTTCTCGCAGGCCGTCGACTCAGTATGGATCCTCCAGTCACCTACCTCTTGGAATGTCCCCCGGGGAACCGGACTTTTTGCAGGCACCACATGACAAGCTTCGCCCGTTACAGGCACCCATTGGAACCAGACCTTCCTCATCTCATCGGCCTGCAACGCCAAAGTTGAACCCGGCCGCGCCGACCTTTAAGACTCTTTTCAAGAAATCGGAGCGGGATAAAGAGAAAGCAGTGTATAGAGGCTTTACCTCGAGATCCGAAGAATTTGATTTCCAACCTGAAGATCACTCGCCTCCAACATCTAGCCGGTCTAGAGATTCTCGCGCATTTTCTGCTGCTGCAGAATCTCTAGAGTCTTTGGATCTTATTCCTTCCAGCAGCCCCTCGGACACTTATGGGACAAAGGAGTCTTTTATCCAGAAGATCACGCGCAAGGGAAGTTCTAGCAAGTTTAATCTTTCCTGGAAGGACCGTGGAGGGATATTTTCGAAGAAATATGACTCTTTTCAGGGGGATATTGACGAGGACAACAGTACCCATGATGAGGCGCAGCTTGGCAAGAGTGTGGAGAGTGTCGTTTCTAATACACCGTCTGCGGATAAGTCCAGCACTCGCAGCAGCCGAAACTTCTTCAGCCGGAAATCCAGGAAAGACAAAAATTCGGTCGAGGCCAGCGAGAAAGCGAGTGAAACTGGAGATGAAGAGCTAGTCGAGGAGTAAATACGTATTGTTAATAGTTAATACCCAAGAGAATGACCATCTACACAATAGCAATGCTGTAGCTACCAGGGTCAGCTTGAACTATAATAATTTCGCGGTTTATTTATTGGGATATCCTGCAATCGCATAGTTATACATGTAGGACCATAATTCGTTAGAAAATGTAGGTATAGGGTTCGTCCCGCACCTGACCAAGCACAGCTTGACAATGACTCAACCATCAATCCAAGCTCACAACACCTTCCCAAGTCATACATAATAACCACAGACATTCCTGCATTCCCCGACGTCTCTTCTTTTACTGTAAGCGCTAGCAGCTGTGCATTTTAGTCTCTTCATCGGAGGAGTGACTGCACTAGGTGGAATGAAAATTTTGTGCGGGGAAGAACAGGATATATATCGACCTCCTCACATCCAACTGAATGGCGAACTCGAAGTGAGTCAAGAGAATAGACAAGAACAGGACGTGGCTAGATGCTAAGCAGAAACAAAACAAAAAAAAAAACATGCAGATACGAATACGTGAGGCTATTCGAGCAGCCAGACAATCTCCTCCCCCAAACATGGATTGTTGTTCGAATAGACGGGCGAGGATTCCACAAGTATGTTGAAGTTTTTCTTCTTTTTTTCGCAATAAATTGACCGAATTCCATTTAGGCTCTCGGATAAGTACGGCTTTGAAAAGCCAAATGACCGTCGGGCACTGGATCTTATGAATGCTGCTGCTGTCTCAGTGATGAAGGATCTCCCAGACCTGACTATTGCCTATGGCGTTAGTGACGAGTATAGGTATGTATACATACTCTGGAAAGGTTGTATGATGGCGCTGACATGTACAAGTTTTGTCTTCCATCCAAACTGTGAACTTTTTGAAAGACGAAGCGCGTAAGTAGATAGATTCACACGAGTTGGTATAATACTGATTAGTGCGTACAGGAAACTCGTTACAACAATTGTTTCAGGTTTCACCGCGGCATACGTTTACCAATGGCCAAAATTCTTCCCCGACAAGCCTCTTCAATTATCGAATTTACCGACCTTTGATGGGCGGGCTGTTCAGTATCCCAATGCCAGTATCCTTCGGGATTATATGAGTTGGAGACAGGTGGATTGTAAGATCAACTTTTTACACTTCTATTGAAGGGGATACGGCGTACTAATCTCTCTGAAACAGGCCATATCAATAACTTATACAATACGACCTTTTGGTCGATGGTTCTCATAGGTGGAATGACCAATGTCGAGGCGGAGAAAGAGTTGCAGGTATTTACATATATAGAACATATTGATACCTTTCAAAAGACTTATAGTCTACAGGGAACTGTTTCATCCGATAAGAATGAAATCCTCTTCAGTCGCTTCGGTATCAATTACAATAATGAGCCCGAATTCTTCAAAAAGGGCTCGGTCGTATACCGACAATACCAACTCCAGGAACCAGAAGCAGTAGGAACAACAACAGCACATACGCAACAGGATGATGAACCCATAAGCCAGCTCTCGCGGACGCAGCAGGAGAAAATTCGCAAATTGCGCCGGAAGGCACAGGTTGTCGTGGAGCATGTGGATATCATCAAGGATGATTTTTGGCTGAGAAGACCGTGGCTATTATCTGGTAAACCGGGGAAGATACCGGTTGAATAGAGAGATGAAAATGGTCTTGGTTTTGTCAAAGTATAACTAAATTAGTTTGCCTGATACAATGCTAAAAATGCACGTGAGACTGCGGCCGTTCTATGTATTCGTGATATATTGGTAGTATATAAATGATATTTAACAGTAAATGTATGTTGGTGACAGTCGTCTTTAACTGTCTTTATCCTTTCTCTTCTTTTCCTTCTTTTTCTTATCGGACCTTTTCTCCTTCTTTTCTATCTTGGTTGGAACATGGTCATCCTCTGCGAGAAGGGTTTCCGTCCTCTCTCTCTTTTTCTTCTTGCGTTTCTCTGCCTTCTTGTCGGCGTCAGTATCCAAATCCTCGCTGCGTTTCCTTCGATTACTGTGCTTCAACTCTGTTGAATCAGCATTGGTGCTGTCAGAAGACTCCGGAGTGGTATCAGCATCTTTTGATGATTTTTCCTTCTTGGTCTTTTTCTCTTTCTTGACTTTCTTCGTCCTTGCGGTTTCAAGCTTGTCGGCTTTGTTGCTGTCAGTAGACGAGACAGCATCTTCTTCAATCAATAACTTTTCTTTTTTAGCCTTTTTCTCTTTCGTGGCCTTTGTTTTTGCAGTTTCGGGCTCATTGGTCTCGCGTTTTCTCTTCTTCTTTTCCTTCTCGTCTTTCCGCTTAATACTATCGTCGTCGTCCTCCTCCCTTTTCCGCTTCTTCTTCTCCTTCTCCTTATCCTCGCTCGATCCTTTGTCCACAATATTCTTCTTGTTGTCCTTTAGTGTTCCGGGAATAACTTCCCCCCTCACAAAGAACTTGTACAACTGACTACCATTTCTCGTCAGCGAATTCGTCGTATCGTCGGCAGCCCCCGTCGCGACAGCACCACCATCCTTGCCCACTCCTCTCAGCGCTTCTTCGAACCCGCGCAGCCACCATTGATTCGTGGGATCTTTCGTTGGCACTTTTCCGACACCGATCTTGGTTTCGCGGCGAGATATGAGGAGCGGACGAGTTAGCCCGAGACCGCCGTGTTGACCGGGTCTTCGGTTGGGATTGAGAGGGTTGCCAGGACCGGACCAGCCGTGACGCATGAGATAGGCTTGAGCGTCCATGATGCGAGGTTGACTTTTGTTTTGATCTCATATGGATGGATTGATGGACGAGTAGTCGGAAGCAATTCGGGAGTGTATCAGCAGAAAAAAAAAAGATTTCAATTCCTCATCGTAGTGTATGACCTGTCAATTACCAGAGAACGAAATAATCAAGTACATGCAAGGCTTAACGCCTTGTCAAGTTCCCACAGTCTTATCCAGATAGAAAAAAAAAATGGTGTTTAGCTCCGTAAGTGGATAGCGGCGATCGATATTGCCGGGCGGTAAGCGATAAGGCTGATATGTGATGGGCCAATCAGGCTGCGTCTCAGCCTGGCTTTGGTATGTGATGCATTCATTTCGAGTCTCTCTCTCTCTCCACATATAAATTACACATTCTCCCCCTGATTTTAACTCTTCCCTACACTCACCATCTCACCCATAGGGTTATTCATCTAGTGCGTCCAACCCTACACGACATTGATCAACCCAGCCAAGATGGAAGCCAAGTGTACCGCTTGCCAAGGCATCATCGACTATACCTTTTCAAATCCCACCAACATTCTCACTGCCCTCAACATGGCTGGTGGCAATGTCTTCTATCACAATAGCTGGGTTACATTGGACAAAAACACCCGTCTGGCTGTCTATGGCGACTCTGCTGCTCATGCTTATCTGTGCGGGCAGTGGGTTAGAACCAAGCTTGACAAAGGTACCTACTTTTATTTTTATACTTTTTTTCTGTGCGTTCATTTAGATGCTCACTAACTGACTGATACTCAGCTTCGTGGAACCACATCCGTAGCGATGTTATGAGCAATGACAGCCTTGCTCGCGTGGGATTCTCATCAGGGCTGGATCGTTGCATCAATCTGAACCCCGGCACACTCAAAGTCTCCAGCGGAATGATGGCTACAACCGTCGGAGCAATTCTGGGCGCTGTACATCTGGATGGTGGAGATGCAGCCTTGGCTATGGTCATGGATAATCTAGGTCTGACGCATGATCTCCTGGTAATGTCGTTCCTTTCCCCCCTCCGCATTTATTCTCTCTGTTTTTAGAAGTAGTAGTCTTCTTGCTTGTTCAACTCAAAAAAGAATATTGAAATTCATAGGTTCCTTACATGCAGGCTTCTATTGTCCCTTCGCTTGTCGGTGGCACTTAAGTATGCAGAGACAACTTGGATTCGATAACCTTCCACAGTCCCGCCGTCTTCTCTGGACGGGTTGTATTTCAGAGAGGACCGGCGCAGTGTGCAGAACACTATTGGGATCAAGCTGTCTTCATATACTTGGTTATCGCCGAATGGAAAAGGGGCTACAGAAGCCCGTATGTCTCGGTTGACTGCGTGGCTTCTCATACGCGATTTTCGGGGATAACCGTATGCCTGTGTGTTGGTGTTTTGGCCTCTTGTCTAACTACTAGTTCTTTGCTTAGGCTTAGCTAGGTGGGAGACTTGGTCCGGAAGCAATGTTGCTGAGGAGATTTATAACGGAGTGCAGATGGAGCAACAGGATTAGGGGCTGCGTCAGTCAGTTGGGGTTGCTATGAAAAAGGACATGTCCATCAAGATTAGATTAGCTCAAAATTGATGTGTGAATGGTATAACCCTCAAATCGCTTATCATAGTAAAATATGCTTGGATTAGTATGGTTTGAATCGTTTTTCGTCCTTGTACTTCTTTCTCTCTTTCGTTCGAGTATTTGTTTTCTCGAATGAAGGGTCTTGCATCTCCTCGCTCTCTGGCTGCCTCCATGCTCGAATAAATCCGTCTTCGCCACCGGTAAATACCGTCCTTGACTAAATAGAGGTTTATTAGCAAAACAAAGCAAAAGGATATGTAGGTGCAGAGAGAAATGGCATACCTGGTCATCAATATGCACCGCTCGTACAATCTCTTCCCCGTGGGCTCCTGGCAACCGCCACACATTGCTGTAGTCAAAATCCCACTTTGGAGTCGATATAAGGGGGAATAAATCAAGGCGTTTTTCTCTTTTGAAAAAAAAAAGAAAAAAAAAAAAAAAAAGAGCGAAGGTTATTTAAACCGAATCCTAGTAATCTCTGGATGGATAAACTTACGTCGTGTTCCCAGCGGCAAGATACGAACCCTGGCCGTTATCGCTGGTCAAGGTCTGAACGACATATTCGCATCCCAGTAATGGCCTTAAGTCTCCGTATTTGATTGGACTGTATTCGTTCTGTTCTTCAGAGTCTGGATTTGTGATAGGGTGGATAGAGAATGTTTCGTCGTGGCTAAGAGCATAGATGGCTGTCTCGGAAAGGAATCCGGCATGATGGATTGACCCGTGATTGACCACCTGTAGGAGCGCATCGTCTTCGTCTGCTACGTTGATATCGTAGAGATTTACTAGCCCGTCCGTACTTCCGGAGAGCAGGACATTCTTACGAGTAGGGTGGAATTGAAGCTAGACAGAACAATAAGAGAGGGGCTGAAAATTGGAATCGCCGTTTTGATTTGCAGGACTTACCTCTGTCACGTCGTCATTGTGGCTCTCCACATATTGTAAGCGCTTCTGTGCTGGTGCTCGAATGTCCCTAGAATTGGGAAGGTGTCTTTTAGTACATCTAGACATCCTATCGTGCAGATATACAGGACCAACCATAAAGCGACAGTAGCCTGCGAGGATACGAGCTCGGTGCCAGCCACGACGGAGTGTGAGTCGGGGTCACAAGACAGGGACAAAATGGGCGCATGTTTCTCTGTGGCCTGGCTGTTAAATGGGCGGGAAAATAGTTTGACGAGCCATTTAGAATTGACATACCAACCCTCATCTCCACGGCAGGTTTACTGTGCTGGCCAGAGCGCACATCCCACAGTCTGACAGCTCCATCTCGACCGGCAGTGGCCAGTAGATAGGTATCTGTTGTGCTACCATGGAACTCTTTCAAGGCCGTCACGCCATCATGGGCCTTTGCAGATGTGATGGCGAGCGGCTGCAGTGACTGGCCATCGAATAGGCGCAGAGAATCGTCGGATGATATGGCAGCAAAGTGGGATGGCGCGGCGGCAATGGCATAGATGTACGAACCCGAGGGCAGTGACAGGGATGAGGCTGCAGTTTGGTGGAGGACGTGCATGTCATCAACAATAGCGACTGAATCCTATTGATGCACGATGCGGTCTACTTGGCGCGCGGTTCCCTTGGAACTGAATAGCTGGTTTCTTGAGTAGTTGGCGCTGTGCTCGACGAGTTGGTCGAGCTGGTGGCACTCCGCAGCGTACCATGCGAAACAAGACAGCGTTGTGACATCTGATTTGAGGTCTCGAAAATAATCCCAAAGCGGCCTGAAAAAAGCTGGTGTGGGGTTGGGCCGGGCTGCCGGCCAATGAGAGAGCGCCAGTCACGCTGCTGATGCTATTATTGTCTTCGGCTTGAACTTGAACTACATAAACTATAATATCTTGAAGGAGTGCAGAAGAGAAGGGAGCAAAAAAAGGAAAGAAAGAAGAGCTGACTCGCGGCGCTGCTGCAGGTCATAATCTCCCACCTCTGGTAGGTCGACGCGGTGCAGCTAGTGTGGTTCGTATACATGCATACATGCAGTATGCAAAATTTACAAGCAAGACTGGCTGTGACATCAACTGGGCGAATGCTTACCGCCAAGCGATCGACCTGCGCCGCAAAGCCCGCCCAAGTGATACGCAGTCTAGTTAGACGCATGTAACTAGCCTGGTCGAAGTTGACTGCGCCGCAGAATAGCGCGAGGGGTGACCGCAGCGGTGAACCCAGACTCTCGGGTTGCTGGCAGAGGCCAGCAGCCAGTGTGTCCCAGGGGCGTGGTATGGATAGGTATGCTGTCAATCTGGCAGTGCACTACTCCTGCACTGTCTGCCGTATTATTGCTCATTCGTTACTGGTATCCATCTCAGTTGAGGCACAACTACGTGATATATTTTATTATACTATCGATGCGGTTCCCCGGAAAGGAATAGCTGCAGCTTACCGCGGGCCGGGCCCTAATTTTAACAATCCGCATTGATTTGCTGCTTAATTATGGACCCTTCCATTTCATTTATTTCTCGTTTTCGCTCGTCTCGCTCTGCGTTGCTCCAGGACATGTACTAATCCTATGTCTTATTGACTTATATATACGTAACTACTATTGTTGGTTGCTATTACTATTGCTATTGTCATTATTGTGCTTATCATATATATTGCTATGCATATGCAATCCTAGTATATATATACATTTATGCCCTCCCCCCTCCCCCGTTTCTGTCCTCTCCTCTTCTCGTGTCCACCACTCAACCACTTAGCTGCCAGCTACCACACTCGCTAGTCGTCTCTGCTTTGCTTCTCTTTCCTTCTGCTTTGCTCCACGCGCTCTATGCCGCCATGTGGCTGCGTTGCGCTGGAGGAACCCTTGCCTAGTTGATCATTTGAAGTCTAGTGCAAACTCCCCCCGGTTCCTTCGATACGACCTGAACAAAATTTTTGAAACGAGAACAAACCTTTCCCCCCCCCAAACACATGAACTGCTCTGCTTGTGACCGCCCAATCGTGTTTGTCTTGCGAAGAAGCAGTTGAACTGCAGGCACGCTGCAGCCGATCTGAAAAAAGCTGCACACTTTTGCGCGCACACAGTGGACGCCACAATGTTCCCCAATCGACATCCAATTCAACCGCCTGCTATCCCCTCCGCTCCCTCTGCCACAGAAAGTCCTCAATCAACTCAACTTACCTACGCCTCGGCGGATTCTTCGAGGTCGATGCATAATCTGGTCGACGCAGCCAACCCCCACGCTGCAGAATCGGCGCACCATCACCACCCGCCTAATGCACATAATCTGAGGCCTTCTCACTACAAGTAGGTTGCCGTGTCCCCTTCGTTTCTTTCTCCATGCATGTGTCAACGCATCAATCCGACTGGCTAACGAGTGGTTGAATGAAAAATAAATAAAGACTTCCAGAACAACACCCTCGCCACGTGGAGAACGGGCGGACATATCATGGCTACCGAAGAGGAGTGTATATGCTGCCGTGCGACGACGAGGAACAAGATCGCCTCGATTTGTTCCACAAAGTCATCACTGAAGCTCGCGTGGGCGACGGCTTGATATACGCCCCCCACCCTCCGAATGCGCGCGTGCTGGATCTAGGCTGTGGCACAGGAATCTGGGCCATCGACGTTGCCCACCGATATCCCGACGCCTTCGTGGCTGGAATGGACCTCGCCGATATCCAGCCGGAAAACTGCCCGAAAAACTGCGATTTCTACGCCCCGCGCGACTTTGAGTTTCCCTGGGCGCTGGGCGAGGACTATTGGGACTTGATCCATATGCAAATGGGCTGTGGTAGTGTGAGCAGCTGGCCATCCCTGTATCGCCGGATCTTCTCTCATCTGCGGCCTGGCGGGTGGTTCGAGCAGGTGGAAATCGACTTTGAGCCGCGATGCGAAGAGCGCTCGTTGGAGAACACCTCCATGCATAAATGGTACCAGTACCTGAAACAGGCGACCGAGATGTCGGCGAGGCCCATTGCGCATAGTGTCAGCCAGACCATGGCCGCGCTGGAAAAACAGGGGTTCGTGAACATTGACCACCAGATTGTCGGTCTCCCTTTGAATCCGTGGCACCACGACGAGCACGAGAAGAAAGTGGGAAGATGGTATAATCTCGCTATTTCGGAGAGTGTTGAAACTCTCATCCTGGCGCCTTTGTACCGGGTATGGGGTTTTTCACACGAACAGATTCAACAATTGGCCTTGGACGTGAAGAGGGAAGCTTATAATAAGGACATCCGCGCCTACAATATACTGCACATTTACCAAGCGAGGAAACCTGACAAGCCGGCTGGAAATTGAGTATTATATACCGGCAGACATCTAATCACGCCAGTTGCGACTTGTCTGTGTTGACAGATGCCACAGATTCCTCCGGCTCGCTCTTCGCATTTTGCATTCCAAATCAAAGCGGAAAGAAATGATATGCAGTATTCAGAGCGCACTTCAATGCGTAGTGGTATAAAGACAATCCTTGACTGGACGGCACGTATACCATCACTTCTATATCCGCACAATCATCGGACATACACAAACGTGACACCACATTACCCAGAGGGGGAAAAAGAAGAAAAGTGGAAGGAAAACACAGAGAGATAGAGAGAGGAGGAGAAGGAGGAGAAGAAACGAGTGACGACTCTACATTTAAACGGTTTATGGGTTGATTGGCTTAAGGGAAAGGATTGAAAAATGGACGGGTCTAGTTTAGGGCGATGTTTTATTCTTTCATTATTTTCAATTTTTTTTCTTTGTGTTGCATTGTGCTAGCGACGAGTATTTTAATTAGGTGCTCTGGTTCGGGCTTTGGTTTCTGGCTTGGTTCTGGTTCGGCGTTTGGGAGAGAGGGTAAATTTAAAAAGAGAAAATGAGAGAGAACGGGCAAGGAAAATGGAGGGACTATACTATATATATTATATATGACGATTCTTTCACTCCATGTCTTTCATCCTTGAAGAATGTCATCTCTGAACAGGTACATGTAATCAATCATCCATACGCCGGCGATGTGCATCCGGAATCGCTGAAAATCAAGGAGAAAATGATAAAACAAACAAGAATGGTAGGTTGACAGAACAATGAACTTTCAATATCACTTCTTTCTGCCTCTGGCTCTTGAAGAAGACCCGTTCGTTGCGCCTCTACCAGACGCCGCGTTAGGCCCATCATTTGTATTCATCCATTCACGGCCTGCGCCCGGACTTCGTCGCCGCATGGTTCCCGGTCCGACTGCTATGATGTCTTCCTCGCTTTCACTGTCTGAAAGATCAAGTAGGATGGGCATGCGGAAGGAATCAACATCCATTTCACCCGCGCCGTCTGTGTGCTCAATCGTGAGCACATCGGGCGTCTCGTCTTCCTTGTCTAGTCGTTGTTGGTGTACTTCTTCCGCGGGGTGAATGTCGTATTCGTCTTCTCTCTCGACATAAACAACGTTTTCCTCAACCTCGGCAAAGTCTGGTGCCAGAGCTGACCATTTCTGTGGTGTTATTATGGACCACATGTAAATAGATCCGGATTCCAATCCACACGACATGATCATAGGTCGCGATGGGTGCCATTCCACAACGCCCATTTCTTCGCGCGGCCCTTCCAAGATTTTGACTAAGGAGCCATGGCTCCGTTCCCAAATGTAGATGTCTGGATTCATATACGTCGATGCCATGATGAATTCTCCTGTCGATGAAAATGCCACATGGTTCCAGCTTAGCCGATTGACAACGTCCTGGAATTTATGTTCAAGATCCAGCTTGATGTTGGACACATCCAGACCCATTCCTAGTTGCGAGAGGTCCGACATCATAACCGTTCGAATTACTCGGTCTGAACTGTTAACGAGCAGGTCGCGCCCGTTACTCGCCAGCCGAATGAGAATAATGACACCATTGCAAAGTCGGGTTGAGTGTATTGTCTTGCATGTCTGCGTTTCAATTATATTGATCCATCCCTTCGACGTCCCCGCAATGATGTGATTTCCTAAAGCCGTGAATATAGTAACGCAGGTAGATTGCTTTGCATCTTGTGCAGCTTGCTTAGCTGCCGCAGCTGGGTCGACCCCATCCTGCGACCGAAGAGGAACCGATGGTAGAATGTGCTTGATAGGTTTTGCATTTGATATATCGACGAGGACCGGTTGTTCTTCGAATAAGGAAGCGACGAATAAGAGACTTGAATCCAACCGTCAGCCAAGACAAAGCGACATCAAAAACTGGTATCGCCACTCACTGGTTGAAAGGGTGTAATTCAGCAATGTATACTGGAGCTGCAAACCGGACCATTCGCACCCGCGAGCCATCCTTCAAGTCCCACAATATACATTTCCAATCTTGTGAGGCGCTCAACAAATATCTGCCGTCTCTCGACCAGCTACAAAAGAGTTAGCGACTTGCTGTATAAGCGCATGTCTCTGCAGGTTATACCAGGTGGTGTAATGTACCTAAGCGACTGAATTTGTCTTGTGTGTCCTCGTAGTTTGCGCGCAACTCCGTTCGTCTCTAGATCAAAAATAATGACTGTCCCGTCCACCTGAAGCAAATCAGCCTCTTGTTTTGTCCGATTGGGTCACCATATCGTCGCTTACCCTTCCTGCAGCGAGGTAGTCTCCCTTGCGACTGAACCGTAAGCATGAAGCATGGCCGCTTTCTGATCTTAAGCATTAGCATAATATCCCCCACTGCGCGCTAGATTGAAAGCCATCGACATACGCAATTTCCCGGTCAGGGTGTCTGGATAGTCCTGTGCGAGGGCGAAAGGGTCGACGAGTGATAGATTCATGGTAGACGGTTAATCAAGTGCAGTCGCGATTCCTGCCTGGTTGCGATCCAGGAGGTGCCAGCAATGCCTCACTCATTTATCATACTTCTGACGTAGAACCTGCTTCTTCGCCAATCAAGGAAAGTCAGATGAGAGAGACTGAAGTGTGAAGTCAGTTCTTTGAGAGATGAGAGAGAACAATAAAGTAATGAAAAAAACGGGGCTTGCCGCAGAATCGCATGCCAAGACCAACTCGCAGATGATTGGTCAGCGGCTAGCGGCTCCCAAGAAAACTCGAGCTAACGTCCCTGCCCGGACGCAGAGAAGGCGACTGCAAACCTTCGATTCTTCATCAACGCGACAACGCACCTGCCCATCACTAGCCATCGCGGAGTATTGCGTTTCGATCTGGGTTTTCGGTAAGGAACATCAGGGACGTCTCTTTCTGCGGCTGTTTGCCTCCCTACCCCCCGAAATTGTCGAGTTTCGCTGCGTCCCGTTGTCTAGGTGAACGGCGCCCTCGTGGCAAGGGCTGCCAAAGTCCTCACCGGCAGGCCGCTCAGTTTCTCTACTAACTGTCGCTCACTGTCGCGTTGCACTTATTATCTACGCCAAGTTCCTGCAAAGTGCTTTCGGCAGAGCTTTCAGGCGCGCCGTCGACAGCTGATACCACGTTCTCTTACCGAACCGTCACAACCGTCTCCGTGATTAACGTCAAGGACCCCAACCATGTCGAACGTTTACTTCCCCTACTCCAAGGCGCCTTTGCGCACAATAAAGGAGATTCAGTTTGGCCTCTTGTCACCTGAGGAAATCAAACGCATGAGTGTGGTCCATGTCGAATATCCTGAGACTATGGTAAGGCGGCATTTCTTCTGGTTGCCAGATGGACATTAAAAAGATGTTAAACTTTTATCCTCTTTAAATTAGGACGAGCAGAGAATGCGACCACGGACCAAAGGACCGAATGATCCAAGGCTTGGTACTCTCGATCGCCAATATTATTGCGAGACTTGTGAAGAGGGCCAGAAAGAGTGTCCAGGACACTATGGTCATATCGAGCTGGCGACCCCAGTTTTCCATATCGGTATGATTACATATATATCTTGGTCATACGAGCCCGGGCTAATTCAGACAGGTTTCATCACGAAGACGAAAAAGTTGCTGGAGACAGTTTGCCATAACTGTGGGAAAATCAAAGCAGATATGGTGAGTTTCAGGAATGAAGTTGTTTTTTTTCCCGCAAATGCATTTGTATATTAACGTATGCTTTTCTACCTCTTCCAGAGCGACTCGAAGTTTCAAGACGCATTACGTATTCGCGATCCTAAACGACGATTTGACTTAATTTGGCGCTTGTCGAAAGATGTCGCTGTTTGTGAGGCTGACCCTCTTCCCGAGGAGGAAGATCCTTTCTCCAAGGAGGCGTCTAAACCCCATAAGGGACATGGTGGCTGCGGTAATGCTCAGCCAACTATTCGCAGGGAAGGCCTCAGTCTTGTGGGAACCTGGAAACCAAATAAGGCGATGATGGAGGATGATATAGATCTTCCACAACCCGAGAAACGAACTATCACTCCTTCCGTGGCTCATAACATTTTTCGCAGTATTTCACAAGAAGACGTCAGAATCATGGGTCTCAGTAATGATTATGCTCGCCCCGAGTGGATGATTCTGACTGTTCTCATCGTTCCTCCACCCGTCGTCCGTCCCAGCGTTGTAAGCGGCAAGAGTACGAGCGGCCAACGTGCTGAAGATGACTTGACTTTCAAGCTTGCAGAAATAATTCGTGCAAATCAGAACCTGCAACGATGCGAACAGGAAGGTGCACCAGAGCATGTTGTTCGAGAATTCGAAGCTTTATTACAATATCATGTCGCTACTTACATGGACAATGATATCGCTGGCCAACCGAAGGCTATGACGAAATCAAACCGACCAGTCAAAGCCATTCGTGGTCGTCTAAAAGGAAAAGAAGGTCGTCTTCGCCAAAACTTGATGGGTAAACGTGTTGATTTCTCGGCTCGTACTGTCATCACTGGTGACCCCAACTTGTCTTTGGATGAAGTTGGTGTACCACGAAGTACCGCCATGATTCTTACCTATCCGGAAGTTGTTACGCCATACAATATTGAGTTTCTCCAAAAGCTTGTCAATAATGGTCCCACAATCTATCCCGGTGCGAGATACATTGTCCGTGACAACGGTGAACGCATAGACTTGCGCATGGCGCGGAAAACGAATTCTAATTTGCTCTACGGGTGGAAGGTCGAGCGTCACATTCTTGACGGTGATGTGATCCTTTTCAACCGTCAGCCGTCGCTTCACAAAGAGTCTATGATGGGTCATCGTGTACGGGTCATGCCTTATTCTACTTTCCGTCTTAACTTGTCGGTCACAACTCCTTACAATGCCGATTTTGACGGTGACGAGATGAACTTGCATGTCCCTCAGAGCGAAGAATCCCGCGCCGAACTTCATGAACTAGCCATGGTACCCTTTAATATTGTGTCGCCTCAACGGAACGGTCCTTTGATGGGTATTGTGCAGGATTCTCTGTGTGGTATCTACAAGATATGTCGGCGTGACGTATTTCTCACCAAAGACCAAGTCATGAATATTATGCTATGGGTTCCTGATTGGGATGGTGTGATTCCTCCGCCAGCAATCCTCAAGCCCAGACCTCGTTGGACCGGAAAGCAAATCATTAGCATGACCTTGCCTCCGGGACTCAACCTTTTGCGTGTCGACAAAGATAAGGCTCCGCTTTCCGAAAAATTCTCTCCATTGGCAGATGGTGGACTTTTGGTACATGGAGGCCAACTCATGTATGGCATGTTCTCGAAGAAGACCGTAGGAGCTTCTGGTGGCGGTATTATTCACACTATCTTCAATGAGTATGGGCCCGAAGTCGCGGTGTCTTTCTTCAATGGCGCACAACGAGTTGTCAACTATTGGCTTCTTCACAATGGGTTTTCTATCGGTATTGGTGATACAATTCCCGATAGGAAGACCATCGAACGAATAGAGATTGCAGTCCGCAACGGAAAAGCAGAGGTTGAACAAATTGTCGCGAGCGCAACTGAAAACACGTTGGAGCCCCTGCCCGGTATGAACATCAGAGAAACATTCGAGAGCAAGGTATCACGTGCCTTGAACAACGCCCGTGAAGAAGCTGGTAGCGAAACTGAAAAGAGCTTGAAGGATCTTAATAATGCCATTCAAATGGCTAGGTCTGGTTCCAAAGGTTCCACTATCAATATCTCGCAGATGACAGCCATTGTTGGACAACAATCCGTTGAAGGAAAGCGTATTCCTTTTGGATTCAAATATCGCACACTTCCCCATTTTACCAAGGACGACTATTCTCCAGAGTCTAGAGGTTTCGTTGAGAATTCTTACCTTCGTGGTTTGACACCTACCGAATTTTTCTTCCACGCTATGGCTGGTCGAGAAGGTCTTATCGACACTGCAGTTAAGACTGCTGAGACTGGTTACATTCAGCGCAAGCTTGTCAAAGCTCTCGAGGAATTAATGGTCAAATACGATGGGACTGTTCGAAACTCCCTTGGCGACATTATCCAGTTCCTTTACGGAGAGGACGGTCTTGATGGTGCTCATATAGAGAACCAGAGGGTAGATATTATTAAATGCTCCGACGCTCAAATGGAGGAACGTTTCCGAATTGATCTTATGGATCCAGAACGAACACTTGGTCCTGAAATCCTTGAACAGGCTGCTGAAATCGAAGGCGACGTCGAAGTTCAGAGGTATCTTGATGAGGAATGGGAGGCTCTTCTCAAAGATCGAGAATTCCTTCGTTCAGTCGCCAAAGGAGACGAAGAGATGATGCAGCTGCCAATTAATGTCCAACGTATCCTTGAATCTGCAAAGACTACATTTCATATCAAGGAAGGTACTATTAGTGATCTTCATCCTGCTGAGGTCATTCCCCAAGTGCAGGCTCTATTGGATCGCTTGGTGGTGGTTCGAGGTGACGATGTGATTTCAAAGGAAGCGCAAACAAGTGCAACCCTCTTATTCAAGGCCCAGCTACGTTCAAGATTGGCCTTCAAGCGACTAGTCACCCAATACTCTATGAACAAACTTGCCTTTAAGCATGTCTTGGGAGCAATTGAAATGCGATTCGCACAGGCACAGGCTAATCCGGGTGAAATGGTTGGTGTGTTGGCTGCTCAATCTATTGGGGAGCCTGCCACACAGATGACCTTGAACACCTTCCACTTTGCTGGTGTTAGCTCCAAGAACGTAACTCTTGGTGTTCCTCGTTTGAAAGAGATTTTGAACGTAGCCACCAATATCAAGACTCCTTCGATGACGGTTTACCAAGAAGAGCACAAGAAGCATGACAAGGAGTCAGCTAAACAATTGCGCAGCGTTGTGGAACATACCAGTCTTCGTTCAGTAACGGAAGCTACCGAAATTTACTATGACCCAGACATTCAGACAACGGTCATTGAGAATGATAGAGATATGGTTGAGTCGTACTTTATCATTCCCGAGGACGTTACAGATGACTCCAGTCGCCAATCCAAGTGGCTTCTGCGTATTGTGCTAAGTCGACCTAAGCTTCTCGATAAGGGACTTACTGTGCAGGATGTTGCTACCAGGATCAAAGAACAGTACCCGAAGGATATTGCAGTCATCTTCAGTGACAACAACGCCGATGAACAAGTCATCCGTATTCGTCAGCTCCATGATGTGAAGGAAGATGAGGACGAGGAAGATATGGAGTATGACGTTACTCTGAAAAAATTAGAACAGCATCTACTAGATACTCTGACTTTACGTGGTGTATCAGGCGTAGAGCGTGCCTTCATCAATGAGAAGGACAATGTTCGCGTTTTAGATGATGGCTCTCTCTTCCTGAGCAAGTCGGATCCACTTTGCAAGGAATGGGTTTTGGAAACAAGTGGTTCGGCGTTGGCAGATGTCCTCACGATTCCAGGTGTTGACGCCAGCCGCACTTATTCCAATCAATTTATTGAAGTGTTCGAAGTGTTTGGCATTGAGGCCGCTCGTTCTGCCCTTCTTCGAGAATTGACGCAGGTGTTGGCTTTCGACGGTTCCTATGTCAACCATCGTCATTTGGCCCTGCTGGTCGACATTATGACGGTGCGCGGCTACCTCACTCCTGTTACACGTCACGGTATCAATCGTGCGGATAATGGTGCTTTGATGAGATGTTCCTTTGAAGAGACCGTCGAAATTCTGCTTGAAGCGGCCGCTTTTGGTGAACTTGATGATTGCCGTGGTGTATCAGAGAATTTGATCCTTGGTCAATTGGCCCCGGCTGGAACGGGAGAGTTTGATGTGTATCTTGATCAGAGCATGCTGAATACGGTGGTTTCGAGCAATACCGGCATTGGCTTGATGGGCGCCCTTGGAGCGAAGGATGCGATGATTAACGATGGAGCTGCAACTCAGTATGACAACAACTCCCCAATGATGGAGAGTGGTTATATTGGCACGCCGGATCCGGACGCGAAGTTTTCTCCGATCCGACAGGCTGGATCAGAGACTCCTGGTGGTTTCACGGCTTATCAACCATCTGGTGGCATCGGGGGGTTCAGTCCGGCACCCCAGAGCCCTGGTGGTTATTCCCCCACCAGCCCGTTCAATACGAGCCCCGTGTCTCCTGGTTATTCTCCGTCTTCCAGTTATTCTCCGGCGTCACCTGGAATGTCCATTACAAGCCCTCGCTATGTGACATCGCCAGGCTTCTCTCCACAGAGCCCCAATTTCCAGCCGACATCGCCTGCTTATTCACCTACGTCTCCCGCTTATGGACAGGCATCACCCACCTCGCCATCGTACTCTCCGACATCGCCACGCTTCTCTCCTTCGTCTCCCAACTACAGTCCATCTTCACCAAATTTCAGTCCGGCTTCTCCTGCGTTTAGTCCCAGTTCCCCGACTTACAGTCCGACCAGCCCGGCAATTGGTGGCAGTAGACAGTTCTCGCCGTCATCCCCAACATCGCCTAAATATTCTCCCGCGTCGCCGGGATGGTCTCCTACAAGCCCTGAGATTTACTCTCCCACGTCTCCCAATATACACGGATCGCCGACGTCACCTGTCCGCGGCGCAACTTCACCTAGCTACAGCCCGACTTCGCCGCAGTACAACCCGACGTAAGTCAATTGTTTAGTATCTAATCATATGCATATACTGACACATCTTCCTAGGTCCCCACGCCAGTAGATTGGGAGTGCTAATACGGGCAACTCTCGCAAGTCGACTTGCTGTATTACTACTGTCATTTTTTTTTTTTACATAAAACCCGAGAAATTAAACATATCGACTTTTACGGCTTCAAGTTGCTTGGTTATTTCCTTTCGTCCGACCCATCTTTTTCATCATATTGACTTATTCCCCCTTGCAGTCGGTTTCATTCACTTGAACACTGACTACAATAATATTGTTTCCAAGGTGACAGAGCGATGACAGCTCTCTTCCTTTTCTTCCCCATTTATTCCAGAAAAGTAGACACTACCATTTACTTTTTCCTTCCCCGAGTTTGAAGATGGTCGCGCATAACAGCATGGAGTTCAGAGATTGCTTTCTGAGATTTTCCCTTTCATTTCTTTATCATGAATGATCACCACCACCACCAACAAATACAGATGTGAGAATCATGAACCTGTAATTTTTGTCTCTATCTTGATTTTATGTACACAGCTGCTTGCAGAGAGCCCCCCCCAAAAAGAATAAAATACATTAGGCCACAAAGAGCTGTAATATCTAAATAATAAGGAATGCCCTGCATGATGCATCGCGTGCCATAAAAAGAGAGGGAAGTAATATATTCTCTACATATTTGCCTGCTACACGAGACGCGGACATTTATTTGGTGGGGAGCGGAAACGCCGCGGACGATCTCCGGCTCACTTTAGAAGTTGGAGCTCCGTTCGTCATAGGTGGCCCGTTGCTTATCACGAGCACAGCTGGACAAGTTGCAACTCCTCTCCCACAGCATCACCGTCATCAAGGACATGGCTGCTCTCTAAGCCGTCGCGCAATGTACTTCTTCTCGAGGCCGAACCGAACGTATTTTGATTGAGAAAGATGAAGCCCTGGGCGCGCTTGATAATATCTTTGGTGTTCCGTGAGTGCTTCGGAGCGAGCGTTTCCGTCAACACGCTGTGATGGTAGTAAGCTAACAGGCGATGTCGACGTAGTTTGGTCGCTGGCGACTCTAGGACTGGGCGAGGGTCAATCTACCGCCGTTTCAATACCCCGACATCGATCTGAGAAACCTGCTTCCGCAGAAGGTTATGCGTCCGGTGAAAAAGATGGCTGGGAGAAGGACGGAGTCGGCAAAGGTAAGAAAGAAAGAACATGCCACCCTATTCAATACAGCTGGCCATTCCCCCGTTTTCTGCTGTCGTGGGAATTTATTTTGTACTGAGAATTTCAATGCGTTGTCACAGAGCTTGTCGATTCTGCATTGCGAAAACTTCGAGCGATCAAGATATCAACATTTGCAACCGAGAAACCCTCCGGGGTGTTTGGATATGCCTTGCACTATGCAAAACGCGCATTTTACCTCTTGTTTATGAACGGGCCATCGCTAGACGAGCAATCTCGGTCGACAATTCGTACAAATCCGGAGCTTGAAGCAGCAGTGCGTGAGTTGCAGATTGCAGCAGAAGGTTCCCAGAATGCGGATGCAATGCTCCTGCTTGCTGATATGAATTTCTACGGCAACTTCTCACACCCACGCAATTTCACAGAGGCATTTCATTGGTATCAAGAATTGGCTTCGTCAACCGGGAATAGCTCGGCGCAATATATGCTCGGATTCATGTACGCAACCGGCATCGGCGACGCTGTTGAGCGTGACCAAGGCAAGGCCCTACTGTATCACACTTTTGCTGCCGAGCAAGGGAATTCCAGGTCGGAGATGACCCTAGCTTTCCGCCATCATGTCGGCATTGGTGCACCACGAGACTGCGATCAAGCGGTGCATTACTATAAGCGAGTTGCCGACAAAGCTATTGATTATATGCGATCCGGTCCTCCCGGCGGTCGTGTCATGCTTCGAGAATCATATCGGTGGGTGGATGACGACGGGGGTGTATATGGAGAGGGCGCAAGCTTTTCAAGCTCGGGACATAACGCTCAAAAGGATGTTGGCCCCGGGAATGCAGAAGCCAACTTGGAGGATATACTTGAATTTCTAGACTTGCTATCTAAAAAGGGTGAATTAAAGGCAACATTTACCTTGGGACGGATGCACTATGAAGGTGCTAGGGCGTTACCTCGCAATTATCGCAAAGCTATGAAATACTTCAAGAACATCACGAGGCGCTACTGGACTAAAGAAGGATCGATTCTTGCTAGCCGTCCCGCGGGGATCGATAAGGTTGCAGCAAAAGCCGCTGGATATATTGGTATGATGTACCTTCGGGGAGAAGGGGTCGAACAAAATTATGCGACTGCCATGATGTGGTTCAAACGTGGTCTGGCGAATGGTGATCCCCAGTGCCAATATGAAATCGGGTTGGCGTACCTACATGGCTACGGTGTCCCTCAGGACTCCTATAAAGCCTCTGAATATTTTAAGGCCGCTGCTGAGCAGGATCTCCCTGAAGCTCAGACAAGGTTCGGTGCGCTTTTTCTTGACCAGGGTGATGTACAAACGGCCACGAAATATTTTCAGCTTGCTGCTCGTTGGGGTTGGATGGAAGCCTTCTACTACCTGGCAGAGATTTCCAACTTTGGCGTCGGCCGAGAAAGACACTGTGGAATGGCTTCTGCATACTATAAGATGGTCGCAGAGAAGGCTGAGGAAGTCCACTCTTCATTCATTGAAGCGAATGAGGCATATGAGAGAGGTGACCGCGAGACAGCCTTAATCGCTGCAATGATGGCCGCTGAACAAGGATATGAAAATGCACAGGCGAATGTTGCCTATCTCCTAGATGAACAACAATCCGTCTTCTCGCTAGACAGGATACTTCCATGGGCGGAAAAGCCGCGTTCATCGCTGCTGCGGAATGCTGCGCTGGCTTTGATTTACTGGACTCGGTCCGCGAGGCAGTCGAATATAGATTCCCTGCTTAAGATGGGAGACTATTACTTGGGAGGCCTTGGTATTCCAGCTGACCCTGAGAAGGCTTCCACGTGCTATCATACTGCGGCTGAAGGCCACCACAGTGCCCAAGCATATTGGAATTTAGGTTGGATGCATGAGAATGGTGTCGCGGTAGAGCAAGACTTCCACATGGCCAAACGCTACTACGATCTGGCCCTTGAAACAAATCGAGAAGCCTATTTTCCAGTGAAACTCAGCTTGATCAAACTTCGTATCCGTCATTTCTGGAATCGCATAACAAATGGCAATGTGAATCCTATCCAGGATGAGAAAGGTTCGTATAGTGAGGTTTCCCTCCTTTCCCACCTCTTTTTGTAGAAATCTCCCTGTTTATTCTCATCACCTGACTTGCTATGTTTAGAAACCAAAGCACCGAGATCTTTCAAGGAATGGATAATTGCGTTCCTTGAAAATGATGAGGAAGAAGCCCAGCACTACGCGCAACTGCTAAGGGAGCGTGAAGAGGAAGAAGAACTACTTGGGACACACCACCACCGCCATACGGACAACGAAGATACAGGCTACTATGACGAACTTGAATTTGATATTGATGAGAGCGCACTGGAGGCTCTCATCATTGCTGCTCTTGCGGCAACGCTGTTGATATTGATATATATCAGACAGCTCCGCAACCGACAGAGAGATAATAATGAAAACGGCGGCAACGGTGGACAGCCAGTTGCTCCGAACCAAAATGGAGGCGTCAATAATAACAATGGCAATGGTCGAGGGCTTTTCCCTCGTCAGGATCAGCCAGAATTTGCACAGTGGGTGGCCGGAGGCGTAGGGCATTGATAATGTCTTGTCATGAATCTTACATAGCTAGCTTACATTGTTATATCTCATTATATCTTGTTGATTTCTCTTCTCTTCTCTGATTCAATAAACGACAGTCGAAGCCTCAGCTCACGTGGTTGTACGATTGATAAGCCGTTGGCGTGTGGTCATGTGCCAAAGCCTCTTCCCCGACCCTCACCTCTAGTCAGACTCATTTACTCTCCTACTGCCATCTATTTCGAAGCATTCAAGAACCGGACAAGCGTTTTCACTAGCATGCTGAATCCCAGAGCCAAACGCCGCCGTCTAGACGAGGAAGCGTCTGCATTGTCGCGTCCATTCAAATCACCATTACGCAAAGAGCACACCACAACTCCAACAAATCGCAATAAAGAAGGGGAAAGAGAAGGAGAAAATGCGCAATACTGCACATCATCCAATCCAGCTTTGAGCCGAATCAAGCCAGTTGTCTCGAACACGGCCACCACCCCTCTTCAGAACTCCAAGACCGGCCGTCTTCAACAGACATCCCGCCATCCCCCGGGATCTGAATCTAAGTCAGATGCCGAAATAGCGGCTCTTAGAAGGAAACGGATCTCTCTTCAATCTCAACTTGCCTCTCTGCGCGCCGAGCTCGAAACTGCTCAGCAGGCTCTAAGAATCGAGGCTAGTCCTAGAGACGAGGAGCTAAAGACTCTCATAGATAAATGGCGAGGAGTAAGTCAAAAGGCTGCTGATGAGTTGTTTGAGGCTGCAAAGGATAAGATTGAGAGGATGGGAGGGGCTGGTGCTTGGAAGGAGAGTGAGAAGGAAAGATTACGGAGGATGCAGATGTGGGAAGATGAGGACTTTTATGGTGATGGGGGAGATGGTTCTGAATGCGATGGTGCAAGCAGGGATGCAAAAGTTCCCGCCACGCTTGCTGGGAAAAAGGGCGGGCAAAAGGAAGCTGGTGACGAAGAGGTCAGTATTAACCTGTATTTTGGGGCATCTGACTGCATACATCCAGTAGGCTCACTGATAGCTCAGAAGTTCACCATGAATATGATGCTCAAGAGCCTGAATATTGAGCCAGAGACTATTGGCTTCGATGAGGTGGAGGAAAGATGGGTGAGCAGTCATAATTAGGACGACCTACATTTATACTACGGGTTATTATCAACGGGGTGAAAACAAGATGATCTACATAGTCAGGAGATTTGTCTAGGATGAATCACATGTAGAATCCATATATGATTTCTCTAGTTTAATGAATGACAGAGCTGGCTACCTAAAAGAATGAACAGAAATGTAGAGGGCAGACAAGCGTAGACATTGCCTTATGGGATGTGTGGTAATGAATAAAGAAAAAGGTTGCAGATAAGAATAACCTGTCTAGCTCAGTCTTTTGTAATGTATTTGTCGAACAATTCTCCAACGACAAAAGCGCTCTTCTTTGGAATTCTCTTCTGGTTGTTCTTATAATCAACGTAAGTGACACCAAATCTGGACTGATATCCTTCAGACCATTCGAAATTGCTAGAAAAGATCAGCACTGTTAACACATACATTTATACTGATGGAACTAGCATGTGTAGCACAACTTACTCCATTAAACTCCAGGCCATATATTTCTTGACATTGACCCCGTCGATAGCAGCAGCGTCGGCCATGGCTCCAACATAGTCCCGGTAATACTGAGCCCGGAACTCATCGTTAACCAATTCCTCTAGGGGCAAATCATTTTCTCCCTTGATGCTGGTGCCATTTTCGGTGACGTAGATCTTCGGGTATCCGTAACGCTCTGAGAGCCATTTCATCAACTTTCTAAACCCTAGAGGATGCGGACGAAGCCATTCGCAATTAGTCTCCGGTCCAATCGAGTTACCGAACTTGTCTTCGAAGAGATGGTCAAGGTTTCCGGCGGTATCGTCTGGGTCGGGTTCTCCTTCTCGATGGCGGATGTAATTGGCGCAATAATGATTCATTCCGTAGAAATCATTGCTACCCTTGATCAGTGAAACCTCGTCGGGTGTAAGAGGTGGAAGACGATCACCCAGTTGCTTCACCATGCTATCTGGATATTTCCCAAGGTAGATCGGATCAGCGAACCAAGATATAGCGAACTCAAGTTTGCGAGTACATGCTTCAATATCCTCAGGGTCTTCCGGATCCCAAGGTTCAGCCCAGTCACCTTTAAAGCAGAAAGCAGAAAAGAAAGTAAGTCTGTAAGCGTAATACGAAAATCATCATCAAGCGCAGAAATGGTCTAACCGTTAAGTGTAATGCCGATTTCTCCTCCCTGTATTTGTTTGAACTCTTTGCGGTAGATATCAACAGCAGTACCGTGCGCCACTAACAGGGAGTGGCCAACGATCCAGGGTTCTCGCGTGCCGTCTCCAACTGGATTCTTCGTACGATCACTTGTCCTCCCTGGTGCATGCTTACCAATATTGTGGCCTAGCACAGAACTACACCAGGGTTCGTTGAAGGTGACCCAGTGCTTAACTTTGTGTCCGAGACTCTGGAAGACAACACGGACATAATTCGTGTAATCAGCTACGAATTCATCCTTGTTCAGAGGACCGCCGTATCTTTTCATCAGCTCATCTGGAAGGTCCCAGTGAAACAAGGTGACAAACGGCTCAATTCCGGCAGCATGGAGATCATCTATAAATTTCGAATAAAATTCCAGTCCTTTCTGGTTGACTGGGTCTTTACGGCCACCCAAGGGGATTATTCGAGGCCTAATATACTTCGTCAGCCGTCATTGGTCAGATATTTGGGGGGGAGGTTGTTTCAAGAGAATAACATTACCAGGACAATGAAAAGCGGTAAAGCTTAGCACCGTATTGCTTTAGTATTGCGATATCTTCGTGCGTACGATGGTACGAGTCGCAGGCCACGTCGCCATTGGTACCGTCTTCTACTTTTCCTGCAGTCTTACTGAAGGTATCCCAGATGGAAGGCAGTCGACCATCCTCGTCATGAGCACCTTCAATTTGGTAGCTGTAGTAATCCAATCGAACATGAGCTGAGAATACAACAGCCGCTTTGACAATCACCAGTTATACAAGGCTTACCTGGCAGTTGCATATCCCCAAATAAAGTCCGGCGGCAACCTGGACTCCGTGACAGCCATTCTGTATCGATGCAATGTATATATTTGTGTGTATGTATGTATTGTCCTTCCAACAGCCTGGGCGCTCTTGTAAACGAAGTGGTACAAGCCAACTATCAAGTCAGGGATAGAAAGGAATATGGAGAGTGCTTCCGAGCGAGAAATAAGAGTCCTTAAATATGCTCGAATCTAGACTGTAAAGCCACTAGCCAAGAGCCAGACTCGTATTCGGCAAGGTCAGACCGATTGAGGTAAGCAACAATCAGCATCGAGGATGGCGATAAGACCATAGAGGTGCTGCGCTGTCTGAGTGGTCGATGCGTGTATAGAATGGTAGATGGGAGAGGCGGGAAGCGATACTCCGCGCAGGTGGAGCGGCTGGCTGTTTGCCTGTTCCCCGCTCTCAGACATGCAGCCAGGAACCCCGGTCCTTGAAACCGACCATTCGCGTCTGCTATATTGATCTGGTTAGCTGAGAGTGACGGGCAGAAGCGCTAGCGTCTGCATCGTCCAGCCACAATATGTGCCGGTGCTGGTGCGCTTACGAAGCTCACTGAGGTGAGACTCCACGATGGGGAGCTGACCGCAGCAGTGGGAACAGTAAGTGTATGACTTCGGTATATATCTGTTGTTGTGCGATATACTTTTGAGCTGGAAGCTTTTTCACGGATTTGAACTTGAATTTGTCCATGCTAGCACAGGATGTTAACGACCTATGCGACAAGTTGAAAGTTACAGGGAAAAAAAAAGATGGACGCAATAAAGAGACAGATCAGAACCCAGAACTTCCCATAAACGCCCTTCGCCTATATTATCCCCGCTAATGCAATGAAGTGTTCTCGTGAACCATGCACCTTGAGCTAAGATAATGACGGAAGTGACCCCTGACGAGCGTCCGCAACGACACCAAAGGAATCCCATCATCATAGCTCCATACCGTCTTCTTCGTCCCCTTCAAGCTCATCCATGTCTTCCGTTAATGAGTTTCCAGTGAGCCGAGGTCGTTTTGATGCCACCGTTCCAGAGCCAAGAGCACCGACCATTTCTAATTCTGGTCCAGCGACAATTCGGCCTTCGGTATCAACAACCTCGCAGAGCTCGATAAGGCTTTGCCGGTTTAATGATTTGAAACCTGCTGTTCGAACAACCCGACCCCAGTTTGCAAGACAAAACTGTGCCGCACGACGACGAAGCCAATCTTCGTTGGTCCTACCAGCTCTCTCCCAAATGATAGCCGCATTCTCAACGTCAAGCTCACGACTCAGTCTGTGGACGCAAAGCAGACGTAGTTTGGGCATATCGTAAAGGTTGGCCATGACGAGCATGCCGGCAACATCGAAAATACTCGAGCAATAATCCGGGTGATCTGAAATACTGTCGCTATACAAATAATACAGAAAGGCGCGGACTACAGAATAGGGTTCCGGTATGTGCATCCTCTTTGTGTGATACTCGGCCATCTGCGCCGAATACAGACGCTTGAAGTGAGGCCATCTGGCTTGTAAAATGATGCGATGAACGTGAATGGGCGCAGAAGTTGTTGCCGTGGGCGAGAGAAATGCTGGGCTGGGCTGAGCCTGTAATGCAGACGGCGAAGTACTTTGACCAGTATCTTCATCTACGGTCTGATCGTCACAGTCGGCTGTGATAATGAAGTCGGTGCCACTACCCGTCTCTGGGGATTGGTCAAAGACAGCTAACAAGTCAGCGCCGAGGCCAGCGTGTTGGGGTGATCCTTGCCGTTCAGATGCAAGAATACGGTTCTGCTCGGACGATTCAGGAAAAAAGTTATTGCCAAGAAGCCCGTACTTTTCAAGGTCGAGGCAGAGGACCTCATTTAGTTGATTGTCATCCCCAGCATTTGTAGAGTTTTCAATGTTGCACCCGAGCAGCCAAGCCTTGGTGCCATCCTCGTTGATGGTGCAGTAGTGCCATCGATACCCTGGTCGGAATACTTCCTGTCCATCAGCAAGCGTCTGCCATCTCAAGGAATCTAGTTCAAGTGACGACAAGTTGCAATCGTAGGGTCGCACCGTTTCTGATGGCGTGATCAAATCTAAAAGTACACCAGAGGAATACGCATGAAAATGGGTTCCAGAAAGTAAAGAGGGAACATGAGGCCCAGAGTGGAATCGAAGCGAAGAGATAGCTCCTGGTGCAGTTGGCTTCCTTCGGACAAAGGACCGGATCTGTACACTCGCTGAGTTGGCTGCATATCCGCCTGACCGACTGGACAATTGCTGTGACGGGCTAAGGGCACCTCCAGGGCTAGGAGTAACACGGCTTAGCGAGCCCGGTGTCTCCTCGATGCCTCGAGCAAGTGACATCTCTAAGGAGGGGCTGCCCTTAAGGTCCAGCCACCACAGATCGGTAGTTCGCTCCATATCTAGACCTAGGCCACCAAATATCCACAGCCGACCACCCCAGACCCAAGCAGTATGGTCGAAACGAGGGGTGAAACTCCACGTTCGAGACCATGTCCAAGTCTTCAAGTCAAGATAACACAAGTCATCCAATATCGAATTACTTTCTCCGGTAACTCCTCCAATAACGAATAACTTATCCTCGTAGATCACGGAAGCATGGCGCGCTCGCCCTCGAGGAACGGGGCCTCGTACGTCAGGTTGCGTCCAAGTGGAGGTTTGGATATCGAGAATAACAATGTCAGATAGATATTCACGATGTTCGTTCTCACCGCCAAAGACGAGTAACTTGGTCCCCTGATAAAGGGAAGCCGTATGCCCTAGTTACGGCCAAAAAAGATTAGTGTGCCATTTCATACCGCCTAAAAGCATTTGCTACTTGTATGGTGTAACGAACCCATGCGAACGCCGGGGATGTCTCCATAATTGTCGACCAGATCCCACATGAGAGTACTTAAATTAAGCCGAAGGACATGATTGTAGACTAATTGGTCAACGTTAGTGCTACAGTACCGAAAATAGGCTGGTGCATGGCTTTATTGTAGACAAGTACTGGAGAACTAAAGGACTGGCTGACTGACCTTCGTCAGTGAATTGGTCAAAGCCTCCAAAGGCATAGATCTGATCATTGCCACAATAAGTGACGGATGCATTTACGAGGCATGCCGGAACATTCCCAAGTGCCCTCTTTATGCTGGGACGATAGTCGGCGCTGCCGCGACGGCCTTTGGCTGGACTGGCCGGCATTAGGTACGTGTTCTGACCCCTAACAGCAGCCACAGAAGGCGAGGAAGATTGGAGCGAACGACGGTGGGATGTCGTAGCGGCAACAGGGTCCCAGAAAGACGTCGACCCACCCTCGTGGAAGTAAGAGAAGCCGGATGCTGAGGCGACGGAAGCGTTGCTAGGCGTGGATGGCGGTTGCCGCGCCATTGGGGCGGGTCCGGAAGTGGATAGTTGTAGGTAGTACGTTGAATGTGCACAAAGGAGGCTTGAATAACATGGAGAAACTTGCGTCTTTCTCGTCAGAGATGAAGCGATTCACACAGGCAGTGAGTTCAATGCAGGAAGCAACAGTTCTGTCCACAGCGACGACGATGGATGGAAAAAAAACTTCAGTCCGTGGGAAGGTGCACCCCGTGGAGCGACGGCGCTAGTCCTAAACGGGGCATATGAAGGCTAAAGGCGCTAAGCCGGTACGCAGCGAGGCACTAGCCGTTTCGGGGTTAGGGTATCTCTGCCCGTTGCTATGGGTACTTGCTGGGACGTCATTATTTACTTGGGTCTCTCGATATAAATCCCTGACCTCTTTCTCATACTACTCTCTGCATTGCTCACTTTCTTTTTAACCCTTTTATTTGCTGCATTGCATACTTTGCATCTCCCTTCGTGCATGACCTACTCATCCCAGAAGCTATCTTGGAAGTACATTTATCGATCGCTCACCCCTCACGAGTTGATCAACGATGGCTACTGCCTCCGTCTCAACGCCTTTGAAGACCCATCGTGGCATTTTCTCGACAAAGACCGCTGGCGGTCGATTGCCTCTAACTCCTTCTCCTCGCACAAGGACAGCTAGCAATGCCGATCTGAACTCGTCACCTTTCACTCCCCCGCGTGAAGCCCTGGATGGCGCTACGGGAACTCAGCAGTCGGTCTACGGTGGAGGGAGTCTTGCCTCACATTTTGCCAAATCGGTCTCAAAGTCCCGTGCCTACAGGGAATCGCCCAAGTCCAACATTGCTCGCACACGCAAATCGCCAAAGCACCTAGAACTGGGGGTCTCTGACTGGAGTCTGACGGGTACTGGTCCGTCCTCTGGCCACACGCCTTCTAAAGAACGCTCTCGTAAAGACCTGGGCCGGCCTCGTACAACCAAAATTACTACATCGAAACATGGCACCACATCAAAAACAACAATTCGCATCCCACACACTGCTGGCGATCGTTTTATTCCTAATCGAATGGCCAGTGAAGGACTGACAACTGTTGGTGCTGCCAAGCCTGAAGAAGGGCAACGACCTAAGACGAGTGGCAGTGACGGGTCTGCGGTTCTAGCCAACGCTGCTAGTGCATTTGATATCGGAGGCCGTGGATCGGATGACGATTTGACCGCTGCTCTTGAAAACCTGGGGCTTGATGACAATGAATCGTCAAGTACCTACTCACGACCTGCTCCTGACGCTGTGGCTTATGAGTCGTCGTTAGCCAATGCCTGTGGTGTCAAGCTCAACACACGTATCCTAGCATATAAGCCTCCCCCACCAGAGTCTTCGAAGCCGATTGATCTGCGAGCCCAGTATAACCGTCCACTCAAGCCAAGTGCCGCTCAATCCGCGCAATTTCGCCGCCGAGTTCAAACTGCCCCAGAACGTGTATTGGACGCCCCGGGACTACTTGATGACTACTACCTCAATCTTCTTGACTGGAGTTCTGGCAACCAAGTTGCCATTGGATTGGAACGCAACGTCTATGTCTGGTCAGCTGATACTGGCTCAGTTGACTGTCTTTTAGAAACTTCCCCTGATACATATGTCAGTAGTGTCAAGTGGAGTGGTGATGGAGCTTATGTGGGTGTTGGTTTGGGGACTGGTGAAGTTCAAATCTGGGATGTTGAGGAAGGCACCAAACTGCGCAGCATGTACGGACATGACACCCGCGTAGGAGTGATGGGATGGTCCAAACATACACTATCCACTGGTGCTAGGAGTGGGCTTGTTTTTAACCACGATGTGCGCATTGCCCAACACAAGGTTGCAGAGCTTGTCTCTCACACCTCTGAAGTTTGCGGCTTGGAATGGCGATCAGATGGAGCACAGCTAGCCACTGGAGGGAATGACAACCTCGTTAACATCTGGGACGCACGGTCACTCAGTGCCCCCAAATTCACCAAGACCAATCATCGTGCCGCCGTCAAGGCATTGAGCTGGTGCCCATGGCAGCTCAACTTGCTCGCAACTGGTGGTGGTTCCTATGACCGTCACATCCACTTTTGGAACACCACGACTGGCGCTCGTACAAACAGCATCGACACCGGATCGCAGGTTACCAGCCTGCAGTGGAGCAATCACTACCGAGAGATCGTTAGTTCCAGTGGATTCCCTGACAACTCACTGAGCATCTGGAGCTACCCGACTTTGGTGCGTAACGTTGAAATCCCTGCTCACGAAACTCGCGTTCTCCACAGCTGTTTGAGCCCGGATGGTCAAATGCTTGCGACCGCCGCTGCCGACGAGAGCTTGAAGTTCTGGAAGGTCTTTGAGCGCAAACCTGGTACAAGTGCTGCAGCTGCTCGTGAAGGTGGTGTAGGTGGCAAGGCTCGCATGGCCAAATCCATGACCATTCGATAAATTCGTACAAGCTGATAGCATAGGGGGAAGTAATCTTACGGAGTTCTGGAATCATTTGCGGGGTGTTTTTGGTACATATTATATTTGGGAACGGTTTGTGGTTATTTTTCTTAATGAAAACTTTTGTCACTTTGGCGTTCTCTTGCTTGGTTTGCTTGATATTATTTCTATGCGCGTTTAATACATCCTTCTACACGTATCGCGACAGGCAAGCAAGTGACAACGACGCCCATCTACCTAGACTATAAAGAGTTATTAAGATTGATTGCTTTTCTTTGGGACAGAATAGCCAATGCGGTCTATAAGAACGGAGAAGTATATTTTATGTCTGCATGTGAATAATCCCGGCTGCAATGCCAAGACTACGGTGATGACTAAGCCTGAGGTTATCAATGATTTCTCCCGGGCATACCAAACCTGCCTCACTCAACAATCAGCATTACCGCAGAGATCCGCTTCGTTGCCCGCTCTACAGACCGGATATATTCCTACCGACTCTTCGTCTGATAGAAAGAAACACCGGCTTGGTTTATTACATCAGTCTAAACGGGCTCCCTGAAGCCCTGCGACTGTAACTGCGAAGACACTTCTTAGTCGGCCCTCGGATACACCTGACCCAGCCTCACTGGCAAGCAAGCCTAGAAGTACTCACAACCCCCAAGCCAGGGAACAACCCTCGTATCTACTACTCCAGTTACTGCAAGAAATACTCATTGGGAGAGGGATTTAGAACCGCCATGGCCAACCAGCAAGTGGTAAGTGAGCTCAGATGATCACTGGCTTTGCACTCGCTTCAGAACGACTGGCGAGCGTGATCCCTAGCCCACTTCTTCTTCCCTGCCATGGCATTTTCTTAACCGTCGTGATTATGGACTCACACTCTGTGTTGCATAGGGCATGGTCTATGACCGTGTCATCCAGGAGGTGTGCGAAGCATCGCGAGTCGACTTTGAGGAAGGCGGAGTCGACCAACAGACTCTGGAAGAGATGAAAACCGTTAGTATCCCGCTTCTTTTTGCCGTCTTCCCTTGTTTCTTCACCTATTCTCTCCCATGCTGTGACCTCCCTTGTTGTCGTTCCCATCAAGGCAGGCAGCCGGCCGGTGGCAAAAGCGGGGTTTCGGGAACAGTTGGGGGAAACGGGCTGCTTAAGGGGAGTCATTTTATACCCGCGCGAAACCCCTGCGCCGCTAAGACTCGCTTCTAGCCCACCATAGCCATCGAGCCTGGCCAATCACACCCCGCCATGCTTCCACCACAACTTTGTTGAACTTGACTGACATGCTATATATACGTTTTGCAGAGCTGGCAGCAAAAGCTGTCTCTTCTCGGAGTCGCCCATTTTCCTTGGGATCCTCCACTCAAGCAGAGCCCACCGCCGGTGCAGCCTCCTAATCCAATCCTTCCTCCGCCTGCCACAGTGCCTTCCAACGTTCCACGTCAGACCCATCCACCGGCGCAACCATCGTCGACACTTCCACCTCAAGCACCCGTTCCAGATACTCTGTCCTCTACCCCCAATATCCCTGGCCCGGCCATCAAAATCGAGCCAGGAATCAATGGCCAAAGTACCAGTGCGGCGCCCCCGGGGCTACTTGATGCTCAGGCCCTTGCTCGCGAACGTGCCATGAATAACATGCATTCGAAGTACGGAGCAGCAGCGGCCAATTCAGTTAGCCAGTTGCAAGCCCAGAGCCAAGCAGCTCTCTCTTTGCCGGGACAGCAACGGCCTCCGAACGGCCTCGCCTCTCATAGCGTCGCTCAAGATGCCATGAAGCCTGTTCAGCAACCATATCCACGGATAGCGCCGCCTCAACGAGCTCCATACCAACCACCACAAACCGATGGTGCCAATGATGCCAACGATGCGCTTGCCGAATGGAAAGCAGAAGTTGCCCGCAGACGCGAATATGCCAAACGCCAAAATGGCGACGCCGACCGACTGTTAATGACACAATTAAGACTTGATGCGTTACGCCTCGAAGGCGGCGGTCTCATGCTCCCGCTTGATGAGCATTCCTCTTCCAAGTTAATGAGACGGATCCCTTCGGATCAGAATACACTTTCTGCGCAGACTGACGGCCCTGCTGATGACGAGGATGAGGATGCCATCAACTCCGACCTCGACGACCCGGATGATCTTGTTAACGAGGATCCAGAAGGGGACGAGGCTGTTGGACAGGTGATGCTCTGCACTTATGACAAAGTCCAGCGGGTAAAAAATAAGTGGAAGTGTACATTGAAAGACGGCATCCTCTCCACTGGCGGTAAAGAGTAAGTTATCTATTTGCCTAAAAAAGCGAGTAAGAAAAAAAAAACAAACGTTATATCGTTGCTGACTTGATCCACAGATATGTCTTTCACAAGGGACAGGGCGAGTTTGAATGGTAGTAACGCTTTTTCCAGATCCTCTACTACGTTACTTCTCCCTTTTTTTACGCGTTAACCCAATTTACGAATATTTCCAAAAGATGTACACTTATGTTCTGGGGCAGCAGGCGTTTATTATATTGATTTTCTATCCTTGACACCCCAAGTTTGTCTCGTGCTATGTTCCTTGCTACGCGCTGCGAATATCCCTTAAATTGCTTGTCCCCCTCGACGGCTATGTTCCTTTAATCATGCTTATCTTGTCTGCTCTATTTTCTTTTTTTCTTTCTAAAAGCATAGACACGAGCAATTGAGAAATAGTAGTTATGCAAGGACATGTCTAAAGTAATGAAATAAAGTTAAGACTCGATTTATTGGGCTTTTTGAATCAATTTTGATTTCCCCGGGGATATCTACATGAATATTAGAAATTAGAGACATGATTAATTAGGTAATTAATTACAGAGCGTTATTTCTAATAGTAGCTTGCATCTGTAAACGGTGGTATCTGCGATGATGTCAGAGGAGGAGGTTGGAAGAATGCATCCCAGTTCCAAAGAGGATCCATGAAGTCAAGCAATCCAGTCGTCCATTCTAGGGGTGGGGTTGGTGGCGGCGGTACAACATTCATAGGAGTCGTGGCATGCATGAGAGATGTGCTGTTGCTATCGTCGTGGGTATCATGAGGATTGTTGCTGTTGTTATTAATGCCATTACTTCCTTGCATGGCGTTCGGTTTATGTGCAGCTATATTATTTGTCGAAGACGAAGAAGTCGTCGTATAATTTCTGTCGATCTTTCCGGTCGTCTTTTCAAGAATTGCAGTCTCTTTCTTCTTCTTTTCCGCCATTGACCGCACAAGTAATTTGGCCGTACTCATTGCTTCGTCTGCAAGATGCGTTTTCAAATGTTTCGCAATCGTCTCGAGCGTTTCCATTGCCTCTGGTATCTCGGCCAGACTCTCACTGCTGTCGATGGCAAGCAGAACGCAGATATATTGGAATACTGTGCCGACAGTATTCCACCAGGGATGATTTCGCAAAATCAGGATTCGTGCGGCTGGTAAAGCAGCTTTGCCTGCCTGGATGATCTGTGTGAGCTGCTCTTGTCGGATTCCGAGGTCAAGAAGGCGAAGACGACGGTAGATGCAGAAGCACAGGTCGCCTTTGATGAGGCTGAAGAATTCGTGGTCTGTTGGGGTGGCAATGAGGTTTCTAAGAGCAAGACTGAGTTCCCCCTTCCGAGCCGCTTGGTCCTGACTATCTTTGTTGTCGTCATCTGATGGGAGAGTATTCACTAGCGCGTTGAGTTGGAGCGTGAAGTCTCCGCTACGCTTGGTGATGTGGTGCTCCGAAACAGGACCCATGTCGGCCATTGACCGGCCGTGTTCGTAGGATATAATGATATGCAGACAGCGCGCAACCATGGCGACACGAGCTAGTATATCTTTTGATCCATTAGGTGGCCGGTTCATTATCGAATTGATTTCAGGAGGAGCTTCAAGCTCTCTGTAGATGCCAATCGCTTCAATAAAATGCATGGTGGTACAACTGTATAGCCATGCTGAGCCGGGCCGCGACGTCGAGCGAATATATATAGTTCGTAGTATACAGGCTGAAATTGTTTCAAGCCGTGGGAACCTGAGAGTATGGGGATCATCTAAGATGTCTTTTGCATGCTGGATTATCCTCAACTCTCGACCCTCGCAGAGCAACTTCGAAAACAAGGATGCAAGACCTATTACACCGCTGATCAAGGCCTCGAAGTTCGAGTCCTGCTTCCTTTCATGCCAGTGATCATGGCTCCTTTGACGCAGGTCGTCGATGTCGACAAATCCGAAGACCGGGTTGATAACAGAGGCATAGATATCCAGCGAATCGTGCACTTCAGCCCAGGTGATGTACTTTTGAAGATCAAAAGTGACGGAATAAGGCAGCTCCCTTCTGATGCCTGTATTATACGCAAATGAGTGTACCCTTGGAGGATTGATGGATTGCAGGTTTTTTCCGACCCATTGCGGGAATGCCACTGAGGAGTGTTTACTCATGTATCTGAATTTGGAAGGCACTAGTACGCCGCGGTCTTTGTGGCTAGTAGGCTCATCGCTGAGTACATGCAGTGCACCTGGTGGCGTCGGCCTGGATCTGTGAGAAGTACTAGTAGCTGGCGACGTTGCTGGCTCGTCCAAGCCTGCCGTCAAGGCTTTGCGCTTGCTGTTGCCCGTAGTGGAAGTACTCGTGGTTTGCTGCGATGCCTGGGCAATCGCAGAGCTACTGCTGCTCTCCGGATGGACATTGCCACTGTACTGGCATTCATAGCCATATCCAGTACAGGTAGAACATGGAAATGTGCCGTCACATTTCCGTTTACGTTGGCGACATGGAGCGCAGGCGTATCTTGAGCGTTGTCGCATATAGCCCGACGGCGCGATGGTCGGCGCCGACGAGTCTCCGCCCGCCATTCTCCGTTTATATGTATGGATGTTTCAGAAGGGCCTTTTTTTAGAAGACAAAAGAAAAATCCATGACAGAAACTAGGAGTATTGCAAGAGTTGAACGACTGCATCACGCATTGAAGTTGGAAACGATAAACTCCGATGCCGCTTTAAGGAGCCGGAGGTAAATCACGGGACTGCCAAGCTGTCCACCAATGATCGTCGTTACAGTTGATGAATGGAAAAGAGAGGAAAAACACTCTCATGGCCCCCAAGTAAATCCCAAAATAATTCAGATAAGAACAAAAAACCAATCCCCCTTACGAGCGCTCGTTCGAGGAGTCAAGAGGTAGAGTACAGCAACCAACTATACCCAAGTAGGTGTAGCGCGTTCTAACCGCTTTGGTATCTAGTGTGTTTATCGAATTATATACACCCAGGAGAGGTGATACTCTTTTGAACATCTCTAGTATATCGTCTTTTCTGCACAAGGATGTTAAAATAAGCTTTAGGGTATGCTATGTACAGCATTTGAGAAGCTGGCACGATCTTCCGATTGGCCGCTGCCATATAAAATGTAAAATCCTATGTTCCAACCCTTCAGCCTCTTGTACCTAGGTATTCCTCTTTCGCCTACAGAAACGTGAAATAAATTTCTGCCTGTAAATCAAAGATAAGCAGCGTTTTTGCAGGCAGCTTTCATACATGGTTAAGGTGTCACGTATTGGTTGAAGTCCTATTCTTAGATTCGAGGAAGGTGTGACAAAGTCTCTGTCGGAGCGTAGGTCTACATTCTCGTGGTAAGCTTTAGCAAATTCTGGAATCTTTGCATATGCCACTAGGGTTTCTCGACGCTTGGCGGAAAGAATCACTTTGTTAGTAACATCTGAGATGGGATGCGTGAAGGGCAGACCTACAATCTCTTCTGTCGCTTCATGGACTAGGTTGATGAACTCAACGAAAATAAGAGAAGAACAGAAGCACCAACGCCCCTTACGTTCCCTCTTTCAACGACTTAGGCACAGATACGACGAATCAGAATAGCAATATTAGCTCTGTATCCATGCCAGTTAGCAAGCTCCATACACTCAAAGTAGAAAATCCCAGCAGGCACTTACAGCTGTCCCATTTTCTCAGCCACAGATGGCAAGTCTCCTTTCTGAGAAAATTTGTGTTCCCGTGACAGCCAATCCCTGATCCTGCGAAACCTCGACACCTCAGAGTCCGCGTGGCTCATTAGCATGGCCAAATGCGACAATGGGCGACAGCTAATTGAGCTGGAGACGGTCAGTACATTCGACTCGTGTGGGCTGGGCATATAGTAGTAGCCTCCTTTGGGGGAATATTGTGGGTCGGCCAAAGTCATCATCGCATCCATCAAGCAGCGGCCGACATTTTGGCCTCTGTTGAAATGCCAAATCATTATTTCCAACTGAGCAGTGCCTGAGACAGAGGGCTGCCCGCCCAAGAAATTGGTTAGTCGAACGTACCCCAACATCTTGCGCCCGGAATTTTGCGACCTCTCTACATCTATTGCAACTATAAAGGGAAGTTCCTCCTTGCGCGATTCGTCGATGCATTGGCGCATGTCATCTACGGCAATTGGTTTGGTGTCGAGGCATTGGAAAGTGCCGCGTACGTAAGAATTGTATAAATTTATCAATTCCTCGGCGTCCATATGTGTAGCGTGACGAAGAAGAAGGGTAACACCCGGTTTGATGCAGCGAGAACCCCCTTTGGAGACTAGAGCTGAAATCCTTTCTTCTGCTCTCTTGACACGCAAAGAGCGTTCCACTAGGTAAGAGTCAGTGCTTTCGTTGTCTGTGGCTTGACTTTCTTTCGATGACAACTTCACAACAGAACGAGTCTCTAGCTCTTTGAAATGAGTGTCTCCGCCTTGGAAATCCTCCTTGGCCATTTCCGTTGTGCGCTGCTCAGGGTTGGCCGTGTCGACCCAAGCTCGCATTCGCTCCTCGAACGCAATGTCCTGCAGGTCCCACGAAGAGAGGAGGTAGGATTCATCCGATTTGGAAAATATGCGTTGCTGTTCTTCCTCTTGTACTTTTGCAATGGACAGCGTCAAGTTTTGTACGGATAATGGAAGCCACGGCTTGTCCACATTGTCCGGTGATTTGATATCATTCGCCTCGTCTAGAATCAAAGAGCGATCTGTATGAGGCGCCAACTGCAGGTAATTCGACGAGTCCGGCATTATGTCCGCTGTCAACACGGATCCCTTGTCCTGGTCAGCTTGCGATCCATCATTTCGCTTGCTATCTATGGGGCTGCTCCAGATTGCAAAGGCCGCTCTGTAAGCGTCAGCCAGCTTGATTTTCTCGCCGGCGCCAACTAGAAAAGACACCAAAATACTTTTCAGCATAGTGTATCTCTCATAAGTAGGAAAGTACTAACCCTCTTCTTTGGGATTCATTGTAGCCTCTCGTTTTCGGATGATCTTTTGGTTTTCGTCTCAGCCAGCAGTAGACTTTGAGACCTCGCAAGTGTGCAAAGTACAGTCGAGTCGCCCTGTATTACCTCGAGACTCCAAGTAAAGAGAGTAGCCAAAGGAATAGCTAGGAGATGTGCAGGGAAGTGAATTGTAGTGAGCCCTGAAAGGGGGAAGAAGTGAGAAGAGTGAGGGGGATACCCAAACATCTAGGCATAAACATTCTATTGGCGTGTGGCGTCACATCGGATGTTCACTGTGGTGAAGCTGTTGGCTGTGGTGGTTGCTGGCTGCCTTTGTTCAAGTTGGAAGGCGCGCCTGCCCCATTTCACTTCCTACACACAACTTTGCCTCTCCCAGCTTCCCATGGCTGCTTAGCTTCTCACACCGCAAAGATGCTTTCTATTTTGCGCAAAGCCAAATTAAAAGACAAGGAGATGAGGATATTGATGCTGTGAGCCAGTCTTTTCTATTGCGAGCGTGTGCGCGCGCGCGAGAGAGGAGAGCTAACCTGCAAATCCCCCACCAAGTGGACTGGATAACGCCGGCAAAACCACCATTGTGAAGCAGATTATGAACGAAGATGTCACAACAGTCAGTCCAACGCTTGGATTCATCATCAAAACCATTGATTTTGAAGGGTAGCACATCTGGACCCAGATAGCAAGACCACGGTGCTAATGTTGATGTGGCAGATACAAGCTGAATATCTGTAATGCAAACCCTCCCTTCCGCCTCGGTACAATATGTGTGGCCGACCATCAATTACTAAGAAAGTTCGTCAGGGGATGTCGGTGGGCAAAAAACGCTGCGTTCATATTGGAGAAATTACTTCGAAAAGACCGATGCTTTGGTTTGGGTGGTGGACGCGACGGATCGTCTTCGCATCGATGATTGCCGAGAGGAGCTGGCGGGCCTGCTGCTCGAGGAGGCAAGTTTCTTCCCTGGTCCCTCTTCTGGTCGCCATTGTCGTATATGCATATTTATCTACATCTATTCTCGTAGTCGTTATTCGGTTTCGGGGTTCCCTCCTCGGCTAACTTGTGAATAGCGTTTAACGGGCGCAAGCTTGCTCATTTTTCTAAACAAGACCGACGTCGGTGGCTGCATGACCGAGGAAGAAATCCGCCAGGTTCGCATTGAGAGTTCCCAGTTATTCCGAGGGCAACACGATCTGATTCTTCTGTGATACGTATAGGGACTCCAGTTAGACGCGATTAGGACACATAAATGGGTGATATTCCCATGCAGTGCCATGACGGGCAAGAATCTCCACGAAGGGCTGAATTGGGTGGTCCAAGACGCAAAGGACCGACTGTTCTTATACTGAGGTAGCTTCCTTACTCTTAGATATACATATTAATTGTGTAAACTAATGTATATTCATCCTAGTATAGTCGATTTACTTGTTATATGAGCCATCCATGCATGTCTGCATAGACTAGGAATGCTGCATGCACGGACTATCAGAACATTAGCTATGAAAGCTGTCAGTCACCCCTTTCATCCAAGACACTGGCACATTCCATTCACTGAGCCATGTGAGGACCCTATTATGCCGGACAAAGACACTCGTACTCCGTACAAAGCATCATGATTCCGGATACGTAATTTGTTTGTGGGCGATGGAAATTGAAAATGGAAATCGTAATCGATCGACCCAGGGATGCGAGACTCAAGGGGCCCAACCAAAGGCCGTTCTTCTCCACAGCCGCAAAGAGCAATTCGAAAACAAATTCGCACGCCACCAACGTTGCTCTCGTCCGGAGTTGAGACGCCAACCTTAGACGAGGAAGGCCGAGACGAATCTTCAATCCAATATAGAAAGGACTACCTAGGTACTCCGTAAATGCCCAACGTAGACCGAGCTGGAGCAGGGCGGATGGATGCATGGATGATCGATCATGTTGGCAGTGGAGCCGCCAACTTTGACCGGAAGAACCACCGGAACGCGTGCATAGAAGAAGAGGCAGACAACAACAATCTCCTCCTGCACCGTATCAGCCCGCGTTTCGTTGCAGACAAACCCGCGCTCTTCCTGCTGCCGTCCTGTCTGGATTGCTTCGGCCGTTCCTGTCTCCCAGCGAGTATATTTGAAACACTGATGGATGGCTGCTGGTAGATGACTTGTTTAGTGCGTCCGTTGTGACTTGTCGTTCTGTCTAGCAGAGATAGCGTGCCCCGACCCGATCTTAAGGCTCCCCTCCCTCCCCAACATCCTGCCTGTTGTTTCCCTCCGTTTCAGCCAGTGCACGAATAAACATGGACGGCGGTTCGGAGGACGTGAACGAGTTTCTCCTTCGCATCCGGGAGTTGGGCGACAAGCGAGTGAAGGAGGATGAAGAGCGGACGCGCAAGTTGGAGGAGGAAATCTTGCAGGGCCGGAAAGAGAGGCAGGCGCGGCGAGCTGGTAAGCCCACAGCCCACCAGGCGGCTGCCGACCCTCCAGTTTCTCTCTTCACCATCATGCATCATTGGCCGTGGCTAACCATTCGTCCTGTCGTTCTTTCTTTCCAGAACGAGCTCGCTCGATTTCGCCCACCAAAGACTTCGCCTCGCCCGTAACGCCAACCTCTGCGTTGGCCAGCCACAAGTCATTCCCTCTTCTGCCCCCGCAGGTCTTGCAACCGTCGGGCAATTCATTTGAGCAAGACGCGCTGTCCTCTCTGAAGGCGTACTGTGAAGAACCGCATCACGAGTCTGGCAGGAGCATCCCTTCAACTCCTCCCAGGCAGCCAGAATTGTCAAGCGTCACCAAAGAAAGTGCAGAGGAATTGAAGGAACACGCCGCCCCCGAGAAGACTCCATTGACACCACAAGAGACAATGGACACGGTCGATGACACGATGCCATTAGAAGAGGACGTAACGCCTTCGCGCTCTCAGATCTCACAAGCGCTTTCCTCTAAAGACCCAACTTGGTTTCGACAGACCGCTGACCGTGAGAAGTCTTCTTTGGCTCTACGGAGGAGTGCAGAAAATACAATGTCTGAGACATCTTCTACCGAGGGAAGCTTCAGATTACCTGGTCTGACTCGTGACTCCACAGCTGAGCCTGAAAAGGCCCGCGACTGGGTTGGCGAGGATCGATCACGGTCTCCCTCAAGAGCAAGCTCTACATTCGCTGCTAACAGCAGCATTGGGAATCGCTATTCAAGCGTGTCCTCTGTTTCTACCAGCGGCTTAGGCTCTCCAGTGCCTTTATCTACTCAACGGCTTGATGCCCGAAAGACAGAACAGCAACCATCCAACGATGATCGCGCGCCTTTGTCTCCCAGTCGCACATCACCAGAGCGCTCCGTTTCTCCAACGAAAGGCTTGGGAGGGTTTGTGCAGAGCGCAATGATGAAGCGCTCTGATAGCATATCAAAACGATGGAGCGTGCAATCTCCCGCCAATCTTAGTCGAAGCAATTCAATTGTAAGCAATCGCAGCGGTGTTGGTCGTTCTGCATTTGGAAGCGACATGCTTCCTGATCCAAAACCAATCCGTGAGCATTCGCCTTTGTCGCCGTCGAGACCAGGCTCAAGCCACAGTGAAGCCACAGTTGTCCATCATACGAAAAGCAACGGGGTGAAAGACAATGATCAAGAGAAGATTCAGGGCGATACTAGCTTTACGAAACCCTCCTTACACACCCGCACTCGTTCTAGTGTCTCCAGCGTAAAGACAGGGACCGATGAAGCCATACATGGTGACGTCGAACCTCAGACACCACGAAGCCCCTCCAAGTCAATTGATCAAAAGCGCTGGAGTCCCACTAAATCCTCATGGCTTGAAAGTGCGTTGAATCGACCAGAATCGCCCAGAACGAAGACCACACCGGTCACACAGCAGCCTGCATGGTTGAGGGATCTATCCAAAGCGCGACAGTCCAGAGCCAGTGTTGACCTTGGAAGGCCAGCATCAAGTGGCGAGGCAACACCAAGTGGCTTGATGCGTTCGCCTCAGATCGGAAGCCATTCCAAAAGCCCTAGCGCCTCTCAAATTACCATTTCTAACATCAATGCTACCGTGAGCTCTGCGACAGAGGATAGGGCAACGCCCGACAATGACAAGAACGCCCAGTTGTCCACCTCAGACGTCAAGGATAATATTGAGATAACCCCGAATGACTCCAATGAATCTGTGGCTGCTACGTCTGAAGTCGACAGCAAACCTTCATCTATATCAAAAGCCCCCCCGCCAGCCCTGCCAAATAAACCAAAAACAGTTGCTGTCACTACGGACCACGGCGTATCTCATGCCAAACCCCAGCCAGGAGTGGTAGACTTCAGGTCAAACTTACGACGACGTGAGGCTACTAGTGGCAGTCCTACTCAGGCGGAACCGGAATTCAAGAACGTCTTTGGGAAATTAAGGAAAACAGAAAAATCCAATTACAAGGCGCCAGACGTATTCAAGGACAACATCATGAAGGGAAAAGCAGCCCTAAACGCAACTGGTGGCCCTAAGAAATCTGACAGGGTAGATGAGTTCAGAGAGAGTATACTAAAACAGAAAGATGCGATGAAAGCTGGTGGAGGTTCTATCCGCCGGACGGGTGAAGAGAATGGAAGTATACCATCGAAACCACCAGTCCCTATTCCTGAGGCTCTCTCAAGACGCACTCATCTCACTCGAACGGACAGCACTAAGAGCAATCTGTCGTCCTTTTCTTCTACATCACCAACAAAGTCCTCGGAGTTGGAAGGTCGACCGAGGCCTCTCAGTGTGTCAACTAGCCAAACCGGTGGGAATTCTCCATCTGTCGAGTCATCGCCACAATTGCCCTTGGCTGCTAGTACGATTGAACCAAAGAAACCCTTGAACATGGATCCTAATGCGAGGGAGAGGGAACCAGACTCCGAAGCCAGTTCTCTTCTAGCCGTGTTGACTGAGGAAAATAAGAACAAGGAAACTGGTCCACCGGTTCGTCCCTTGCCATCAAAAGTCTTAGTAGGAGCTAGTACAAAGACTACTGCTGAGCCTAGAGGACTTACTACTAAAGGACATATTGCAGACCGATTAAACCCTGCGCTAGCCGGCATGCTATCTCGTGGTCCGCCGCGCTCAGGAGGAGAAACGGAAAACTCTGCTAATAATATCCTGTCTACCTCATTGCCAACTCCTTCTACGCAGGAACCCGAGCCAAAACCGAGGGCTACGCTGACCCATATGACAAAGGGGCGAGCTAGGGGCCCAAAGAGAAGGCTTCCTGCTTCAAACAAATCCGGACCTAAGCAAGCCAAGGAGGAAGGTGGTCGCTCAAGAACAGAGTTAAATGAAGAGAAAAAATCCGTATCGGAGTCAGTCGAACGGAAGCCCTCGTCTGAAAATGTACGTTCGCCACCAGTGCCTGCAAAGAAACTAGACACACGTCCTGTCCTACCATCAATACCTGATGAACCGGCCGTGGAGCGCCGAAAACCGCTGATACCTTCAAAATCGCCAGATATCCCAAAATCGGTATTGATCTCTCCTGATTCTAAGGCGAGCCCCCTCTCCAAGGAGCAAAGTGTCAGCAACCAACCCTCCAATATTCTCCTCTCGAAGAGTCATACGTCTCCAGCAATTCCACCCAAGTCAGGTTCTCTACGTAAAGTTTCCACATCCAGTGACAAGAATCCGCCATCCAACGAGAAACCTACACCACCGCCTAAATCAGCCCCATTGCCTTCGACTCCTACGCCCAGTAACGCAACGCCGTCCCCCTCGTTTACGTCCAAGTTGAAAGATACCATTGTGAACTCGGCCAACACATCCCCCCTCCAGACGAGGTTCGGGTTAGGCATGGGACTGGGGAGCTCATTCTTTCAATCTCGACCAGAGTCACCGCTAGGCAACAAGAAATCTTCACAGCTTAACAAATCTCCTGCATCGCCACCAGTGCCACCCAAAAAGAACTTGACCATCTCTTCTCAAGTTTCTGATGGAACACGAAGGCCTTCTCTGACCTCACCAGTTCCCCGAACCTCAGAGTCTGCTGGAGTAATCTCCGAATTTTTCGACACGGTTCCAAAGTCCAGTGACAGAGTGGATATTGATCCACAACTGGTACTTACCACAGAAACTGATGAGCTAAAGACGAGGACTATTCGAAAGCAAATCTGGGAGATCACAGGCGACGGCAAGAAGCAAGATCTTCCTATTCACCAGGAATACATTTTGTTTGAGGGCAGTATGTATGTTTGTGTGCACAACTTTGAATGTGAATCCGGGAATAGGACCGAGGCTTACTTGTGGCTGGGCGATGAAGTGGCTGAAGCAGCCATGGAGGATGCTCAGATTTTCGCGCGGAGGGTCGCAAGGGAGAATGGTGCTCGATTGGAACTTATCAGGCAGGGCAAGGAACCAGCAAAGTTTGTTGAAGCCTTGGGAGGTATTATGATTACGCGGCGCGGCTCCAGTTCCCGGTCGAGCTCATCGGCACTTTATATGCTCTGCGGTAGACGGCATTTGGGTCAAATCGCATTTGACGAAGTCGATGTTTCTCGCCGGAGTCTTTGTTCAGGCTTCCCGTTCGTCATTTCAGCCAAATTTGGCAAACTCTATCTCTGGAAGGGAAAAGGTAGTGGAGCTGATGAGGTTGGAGGTGCACGGCTAATTGGAATGAACCTGGGGCTTACTGGGGAAATTGAGGAGGTCTCTGAAGGGGAGGAGCCAGAAAGCTTTTTTGATGTATTTCCTGATTCAAAGACGGCTGAACCAATGGTGACATCGGAGCACTGGCATCTCAAGCCTCGGCACGACAAGTATCGTTGTCGACTGCTTCGTATCGACCATATGTTGGGGCAGAAAGGAGGGTTTTGGAATCGACGCGGCTCTTCTTCGCCTGTGACACGACCCAATGATACTGTTCAAGAAATCGATCCCTTTTGTCAGAAGGACCTGCGTTTCTCGGAAATTTACATTCTGGACGCTTTCTTTGAGATCTACGTGTAAGTCTTATCGCCTAATCAATTCTACAGGAGAGACTCGCTAACAAATTGATCTCCATAGCATCATCGGACGTGATGCCAAATCTCGACCTGCCGAGTTCGCGTCGGCCCTGGTCTTTGCGCACGAGTACGGGATTTTGGCGGTTTCCCTCCAAGACCGACCGTTCATCCCAAAGAGCTACGTTGCCATGGGCGGCATTCCCGACTGCTGCACGGTTGCTTTTAGAAAATGGGACCGCAAACTATGGGCGACAACTCCACACATATTGCCATTGAATGCTGCCATTGAAGCTATCCGCTCCTGAAGATACTAACCCGATGCATATATTGGTGTTTTTTCCCGCTCTGCTTTCTTCATTAGGTGGCATTTTCTCGGTTTCTTTTGGCGGTTTTGATGACTCATTACTGATCTTGCTGGTGCTGTGTGTATATTAAGGATAAACGCTGAGGGCGGAACTCATCGTTGGATTCTCTGTCTGTGTAACTAACTTGTCATATTATTTCGGACGGCATTGATGTACCACTATGTACTGGATAATCAACACGCATACTACACTACGTAAATCTATTGTTGTTCAATTGGAAATTTTTTGACGCAGCATGGGTATCCTCATTTATTAATAGCAAAACCTAACGTATAGCCACCACAAAACTCGGCCAGGGGAATCACATTCGACCAATTCTTTGAGTCTGGATCTACTTCAAGAAGGTACATCACATAGTTGGCAGGTTCACGTAAAGAGATCTATCAAACAGTCATCTTTCATGGGGAAGCATCCCATAGAGCTTGTGGTGACGGTATATACGAACGCAAACTGTCGACAGCAGGGAAGAGATAGCACTGCCGTGGTTCATAAGTTATTAAATATCCTTGCTGCTCGTATCACGGTGTATTGCATTCACTTACAGCAGAGCAAGGCCCAGTACTAGAATCACTCCTCCCAGGGGACTTGCCCCCTTCTGTTCCCATACCAGTGATGATGAGGAATGCAAACCAGAAAACCGTATCAATGATATTTAAGACCATGTTTGCCTTGATGCTTGCCCAATTTCGAAACCGTTCAGTATGTGTGGTTAATAATTGATAAGCCAGAAATACGCCCGATTTGATGCACTGGAAATCGGTTAGCGCGTTCTGATTGGTTCTGCCCTGTAGATACGGACCCACAAACTAGTGCCAAACGGGTAAGCATACTTCTAGCAACGTCCGCAGTCACATGACGCAATCAAGTCACGTGACTACCGGTCTTACCTGAGAAGAAATTTTGATTCGCTGTATTTTATTTTTTTTATGTCTTAGTGTATTGCAATTTCAAAAGTTACTGTCGCCATAATAACGGCGATGGTGGCATGATAAGAGCTTCAGCAATCTAATCGGTAATTTTCATGTGGATCTGCTCTTTTTCGCCCCTCAACTCTGGAGAGAAGACACGATGAAGCTGTCTGCTGCCATGAACGCTCTGTCTCTCATCGTCATGCATTGAGACCACCGCCGTCACTTTGCTTTTTTTTCTTTTTTTTGGCCCTTTCCTTTTCGCAGAGTCAGACATGTCGATAGACCCCACCATCGCCCGCGAGCTCTCCCGGCTCGACCCGGCCATCCCGTTTCGCGCCACCACGAAACATGTGCACTCGACATGGGCCAAGACGTTCTACTCGCGGCCGGAGCTCTACATTCAGCCGCAGAGTGTTGAGGAGATCCAGAAAGCTGTGACGCTTGCGCGCCGTTGCGGACGGAGATTAGTGACGGTCGGCAGCGGTCATTCGCCGTCCGACCTGACCTGCACCTCCGCGTGGCTGATCAACCTCGACAAGTTCAATCGCATCACCAACGTGTCGCCAGAGACCGGTCTCGTGTCGGTGCAGGCCGGAATAAGGCTGCGCGATCTTGGCCGCGAGCTGGACAAGCACGGGCTGGCTCTCCCCAATCTCGGCAGTATCGACGATCAATCCATCGCCGGCGTGATCGCCACCGGCACTCATGGCAGTTCTTCGCGTTACGGCCTGCTTTCGGAATGCATCCAGGCCCTTTCAGTGACTCTTGCCAATGGCCAAACCGTGCGATGCAGTGCAACCAACAACCCGTCGCTCTTCCGCGCGGCCCTCGTGTCACTCGGCGCGCTCGGCATTGTAACTGAAATATCGTTGCAGGCCGTGCCTGCCTTTCGCATTTCCTGGGAGCAATCACTTCATCCGCTCTCGAGTCTGCTCGATCGCTGGTCCGACGATTTATGGACATCGCACGAATATGTGCGTGCCTGGTGGCTTCCCTACATGGACCGGGCCATTGTCTGGCACGCTGATAAGACCGATCTCCCCATGAACCCTCCGCCGAAATCCTGGTATGGTGGATGGCTGGGTTTTCACACATATCACAATCTACTTGCCTTAGCAAACTGGTTCCCACGGATTCTCCCTTGGGTCGAGTGGTTCGTGTTCGGCATGCAATATGGATTCAAGCCCGACTCTGTGGTGACAAAAGCCGTGGAACAATCGCACAAAGGTCTGCTGATGGACTGTCTTTATTCACAATTTGTGAACGAGTGGGCATTGCCCTTGGAGAAGGGCCCGGAGGCTATCACTCGTCTGTCAGCGTGGATTCATGGCGACCAGGAAACTGCGCGAATTCCATTCAGCCCCAAGGGCGTTTGGGTTCACTGTCCTATAGAGGTTCGTGTATCCGACACGACTATCTCTTCCTCGCCACATCCTTACCTTGATCCAACGTGTCGACATGGACCTACTCTTTACCTGAATGCCACGCTCTATCGCCCTTATCTTCGGGATCCGCCGTGCAGAGAGCGCTACTACGAAGCATTCGAATGGCTCATGCGTGACTTGGGTGGCCGTCCTCACTGGGCGAAGAATTTCACTACATTCTCCTCGGCTCAAGATCTACATGATATGTACGGGGACGACATGGAGCAATGGCTCAAAGTGCGCCGCGAAGTAGATCCCGATGGTTTATTTGTCGGAGAATGGCACCGGCGGAACCTGCTTCTGACAACCGGCTCCCAGAAACTCGACGAAAGCACGACCATGACGGCCGATATAGATGACGGTCAGCTTCTCTTAGGGGAGCGGGTGGCAGATGTGCGGAGGCTGGGAGGCCCTGGAACTGGAGATGGACTGGAGTGGGTGGGAGATCGTCGCTGGGAACGGACAAGTTCTGCGTCTGGACAAGATTATGACAGCGACGGCCAAAGGCCAGGATCTCCAAGCCCGCTAAAGACATCGACTAGTGAAGAAAGCTTTGATCTCCTGGCCCACGGAGAGGCCAGCATCATCATCCCAGACAAGCAATAGCCTCGCACGTTTCTTTGGTGGGCATTTGTCATGGGGAAAAACCCACATTTGTAAGTAGGCTTATATCCGAAGATTTAGACAGGCAGGCGTTTCCACATGAATGTTTCCTTGCTTGTTTCTCGTTGTACAGTCGGATTTTTTTGTGAGGTGCTGCTCTCTTTCTCGTTAGTTAGCACTCGAGTTATTAGACTAGATTCAGAAAACATATACCTGGAGACGACGGGGAGCTTTCTTTTTTCTTCCTCCCCTCTCTTTCACATGGCTTTCATGCTCGCATTTTTTTCAAATTCAAGTTCTTCCCCGAAATGGCAGTAGATACCTACTGCCTACCTGGGTAAACAAGAGATCGATCTTCTTTGTTCAGTAACTTTAGATGTTGTTGCCTACATAGGTAAGTACTTGCAGCCAGGAACAATGATGAACTATCAGTATTTACCAGGGTATATGGCACCTACCTAGTTATCTAGTGTCCTGTCATAGGAAACAATCCGTTTGGCGGTTATTTTGTCTCGAGTCCGCGTTCTGTCACATACATATCTACTAACCTAGCATCTCTGCACGAGAGAGACAAATAGGAACTAAGGGTATTCTATCGGTGTGACACTAAAATTTAACTTTTCTTTTTCATGACAATGAATAGAGAAAAAGGAAAAAAAAAAAAAAAAAAAAAAAAAAAAAAAAAAGAGTAAAACGACAGAACAAACGGGAGCTTGTTCCGTTGCTTGGCTCGAGAAGCCCGAAATCGGTAGATTGACTATTGATCAGCGCTGTCCAAAGGTTTGCTTTTTCTTATCCTACTGACCGCGTTTGACAGTTGCATTCAAATCTACCTATTATATGCAAGTTAGGCTGATTGAGCAAATGCATTTATGCATGCATGTATGGCATACGCAGTGTCGTTGCTCAATGCCCAGTGACAGTGGCTGCCAATTGGCACACGACATTTCTCTTAGCTTAGTAAATATCTAGGCTAACTACCTACTATTTGCTATTGACAGCTCTTCGGGGTTGTCACGGAGCTTGACTTGCTTGCTTGTACTATAGGCAGGGATTTATTGACTCCCTTTTTTGAATCGATGCCTTATTGAGAAGGGGAGCAAAAGATCAGTTAGCATTTTTATTCTGTTGACCGAGTGGCATTGTCGTTGGAAAAGATACCCAGATCATTTTCGTCCTGTAGATAGCACTAATAAATGAATAGGACTGCGTATCTGTTCGATTAATTCTTACTGCTGATTGGCCATTTTCTTCGTCCTGCTATTTACGTCTCCATTCTTCTTTCCTCCTTCCTTTTGGATTTTTCTTTCTTTCCTTTTCCCACTGTTCCTTCTCTGGTTTCGATGGACTGTTGCATTAGCTTTATGTACACGGGCCACTGATCAGCTCGTCTCATGCATGCCAAACAAAGAGCGAGTAACTCCAAGCAGGCAAATTAGGGTTAAAAACTCCGTCCCGTATGTACAGTACCCGTTCCGTAACCAGTTAGCTCTTCACGGTACGGGCCGAGGCCGTGGAGCTTAAGTTTAACTGTTCTCCAGACTATAGACGTTCTATCAGAAGAGAATCAAGAGATAGGGAAGCGAAGATGAAGCGATTCATCAAGATTAGTCCATAACTTCAGCAAAAGTTATTGAAGCCTGCGCCTCTAGCTTCATTCTGCCAATTAACGGCATGACAAACACATGCCGGATATAGGCGGATGGTGCCTGTGCATTGATTGATTATTTAGCTACTACCGGAAGTAGTTACCATGTACATGTATATTTCAATGGGCGGCCTAACTCTTTTATTACCATACATTACAAATACGCAGCATCCAGCATAGAATATGAACATTGTACACACACTAAGTCGGCCAAACCACGCGCCTTCTAAGCCTCAGTGAGGCTGGCATCTATAAGGCTGGGACGAACCGTGCTTAGTTGCTTCTAACATCCGGACTGTTTGGTTGGTTGATGGACTCTCAGCCCCCTCTCTCCTTTGCTCTCCTTTCTCTTTCGTCTGGATAATTCCTCCCGTTCCTATAATCTCAATGGGCAAGGGACGGAATAATTGCTATTCAAAAGTATCTTACTGCCGAGCGACTATTGGCCGCAATTCCTCGGTGTTCTACAATAGTAACCGTTCCGTGACTCGACCGTGGGCTATGTAATAAGCAGCCAGCCAAAAAAAAAAATGAAAAAGAAAAGAGAAGAATACTAAAGCATCTTAGATTCTAGTTTCATCGAGAACATGAATCATGACAAAATATTTTTCCTCACCAACCTAGACACATGGGAATACCGCATGCGTTGTCTCTTATTCGCATCCTCAGGTACTTGCAAATCTAAAGATTCTACCTAGATATGTAGGTACTTACCCACCCACGAGTGACGGATTCTTTTCCTTGCCGAGCTTAGGCGATGAAATACATAGTGTTCTCTATAGTTATTAGTTATTACATTAGTACACAAGTATAAGTAACGGCATTTACAATCAACGTCCCATATCCAGGTTGAGAGAGAGGGTACTACGTAGTACACTAGTAAGTAGATATCGGCCCCTCCCTTCTTCCACTCCCTGAAGTAGGGATGGTACGTATACCCATGCAACGTGGAAGTCTCGTCCAAATCCATTAACGCAAGCCATATAGCACAGTTCTACTACTTTCTTTTCTTGATTAGCCGATAAAACAAACAAACACAGATTTCGATGAAGTACGCTATAGGAGGCTGAAAGCGGATAAAGCTGGACGGAGAGTTGAACGGTCTGAGCACAGGATGCAATCAATGTATCTTTCAGCATTATTAATGCAACGTATTTGAAATCTTGTTGATGTTAGGTTACCTTTAATCTAATAGTGATGTGAGCGTATTGATAAAATTGATTACTACTGGTGTCAGTCATCGTTATATGTCGCCTGAATGAAAGAGATGCTTTGAACTAAACATTTTCCAAATAGACCAAGAGACATACACAAGACTAGTTCATGGTGTTGTATACTTCAACAAAACTCACCTACTAGCGTAGTGTGGTGACTTCAGAGAAGGGAGTACCCTACCCAGATTCTAGATTAAAAAGAATCGCAAACGGAGAGACAAGACAATATGACAGAAATAGATGTATCATAAGCATAGCGTAGGCTCTGCAAAGTTCTTGCTTTACTCTAGATAGCACTTGTGCTATGATAACATCCATATTTTATTGTGCAGAAAAGAACATGACAAGTTATGACCGACCTTGCAGAAAGAATGCTAAATCGCACTCTCTTTGTCCTAGGCTGCCGAATAGCCAGCCGGCCTTGTCCTCGTCTTTTCCCTTTTGCCTTGCACCGTGGCCTTCCTGCACGTCATGCCGGATGTAATATCCACCCTGGGTATCGACCCCATCATTGGACTCGAGGAGAAACTCGCCTCCCTTTGACAGTTAAAGCGTTGATTGAGGTAGTTCTGTTTTGAGTTAGGGTGTTCATTAGTTGGCTGTCATTTGTTGCTCGTGTCTCTCTATTTTTATTGGGATTGGGCTGGAGGTGACTTGGTCTACATTAGCTTTGACAAGTTGAAAACGAATCTAGGTAGGCGCGGCAAACGCCGACATTTTCACCTGAAGTCAGAATTAAGTAGGTAAACAAAATTCCCATCGGAGAATGTGAGGCGGTTTGGGTATACACACTTCCAAACTAATGTATAGTCCAGTCCCTTTTCCTCTAGGTCTAATCAGTGCGTAATACCTACACACTAAGTTTAACACATCAAGCGAATAGCAGGCCGGATCGAACACTATCTCTCATGGTATTGGCTTCAATTGACCTTCGGGTATAGGAATGAATGCCGGAATGATTGAGCATGTCTGCAATAGGAAAGGCACCTTCGGTATCCCACCAGTAGGTAAACGACATCAAAGACAGCCTTGTCACTTCGAAAAGAAAAAGGGTTCGTGTATATTCGTTTTTATTGAAGCATAACGAGAACCGGGGAAAAAAAAAGCAAAACAGCCTAAGCTATATGCGTTTTCTGCTCTGTGCGTCAGAACCTTCGAGCACAAAGACCAAGCCAGTAGAACATAAACTACCTTTTTTTTTTCCCTTTTTCTTTTGAAGAAATGCAAGTCATAGCAAAGGACCGATAGTTGGTAATAACCTCTGCATAATGGAACGCCACCCTCGGACATCTGCCAGTCAGAGTCCACAAAAACAGTTGTCTCACAGTGCAGGGATTGATTCACGCGACAAACCACATAGGAGCAAAATCGCAGACGATGTGTCGTCAAGAGACTTTCTCCACGTCACCGAGGTTATATAGATGCGGCATTTTGCTATTGGCCACAATCATAGAAATGGATATCCCTGTTTTGATATGGCCGTCCCATGTCAAATGTAGATTTAAACCAAGAAATCTACCTGTTCTTTTCAATCCCCCGTTCCCCCCGATCTCTCAGCGTTCCCCTGTTTGTACCAGGATATTATTTGCTCCCGATTTCTTAAGCTCTCCAAAAGCCACTTGCTTTTGGATGTTACCTGATCATTCCTGTCTCAAGCCTCCCCGAAATTTTGTGTTTCACGAAACATTCAACGAAGATACGTCGAGATTTGGCAGATGTCCCGGCAACATAAAATCCTCTTCCCCAAGCTCAGCCCTGGTTGTTCGAGTTTTCAACTTCCAGGTTCAGAACTCTTACTAAACCGGCGTGACGAGGAAAAACCTGCCCATCGCGTATTTCGCACCAAAAGAAAGCACGTGCAGAGGGCTTGTGATAGATGCCGAGTCAAGAAGTCCAAGGTACTAATCTTTTGAAGTAACCTCACCAGTCCCAACACTAATTTACTCTGGTTTCCCTTTCAGTGCGATGGTAATCAGCCGTGTAGCAGGTGTATGGCCTACAATCATGCCTGCATCTTCCGTGATCGAAAAGCAACCCAAGAGAAAGTTTATTCACGAGGGTAAGTTGTTCCTCGAATTGACTGGCTTCACGAAGAAAAGAAAAAAAAAAAAAAAAAAAAAATTGGTATGACAAACGATATTAAGAGTTGCCTGCAGGTTTGTGGAAATGCTCATTTCTCAACATGCCGTTCATCTTCAGGCGGTGCGAGATCTATACAGGCGCTGTGTCACTCGCGAGGGTTTTCCTGGCTCGCCGCTGCAGGAATCAGTCCAGGGTTATCCAGGGACGCATGCAATTTTAGACCGCTTGGGACTTATTAAACATGCAGAGGAAACCATCGAAGATCCACAGAAAGTGCTCGCAGACATAGTCGATTATCTCAAGTCCTTGGATACTCCTACCCCGGAGTGTCTCGACTGTGCCGAATCAACGGACACAAGTGACACTACTATTTCTGGCGAGGTATCGCCAGAGCCGAGTACCCCGAAAGAGGCATTCAACATTTCTATCCCGTTCGTTAATTTCTCATGGCCTGGGACTTCGGACGATCGCCGCTTGTGCCACACATACGGCGGCCCTGAGCCTTTGCAACAGCAGCAGCAGCAACAGCAACATGTCAGCATTGCGAAACCCGTTAGCGTAGACGACACACTGGCTTTTAGGGGCAACTTCTCTCCCTCAGAAGTACCAGTACTGTGGAACGACTTTCCCTCACAGCTTCGGTTCATGCCCGCTGCGACTGATGCATGCCAAAGGGCCGGATTGCCGACTGACATGTCATGGCCAGCAATGGCAGGCCATCCCTCCACGAGCATGCCAGTAGGTTCGCGAGATAACGCTTCAGATGCATCGCTTTATACCACTGATCAAACTTATTTTCCGGGACTCTTTGGTTACATGCACCTTTACAGCACCAGCTCCTCCTAGTGACAGCGGATGTCGGAGCCTATTGAGCCGATCTGTGAGATAGTATAGTTATCCATGAGCAGTACATGCATGGTATTGGGATCTTTGGGTGAGGATTATTGTTCATTCTCGTTGAAAAGAGATCAGGTGAAGGAGAATCTTGATAGAGCACACAATTGGACTGGAGCATGCAGGAAGTGTGGGAGCATGGCCGTATTGCATTTGACATGATTTTCCGCATATTTAAAGCAGCCCATAGCATCTTCAGCAATATAGGCGTTGCACGATGGTCGAACAGCAGCTGGGATGAAGAAGGTGAATGTGTGAACCGAGGAGAGACAACTCGACGGTAGACCCAGTCATGCTTCCTGGCTAGTCAACTGTTAGGTACCTACACATCATTTTCATAAGATCGTATAGATTGCAAGGCAGCATGCCCATTCAATGCTGTATAGGTTCGCATAAAGTACATAGTCTTATTCGCTCGTCCAGATGCAACAAACACCTCACTAATCCATGACAAGAAAGAAACGAGAATAAAAAAGGACCCTTCAACAAATTAAAAGGAGAAGAAAGAGAAGAAGAGAAGTGAATGCAATTCTTTATTATAACACGAGGGAAATCATTGAGAGATATTTATTCGCCATCCGTGTCTGTCTCTGTATCCGTCTCACTGGTATCTTCCTCATCGCCCTCGGTGTCGCTCTCATCTTCTGAATACTCGTCCGATGATCTCCTCGTCTTTCTCTTAGGCGGGGGTACACCTGTCTTCAAAGCCTGCATCTGGCCGGCAATCGAATCTATGGCAGGTTATTAGTTATATATACGTGCTAGCGGCTTCCGTGGAACAGTGTGTTAGAAATCCGTACCTTCATCTGGTTCGCTAATGTCATCCTCCTCCTCGAGAGCAACCGCTTTGGCTGGGTCGTCTATGTGAAGGGTGATCTCCTTCTTAGTATCAAAGCCCATGTAGCTGTCTGAGATGAGGTGCAGTGCAAAGGTATAGTGGCCAACTTGGGGCGGAGCCTGGAACTGCATTTTGAGAGTCTGCACATTAAATGTGGGCTTCCCAGACTCGTCATAGATGGGCTTGTCAAATGTGGAAAAACTGAACGGAGGAACAGCAATCTTCCCTTGCTTTGGATCGGCAAGGAATACATGCCATCTGGGAGAGTGATCGCGAGGCAAGAATGGGGCATAAGTCAGCGGGGGTTGAATAGACTCCTGCTTTTCTTCGACTATCGAGCCATCTGGTTTCTTGACCCTCCTGGTTTTGCCCAGATTGCGATTGAGGAGAGCATCAAGGTCACCTTCATCGGGGTCAATATCTTCCAAGTCGAGTTCGTTGACCTGAGGGACAGATTTCGTCCCTGGTGGGATAACGCGACCCTTAATTACAAGCTGCACGAGACTGCCTGGTGTGATGACGCGCTCTCCAACAACCTTGAAGAAGGCCTTGGAGAGTTCAAAATATGGCAATTGCTTAGCAACATTGGTAGTAGCTTGGTATTCTTCCTCCGTTAACAGGCCAGGTCCTACAGTTAAGGAGCGTCTTTTCTCTTCTGTAAATTCCATGTACTTCTGTAGGCTGAGGTGCGTCTTCGCATCGTTGCCCTCCACCGATTTGACGACCTCGGGAGTGAAATGTGGCAACTGGAGAAGAGGCGATGAGCCAGGGGATGTAGCTTGAATGAGATTCTGGGACATTCGATACGCGCCAATGACAGGCAGGAGGTTGCCGAAAGCAAGTGAAATAGAGGCGAAAGACTCATTCAAAGCCAACGCAATAGCACCCGCTTCATATTTCTCTGTAAACAATCACGTTAGCTAAATCATCTGCAATCTTGCACTGGCTAAGGAGTATGGCAAACCTTCTTCCAACGCCGTATCTTCCAAATCAATCCTGTTGAGATAAGCCCATAGTAGCGAAAGCGCTTTTCTTCTGGTAGAGTCATCCAATTTTCGAAGAATTTCGCGGTCAGTCGAGGTAAAGATCTTCTCATCAAGAGCCAACAGTTTCTTCTCCACCTTAGCCAGACCTTCCTCTGACCTAGAGCCCTTCAAAAGTTCCTTAAATTCCTCACCGGTCGAAAGCGCACTAACGACACGACCGCCAATCAGATCTTCTTTGTATTCTCTGAAGATGTTGCCGGCACTTGCAAGGAGAACTTTCTCACGAGTAAAGCGTTGAGACCCGTACCACCACTTTCCTACAATATAGGGTAGGAGGACACCAAGAAGGCCTCCGTAGACCAAAAGAACGTACTTGCCACTACCCTCGGTGATAATCAATTTGGGCAGCGCAATACCGATGCTAAAGCTCTGTTTACCATCTGGGTGTCCGTATTGCAAATAATTGTTGCGGATTTCCTCGTCTGTCAGAGCTTTGTAGGCTTTCGTCAGCTCCACGAATCGTTCATTGAGGGTATCCATGGTCTCATTTTTGGCGGGATCCGGTCGAACTTTATCAGGATGGTAGATAAGTGACAGCCTCTTGTAGTGGCGAGAAATAGCTTTCTCGTCGGCACTCTATATCAGGCGAAGTCAGGAATGGCACCATAGCATGTAATAGAGCGAGGCAAAAGAAAAAAAAGAAAAAAAAAAAAAAAAGAAAAAAAGAGCGGACTTACCCTGGATACGCCAAGCACTTCATAGGGATCATAAATCTTTGGAACTGTGCGAGCTGTGACTATTATAAGGTATATCATCCAGCCGATGATTGCCCAGCCGACCAGCACAGCAATACCGCGTTTGATCCGTCTCTCTTTGCGCAGACGCTTCCGTTTCTGACCCTGAATGAGATCGTCATTTTTTGGTTTGAACGCCGAATTTATTCGGGGAGCGGTGTTCTCAAGTTCTACAAAGCGAAGAACATGTTAGTAGCCAGGACAAATAGTGGAAACCATTCGTGATAGTATCGCAGAGGCTTACTCTTAGGTGGGCTGAGGAGACTATACGTGAGAGGGAGAGTAACGAGGCCGGTCAGAGTGAGAATAAAGTATGGGAAGAATTGGCCCTATATCTCAAATCAGCTGAGTGCGCAAAGCAACACAAGGACTCCTCCGTTCGCTACCTGTTCATCGTAGTTGTATTCCGTTGAAGACATCTTTGACGCGGAAGGTACCAGCGAGGGCCGCTTGGGTGAGCGCACGGGTTTACAAGTCGAAGGCTGCCAGTACTGCAGATGCACAGCGCATTGCCATCTAATCGGTAAATAAGACGGAAGAATGCGTGAATTCCAGAGAAAGTGCAATCTGTTACGCTGTCAAGTGCGGCACCATCTCCTACGTCGTAATTAATCTGAAAGGACACGAATTATTGTTCGCATTCCGCAGACCGCCTGCCCTTGTCGGACTAGCGCTGCCCTTATCGCCTTGGTCCATTGGATCCTCAGGCATTCATAAGACAAGACATGACTAAGACGGCTTCCTCAGGCATCAATCATTATGATGCATGTGGAGATGTCTATTTAATCTTCAGGTTGACTATCCGCCACAAAAGAGATCGACTCCGCAAAATTCCTCGCCAGAGGCCATGTCGATTGGCGATACTGCTCTCGAGCCTCCCAATCCATATCCTGAACACTGACAAATTTGAACACGATCCCTGCAGCACTACAAATATCCCGCAGCTGTTCTATTAAGGGATCAGTCAGCTCCACCTCTCCCTCATCCTGAATGTCAAATTTCATCAGCTGTGATTCTCGGCGAGATTGAATCAGCTCATCTAGCTGCTGAGGTAGGTACTGTAAATGAACCGGATTACACCAGGAGAGATACAGGGTGTCGAGAGAAGGAGGAAGAACATCTTTCAATGCATTCCGTGGTGGCCCCTCACCAAAATGACCAAAGTTAAGGAGATCTGGAAGCCGAACGTGCAAATGTTTTAGGGCAGTAAATTCGACAAGAGACCCAATCAGCATATCCTCTCCGTCGATCGGGTCCTCGCAGTCTATTTCCACCCAGAGGCGTTCCAGGCTTGTCTTGTGGCGCTTCAAAGATTCAACAAGAGCTCGCGGATGAAAGTCGTCATCCGAAGTCATCACACCACCGTATCCTAGTCTAAACGATCGTAGTGCCTTGCAGCTGCCGATCAAATGAAGCATTCCGTCCTCGGTATTATTGCTTCTTTGGAACTCAATATGTGTGATCCCAGAAGATTCAATGAGAGGAAGCTCATCCATTTCACCTGTAAATAACTCTGTCGAGGTTGGGTCATACTCAGCAATCCTAGATCCTCCCAGTCTGCGCATGCTGGGGAAATGGAGGAAGGACATGAGATACGGGGAGGCCACTGCACCTCTTTCACCATACCATGTGATGTAAGCCGCTTCGAGTTTTGAGAATGCTCGTACATCTCCCAATGCCGCTTTTCTGAGGATCTGGTGAAAATAGGCCGAACCGTATGGTAAGACAACGACGATGCTTCTTAAATTAGTGAGTCGCGGCAAAATTAAGCCCAGCCAAGCATCGCAAACTCCGTCTTGGGCGTCCTCCTCCCATTCATCTCTTTCATCATCAGGCTGGTTTATTTCGTCAAGTAGTTGAGATATGAGATTGGGGTCACAGTGAAAATTATCAGTGGCGGCGCTGACATCCCAGCTGTATACGTAGAGATCCCTCACAGCCTCGGCCAATTTTGGTCTTTGGACGATGGTGTGCATAAAGTTGAACCATTTTGTGTCATCGATTGGTTCAAAAAGCGTGACTTTTGAGTAAAGCGTTGGTAGCAGGAGTTCATAGAAGCGACGACACGATAAAATCAAGGCATGGCGGTCACTTTGCTTGGACAGATCTTGCGCTATTATGTGTATTAAATCAAGAGGGAGTTTGTCGAGCGCCATTACTGATTACCTCTGCTGTATACATAAGAACTGAATATGTATACATATCAGAGACGGAGACTGTAAAGGCCGTTTTCCCGGAACTTGGCTGTGCTCTGTGGGTTTGGCTACTTAGTAAACTTTACCTGGCTCAAACGAAGGCGGTCTCCGTTGATATCTTGCCAGACAATCAAACAATGCAACTACCGAATAAATATGAAGAATTGTTAGATAAGGAATATAACGCTTCATAACTTCTCAACTGCTTCTCTCCTATCGGCAATTTTCTGTGCAATACATAAAGATTTAAGTTACGTTAGTTGCGCTGGTTCGGGATCCACCATCGCATGGGTCTCAGAATGCGGTTTAGCGGGTTTCCCGGGGCTATCACTATGATTCCACTATAAAAGCTCCCCATCACCCTTCACTCAAAGGTATAAGAAGCAAAGATCTCTTTCGAATGAGTCAAAATCAAACACAATGCTGCTCCCTGCAGAGACGCCGCAAACAGTCCTCTACGGACTCGGTATCATAGCCCTCCTCGCCATTGGGCGGTTTTTCATTCGTCTCTATCAAGTCAGGAGTAGCATTCGCGATGTGACCAATAAATATGGCGTTGTGAGTGCTGACAGTTCCAATGTTTAGCTGAACTAACTCCGTACAGCCTATCTTGCCCCATTCATTTCTGTTCGGGCATCTCCCCATCGTAATCAAAGTCATGGCCGCCTACCCAAGCGACATTTATGGACACTACCTGCCCCTTCTCATCGAAAAAGAATACCCCGACATCTGTAAGTCCCGCGGTGTGATGTACATCGATAGCTGGCCTCTAGCAAACCCCATGTTGGCCGTCTATGATCCCGGCCTGATGAACCAATTCACTACGGAGAATTCACGGCCAAAACACGAACTTGTTAGAGATGGGTTTTATATTCTCGGCCAAGGCCTCGACATCTTCGTTTCGGAAGGACAGCAATGGAAAGAGTGGAGGAAAATTTTCAATCCGGGCTTTTCGCTCCAAAATCTCATGTCGTTTGTTCCAGCGATAGTGGATGAGATTGAAGTCTTCCGAGGCTGGTTGAAAGACGTGGCAGAATCCGGGAATGTCGTAGAGTTGGAAGAACAGACCGAGAGACTAACGACGGATGTAATCGGTCTCTTGGCTTTGTAGGTGATGTTCTCTTGCGATGAATATGCCTGCTAACCAACCAACAGAAACACGCGACTTCATTCCCAAACTACATCCAGCACGTTCTATAATGCTATGAAGAAACAGGCCGGTTGGTTCCCCTATGACAACCAGCCCAGTGCTTTATTCACACGGACCCTAAACCCTTTTCGCCCATTGGCTGTATGGATGAATAACTGGACCATGAGGTCTTGCTTAATGCCACACATACGAAAAGCCTTAGCACAAGAGAAGGAGGAAAGTCTCAAGACTCTTCTCAATCTTGCCATTCAATCCAAAGAGCGGGGCTCATCAGATGGCCCCCCGACGTCCCAATTCATCGACATAGTAGTGTCACAGTTGAAAACATTCATGTTTGGCGGCCATGAAACAACAGCAGCAACCCTCTGTCTTCTTTATTATCTTGTCTATACTAACACCGCCGCGCTGGACGCTTTACGTCGCGAGCATGATGAGGTGCTCGGTAGTGACCCGGCAATGGCCACTGAGCTCATCAAGAAAAGCCCAGCACTCTTGAATCGACTCCCTTACACCACTGCGGTTATTCGAGAAACCGTGCGCTTATTCCCGCCAGTGGGAACCGTCCGCGCTGGGAGTCCGGATTTCTTCCTAACGGACCCGACGACCGGAGACCGCTACCCAACTAACGGCATGATGGTCTTTGGCTGTTCAGCCGTTGTTCATCGGAAGGAGGCATTCTGGCCCGAGCCACATAAATTCATGCCTGAGCGCTGGCTTGTTCCAGAAGGACATGCTCTGCACCCACCGAGAAGCGCTTTTCGGGCGTTCGAACATGGCCCTCGCAATTGTATTGGACAGGAGCTGGCCCAGTTAGAACTCCGAGCAATCTTGGCTATGACTGTTCGAGATTTTGACATCCAGCCCCAGTTCCCTGCGGATGCATTCCGTCTGTTTGGCGATGTGGCATACCAGGTTTACAGACCCGGGCAGGTTACGGCGCGACCTCGGGACGACATGCCCGTGAAAGTGAAACTATGTCGACATTATGTTGAGAATAATCAGTAGTAGTAGATAATCTGATTCTTTTTATCAGGAATGCAAACACTGAATTTAGATAGCTCCTACTTGTGTATACATGAATTTCAGTATATTGTTTGCTGCTCTGCGCTGCCAAACTAACGAGAAAGGAGACTGGCCGATCATTCGCAGAGGCTGCGTGACTCGCAACACATGCGACCATCGTATAACAGCATCCGACCCGATGTCGCCTTTGAGGTCATCACTCACAATAAGAGACTGCGTATTGTGTACTGTTGCAATGGCGAGCAAGACTTTCTCAGCGAAATTCTGAAATTCATTCGTAAAGTGATCCTGCCGTTCGGAAAACTCGTTTCGTTGTTGCAGTGTGCAGCCAGGCATGTGAGATGTGTGCAGCAGGAGTTCCAAAGCATTACTCAAAAGTCGCAATTTAAAATCGCTTCGAACCATTCGATCGCCAAAATTACCGTTTGCTATTTGGTATGGACCCAGCGATGATTGCACGTGTCCTATGACTCGATAAGTTATGCTTTCAATTTCATCGACTTGCTGCAGAAGAGACTGCGAGCGAGACAGCAGAATTTCCGAGTCAGCTAGATCAATGAGTCTTCTGATGTCTGAGCATATACGATAGCAAATGTAACAGAAGACAGCGGCATGTGCCGCGCCCATCGTTGATGGTCCACTGTGTTGAATGAATTCGCGAAGCCAGTTCAAGCTCTCTGGTGGACAGTCTCCGCCGGTGATTACTGCCCGATTTAACTAGTCTCAAGTATTAGATACATAGCAGAGTGCGTGCAAGGTGAGAATTTAAACTACAACTTACCAAGGTGCAAAACACCATGCAGAATATTTCCCGCCCTCCTTGACTCAGGAACTGCTCTCGACCCCGAAGGCGAAGGAGTTCTGCCATACCACTCATATGGAGATCTGATCTCGCAGAGGCAATCGCAGTGTCAACACCATTGTTCAAACACCACGTAAGCTTGCCATAATGTCAGCAAAAGATTGCTCCTAGTCAGCCAATGAACGCGTCTTACTTCATATACTCTCAATAGCCAAACGCTTAGTAAAGTGCTGTCGCTTGTGCGCTCCGTAGGATCTCGAAGGGCACGGTTAATAGCAACTAAAGAATTCCCATAAGCCCTAGCCAGGGTGGTGCTATGGTGAGAGCGAATGGTACTAGGCAAATATGAACATCCCAGTGTCTTGCTGACATTATGAAGCGGCGAGCCTTCCTCGGCCGCTGGAATTAGATGCGGGAGGATCTTCACGGGGCTCTCCAAGTCAACATCGGCCGAAGCAATTGAGAAATGATGCAGCACCAACGACACGAAGTGGTCAGCATGCAAGTTTGACAGGTCATGTCCTAGCGGGAGGAAATGATACTGGGGCACGAGTGACGACGGTCTTTTGCGACGGTCTCGCCCGATGGCCGTCTCGTATGTACTAACGGTCTCAACGCGAAACCGCATGTCCCATTCGTCTCGGTAGCCCTGACATGGGACTTTCTTCCGCAAACAGCGGCGACATTGCGGACGAGTGAGGTCGCACTGCTGGATTATCAGCAACGGCTTGTGCTATGTATGTGTGTGTGTGTGTGTATATGTAGACGCACCTTGACGTGTTTCTGGCGGCAGGGGAGGCAGCCGCGGCTTGGGCCGCCAGCGTTCGGCATGGTGAAGAGGACAAGTTCTTAATTGAATCTATCATTAACAAGGATTGCGCTCTTACATTGGCTTGGCTATCACTAGAAATTCCTTCAACGAGCCTAACAAGCGAGTCGTAAGGTGAGTTAACTAGAGAATTAAGGAGTAAGCATGAGATGCGGCCACGATCTCACAGATTTGTAATCGCATGCCGGCCGTTGATTGGCTACAATAAGTGTATTACTAATCCATGGATATCGTAGTTAACTAACGTAACCGGTAAGCCACCCGGCCATGTAAGCGACCCGGCCACCTCCGCCCAGAAACGCGTTCTATTTCGATCTTACAATTTCAACGCGTCAATATGCTATCAATTTATAAGAAAAATCCTTTAAAATTAGCTAAATTAGAAGAAAAGATTTAATTAGTTATTTCTAATTTAAAAAATAAGAATATTCAAAGTATTTATAAAGCTATATAGGTTTATACTATCTCTTATATAATTCTCTAAGACTAACTGAAAGGAATATAATATAAATATATAAAATATACTAATAGTTATAAATTCACTTAGTTTAAAGAGAAATTATTTATTAAATAGATATTAGATCTAGATAAGTAAGAATTATCTTTCTAGCTATTTATAGTATAAAAAATAGCCAATTATCTTCTTTTTTAATATAAAAATTAATAGATTAAAAAAAAATAGATTTATAATTTAATTTAATATTATTTAAAGCTTAAATTATGATTTTTTTAAAAATATAATTATAAATATGCTAAATATAAAGATCTAAAAATAATTTAAAAATATTTTGACTATATATAAGAGGTTATATTAAAATATAATATTTTATTAAAAAATATCTATAACTTTAATAAGACTAGCTTTATTATAGGACTTTATATAACTATAAAAATTATTACTAAAAATAATTAATATACCTATTTAAAGCTATTATAATCTAGTAATTAAAAATAAGTAACTTTAATTAAGATAATTAATTCTATTAAATAAGCTTTACTTTTATATATAATTTTTAAAGTAATAAAATATATATAAAAAAGCTGGTTTAAAACTCTTTTAAATAATTAGAAAATTAATATTAGTAATAATAGATAAATAATTAATAATATTAATATAAATTAACTTTAAAATTATTTTATTTCTCTTATAAATGGCTATATAATAGAAAGATATTAAATACTGATTCTTAATAACTATAAAAGTTATTTAATTATAGAATTTAATTATATATATACTAAGAATAATATTATTCTAGTCTATATATTTTTATATTTCTCTTATCTCTTATAGCCTCTTAATATTAGCTATTTTATAATTATAAAATAAAAATATAAATAGCTTATTAAGTAATAGATAAGACTTAGATTTAATTATATTAATAAAATTAATTTTCTTATTATATTTCTAGAGGCTTATATAATAATATATAAAGCTAAGACTATTTAAAAAAGCTTTATAATTATTAGATTAGTATTATATAATCTAGATTAAATTTATTAATAGCTTATTATTTAGCTTAAGACTTTTATATTTTTTTTAAGTTAATTAAGTAATACTTAATTATTTTACTTATAAATATCTTAAAATCTATACTAATTTAAATATTAATTAAGTATAATAAAAAAATATATAAGCTAGTATATAAGAAGTTTATTAAGTTTAGTTAATAAGATAATTAATTAGATATCTAAGATGTATAAAATAATTATAAATAGCCTTATACTTTTAAGGAAAGAAGTTTATAATTTATAGACTATATATAAGAAAAAAAAATAAAAATATAGATAATCTAGAAAGTAGATAGAATATAAATAAGAAATTATTAGAAAGAAAGCTTAGATACTTATATAAAATTAAATTAAAGTATTTTAAAGTATTACTACTGCTCTAGCTAAATCTAAACTATTAGTCTTGTAAGTAATTGTACACTATTAATTTAAATATAGTGAGTGTGGTATTCTTGGGTATAGAAGGCCTTAATACCCTTATTATATTAGTAATTAGTTTTTTTATATATAATTATTATTTTGGGTTGAAAATTATGATTAGAAATTCATATAGAACGCGTTTCCGGGCGGAGGTGGCCGGGTCGCTTACATGGCCGGGTGGCTTACCGGTTACGTTATATCAACGCATTTTGTATTTTTATTCACTTGCAACTCCTCCCAAGTATATATCAAGAATATATAAGCAAGCGCATGACGAGATTATCTACAGGACTGCGAACAAAATATCCACATTGGTGCTCCAACCATCCGGACGCTGGCGGAAGAGCATGGCGAAATGACTGGTCAGCAGTCAACCTCCATAGCGAGGAGCTCAAGCATCAAGGGGGATGCGAGCACCGCCCACGACAGAGGGACACAGTCTCACAAGTCTCTTTCCATGTCCATGTTTCGACATCAGTCTTCGGTTCGCTCTATGACAGGTGCGTCATCCTGTCTGGTCAGTTCACAGATAAGCCGTAAATGGACCAATCCACGCATGGCCGTTGTCTGAGAAAGCCAATACGTTTCATTGCTGCGAGTCGGAATGGCTCTTGATTACTGTGAACTGGAGCGGAATTGTTTGGTTTGGAGCACGATGCCTGTCACCGGCCGCTCATCGAGGCTCAGAAGAGAGTCAAGCCTGAGGCCTAGGCATAAGCCTAGTGTCTTTTTCCGGTTTTGTTTGGTTGTTCTTTTTCTTCTTCTTTTATTTCCCTTCCTTTCGCCCATTCGCTGTAAAAAAAAAACTTTTCCCTTGTCCTTCCAACCTATATTCAAGGGGTATCATGTATCAATGTAGTCGAGTCGACCGAAAAAATCCAGCATATTGTAGCACAGATTGGCGTCATCACCAGGCTCCCCGCCGAAAAAGCGATATTGCTGCATTGCCAATTCGGGCGTACTATGTCGAGGCTGCAGTGTATTGTATTCGAAATTCTGCCATTCATCTAACCAGCTGTTATGCCGGGTGTGGGCGAGCGGCGCGAGGAAAGCAGGTTCCGACAGGGAATATTGCTGCTGCTGCTGATGCTCGTTGGCGGTGACGGTCCTGGATTGGGACTGGTTGCGAGATCGTGGTCGAGTGCGACGTCTGTTGTGTCTCTGGCCCATATTTGGTGTTCTTTCGATCTTCTCTTTTTTGTCTTTTCAAAAACAAAAAAAAAAGCAAGACTTTTGTGGTGGATGAAATGCGATGGTATCAAAGATGAAGCAGGTACTTAGTATGTTTTGAGGGAGCGGAGAGCATGCTGGATGATCATCCCCCAGTCATAGTCATCAGCGTGTGAGTCAATGATGAATGATGAAAGGAGGAGACCGGCCAGGGAAGAAAGAGGGCAGGATGGAAGAAGCTGAGACAGCTCTTTTATAGCTTTGGGCGTGACTCTTCAGGCTGCGTGAGTCATTGGCCCCACTCGGCCGCTCTTCCGGTCCCGGCGATCGCAGGCTAGGCTCTTATGGGCTAGCGTGATGAGCCATCCTATCAGAGCGAGGCACATCACGCGATTCCGCCCATCACGCAAAACAACGTGTGATGTTTGGGCCGAATGAGTGCTTTGAAATTTTCAGCAGCAAAGGTGGCGTGATCGTATAGGCTTATTCCGTCGACTGGGCAGGGATGAATCATGACTGAAGAATCATGTCACAACATGTAGCAAAATAAACTAGTTGACAGCGAATGTGCGTGTCACTGTGACAGTCGCTGCAAAACAAGCATCTATGTAGGTAAATACTATGTACAGCCATGGCAAAGGAAAAAGCACGCAATTCGTAGCTCGTCATGAGCCATTCTGAGCAGAGCTCCGTCGAACAATGTCCAATGCCTCTTGTCCCTTGGGCGCCGTAGTCAGATTCTCGTAGCCGTCAGCCGTGACAAGAATGTCGTCTTCAATCCGCACGCCACCAACGGCGTAGTACTTCTCAACTACGTCAAAGTCGATGAATTTGGAAATAGGCAACTGTCGTGCATTCTTCAGAGCCAGGCGATTGAAGTAAATTCCAGGCTCGACGGTCACGATCATATTCTCCTCGAGAAGCGCTGCCGCCGACATGGCATCTGAAGATTGCATCAGAAAGCTCCCCCGGTTCCTCGGGTTCAGCCCAGACGCCATGACAGAATGCTCGGACACGTCATGCACCTCCAATCCCACATGATGTCCTAGTCCGTGCGGAAAAAAGACAGACACGGCGCCAGACAGCATAATTTCGCTCACAGAGCTGCCTTTCTTGAAAACCCCCAGTTTCAGTAGTTCCTCCACTGCGACGAGGGCGGCATGTGTGTGGACATCTCGAAAGCGCACTCCGGGCTTGACCAATCGGATCGTCTCTTCTTGCATTCTTTCCACGGCAAGGTAGATATCACGCGCTTCTGGCGTGGGCCACTCACCTGTACAGCTGATGGGAAAAGTGCGAGTGACGTCTGAGGCATAACATTCAAACTCGGCGCCAGCGTCCAGGCAAACCAAGGGCCGGTCGCCAAAATCCTCGTTGTTTTTCATGTAGTGAAGGGTCGCAATATTCTCGCCCGACGCAGCAATAATACCGTATGCTTGTTCTGGTGCTCCATGAGTTATACTTGTCTTGAGGAAGAGGGCTGCGATGTCGCTCTCGTTTGTCATTTGTCCGATATTTTCTAATATAGCCGTATGGGCGAGTCCCGAGACGACGTTTGCCTGCCTAATTAGTTCGATCTCGTGGGCGTCTTTGACCCCACGGCTTGAATTCATTGCTGGTAGCAGACGCTGAGTCTCCAGCAATTCTTGTGCACAATCAATAGGCGGTCGATGCTCGGGATGGAGAATAATAATCTGTGCGTCGTCTTTCCGCAGTCGCAGCCAGGTACTAATATCGTCGGGGAGGGACATCGCGTATCGCGCATTATCGACGTCAAATCTTAAGCCAATGTCAATAACGAATATTCCTTGCATGCAATGATCTGAAATAGCCCTCACTTCTCTAGCGCGTCCTCAATTGAAACGGTAGGACCCATCCATACTGCCTGTCGCAAATCGAAATCCGGCACGTACAAGGTAAGCTTATCTTTAGCGATATCATAGGTGAGGTGACAGTCCGGTTCATTGGCACCGCTTAGGTAGTAGAAGTAACGCCGTTGTCGAAATGGCTCGGCTTGGTCCGAGTCGTCATGGAACACGGTCGGTTTACCGGTCAGATAAATAAGGCCGCGGGAGGCTCCCAGCTTGGATGCGACTTTGCGAGCGTGTTGTTTTGCTATATTCTCGAGGAGCGATTGATTTGCATGAGCGAGAATCGCGAGTCAGAAGGGATGGTTTGCGCTCACCGGGATATTTGTTAATCTTTGTCCCTGTTATGGTCAGGTTGATGTGGTACTGGTCAAAATCGAGCATATCACTGCCCTCCGCAGGTGCGGAGAGGGGTTGAGAGGTGCCCATGATTGTAAGGCCTTGGTAACCAGTCGGCGACAATAGATTCGGTGTTTGTGTACTGATTCAGTTGCGCAAAAGTCAGCAATCACGAAGATGGTGGTGGTTCACCGAGGGATGGGAGTGACGGAGTAGCGTTAAGTCCGCAGTTGCAGCTAACAGCCGCTTATCTCAAAACTCCACCCAACCAAAATCTAGTCTCCAGCAACGCTCTTAGCGTCGTATGCACTTGAGAATCAATCATCTCACCTTGAGAATTCAGTTTTACGCTTTCGATACGGCACAACACCGAGAGGCAGATACCCGGGAACGCAAACGTGAGCGCGATGATGTGAATCAGCGGCATAAGCGTCAACGCAATTCATGATATTCAAGAGGTATCACATATGTATTCATCTTATTAGTACATTTATCTCTCCATCGCAGCCTTTCCAACCTCGATTACAAACTTTCCAATCCCTCCTTTGCCGGCAAGAACTTCCTGACAACCTTCCCTAACGTCTTGTATATTACCCAGGCTTGCAGCTCTACCTACCACTGGCCTCAGTCTTCCCTCGCCAACCCAGTTTGTGAGTCTGTTCAGATCTTCTGCATTGGGATTCATGAACTGAAAGACATATTTGACACCACATCTCCTAGCACGATATCGAGAAAAGGCACTGGCACCATCGAGCAGCCAGCGAAAAGCAATTGGGATTCCAAGCGCTTTTCCCTTCAAGGCTGAGCCAAATGGCGCACCACTGACACTGACGATAATGCCTCCTTTTTTCATCAGGTGCAACGAGGCCATTGCCGAGTCCATAGTGTTGAACATGAAGTCCACTGACCCTGCTGTGATGATCTTGCCAGGGTCTTCCTTGGTATAATCTATTATCTGGTTGACAACCTTGCCCAGCTTCTCTTCCACCTTGGGGATCTTAGAAGGTGAAGCTGTGGTTATGACTTTGGCTGCGCCAAACACGTTCTTGGCCAGCTGTGTCGCCACGCTTCCAGTTCCTGACAGGGCTCCAGGTATATATACTGTTTTTCCCTTTAGTCCACCCTCGATATGCTTATCGGCCCTGTCGAGGGCTTGGAGGGCTGTAAGGGATACCAGCGGTAATGACGCGGCCTCAATATAGGATAGGGAGCTGGGCTTGAGTGCAGTTGCTGATGCGGACGAAAGAGCAAATTCGGATGCTGTTCCGCGATGGTGTTGTGGAACGCGGGAGTATACTTTGGCACCGATCTTCAATTCAGGCCGAGAAGAGAGGACTTCAGAACCGACTGATACGACCGTACCAGAGAGGTCATATCCGATTTTGTATGGGAACCTTTACGCCGCAAGGTTTAGCACCAGCTGGCCGTTCATAGTCTTTTGGATATGCAAACGTGAAGAACTTACTGCTCTGACCAGATCATCTTCATGGTCCCTGCTGCAAGCTGCACGTCGACAGGGTTGATTGAGGCTGCTTGCACTTGAATGAGAACGTCATCAGGAGCCGTTACTCTGGGAATCGGGAGGGATAGATTATTGTATTCCTCTGGCTTGCCATATCTTTCGATGGCTAGTGAGTTCATGGTAGAGGGGAGTCCCTCTTGAGCCATCTCCGGACTGTCACGCATACGATATAGTCTGAATGGAATCACACGACTGCTACAAGATACAGTTTTAATCCCCGAGTGAGGTAACGAGCAGCGAGGGCCCTTTTATACCGGACAAGGGCCAGGCCTCAAAACAAATTGTTTTGAGCGATAAACGATCGGATTCGCTCTTCACGCTATGCATCTAGGATGGATCTCGAATACGATTCGAGTGCTGACAATTTCCTGAAAGGGCAACAGTGACTCGCGTTTTTATACTTTGACCGCATTAGGAAAGGTCACTCCGCGGATGTTGAAAACCCTAATTGTCAGTGTCGGAGTTGAGATGGAACTGGAGTAAGCCGTGATAAAGAACAGCAACAATAGCTTCTGTGGCTGAATCGTCATTTACTTGCTCAAACAGAAGCAACCAACCAGTATGCGGTCACCACCGAAAGATGGAAGCAAAGCTGCGAAAGGTAACATCCACGTTAGTTGCGCGCTTCTTAACCAGTTAAATCTACATAGACGAGGTCATGTTAACCCATCCACCTGAATTTCTCAAAATGCCAGAGAAATCGATACATTGAAGAGAGTTTTGATTCACCATTGACCAGTTACTAGATATCATACTTGGGCTCTTAGATAGAAACCGTGGATGGTATCAAACTATCGACTATCAATATCAACTCATGAAGGTCACTTCTCAAGAAATTTCTAAATGAAATAGAATACATTTGACTGATTATGTAGTGTGTCCTGTGATATTTCTCTTCATGATATCTCTCAAACTCTGTACTCCGTAGATGCCGGGAGAAAAGGGAAAATACAGAACAATACTAGTGCGGTAATACTCCCTCCCGGTTGGACACTTGGCGTTGGGCGCCTTAAAGACTAGTCTATTTCTAGTTAGTGGCTACTATAAATGGGGTACTTGCCCCATAGCCGATGATTTCTAGAGAATCTCTGGCTTTTCATTGGTCCACATATACTTCGGATACTCCATATCTCCGCACCCGTTCCGAGCCGAAGGAAGACGTTTGGACGTCGTCTCACCTCTACGGAGTAGATTGATATCACTTTATACATTTACGTGTCTGACGAATTGGACCCCGACAATATATCCGGCACATGAAGTCTAAATTTCGAGGCCAAGCCTGGAATGCAAATCTGCAGCATGCTGATGAGTCCTGACCCACCGATAAGCGCCACGCTATGCTGAGCTGAAAACGAGCTTGTCAAATGAGAGGCACCAGCGCGTGTCTGTAACTTTTCCATCCCGTGTGGTCGAACCTTGTTGAAGTTTGGCATCTCCACCAAGTTCTTTTGATGGGAGCCGGGCCATTGGTCAGAGTTCATCTATGATGATTCGTACATAGTTTATCTGTTTGGAGGCAAAAATCTCTGCGGCCGAGACATTGTGACTGAGGTTCTATGGCGATGCCATACTCCTGTACCCCGGAGGCAACGCATACTCTACAAAGCTGCCGCGTGGGATGCTCCGTCCGGAGTGGGAAATCACTGCAGGCCCTTTCGTAAGGGATCAACCGTACGAGATTGACACCACCTACGTACTTGATAATTATTACTACTCTGGTTGACCCCGGTGATTTGCCTAGTACGGTTTTTTATGCAGGGGTCAACTACCAATAGAATTTACTCAATTCTGCCAATTCTGCCAACTCTGCTAATTTTATATATTTTTGCTTACTACATTAATATTTAGTATGGCCACCTTCAGCAGCAATTACAGCCTTATATCTAGCTTGCATGGAATTAATCAAATCCTTAAGAAATTGCTCTGGTTGTCGGAAACTTCGGTTTGGTTACCGTCGAGTATAGCTAGGATAGCTATTAACGGGCGAAGTTAATAGGCTTCTAAGATCGAAAGGTCTTGGTAGATAAAAGAAATAAGAATAAGGCTATGAATATCTTGATTGATAGAAGATTATATATTTAAGTTATTATAATTAATTTAAGACGATAGAAGAAAACTAAATATATAATAAATAAGTATCTTTATATAGCTTTTCTTTATTATAGTTAATATAATAATAGCTTTATTTGTTCTATCTTAACTAATATAGTTAATATAGTAACAGCTTTACTAATTTTATTATCTTAACTCTAAGACTTTATAGATAATTCTTTATTTTAATATATATTAATCTTATAATAATTAATCTAATCTATTAATTATAATATTCTAATTCTCTGATAATCCCCTTCTCTAAAGATTAGTATCTTAATAGTTTAATAAATAGCTTATATTCTCTAAAATATAAATAATTAATTCTAATTTTTAAATATTCTAAATATATAATTTTATGATTTTGTACTAATTATATTTTTAAAGCAAAATATTAATAAGAATAATCTTGCATTATATATTAAGTAATCTAGTATAAAATTATCTTTATCTTATTTTTATTACTCTTTATTAAATAAGATTTATATAAAATTAGAAATATTATCATACTATAATAAATATATATAAAATAGTTATTGTAAGTATATTTTAATAATTTTATCTAATTTTATATAGAAAAAACTTCTTTGTGCTTAAAAATATCTAGAAAAGAATAAAGATAGAATAAATACTGAAATTAAAGCTCTTTTAGTAAAATATATTTATTTTAATAAATAATAAAAATTATTATAAAAGCATGCTGATTAATTTATTTAATTAAATATAAAGAATATTAAAGAGTTAGAAAGATTAGAAAAAATAGAAGAAAAGATAAAAATAAAATAAGTAAAAGAATAATAAGAGGCTAAAAAGTTTCTAATTATTATTTTTACTTTATAAAATAATAATCTTATTCTTAATATTAACTTTAATTTTTTTATTTTTTTTAATTATACTTCTATCTTTACTTTTAAATTTTCTTAGAATAATTTAAGTATCTAATAAATTCTTATATATTTTTTTTAGATTTATATTTTTTCTATCTTATAAAATAATAGATGTGTTTTTTTTCTAACTTATATTATAATATTTTTTTAACTTTATATTCTTTGTTGTCTATTATTTTATTTTTATTTATTAGATTAATAATTAATTCTAATAATAAGATATAAAATATTAAGTATATTTATATTCTTATTAATAGCTAGAGTTTATAATTATTATTTATAAATTTCTCTTTAATAATAAATGGTTTAAATTTAACTATATTAAATTTATTACTTAATCTTATACTTTTTATATTAAAACTTTTTAATTCTAGTATTTATTATAGAAGATAAACTCTCTTTCTCTTTTTAAGTACTAGCATATTCTTATATTTCTTATTATAATATCTCTTCATTCTTATTTTTATTTATTTAATATCTTTTAATAAATTGCTATATATTAATTGCATATATATTATTTAGATATTTATTTCATTAAATACTTCTTCTTATTTAATATTTTTCTAATTTATCCTTGGAATTCTTCTTAAATTAGTGAAATGTAGTACTTATTCTATTAATATATTTATAATATTATTTATTATAAACTAAATAATTAATAGTAACTCTATTTAATTATCTTAATTCTAATCTAAGTAATATCTTAGATATTATTTAATTACTTAAATTATTCTTTTAGTCTAGTCATTAGTCTATTAATAATATATAGTTAATAAATTATATTTTATTCTATAATTTTTTATAATTATCTATTAAAATTTAGATATAAATAGCTTGTCTCTATTAGATATAATTTTACTTAATAGTCTAAATATTATAAATACTTCTTATAATATTAGTATTATATATTATTATACTATTAAACTCTTTAGCATTGGCTTTAAGATAATATATTTTATAAATTTATTTATAATAATAATAGCTTTAATATATGTGATTCCTAAAATAGGATCTTTTAATTTTAGTAAGCCTTATATAAAATCTATTATAATCTTCTATTATACTTTTATTAATGTTTCTAAAATCTATATTCTTTTATAGAGTTAATAATTAATTAATTTATTATAATTATAACTATTATATTTCTTAATATAGTCTTTAATTATTTTTTTTATTCTTAGAAAATAATATATTTGTTGTATCTTTTCTACTATTTAATTAATTCTATAATATTCTTTAATTAGCAAATTATAGTTTATTTAAATGATTTCTATAATTATTAAAAATAATATTAATATTAATTTTTTCTAAATAGCTAGTTTATTCTTAATTACTATTTTATTATTATATAGTGCTGTCTGTAGTATTTTGTTATTCTTAGTAGCTTCTATTATCTTTTTATAAAAACTTTTGCTTTCTATTATAATTATTATTGCTAAGATTATTTTATTATTATAATAAATTTTATTTTTATCTTCTACTAATATATTTATTTATAACTATTATATTCTAATTATATAATCTACTCTTCTATTTAATATATTAGTAATAATATTTTCTTTTCTTTTAATATATTTAATTTAAAATTTAAATTTTAATAAATACTCTAATTATCTAACTTGTCTATTAATAAGCTTTTTTATTATTATAAAATACTTTAGATTATAATAGTCACTTTTTATAATTATTTCTTCTTTAATTTCTTATAAGTAGTGTCTCTATTACTTAAATATTTTAACTACTATAAGTAGCTTTTTATTGTGAATATTATAGTTCTTTTCTATGATAGTAAATTATCTGGAGTAAAAAATAATGGGTTGCAATTATTTATTGTCTTTTAATTATTTTAAAATAATTTTTAATGTATATTTTAATGTATCTAGTTAAATTATATTTAGTTTTTTTAGATTATAAAGCATAAGAATTGGTGCTTTTCTAATTAATTCCTTGACTTTCTTAAATGCTTATTATTATTATTCTATTTAATTAAATTCTTAATCTTTTTATAATAATTTTATAATTGGTCATGTTGTTTCTATATAGTTCTTTAAGTATCTTTTAATATATCCTATTATGCTTAAGAATTGCTATATTTTATTGATATTTGTTGGGATAGACTAGTCGAGTATTATATCTTTCTT